AGTATAGTGTCCCTTAGGACCGCCCTTACCTAAAGGCTTATAAGGAGGCTTACTACTACTATTACTACTACGCTTGCTAGTTCTAGTAAGAGAACTAGTAGTAGGGTACGTAATAGATACTAACATTATTATAGAATATAAGAAAAGTAATATAAAGAGTGTAGAAAAGCTATTATAAAGCGCGCGCGTAGTAGAAGTAAGTTATAGGTAATAAGGAAGAGAAGATTAGTATATAAGTAATAAGATGTTACTATAACTAATAAAGAAGAAGAATAGTATATAGGAGGTAGTATAATATATAACTATTAAAGAAGGAAGAAGAACTAGAAGTACTTAAGCAAGTTTAAGAAGCTTAATTAAGTTAGATGTTAATATTATAAAGAAGGTTTAAGCTAGATAGGAGGGATGGTTTTATACCTAGAATTTTATAAGCTAGTAACTATAACTTAGAGTTATAGGTAACTAAGGCATAAAATTAAGAAGTAAGAAACTTAAAGCGTACTCCTTATAATGCTAGTAGGTAAGAAGTCGGAGCGTGCTATTATTATAAGGAAAGAGTATATAAAAAACAATCTAAGATCGTTATAGAAGTTGCTAGCGCTAAGGCTACTACCTAGCTAAGTAAAATTAGATGCAATAAATATAACAAAGGAGGATTAAGAAATTAGAGGAGACATAAGAAGATATAATAGATGTTATAGTAGGAAAGAAGATTCTAATAGTAGGTTATAACTAATAGAAGTAGATTTCCTAACTACTATTAGAGTTATAGATAGAAAAGTTGCCTATAGCTATAATAAGCTGTGTAACTAAGGCTTCTCTAAAGTCTAACTAATTGTTTCCTTTATATTATTAATTTCTATTAATACTAGCGATAATACTAAAGTAGGTGCTTTAGTCTAAGTAGGGGAGGATGTTATTATAAAGCTAGAGTAAGCCATTGCTTAGCAGATTTAGTATATAATCGTGCCGTGCGCCAGTAGTCTAAAAAATCAAGTTCCTTTAGCAATTATAGATCTAGTTTCCTATGTTCCTAGTGTGACCCTGCTCAAACTTACTAGCACTTTCTAGTGTGCTTTCTTAGGTGTAGCAGTGGATATTTAAGGGGATTCAAGACATGTTTGGCATTTCGTATGGCTAGAATGGCTTTGAGTGATTCACTTATCCTGGTCGTGATTGAGTCCTTGGTAAGGCAGTCTGATGATGAATTTGGTCTATTCTCCGTTTAGATCTAAGCACAACCAGATCTCCATCATCCACTTCGATTCGAGTCTTGGGATTGATTGCTGGACTATACAAACAAGGACTCGATTAGAAAACGTCCGTCCAGTACTCAACTATACTCGGAGTACATTTGCACACTGTGTAGCTAGGCATGTTTCGAGATTCGATAGTCGTCCTTGACCGAGACGGCGAGTCTTCCTGAGGCTCACTGATCAACTACCCCACAGATTGGTTGCCAAGCGATGACGGTGTGTTTCGGCGGGACGAGACGCGACCATGGGCAGCATTCGGAAGCTCTGGTGTAAACAGAACCTACCAGCAACATACTCCTGGTATAGGCAACATGTCAATTACAGCAGGTGAGTATTGTATCGTCGAAAGTCTCCCGAGGACAAGCAGCTAACAAAGAAGCTTACAGACGGCATCTGGGCGGCCTCACCGTCGACAACTCGAGGTCAATCGACTCCCCTTAGTTCGAGCTCCGACGGCCAGTCAATAGCCTACGCCGCCAACAAGTCCATCTTCGTCCGCAACATCGACGACCCAAGTATTGCAAGACAGTACACCGAACATGTCTCTCAGACCACCGTCGCTCGTTTCTCCCCCAGTGGCTTCTACGTAGCCAGTGGTGATGTGTCCGGTACCGTGCGTGTGTGGGATTGCAAGGGTGAGGGCGCAACCAAGGGAGAATACCATATCATTGCTGGCCGAATCAATGACATCGCTTGGGACGGAGATTCGCAACGCATCATCGCTGTGGGAGACGGTAAAGAGCGCTTCGGCCACTGCATCACAGCCGACAGCGGAAACAGCGTGGGAGAGATCTCAGGACACAGCTCTCAGATCAATTCTGTATCCATCCGTCAACAACGTCCCCTGCGTGCTGCTACCGGTTCTGACGACACCAGCCTGGTCTTCTACCACGGCGCCCCATTCAAGTTCAACACCAGTCTACGCGGAAAGCACGACAAGTTCATCTATGGAACCGCATTCAGTCCGGACGGTGCTTCCCTGGTCAGTGTCGGTAGCGACAAGCGTATCTGGTTGTACGACGGCAAGACTGGCGAGGCCAGGAACCAGATCGGTGAAGGCGAGCACAAGGGCAGCATTTTCGGTGTTTCATGGGCCAAAGACTCCAAGAAGCTCGTCACCGCTAGTGCTGATCAGACCGTCAAGATCTGGGATGTCGAGGCTGCCAAATGTGTTCAGACCTGGCGCATGGGCGAGGAGGGCGCTGTGAGCATTGCCAACCAACAAGTTGGCGTCACCTGGCCCAGTGGACGTAGTGATGGACTTGTCATCAGTGTCGATTTGGATGGCAACCTCAACTACTTGCAAGAAGGCAACGACAAGCCTGTTCGTGTCGTTCACGGTCACCAAAAGGCCATCACCGCTGCTGGATACACACCCAAAGACAAGACTCTATGGACAGGAAGTTACGACGGCCGTGTACGTGCTTGGGACCTTTCGACCGCAGAGGCCAAGAATGTCGATGGCGAGTCTCCCAAGAACTATGTCAGCGGCTTCGCACCATCACAGAGCGATGGTCGCATCTACTCAGTCTCGTGGGACGACACTCTCAGAACCATCGACGCCTCTACACGTTCCTTCATTGGCTCTTCCAGCAAGACTGATGGTCAGCCCAAGAGTGTCACCGTAGCTGCATCAGGTTCGAAGCCTGTGACATTGGTGGCTACCAATTCTGCCATTACTCTTTACAACGAAGGTGAACAGATTGGCTCTCTGCCCGTCTCGTTCACACCTACCAGCATTGCTGCCAAGGATGACATCGTTGCCGTTGGTGCGGATGACAAGGTTGTGCGTATCTACACCCTTTCTGGTAACTCATTGTCTGCTGCAGCAGAGATACGTGATGCCACAGCTGCTGTCTCAACCCTTTCCTTCTCTCCTTCATCGTCATGCCGTCTCGCAGTCGGTCTCAGCAACGGCAAGATCTACGTCTACACCTCATCTTCACCATCAGAATGGGCTCTGACTACTAACCGCTGGTCTGCCCACACTGCCCGCGTCACTTGTATCACCTGGTCGCCTGACGGTGAAAAGGCCGCCAGTGGTGGTCTCGATACGAATGTCTTTGTCTGGAGTCTCGCCGACCCAGGCAAGCGCGTGAAGGCCATGAACGCCCACAAGGATGGTGTTGGCGGTATTGCCTGGACTGAGCCCTCAAAGATCATCAGTTGCGGAGCTGACGCTGCAGTCAAGGTCTGGAAGGTTGAGAATGTGCAGTAGAGTAGCCTATTCGCAATACAAAAACACCTGCATAAAAATATAAAACAATATCCATTGCACAAAATTTTCACAAGCCAATATCACGTGCAATACTCTGATCTCTTTTTGCGCTAGCCGCAACGAGCCTTTACATGGATGCAGAGCTCTCGTACAGACTTCTCGTAGGCTGAGAAGTCGAGCTCTGATCAAACCAGCTCGCAATGTGGATTTTGATCGTGTCCAAAATGTTCCAAATGATTACAAGTGACTGGGATTGAACTGAAAGATGTGTACACTGCTTCGAGATTATATATTCAGTAGCCTAGCAACTACAAGTACTCTCAACGACAAATCAAATAGTGTGCAAGGCATACATATGATCAAGGCAGGTCATGTCTTCAGATTCAGTATGAAAAGGCTCTCTTTGATGGTTTAGATTGTATCAGGCTGAGAAAGAGGAACTGAAAGCTTTCAGAAGACTCTCAGAAGAGTGAGAAGAAGATACTTGAATTTCAATTTTCTGCTGCCCTTGCTCACAGATACAGAGGCCCCTAAAATCCAATCTACCTAGAAATAGAGTAGAAAGTCACGGAATTGGTGGATGAAGGCGGTAAAAACAATCAAGAACTAGACAAATATGAGTACCGCAAGAAGTAGCTATTACTACATCATCTACCTTGGATAGCAGGGTCAAAATATATACAAAAAGCTTCTCTGTGTTATTAGATAACTCTCCTTCTTATAACGCTCAAAATGTTTGGAAAATGATAAGTTTTGCCAAAGTTATGCATATATCGATGATCGAGCCAACCCTGGACGTATGGAGCACCATATTACGCGCGAACGGGGATAACCCCAACAAGGAATGAATCAGAAATGTATTCTTATCAAAACCCGAATCAAAATCCATCAGTTCAGCGTGTGGCCGTTGCGATACAGTTGCCAGGGTCAAAAATGGTCGAAATCTGGTGCGGGTTGGCGCGGAGTTCAGATCGTCCCAAGAATGAACCTCCTAAAGTCTGTTGCATGTATGTTCAGGGGTGCACCATTAAGCATGGTTCACCAGAACTCGGGCTGTGCCTCTTGGGACTGATCAATGCCTTTCAATTGGATGGGAGCACCGTGGCATGTTGCCGTGCTTTTATGTCTGGTTTGACAGTCCGGGCATTTTATTCACTCAAACAAGCAAAGGACAAAGGTAACCAACAAGACTGACACAAAGTAAGAAAAGCGTTGAAGGTGAAAAGGAGCAATTTTCATTATGATCAAAGTAGCAGCCGGAACGCCAACCGATACCAAAGCTATCAAGGTAGCTAGAGAGTCTCTTGCTCATGACGAATTAAAAGTACAGAAAACACATGGGCTGTTCAGTGCGCCATTCTGATTGGAAAGAGTAATGAATCCTTCCACCCTTACAGAGCAAGGACAGCGATACCACCGAGGACAGCAGCAAGAGCGCCGTTGGCCAGGATCTGAGAGGCGGCGCCGGTGCTAGCAGCAACGCTTGAAGTAGAGCTGGCAGAACCGCTGGTCTTGGATCCGCTGGTCTTGGAACCACCACTGGCAGTGGTAGAGGATGAGGAACCACTGTGAGTGGATGAGCCAGAGGCAATTGAGGATCCGTTGGTCGAGCTCGAGGCATTGGCACCGGCAGTGCCGTTGGTGTAGTCGACGAAGTTGGCGCAAGCAATGCGGGTCTTGTTGGCATAGTGGACCACGATGCTGCGGTTGCCCATGAAGGCGCCGTTGCCGGCGACGGTGGAGACGTACTGGTCAACATAGCTGTCCTTTATGTTAGTGATAAGGCAATTGCTGTGGTCGACATGCGTATCTTACGTAGCTGAGAAGGTCATGTTGGTAGGCTTGCCATGCTTGCCGGAAAGGTCACCGACCTGGCAAGTAGCAGGAGCAGAAGCGTTGCAGGGAGGGTCCTCGCCGCGCAAGAAGGGATCCACGTGTGCGCCAGTGGCTGTGCAGTTGCCCGAGCTGGGGACGGGGTAGTCGTGGATGTGGTACACTAGGGATCTTATTTAGCATTGCGTAGATCAATGGTTGCGAAATGTCCAACATACGGAAAGGACCACCCTCGGCAGGCAGACCGGTCAAGGCAATTTGGAAGTTAACGCCGACATTGTCAGAGCTAGTGAGGGCGAGGACAGTGCCGGAGATGTTGCTCTTGCTGGTAGGGTTGAGGGTGGCGATGTAGGCAACACCGGCGGGGTTGTTCTTCTGAACAGTAGCGTCGCCCAGCTTGCCTGTAACAGGAGTGGTATCGGATTGAGCGGTGACAGCCGAGGCCAGCACAGCAATGGCTGCAACAGTCTTGAGGAAGGAAGGCATAATGAGAGTGGTGATAGGTGGACTGAAGGTAGGTAGTGTGTGTATGGGATGCGCGTAAGAGAGTTTGCGAGGATTTGAGAGAATTCAAGAAACCGTGGATGCAAGGGAGGGACAGTGGTCGTAAAGAAGGTGCCGGAAACACGACAAACAGAGCAGGCAGTCCGGGGTATTTTGAGCGACAATGACTGAACGAAACGAATCAAGAGATGAAAATAGACCTGTACCTCAGCTGTTTGGACCGCGCGCAGTGTGACTTAGCCTTTTATAAGCATGGTATGGTTTGGCGACATGTAGTTGGCCGTTTTGCGCCGTTGGACACGACCAGTACGTGAGGTTTGTTAGATTGCACCACGTTTAATTTCCCCCTCACAGAGTCACAGTTGACGGCTGAAACTACAGCGCCAACTGTCTGTCCTCATAGGCCAGTCTCACCTTGATCATAGCACCGTCCTGCCAGCCACAGGGGCGCTGCATTCCCAGACGATGAAACACTCGAGACATGACGGGCGGCTTTCTCGACTTCTGCCTTTGAAGCCTTCCTTTTCTCTGATGCCGATGCTTGATCCAGCATGTCAAGTAAGTCAACTTCTTACCGGAATGTCACTAGCACAAGAGAAGAGGAAAGAAGAACAACGCACAAGGAGACAAGCTTGAATGGTGAAAGGTCACACTGACCTCGCCCTAGCCAGCTAGCTTCGGATTACTCGGATGTACGGCCAATCAGAAACGCTGTCGTCTTGTTCTCTGTATACGAAGATCACTATTTTCAGCTGTCACTCAGGGGAAGGCCCCATGGGGACTATCATCAACAGACACTGTCTAGGTACGGCGCTTGCTCGTTGGAGTGGCTCATATACACGCTCTCTCTGCATAAGGTCTGATTGCGCGTCTCGGGCCATATACTGCTCAGCACTTTCTGCAGCGATATCGATTGATTGTTCCCAGTACAACACCTTCCATAGATCAAAGGCAAGCCCTGAGATTGTGGTCACCACGTGTTCGAAAGTTTGGTCGATATGTTCGATGGCTGAACCAAAGTTTGCCTGCCCTGTCATCCTCTTCGGAGATCGGCATTTGACCTGAAGCTGAAAAGTATTCACCTGATCATAAGACGTACGAGAAGTCAGCTTTATCAGCTGGACTGTAGCTTCTCTTTTGTGTAAGCGTCAAGCGCCAACAATTCTTGAGATACGAAAAGACCGTCGAAGGTGGTCCAGCATCTTGAGGAAAGCGAAAAGGTCATAGACAACTTACTTTGTCTCCAGCTATTGGTCTCTTTGGGTTCTGCAATTGCGCGTGGCGTACGCATTGTAGTCCAATTCTCGGAAGCATCATTATGTGCAGATGCCAGACCCTAGCCGAGGAATAGAGTGCTCAAAAGGACAAGTAAGATGGATACGAGGGTTGGAGTGCCTGGAGGCATGACTGGGAAAGCCTCGTTTCTGCTGCCGTACCATGTGCTAAAGACCGTCGCAGTATAGCTAATGAGATACACAATATTTTCCGCGAATGGCTGCTATCCACAGAGATACTATTCTCTCAAAGTGTCTCTGCGGCTCGGCTTTCGACTCGAAAAGTATTGTGCATTTCACACCCTGAAGCGTCACTACACGTGGCTGTAGGAGTTTTCTTTTTTTTGATCGAAACAGAAGTGACAGTCTCGCAGATGAGGTGTCTATTGTTTCAGATCATGTTGAGTGGTCGTCGTCTGTCACTCACTCTCCGAAGGTGAAGTACCGCTGAGGCTGATCAAGTTCATGCAGCCTGCCCCTCTCACAAGCTGCAAACTAATCACCAAGCAAAGCGCGCGCGTCAGTCCTCGAGACACAAACCCGATTTTGTACCGAACACCAGGTTCGGTAGAGTTCAGCTACTACCAACCACCTTCACCTTACTAAGTTCACAGCTCATACCTCGCTTCCTCCATTTCGCAAGTCAATATCGCGCTGACCGTAGCGCCGACCGAAAATGGTCACTCTGGGTACACAAACGACCGCTTCCAGACCTCTAGTCTTGAAGGGCTAGTTCCAGAACTGCAAGCCAACGTTTTCAGACATGTAAGTTGCTGTCTATGAGCTTCGATTCACATGATCCAAATTTCTAAACAGCCTTAGATCCCTCGACCATCAGATCTCAAATCACTGTGTCGCACGTCGAAGCGACTTTACGATGTCGCAGTCAAAGAGCTCTACCATACTGTAAACCTCGAGATCGGTAAAAGATCTGATGTGAGATTGAGCGCCATGCTACACCCTGGCAATGCTGGATTGAAGCATATTAGAATCCTTCGCATTCAATTCACGCCCCAGCATATGGACCTCTCCGACGCCGATATCTCACGTGTTCAAACCATCGTTCGAATGCTCATTGACTTCTTACCCGAGCATATTCTCGAAGACTTTGAGTGGTCTCCCTGGCTTGCTTTTGATCAAGAAACTTTCATCATTCTTTTTAACCGCCAGAAACGACTGCAGTGGCTTACCGCCTTCAGACTCGACGGGGCAGGTGCTATCGATCAGCTTGAAGCCAAGGCAGATGAGCATGACAACCTCTACAAAGCCTGTTCGAAGCTTGCCATCTATCCCGAATCCGTGTCAACCCTGGAACTGGGCCAGTTCTTACTATCCAAAATGTCGACTCTGACAGAACTGATTGTGCACACCAATTTCGACCACGGTCCAATTCATTACGCCAAGAGAGAGCTCAACGACACCCCTACAGGTCCAGGACTGGTGAACAGGACCATGTTTCGTCATCTCCTTCCATTCAACAAGATCACTAACCCGCCCTTTGCCAATCTCCAGACCCTACGTCTGGTAGACGTTGGTCTTCGACACTGTGCAGATTCATACGGCCGACTTATCGACTTCACCCAAATCGAAGCATTGCGTATCGTCAAATGCTCCGGAGCAGATGCGTTATTTTCGTTGTTGTGTAAGACTGCCTACCTGCCTCACAAGCTGCGTTATCTGGAATTTCAGCACAGCGACAACTCGGATAACGACGCTCTGACAGCGGTGGACGACTTCTTATGTCTTGTCGAAGGGATTGAAGATCTCTATATCGATCTAAATAACGTCAAGTCCATGCCTAACATCGACGGCATAATCAAGCATGGCAAAACGTTGGACGTGCTTCTCGTGCATGCTTCAGAAACCTCGACCGAAGAGCTTGTCTGGACCAGTGACGACTTCCAGCGCCTCTGTTCGAGCGTGATTAAATTGCGTCAACTCAGCTGTGCCTGGCCTGCTTCCAACATTCTGAGGACTAGCAGTCCCTCTTGGGATTCATACCAGTTCAGCATCAGTTCACTACCTCGACTCGTGACCTTGCACATCAGCACATTCCCCAGCTGCAAAGCCAATCTGGAGAAACCCATATACACCGAGTTGCTCCGTTGGCAATCAAGCAAACTATTCAATCACACACTCTTCACAACTTCCCGCCTCAAACTCGTTGCCTTTGGTGTCTCGGACAAGATCCCTAGCCGCCAAGACAGTAACAACAAACTCATCTTCCTACGCTCGACTCTGATCAACGCTGATGGAAAAGAAGAGATCACGGCAGTGCCGGTCAGTTGGGCTCTGAGACAATACATCGAGCCAGAAGCGATGTCCTGGACTTTGAGCTCACCAGACGCCCAAAGATGCCAATTAGAGATTATGCGAGCTACATGGATGAGGATGAAGATGATGATATGGTATGAGGCCCACGGAGGCGAACACATTCTTGCTGACAATCTTGCTGGAGACGATTTTGATCCCCCCTAGCTGATTTGACCGACGGATATTGAGACTGCAGATGGCGGGAAATGAGATTTTGCAGCGGATCATATGCTTTATGATAGCTATCATTTCATGTATCCCATTCATACGTAGCTACTATACGAGGCCACGTCCATAATTTAAGCCATACAATGCTCTATTTGGTTTGAAGCAGAAACTTATCGACAGTATGATTTGGTTAATGATCCAATGCCAGATGGCCAGCGGCCTACTCTTCCCGCCATCTGATGAACCAGTCTCCTTTGGCGTAGGATGGTTCGACGACAGCCCCGTGCATAACCGCCTCACACATCCTTTTTCCTTCCTGCTTGTTTTCTCCGTCCTCATCGTCCTTTCCTTTCTTTCCCTTCTTGCCTTCTCCAGCAAGCACTCTACTGCTCTCGAGGCCAAAGACCACAGCTCTTCTAGCGGCACACTTGACCATCTCTTTTTCCTCCGCTCTTCTCTGTCCCTCCCTTCGTTTCTGTAGCATTTCGGGTGTTTCATGGATTCGCTCCGCCCATCCCTTCTCTCCACCAATCGAGCCATTGACTTCAGATTCTGACTGCGGAGGTCGTACACGACCCTTGAGCTTGACCACATCTGCATCTGTATCGCCCTCAGGAGCTTCAGACAGTGGTACACCTCTGTTGTCCAGAATCTTCACCCCGCCAGTCTCGGTCGTATCTTCATCTGCAGAAACAGTCTCTGCAGTTCCAGTGTCGGTGTCTGAGTCCACCATGTCGACACTCTTCCATACATCGTCATCCGCAAATCCACGTCTAGCTCTGTTCTTCTTGCGGCCAAAGGTCTTTTCTGGATCCTCGCGCGAGCCAAAGATCAAAGTCTCTACCTCGCTGCATGACACGAGGATACGAGGATCGCCCTTGACTTTCTGCTGCTTCTTCTTGCTGTTGTTTTTGCCGTAGTCATATTTGTCATGTGGTCTCTCGGAGTTAGACACAGTCTTGGTGATTTCCTCTCCAGATTTTGCTGAGTCTTCTTGCACAGCAGCGAATTGAGAAGCATCCTGGCCATCGAGAAGGGCGGCAAAGGCAGCTTCGATGCGTTTGTCCACCGATCGGAGTTTATGTCTCTTGCATCTGTCCGAGCAGAACTTCACTTCTGTAGCTGCTGATTTTGCAGTATTTGATTTTCTGGACCCTGGAGTATGGGGTCAGCTTTGGTTCTGACACCAAAAAGAGTAGTAAAATCTGGTCTCGTGATTCACTGTCTCGACATGGTGATGCTGAATAGCAAGACCACCTTCACTGTCCATCTAGTTCCCAATAAAGAGTAATTTCATACCAATAACTCGTCCGCAAACGTGACAGTATCGCACTTCGCTTGACGTCAAGTATAGGGGAGGGGGCGTGGCGGCGTTCTTCTTGGGCCGTGACCCTGGTGCTGGTCAGTATCACTATCCCTTTCGTGATCAGTGTGAGCTACGAACATGAGTCCATCCAAGACATGATGGTTAGTTTGTGAAAGTGTGTTTGTGGTTGAGAAAGCACCGGTCGAAGTCAGAGGGTTGTGTTATTGTTCTGTGAAAGGTACAGTGGTTGTCGTCGTGACATTGATCTCCCATACGTCACCAACGCTTCACTCGTGCCTGCCTCAGAAGAAGCAATGCGAGCCGAATACTACATGTGACTTTCAAACATAAAAATGGCCTTTGCAAATGAGTATCATTATTTGTATTCTACAATATTATTATTTCCAGGGAGTATACAATGTCTACCAAACATCTGATGGTGTGCATTATATCTAAAATTCTTCTTCAATGTCGTCAGGCTCCAAGGTGTCCACAAATGCTCGTCTAACAAATGTGTACCATGGCTTGTTGTCTTTGGATGACTTCTTCTTCTTGTCACCCTTCTTCTTCTTATGTTTCTTCTTGGTGATATCCATATCACCTTGGTGCGCATCAGCGTCAAGAGCTTCATCAACTTCAACCTCTTCAACTTCTTCAAGGTCTTCGCCTGACACCTGGACATCGCTCTTCCTTGGCTTGACTCCAGCAATACGTTGTGCTAGGCGAAGATAACTCCTTGTTGTAAGATCCTCCAAGTCATAGACCTTGTCACTACGAGTGTCGTACAGCACTTCATAGGTAAAGTTTTTTGGGTGAGACGAACGATTATGGTCGAAAGGCTTATTGCCATGAGGCTTGCCATCCTTCCGTCTCTGTTGCTCTGCGTCGTCTTCAACGAGATTGTTGTTGATGCGAGTCAGATTAGCGTAGTATTGAACGAAGCCCAGAAGAGTCAGCGATTGAGGTGAGTATGCAGGCCCAGGAGGTGCAGATTTTGAAGGCGGCTTGGGCACTGTGAATCTGTGCTTCTTGGGCTTCTTTTTCTTTTTCTTGCGTTCAGCTTCAAGATCTTCATCCTCGGCGATCAGATCTTCTTCCAAGGATTGTTCGTCCTCTGGTATCTCCGTCGCATGTAGTTCAAACATGTCCTCATAGGTACGGGGTAGCTTTCTGTCGAGTCCAGTGATGTTGTACTCATAGACACGGATGGTAGGGAAGTAGTTGGGTACAACACTTGGCGAGACATGTGAAATGCTAAATCTCTCAGCATAGCGGCCTCCAATTTCGGCGTCATAATCATCCGGATTGTGTGGCTTCTTTCCCTTGTGTTTCTTGCCATTCTTGAGTGCGTCTGCGTCTTCATCTGCTTGAGGCTTCGGTAGCTTGGTCCAACTCTTTCTCAGATCCTTAAGGTAACTGGTGGCAGATTGAATGCCAAATTGTTGCTCAGCAGCTGCGACCATGCCTCTCTTGTTGGAGCTCTTGATGGTCTCATAACCATCGACAACGCTGTCGTCTACCTGGTCGAAATCTTGCACAATGAAGTGGTCGGTATTCATGTGACCGTAGAGTGTAGCGACTATGACATCCCTGTACTGGTGCATCCACAAGGTGTATTTCTGCCAACAGGTCTCATCCCAGTTATTCTTGTTGTCGGTACGAGCAGGAGGAACGTGGCCAGTAATGATAGCCTTCATGTTGCGATCGCGCAAGTATTGTAACTGGATGCGGAGCCAGTCAAGCTGACGGTATCCAGGCTCTGATTTGGCGGCGCATCCGTCGACGGCTGAGTTGGAGTTGAAAAAGTAGCTTCAGTGCTGTGTTAGTACGGTATGGACAATGAGATTTGAGAAGACACGTACAGGGAATTGAGGGAGACAACTGCGAGGTGGTTTGGAATAGCCTCAACGTAGAACCAACCGCCCTGGTCGAAAGAGTGTTTCTGAACTTCGGGAATAAAAGGCCGCCAGATGTCAAGGTATCGGCGGGTCCAGAGGTTTGGACCTTTGTCGAAGATGTTGTGCGGCAGGATGTCATTGTTGCCAAAGGTAGGAATTACAGGCACGACGAGGTCATTGGTCGGATCGTCGTCAGGCTCGTCCTCATTCTTTGCGAAGACCTCGTAGAACTTTTCGACGAGCAGTTGATTTAGGTGAGTGACTTGTTGTACATTTCTCGGTATCTTCTCATCGTTGTCATGGCGGGCGGAATCGCCGGTCCAGATGACAAAGTCGATCGAGTCCTTGAGCTCGTCACGGATCCAGTCGAAGGTGGCATTGATGAGCGATATAGGCGAGTCGCAGTCGGACGTCTCGGCACCGTAGTAACCTGCTGGGCCGTGGCCTCTATGGCATGCGCCGTCTGAGTCGATCGACGAATGAACCTTGTAGAAGGGGTCTGGATGGAAGTCTGCAGCACGACAAGGGATCAATTGGTGACATACTGGTGGAGCGGTGTATATTAACACTTACCCGTGACCTGCAGGAAGCGGCCGTGCAATTGCCGTCTTTTGGCCATTGACGCGCCATTGTCGACCAGAGGCTCTTGTGACGCCCTTGCAGGCTCGAGAGCCGCCAGGACCAAGGCCGACACGATCGAAGTCCGCCAGCAGAACATGGTGTATGCCAATTCTCTTGCTGACCTACACGCAAAAGTCCAGCCGATCAAGTCGTCGTCGACCTTGGGAAGTCGACAAAATGTGTGGCTTGCAACGGTCCGTCGATCTTTGTCGCAATACGTCACTGCCAAAATACTGGAGTAGATTTGGACAGGGTCACTCAAAACAGACGGCCTCGTGTGCTCAGCTGCCTATTCTGTTTCGTGTCAAAGATGTTATTCAAGACCTCAAACGTGGAGAGAACGATGCTTGTATGTTGAAAACCAAGGCAGTCATTTTTGGTACGTGGTCTACTTTTCTAGCCCATCAAGGTACTGTGAACGACCTCTCGCCCAATCAGACGATGCAGCCCGCACACGGGGATGCACAAGTCAATCATGCGTTCAACTGTTCGTCCTCCTGACATGAACATTGACGCATTCTCAAAGGTCTGCTGTCCTGTCCTCGCTCTCTCTGATCCACTTATCCAGCTGCTGCCTATTGCGCACACGAAGTCCCACCTTGAAAGGCTTGGGTTCCATCTGCGATAATGTCAGTTCCTGATGTTCGAGGCATTCAAGAGATACACTCACGGTAAGACTAGTGGGCAGAGCGTTTGCACCCATTGCATTCAAAACGGGCTTGTCTCTAGGGTCCTTCGGTGCAACGAACTCGAATGCTGTTATCAGTCTCAAGAATGCTGTATACAGCTCACGGTTGCCCAAATGGCTACCGACACACATTCGACTACCTGCGCCGTAGCCAAAGTGCTCAATTCCTGTCATCTCCTTGTCCAGGTAACGTTCGGGCTCGAACTTATAGGCATCTTTGAAATGCGACTCGTCGTAGTTGGCTGCGTAAGCATTCATATAGAATGTGGTACCAGCAGGAATCACGGCGCCTTGCCATTCAATATCCTTAATGCTGACTCTTGGCAAGCAGATTGGGATGACTGACCAGAAACGAAGTGTCTCCTTCACGAGGGCGGTGATGTACGGCACCTTCTCTTCGCTGAGGCATTTCTCCCAAGCGTCGCCATTCGGATAAACTCTGTTGATCTCATCCAGAGCTCTTTGCTGGATTTTCTGGCCATTCTCGGACGACAGATATGCCAAACACATGACCAAGTTGCCAGGAACAGTATCCAAACCAGCACTCACCATTGTCAAGCAAATAGACATGATCTCAGCATCGTTCAGCTTCGCTTCCGGGTCCTTGAGGATGTTGCCAGTGATGCATGGTTTGTCGGTACCAGCGTTGATCTTATCCTTCAGCATATTCAGCAACTTGGTCATATATGCTGTTCTACGTTTCTTGTACTCAAGTGGCTTCACGTTGTTTGTGGGCCACAGTCGCATGAGTGGGATGTAATCTTGCCAGTTGTTTGAGGTCGATCTGAAGTTACTGATCTCACGCTCAACATGTGTGATCTCCTTAAGCATCTCGTTGTCGATACTGCCTTCGATTTGGATGCCGTAGTTGAGAGTAAGACTTGTGCTCAAGGCGTATCGCTGGAAGTAAGGATTCGGGTCGACGTCGACAGTGCCGTCCTTTGAATCTGCAAGCATCTCCTTGATTGATCTTGTGGATTCAAAGTCAATGAAAGGCATGTAGCTCTGCACTGCTGGACGGTTGAGAGCCGTTGCTGCTGCCTTTCTTCGCTCTTTACAACTTGGATCCCATGGAGAGGTGCCGATGGTAAATCCACTGGACGATGAAACTACAGTGTGGAAAGTGTGCAAAGTCGGTCGAGAGATCAAGGCTGACTGGTTCGTCACCCAGATATGCTTGACGGAGTCGAATGTATTGGCGAACACAATACGCTGTCACAAAGCTTAGTATGCTTTCATTTTGGTGCTCGTCTCCAATGTGCTTACCCTGTTTCCAAGACGAGTCTGGAACACTGGTCCATATTGCTTCGCCCATTTCTGAGCAACTAGAGCATGACTAGTACCCAACTGGAGCAAGTTGCCAAAAAGAGGAACGCCAGGGATCTCGGGAAGGTTCTTGATCTTTGGAATATCAGATGAATTGAGGTAGCGAATAACGAAGAAGATGACAAGAGCAGCTACACCAAGTACTACTGGCGAGGCCATATTGAAGAATGAGAAAGGATATCAATGCCAAAGAGTCGTTTGGGAACGGAACAGGACCAAGTTTTCGCTACTTCTTACCAAGTCTTATACTCTTACTGGCTCAGCAAAGACCAAGCCCTTCACGCCCCGCTCCTTTCCTGTGAAACGTCAAAAGGCAGTTTGCCTTGTGGTCACTAGCTTCTCTACACAGCCAAACTACTCCATACCCGCGGATTGTTCCCCGCCTTTGTCCAGGTGTGGGATACGGGTGCTTCGGATGTCGAGCCGTGCGGAAAACGGCCGCGCCATCGCGGAACTCGATGAAAAGGTTTGACCGGGATATGCATGAGCACAGGAGGTTTGATTCAATGGCATTGTCTTTCAAGGAAATATCGATGAGAATGCTGAACATGAGCGTATATGCTGCCCGAATTCGAGCCTTACTGTCAATCCTTTTCGTCAAGTGGCACATACGCATGATATGGTATGTATTGGGAAGAGCTTGATATACGGATGGACAACAGATGTACAGCAATATCTTGAAGCAGCGTAGATTGAGCAGAAGGTTTCTGAAATGAAATCTCCTGCCGCTCATTCCTTAGTCGGCTGCTACATCATTGCGCTCGAACAGCTAGATCTTTACAGCAGGAACAATCTTGCCCTTACAATCACCAAAGCCGACTCTCGCACCGTCTTCTCCCATGCAAACTCCACTGATGGTAATTTCGTCACCGTCCTCTAGGAACACGCGCTGCTCACCTCCTTCTAGTCTGACGACTGTTTTGCTGTTTCTATTCTGCTCCAAGAGACTGCCGCGCTCAGATGCCTCCTTTCCTGAGATAGTACCAGACCCGAGCATGTCTCCCACGCGCATAGGGCAGCCAGTAATAGAGTGGTGAGTCAACATCTGGTTGAAGGAGAACAAGAGGTTCTTCCCTGATGTGCGAGAAATGGTAGTGGTTGCGCCCGAAGAAGCTGAGATTGTATGGTTAGTATGCTGACCGAGTCTGAAATTGAAAATCTACTTACTTTTGAGGATAACCTCCAGTTTGATATCGTACACATTTTTCTTGCTTTTCTCCTTTAGATAGTCCAGGACTTCCACGTCACTGTGCAAACCAGTGGTACGATATGGCTCGAGCGCATCAGTCAGAACAACCCAAGGGCTAATGGTGGATGCAAAGTTCTTCGAGGTGAAGGGACCCAAAGGTACATACTCCCAGGCCTGGATATCACGAGCGGACCAATCGTTGAGCAGAACGACACCAAAGATGTAATCTTCGGCCTCGTCGATTGGAATTGGCTCACCCATCTTGTTGTTCTTGCAGACGAAAGCACCAAGTTCGAGCTCCATATCAAGTTTTCTGCAAGCAGATAGGATGGGCTTCTTGACTTCGGCAGTCGGATCCTCTAGTATCTGTCCAAGCGGACGACGGACTGGAGTTCCTGATACGACGATACTCGAGGATCTTCCATGATATCCCACAGGTAAGTATTTGTAGTTAGGCTGCAGAGCGTTTGCTGCTCCGCGGAAGAGTTCGCCTACGGTAAAGGCATGGTTCAATCCAGCGTAGAAGTCAGTGTAGTCTCCTATCTGCATAGGCACGTGGTTCTGCACGTCTTTTAGAGAAATGAGACAAGCTTCCTGGACTGATTTGTTGTTCTTCAGGACATCTGGGAATGGGGTCGAGTCCAAGAAGATTGATTGGAGATACTTCCTGACCGCTGTGTGCATTGGTCTTCCGAGCTCAGCGAATGCATTCAAGGTAGTATCAGAAAAGACATGTTGATGTGGTTGGATCGGAGACAGAGCTGCGAAGCCATTGTGAGATGAGAAGAGATCCAGATCCAGAGCATAGTCTCCGATAGCGATGGCAGGTCTTGGTGTAGGTCTGGTTCGAGTACTGATGATGCCGAATGGAATGTTTGCCAATGAGAAATGGCTATCGGCAGCGATAGAGAGCCAGCTCTTGAGAGACATGACAACAGAAGTGTCAAATCGTTGACGCAGAGACAGTAGCTTGAAGCAAAGTGGTCCGACTCTAATCAGGACGCACCTTCTGATGTGATTGCGAGACTGATGGGTGCTCGTACGCGCACGACACTTGATGCGCAGCTGTGGGGGGTAAGAGTGGATAGTGCGGATGGTTTCCGCGGTAGCTCCAACTTTAGCTTTACTGTAACTGCATGAATCCTCCACTACCCCTCACACCGCGCGCTGATTCCGTGGGTAACTGGATTATCATGTCGTAGCTCTCTCGATGCGCCGCGGGTTACAACAGATCATCACTGCACAGCATTGAGCTGTTATACTTAATTCAGCATCCTGCCACACAGTACTTGAGCCGCCTACAGTAAATCAGTCTTCAACATGCCAACCACGCAATTTAGTGTCAAAGAAAAGTACCGCTATCAGAATGGTTTTGGTAGCTACCATGAGTAAGATGTTCACGCCGACCTACATGAACTGTGATGCTGATCTCTCTAGAACCGAAGCAGTAGAGGGTGCCTTGCCCGTAGGAACAAATTCGCCCCAGAAGCCGCCATATGGACTTTACGCCGAGAAGCTGTCTGGCACGGCATTCACTGCACCAAGACATGAGAATCAACAGTCTTGGTTATACAGGATTCTCCCAGCGTCAGCTCATTCGAACTTTGAACCACGAGAACACGCTACCTTCAACACGAACCCGGAGAACCAACCAGGACAAAAGATCCATCAAATCCCCAATCAGCTCAGATGGGATCCCTTTGATCTTGACGAGACGGTAGACTGGATCCACGGCCTCCATCTGGTCGCTGGAGCTGGCGATCCAACCATGAAGACGGGCGTTGGAATCTACATATTCGCAGCTGGAAAAGACATGGATGCTCATGAAGCTTTCTACAGCGCAGACGGCGACTTTTTGATCGTTCCCCAGCATGGAGTGCTGGACATTAGGACCGAGCTTGGTAGACTGCTCGTGCGACCAAATGAGATCTGCGTCATTCCCAGAGGTATCAGGTATCGCGTCGAACTTCCAGAAGGCCCGGTCCGAGGTTATATTCTTGAACTATACCAAGGACACTTTGCGCTCCCAGAACTTGGGCCCATTGGGTCCAACTGCCTGGCCAATGCCAGAGACTTCCAGGCACCTGTGGCCGACTTCGACGAAGATACGGATTCGCAATGGACACTGATGGCCAAATTTGCAGGTCACTTGTTTGCCGCTAAGCAGAGCCACACACCATTCGACGTTGTAGCCTGGCATGGCCTGTATTATCCCTACAAGTATGACTTGGGTCGTTTCTGTACCATTGGTTCAATCAGCTTCGATCACCCTGATCCGTCCATTTTCACCGTGCTCACGGCACAGAGTGATCATCCTGGTACAGCGGTTGCTGATTTCGTTATATTCCCTCCCCGATGGTTGGTTCAAGAGGTAAATAAGCATGAGAAGACTGTACCCATAATGCACAGGCTAACATGACACAGAATACTTTCAGACCACCTTGGTACCACCGCAATACAATGAGCGAGTTCATGGGGTTGATCCATGGACAGTACGATGCAAAAACAGGAGGAGGCTTCCAGCCAGCAGGAGCATCACTCCACAATGTCATGTCAGCCCATGGACCAGATGCCAGCACTCACGAAAAAGCATCGAACGCCGAGCTGAAGCCAATGAAGGTTGGAGAAGGATCAATGGCGTTCATGTTTGAGAGTTGCTTCATGGTGGGTGTAACGGATTGGGGACTCAAGAAGTGCGCCAAAGTGCAGGAAGACTATAATGAGGAGAGTTGGACGCCGCTTAAAGCACACTTCAAGCGACCACAGAAGGCAGTAGGAGAGATCAAGAACGGCGATCACAGTGACCAAGGAGCGATTGGAAGCACAAAGCAGGTTCCCCACTGGACGTGATGGAGCGGAACATATCAGATAGTATGTCGTAATGCAAAAGTCGCAAGGAGTTTCTTAGTCTTCCCTAAGACTGAATGTTGTCGGGAGGTGGTAAGGAATGAAAGATGGTGGGCACGCGAGGAAACAGCCAAACAGCAAACAGGTGCAGGATGGCAGTGACGGCGCCAAGCGGTCCGAGCTTCGAGGCAGCACCCGCACGGCTGTGTGTGTGGAGAGGCAGTCGTGCTTGGTGATGCTTCTCCAGCATTTGATGATAAAAGAAAGCAATCGTCCCTCGCGCAATTTCGCCCTCGCCATCTTTCAACACCCGATAACCTCCTGGAAACCCCTGACACCTCGTCGCCATCACTCCCTACAGCACCCCATATCAAATTCACTGCTGTCACTGCCTCAGACCAGGACAGACCGGCGATTGGCCCAGATCATCAAACGAGAAGCAACCAAGACGACGCGCCATGCTTGTGGCCTAAGCCGCTCCTACACCAATGCGCATCATTACTCCCGAGAACCTACACTACCCCATCACCGTCACAAGGCTACTCCGCAAGCCCCAAGACCAGGTCGACTACAATGCGCCCCTCTTCGCCTACCAGTACAAGACCAAAGTCCTCGAGGGTGATGAGGAGACGCGCGAGAACAAGCTGGTCGAGCGCATGTGTCCCTCAACCTTCGAGAGCACTGCAGAAGGCACCTTGACCGCATGGCACATCTCCGAAGGACGCGTCATAAGCAGGCCTGGGTGAGCGAGCTGATACCCAAACACATGTCTGATCTAACCTGCCTCGCAGTGTGCCTCTTGCCGACGTCGAAGAAGCCTGCAAACACGAAGTGCAATTCGGCAACCTCTGCGCCGACTGTGGCAAGGACATGACAACCGTCACTTACAACACAATCACACGCGACACGGCCAGAGCGACTGTCAATGCTGTTCATGGCCACACATCTCTACTCGTCTCGCGTGCAGAGGCCTCCAAGTCGGACGAAGAAGCAAAGCGTCGCCTCCTCTCGTCGCGCAAACTCTCGCTTGTCGTCGATCTCGACCAAACCATTATCCAGGCCACTGTCGACCCCACCGTCGCCGAATGGCAGAAAGATCCCCAGAACCCAAACTACCCCGCTGTCAAGGATGTCCGCGCTTTCCAGCTCGTAGACGATGGTCCTGGCGCAAGAGGTTGCTGGTACTACATCAAATTGCGCCCTGGTCTTGAAGAGTTCCTGTCCACCATCTCCAAGTATTACGAGCTGCATATCTACACCATGGGTACTCGTACTTACGCCCAAAACATTGCCAAAATCGTGGATCCTGATCGCAAAATCTTCGCCGATCGCATCCTCAGCAGAGACGAAAGTGGAAGTCTGACTGTCAAGAATCTCAAGCGTCTCTTTCCCGTTGACACAAAGATGGTCGTCATCATTGACGATAGAGGCGATGTTTGGCACTGGTGCCACAATCTCGTAAAGGTCACTCCCTATGACTTCTTTGTGGGCATCGGCGACATTAACTCCAGTTTCCTTCCTAAACGACCTGGTCTGGAGCCGAGACCTTCACCATCTACCAGCCCTGATCTCGCACCCTCTTCGCCTGATGCACAGCCAGCCGTCGATTCACCGATTGATTCGACAGGAAGCAAAGTCTCTGCTATTGACCAACTGGTATCCATGAGTGGCGGCAACGATCCCACCAAGCTCAAGGAACAGACATCCGAGCAGGGCGAAGCCATCACCGCTCAACTCACAGACCGTCCTTTGTTGCAGAAGCAAAAGATTTTGGACGCCGCAGATGAAAACAGCAACAACACAAATGAAGCATCCTCGGAGAATGATGCAGCATCTATACCCGAAGCGCCCGTCGAGACACACAAGTATCGCCACAACTTGCTGCAAGACAACGATACCGAGCTCCGCTACCTCCAGCGTAGCCTCCAGTCGATTCATTCGGCCTTCTTCCAGGAGTATGACCGCAGGACTTCTGGCCCTAAAGATGGTCGTGTTGCCGAATTGCGTTCTGGTCCTGATGTCAACCTCACAACAGACAAACTTGACAGTCTTCCCGACGTAACAAGCATAATGGCAGCCATGAAAACGAAGGTTCTCAAAGGTGTACACATAGTCTTTTCCGGAGTCATGCCGTTAGGAGTACAACCTCAAAAGTAAGTGAGACCGACAACGACATGACATTTCATGGCTGACTTTCACTCCAGTCACGATTTTGCCATTTGGGCAAAGAGCTTCGGAGCAACTGTGACTGAAAACATCACCAAACGTACATCTCATGTGGTTGCTTCGCCATTGCGGAAGACAGCTAAAGTCCGACAAGCCGCCAAGAGGACCGACAAGATCAAGATTGTGTCTCAGGATTGGCTTTTTGCTTGTTTAGTCCAATGGCGCAAGGTGGACGAGGCTCCTTTCCGCCTGCACGCTGATCTAGAAAATGAGCCAAATGAGCCAGCAGCCAACGGCCAGGGTTCGCCTTTCGATGCACCTGATCAGAAAGGTCAATTATTATCATCTTCCGATGAGGAGGCTGCTGTTACCGAGGAAGAGGATGCCGCCGAGACTGATGGCACAGGGAATGATACAGATGCGCAAGAGCAGGCTGAACTTGAACGTCACATGCCCACTTTGCCACGTGAAGCAAGCTCCATGGAAACCTCTGCTGATTTAGCCGACTGGGATGCTGAACTTGAAGAGTTCTTGGAAGACGACGACAGTGAAAGCGAGGCTGGTACCAATCAGTCGGATACAGATGACACAGATTCACCGTCCTCCAGTGCTAGGAAGAGGAAGAGAGACGAGGACGGCCAGTCTACAGACAACGATGACGAAAGTGATTCAAGCCAGTTGGGCTCTAGCAGACTCGAGCGAAGGAAGAGGAAAGCACTCGCCAGAACTACGAGTCTTGTCAGCGTTTCTGCGGTTGATGATGCCCAGAGGGTCAAGGCCGAAGCTCAGACCAGTGCGCCTCAGCAAGATACCCCCGCAGACATTGTTGAGGAAGACGATGATCTTGAGGCTCAGATGGAAGCAGAAATGCTGAGACAAGCCGAGGAGGAAGGATACGCATGATTGGGGATCTCTCTTCTGGAATTGCTTAAAACAAATGAAGCATAGCAAGGCGTTTTTGGCGAACATCCTGGACATGCATAAGGAAGCAAGGAGTTGGCGCATGTAAGACTGTCTTCTCAGTAGAACGTCAGTACACGCGCACGAACACTGTCATATGTCTACGTTGATGACATGATCAGTATACGAAATTCACAATATGTCAACGATCGTCCAATGTAGAACTCTCCTAAGAGTGATTGACTTCGATGGTGCGGTGTCGGTGATAATTGCATTTCTGGTGCAAGGACTCCAGACCAGGGTCATACCATCAACCATTGGTTTCGGAAGAAAAATGACTTTTACTCAGCCACCTGCATTCGTGCGGTCACCGATCTCTGTCTGAGCCATCTACTGATATGTCAGTCGCTATTGATGTGTGTATAAGTGAGGATGGATACGTTGTGATTGAGCTATGTCTTTTTGAAGATCATGGAATTACAAAGCTTGAGAACGCTACGCACGACCAATGTCCTCGTCAGTAGCTTCCGCTTTTGTCTTACAACATTCACTTTGAGTCACACGAAGGAACTGTCCTACATAGATCTATAGTTTTGTGGAGACAGACGATCTTCATTTGGATACCATGATATCAGGTAATTCGGTGATTTGAGTCGTCTCACGCGAATCCAAATCTACGACATGTACAGCAGCAAGACCCACCAAGCCAGATGAGAGCGTCAAAAACTCCAACTGTACGTTGTGGCAAGCCCCAGGGGGCAAAGGACTAGGGGTCATTAGCAGAGACATAGAAAACATGGAAGATCAGACTCACCCGACTCGCACATCTGCATTCAAACACACAACTTCAGCTATCTGAGCCTCGCGCTGGTCTTGCATGTGATATATCGTGCGATCATCCATGACCGCTTCTGCAGTGTGATGACTGTCTTGTCGCGGAATGTTGGGAAATCGCAAGGCGTGTTGTGATTGTGCCGATTTGACAGACTTGGGGATGGCCACAATTGCGAGCCTCTTTTTCCTCGTGCTGCGGTTTACGACGAACACATCGAGAAGGAACGTCTCGCCTTCTTTCACCTTATCCGGAGCAGTAAATGCAAATGTCACGCCTGCAGAATCGACTTGAGTCATGCCGCTCATGGGTCGAGTTGTCATTGTGCTCACTCGCTTGCTCAATGGCCGCGAGTTGAGGTCTTGAGTTGTCGATGTTACGCTTTGAGGTCGTAGTGGCAGGGACTTGGTTGGTTGAAGTGGAGGAAAGTTTACATTTCCGTGCCAGTGAGCCTGTATCTGTGCGCTACATGTGCCACTGACTTGAGCAACAGCGCGGATCTGGAAAGTGACACTACGCGGTTTATGACTTGAGACTCCAGCTGTTTCTTCAGGTCGTGCCAATTTGTACAGAAAAGTGCTCTTGTCTCCTGCTTGTAGGGTCGTTGGTAAGCTCAAAGCTGCCAAGTCAGCTGAGAAGGGCTCCACAGTGAGACTGCTTCCTTCTGCCTTGATCTCGTCTATCTGTATGCCACCATATCCGGTATGGCGTGCTGATTCCAAATCTAAGCACAATAGCATATCTGAGACTTGCTCAGGGGTAATGTGAACTTTGACGGCCAAAGCTGGAGAGACATTGAAGAGTCTCGACGATGTCCTTAGGGGACGGGCCTCTTGAGTTGTGGGGGCAGCCCGAGGTGCCACCTTATGAATCCGGTCTGAGGGGAGATAGGGTTGACTGGAAGCAGTCTGTGAGCTGTGTTGCAAAGATTGAAGCAAATTCTCGGAGGTTGGAGGTGCACAACTTGTCATGTATTCATCTTGGATCGCCGCTTTGAATATTTCAGTAGGTTTCGAAATAGCGGATGCTGTAAGATGGATGGATGGTCGATGAAGCCTTTGAGGTGGAAATCGGAGATAAAGCGTTGTCTTCCAGACAGCATACGACTGATCTCCTTGGTCATGAATATGAATGAAACTTGGCTTGTGTTCAGGTGTAATAGTGACCGAGTCCAAAGCCAATTTTACAGGCTGTTGTGGTGGAGGAGGAGCCTGAGCATTGCCCGATTGTAGGCGCGGAGGTGGTGAGGGCTGGGTAGCATATGCGGTTATGTACAGTTCGACATTGTTTATTACTTGTTGAAATGAAGGCAATGAGCTGCGAAGGATAACATATACAGGCAGCAACTCCTCTAATGGATATTAACAACAAGACTAAAAATGAGACGAGGACTCGATTACATACCGAAGAACAAGGCATCTCTGGAAACGATTTGGTTGTCGGACTTCAGGTGAGACTCGACATCAAAGTCTGATGAGTTTGGGATTATAAGATCAAGAGTGGAAGCATCAGGAAAGGACAGCATGGGCTGTGATTCAGTAGATGTTGTCATTGAGACCTCTCCATGTGAAATCCCGCGAGTCCTCTCACACTAAAGTGGCTCGCGAAGTGAGAATCCAAACAATTACAAGAAGCTGAAAATAGTCGAGTAAATATTGACTGAGGGACCATCACATGCAGGGTGAGGTGATACAAGGAGTCGGAGATCGCAAGCGGAAAGTGCCGACCCAGCTCTAGACTTTCCTTCGCGCGCTTTGAGAGAAAGAAAGAACAAAGACAATTCGATCCAACCAATTGCTATCGCGCAGAATGAGCGGCCTTCAGAGCCATCCGGCATGGCAGATCCTGCTGGATAACAAGACGAACAAGCCGTATTACTACAACCGCTCCGCCAACATTAACACCTACACAGTGCCCGATGATCTTCTGACTCCAGCACAGGTGAGTAACGCTGGCTTTGTCTTCGCCGTACCTGAATCTGACAGATTCATGAATAGAAAGCTACTGGATGGGCCCAAACCACCGCCGACGGAGGCCGAGTTTACTATTTCCGCAAGGACGACAAGACAAAGACATCATGGACTCCTCCACCTGGCTGGGAAACTCCCGCCGCTCCTGCCCCCGAAGCTCCGCAATTCGTCTCATCTAGCTTCCAGGCTCACCCTCCTGCCCGCGAACAACGAGGCCCCAGAGAAAGCAGACCTTTCCACGACCGTCGCGAGGAGAGCAACTACCGAGGCCCCATCGCCGTTGCTGCTACAGGTCCCGAATATGGTTCCCGCGAAGAAGCTGAGGCAGCTTTCACCAAGCTGCTGAGAAAGTCTGGTGTGCAACCTGGCTGGTCATGGGAGCGCGCCATGCGTGCCACTATCCAAGATCCTCAATACCGTGCCATCAAGGAACCTAGCGAAAGAAAAGCCGCTTTCGAAAAATACCTAGACGATGTTGTGCGCGAGGATCAAGAGCGCGAGAAGGAGCGCATCAAGAAGTTGCGCTCAGACTTCCGTTCCATGCTGCAGACACACCCCGAGATCAAGCACTACACGCGCTGGAAGACCGCTCGCCCTATGCTCGAGAACGAAGCCATTTTCCGCGCTACTGACAACGAAGACGAGAAGCGCCGCATGTTTGACGAGTACATCGTGGATCTCAGAAAAGCCGCCGAAGATAAGCGCCAGCGCGACTACGATGCTGCAATGACTGGCGTCGCCGACATTCTCCAAGATCTCGATCTTAACGCAAAGTCGCAGTGGATGGATACGCGCGAACGCCTGCACTCGCATGCAAACTTCCAGGAAGACCCCAAGTACAAGATTCTGTCCCCCTCCGAGCCCTTGCAGATATTCGACCGCTACATGCGTAGGCTATGGAATGACGCACACAACGAGAAGCAACGCGCAGCTCAGCTCAAGGCTCGTGAACAGCGCAAGGCCAGAGAGGGCTTCGCAGCTCTGCTAGTCGAGCTTAGAGAAAAAGAGACGATCAAGCCTGGTACTATGTGGAAGGAAGTTCACCCATTGATCGAGAATGAGCCTCGTTACATCAAGTTGATGGACAATCTAGGTCACAAGGACCGCATCACTGACGGTTCTACTCCTCAGGACATCTTCTTTGACTTGCTGGATGACTTTGACAAGGAGGTTCATGACATTCGCCCTGCTGTTGAAGCCACTCTCAAGGAAGAGCACTTCCGTTTCACTCCCGCGACTACTCTTGAAGAATTCCAGCACGCAATTAGACACGACCGACGCATCTCTTCCATGAAACCACACCTCTTGGAAGAGGTCTACAAAAGACTGCACAGAAACGCTCTCGACAGGGAAGAAGACATTGAACGTGATGCCAAACGCCAACAACGTAAGGCCGTCGATGCATTGCGTTCTCGCATCAAGCATCTGGAACCCCCAGTCCTGATCGGAGATACATGGGAGCAGGTGCGTCCGCGTGTAGAGCGTACCGAAGAGTACAAGGCCGTGACCAGTGACGAGGATCGCCAACTCGCCTATGACAAGTTCATGAACAGGCTCAAGGAAGACGCTGCCGAAAGAGAGCGTCTGCGCCGCCATGACAGAGAACGCGAGAGAGACCGTGATAGACGCCGAGACCGTGACCGCCGTCGTAGCCGCTCACCTCCATCACGCGAGGTTGACGCCTACGAAGCTGACCGCCGCCGAGCTGCATCCGAACGTGAGCGTCAGTACCGTCATTCGAGCATCGGCGGGCTCTCACCGCCACCTCGCGATCGTCCCAGAGTCCGTGATGACCGCTATGAGAGAGATGTGGGCGATCCGAGAAGAGAGAGACAAGTCAGCCTTTCCATCTACGATCGCGAAAGAAGAGAACGCGAGGCCGAACGCGAGAGGTCGTACATTAGTCGTGCCGACCCACGCACCAAGGCCAGCGAACTCGATTACGGCGATGGTGGAGACAGCCCCAAGCCAGAAAGCACATCGGGTGGAACCAACGGCAACAAGAGATCCGCAGCTAGCAATGGCGACGGCGATGCAAAGAGACAGGCCAAGCGCCCTCGTGTCGGTGAGCACTCTTCCCGTAATGGTGGTTCTGTTACTCCCGCTCTCTCGGCCGCAGGAAACGACGAACCCGCACTGCAGTCTGGCAGTGAGGAAGGCGAGATCGAAGAGGTCTAGACAGCCATCTTGGTGGACATCATCATACGGCGCGGATTGGAAATATAGGCATTGCATGCGGTACGTATTCTTTCGCAAAGGATGACATACTAGCTTCAAGGCAGATTTTCACCAAACCCTCTTTGTTACTTTCATTCTTTCTTCCATCCATGCCAAAGGTGCGTTTTCGTGCAAAACTGCTGCTCTCCTAACGACAGTCTTGTGTATTAAGAAAAATGAAACAAAAGTCAAAGTGAAAAGATCAAACTTTTATGATTCCTTATTCTACTTCTGCTTCTCGTGCCGTAGCTTTTGTTCGTCAAAATGTCATGTGATGTGAATGGCGCTCCATGGTTCCCTTGTGCCGCTCCTTGTTTGTGGCTCGAGTCGTGTACTCACGACCTGAGAGTTGTTTGCCCAAAAAATTCTCCAGCGGCAACCAAGTATGGGGGCGATCAACCAGAGGGCCATAACTTGCCCAAAGGCTGCCCTCATCCTGATCCTGATCACCCACTCCTGCATATTCTATGTCCTCATCCGCACCGGACCGCAAGCACTGCATGCGGCGGCGATAGGAGCGGTTGCGTCGGAGCAGAGCGGCGCGTGAGGAACCTTTCGCCGGGCGCCAAGGGGGCCATTGTTTTGAGTCTAGGAAAACGCCTTTCAAGACTCTTCCTCCATGAAGAACTGTAATTATTGTTAGATTTTTGAAGATCGTTGACATGGAAATGATAACAAGACTTACGTAGTTTCCACCATTCTTCTGTTCCTGGTCAAGCTGGGAGTCGAGCTTGTTGATACGAGGGCGGTATGAGTTGGGGTCACGTCTGAAGGTAACGTCCAAGTTCTTCAAGAACTTGTTGCAACCAGTCAAGAGAGACTCGGGCTTGTTGGCGCGAGCATTGACGGAGGGAGTACCATCGAAGACAATGACACGATCGGCAAGGTAAGTGGCCATGATGAAATCGTGCTCGACAATGAAGGCAGTCTTCTTGGAGTGCATGATGAAACGCTTGATGACACGGGCAGCAATGATACGCTGCTCGGAATCGAGGTAGGCACTAGGCTCATCGATCAGGTAGATGTCGGCGGGAATACCGAGAGCCAAGACGATAGCGACACGCTGCAATTCACCACCGGACAAGTTCTGAACTTCCTGGTCGATGAAGTCGTCCATCTTCAGAGGCTTGTAAACATCGGTCTGGAACTGAGGGTTGAGGAAAGCGGCCTTGATCTTCTTGAAGAAGAGTTGACGAACAGTACCCTTGAACTTGGGGGTGATCTTCTGGGGCTTCATGGAGATGTTCATGGGAGGAACACTCTTGGTGCCATCGGGCTTCTCGGCACCAGCGAGCATTCTACAGAAGGTGGTCTTTCCGGTACCGTTCTCACCCATCATGACGATGATCTCCGAGTCAGTGAACTCACCAGGCTCAATGCTCAGCTTGAAACCAGAAGCGGGCTGTGTCTTGGTCATGGCAGGGTATCCGTATTGGCGAGATTGGTCGACGAGGAACTCCTCTCCAGCTTCACCAATGCGGAACTGCAAAGATTCCTCTCTGAAACGCAAGTTCTCACTAGGAATGTGACCGTCAAGGAAGATGTTGATACCCTCACGGACCGAGGAAGGCAGAGTGACGACACCGTAGACGGCGGGCTTACCGTAGAGCAAGCAAATGAAATCGGAAAGGTAGTCGAGAATGGACAAATCGTGCTCGACGACAATGACGTACGAGGTAGGGTTGAGCAGACTGCGGATCAGACGACCAGCGGCAAGACGCTGCTTGACATCCAAGAAGGATGAAGGCTCGTCGAACATGTAGACATCGGCCTTTTGAACACAGACAATGGCAATGGCGAAACGTTGCAGCTCACCACCGGAAAGGAGATCGATGTCACGGTCGAGAATGGCGTCAAGCTCTGTTCACACGGTTAACTGGAGCACTGATTTGTCCAGATACTATACATCACATACCAAGTGTCTTGATGATTTCCTCGACTCTGGCCTCGTCAACCTCGGCGCGCTGCTTGACGAGGAAGCCAACAGTTCTGTTGTCGCCCTTGACGGCTCTGGGGATTTGGTCGACGTATTGAGGCTTAACGACAGCCTTGAGGTTGTCCTCGAGAACCTTTGTGAAGTAGTTTTGCAGCTCGGAACCACGGAAGTACTTGAGAATCTCCTCCCAGTCAGGAGGGTTGTCGTAGCGGCCGAGGTTGGGCTTCAGCTTGCCGCTCAGAATCTTCAGGGCAGTACTCTTTCCGGTACCGTTACCACCAACGAGACCCAAGACCTGACCAGGTCTGGGCATGGGCAGTCTGTGGAGCTTGAAGCTGTTGGCCGAGTAACGGTGGGTGACTTGCGACTCGAGGTTGGTGGGCAAGTTGATGATGTTGATGGCATCGAAAGGACATTTCTTGGGGCAGATACCGCAACCAATACAGAGACGCTCAGAGATGAAAGCGATTTTGGACTCGTTGGTGACCTCAATACAGAGCTTGCCGGTACGGACGACAGGGCAGGATTTCTTGCATTCTTGACGACATTTCTTTGCGGGCGGTTAGAGGATGTTGCTGTGGCTTGTCGCGTGAGATGAGTAGGGCATACCTTGGGCTTGCACTGTAGCGGGTGTCAGTAAGCGGATTTCAGAGCGGAAAGAGCAGCAGACTCACCTTGTCGCTGTTGACAATGGCAATACTGTGGACAGCAGGTTAGAAAGCGAATTCACCAGAAATTTTCTCTTGGACGGCAGTCAGCGCAGAGACATACCGAGTCAACTTGTCCGACATGTTGGGCGGTTGGGGTAGTGTCGCAAGAGCTGACAACGGACTGCAAGACAGTGATTGCCAAACGAGGTCGTCGAAGGCAGAGTGAAGACACAAAGGCGGCGCGAAGTGGCAGGAGCGAAGCCTGACGGAACAAAGTGCAGGCCAGGCTGACCAGCGGCCCTCTCATTGGTCAGTGCGAGGGCGGGCAGTCGCTGAAGCCCGCTCTCTCTCGTCGGAGCGTCGTTCAATCTCAAGGAAGAAGTCGCAACTCCATCCATCTGCCACTCCACCACCCACGAGACCGACATTCCATACCCGCCGTCTGGACATGGTCTCACATGGCCGGTAAGCTCACCATTTCGTTTCTGTCGCCTTTCCTGCACTGTGCCTGAACCACCTTGGTCTTGGCACTATCTTCATCGCTGGAGCCGATCGCCTATACCTCTCGATATTGCCCGTCTACTGTCGTCTGTATCGCCAAAATCACCTTCGGTCTACCTTCTCTGCATTCTACCGTCGTCCTTCCACGTCCATAACGCCTCTACTATCCATCCTCCGGCTCGTATCGCGTCAATCACCTATCCAAGACTCGCGTCCACCCTCGATCTATTCCATCAAGATATCATCTCGACCTATCTTTAGACCCTTTTACAAGACTTCTTGTGCCATTTTTGGGGGGAAACCGGTCGCCTAGCCCAGGCGCTCACCCTCACCAACTCTCAACACTGTCCCACTTATCTGTCTCGAGCAATCTTGCTGACTGCTCACTATAACCAGCCGGCCAGACATCTCTGCTACCTTCCCACCTACCTCTTTCAAACATGTCTCTTGAGAATGGCCATTTGTCGTCCGCTGATGAGCCGCCTTACGCGACTCTGGACACCAAACCTTCTCGTAGCGAAAGCGAACTTTCAGATGTCAATGATATCCCCGACCAAGCTGTCCCCGAGTCCGCCGACCACGTCATGCAAGATGTCGCTAGTCCTCTGTCAGACGAAGATGAAGACGCAGACGGTTCCGATGATGGTGATTACGACGCCCCCTCTCCTCCATCCAGAGCCAGCGTCGACTCCCGCCGGAGCAGCGTATCCTCGGATGCCTCGTCGGTGCCCCGCAAGCGCAAGGCCGAGCCAGATGTAGACGATGATCAATATATGCAAGAAAACCCAGAACTATATGGCCTTCGCCGAAGCGTGAGTCAAGCTGTTGTCCTGCTCATCTTGCCCTTGCTGACATGCCATAGGGTCGTGCTCGTCCAACTCGCCGAATTGTGTGTCTCACTATGCGTTCTGATGGCGCGTTGATAACTGACTTCCACTCTTAGATCGAAAGTAGCGACGAAGAGCAAGACGATAATGACTCTGGCTCGGACGTCAACCCCGGCCGTGCCCGCAAACGCTTACGGCCGGCCACCTCCCGAAATGGTACCTAGGTCCTTGACCCCTATATCCTTTCATGACTGACGAAAATGTGCTTGTAGCTTCAGTCCGTCAATCTGAGTCGGGATCTGAGTCGGACAGCGATACTTACGGCGGTGCACGTGGTCGCGAATTTGCAAAGAAGCACCGTCGCAGGTTGCAAGGAGCTTCATCTCGCTCTGCATCGGGGCTTGCAGGCGACCTTCGTTTCTCTACAAGACAAGCTGGCAAAGTCACGACATACAATGAAGAGGATGGTGACGACTTCAGCGAAGAAGACACCGAAAACATGACGCCCAACTACTGGGTTGCCGCTGAGGACAACTCTCCTGGTATAGACATTGTTCTCAACCACAGAGTTGGCGAGGGTAAAGGTTTGTTTTTCTATATTCAAGTCATCTTAAAGCGTATGCTTATCATCCCGCCTTGCAGACACCGAATATCCCGAAAAGCAAGACTACGAGTTCTTCGTCAGTATTCTGCATTGATCTTTACTTGCTTCTGCTAACATTATTCTAGATCAAATGGCAAGGCAAAGCACATTACCATGCTACATGGGAGCCTTGGACTGAGCTTACTTCTGTCCGTGGCTTTCGTCGTCTAGAAAACTACTACCGCAAAGTAGTCGAGGCCGAACAATTTTTGATTCAAGATCCTGATGTCGCCCCGGAAGAGCGCGAAAAGTACACGCTCGACCGCGAGACGTATCTCGAGGCTCTGGAAGACTATATGAAGGTCGAAAGAGTAATCGGAGAGCAAGTCGGAAACGACGGCAGAGAGTACTTTGTCAAGTGGAAATCTCTTCCTTACGATTCCTGCACCTGGGAATCCGAAGACCTTGTCAGTGAGCTGGCACAAAACGAGATTGACCGCTATCTCGATCGCTCATCTCGACTACCCACTTCTGATAAGCGCGAGTCAAACCTAGCAACCCGCTCGCCATACAAGCCTTTCCGTACGCAACCTGACTACATCAAGTTTGGTCAGCTCAGGGATTTCCAACTGGCAGGTATCAATTTCCTTGCACACAACTGGTGCAAAGGCAACAATGTCATTCTTGCAGACGAAATGGGTCTGGGAAAGACCGTTCAGTCAGTCTCCTTCATGAGCTGGCTCATCCATGACCGTCGTCAAGAAGGACCTTTCTTGGTTGTCGTGCCGCTGTCGACTATGCCTGCTTGGGCCGACACATTTAACAATTGGACGCCGGACCTCAACTACATTGTTTACAATGGCAATGAGGCTTCTCGTAAAATTCTACGTGAACACGAACTCCTTGTTGACGGCAACCCAAGAAAGACCAAATTCAACGTCATGCTCACGACTTACGAATACATCCTCCTCGACTCCGCCTTTTTATCTCAGATGAAGTGGCAATTCATGGCTGTGGATGAGGCACATCGATTGAAGAACCGAGACTCACAGCTATATGTCAAGCTCATGGACTTTGGCGCCCCGAGTCGTCTGCTCATCACTGGTACGCCTCTGCAGAATGAACTAAAAGAGTTGTCTGCCCTCATGGATTTCCTCATGCCTGGCTTGATCAATATCAATGATGATATCCCGATCGACGATTCCGAAGCTACCAGGCAAGCTCTTGATGAACTGATGAAAGCAATCTCGCCGTATATGATCCGTCGCGTGAAAGAGAATGTCACTAGCGACTTGCCGGGCAAGACTGAAAAGATCATCCGAGTCGAATTGTCAGATGTTCAGTTGGAATACTACAAGAACATCCTGACACGTAACTACGCGGCTCTGAATTCTGGCACCAAGGGACAGAAGCAGTCATTACTGAACATCATGATGGAACTCAAGAAGGCCAGTAACCACCCTTTCATGTTCCCTAACGCCGAAGATCGTATTCTCGAAGGCAAGACTGGCAGGGAAGACCAGCTCAAGGCTCTCGTGACGAGCAGTGGAAAGATGATGCTTCTCGATCGTCTTTTGACCAGATTGAAGGCGGATGGTCATCGTGTCCTCATCTTCAGTCAAATGGTCAAGATGCTTGACATCATTGGTGACTATCTGCATCTTCGTGGACACCAATATCAGCGTCTTGATGGTACGATCGCTGCCGGTCCAAGACGCCAGGCGATCGATCACTTCAATGCTCCTGACAGCAAAGACTTCTGTTTCATTCTTTCCACACGTGCCGGTGGTCTTGGTATCAACCTTATGACGGCCGACACCGTCATTCTGTTCGATTCAGACTGGAATCCTCAAGCAGATCTTCAAGCCATGGCACGTGCCCATCGTATCGGCCAGAAGAATCCTGTCACAATCTACCGCTTCGTGTCGAAAGACACTGTTGAGGAAGAAGTTCTGGAGCGCGCTCGTAACAAGCTTATCTTGGAGCACATCACCATTCACCAAGCCATGACAGAGAAGGAAGCCAAGGCACTCAGAAACAAGCTTGACTCTGCTGGTGTGTCCACCGCTGAGCCTGTAGCACATGATGATCTGTCCCGTATTCTCAAACGTCGTGGACAAAAGATGTTCGAGCAATCTGGCAACCAAAAGAAGCTTGAAGAACTTGATATCGACGCTGTCCTCGAGAATGCCGAAATCCATCAGACTGAACAAGCAGGTGCCGGCATCACGGCGAGTGGTGGCGCAGACTTCTTGAAGAGTTTCGAATACACCGATGTCAAGCTTGATCTCGAATGGGACGACATCATCCCCAAGGAGCAACTCGAGGCCCTCAAGGCTGAAGAGAAAGCGAAGAACGAAGCGCAATACTTGGAGTCCGTCATCGAAGAGAACCAACCAAGAAACGCCAAGCGCAAGTCTAGGGAAGATGATGCCCGAGAACAGCGTGCCGCCAAAAAGCGAGCTCGAGACCTCGCAGCTCAAGCAGCGGCTGACATCGAGTCTGACAATGAGTCCAACGCTGGCGCAGATCCCGCGCGCCCCATGAGTGAGAAGGACATCCGTAATTTGATACGCGCCTACGAAAAGTATGGTTCGATTGAAGAACGCCAGGATGAAATTATCAGAGAAGCTAGACTTATTGGTCGTAATGTTGACCTTCTCAAGGCCACTCTTGATGAGGTTGTGGGCATCAGCAAGAAACTCCTTCAGGAAGAGCAAGACCGTGTCTTGGCCCTTGAGCGCGAGACCAACAAGCCCATTACCAAGAAAGACAAGAAGGCTGTTCTGTTCGACTTCAAGGGTGTCAAGCGTTTGAACGCCGAGACTTTGACTGAGCGTCCCCTGGAGATGCGCATGCTTCGGGACGTCGAGAAGTCCCTTGGTGATAATTGGCGCAATTTCCGTATTCCAGAGGCTTCTAAGCCTGCTCACTACACTTGTCCCTGGGGAGCTCGCGAGGATGGCATGCTGTGCATCGGCATCGCAAAACACGGTTATGGTGCTTGGGTGGCCATTCGCGATGACCCTGATCTCGGAATGGGCGACAAGTTCTATCTTGAAGAACACCGAGTGGGCATCAAAGAAGAGCGCACCAAGGCCGACGAGAAGAACGCAAAGTCGCCTGGAGCCGTGCATCTCGTGAGACGTGCAAACTACCTCCTCAGTGTTCTCAAGGACAAGACGAGCAACGGTACCAACCTTGCAGCCAAGAGAGCGCTTGAGAACCACCACCGCAACAACAAGAAGGCCCTTGCCTCTAGCAGTCGCCGGCCTACAAGTGTGTCCGCAAGTCCAGCTCCTGGCGCGGCTCGTAAGCTGAACCGCGAGGAATCTTACCGCTCGCGTCTCCACAATGACCACCGTGGCTCGTCTGATCGCCGCCAATCATCTAACAACGTTGGCCACAGAGCATCGCCTGGTGGAGTTGAGCGCACTGATAGAAACAGACACCACCGTGACTCCGAACCCAGAAAGCTCCCGCGTCATGCTGGCTCTCCTCTGGCCCCCTCTAATGGAGAACGCTCAGCATCTGATGATCACATGAGGCGTATTGTCGAGCCCATTCGTGACTGTCTGGGTCGTATCAGAAAGGCCACGAAGAGTCATATTCCGGATGACAAGGAGCGTGCAAACAGTCTGAAAGAATCTTTGCAGACAGCTGGCAAGTTCTTCAAACAAAAAGCAGCCGAGAAGGGGAAGACAGTCGAAGATAAACTCTGGTAGGTTTTCAATACCTTCTCCAAATGACTTGTGCTGACAACATATAGGGATTATCTTGCCGAAACATGGTGGCCGCAGGCTAAGAACGTTGACAAACGCACGTCGGGCCAGAAGCTCCGAACGCTGTATGAGAAGATTGCAGCCGCAAACAAGGCGGCCTAAGCACAAGACTGTGAGCGAGCAATATATGGTCGCGAAACAGAAGGATGAAACGTATTGTGTGGACGAAGAAGTGTCAAGCAGCATGATTCTCAAACCCGCGACGACACACGCATAAAGTGATACTATGAGTATCTCTGGGAAGCATTGGATTATTGAAGCTGTTCTTTTTGCGACAGGCGTTAAAAAAGGGGTCGAGAGGACAAAATCTCAGCATGGGTCGGCCAGCAGGAGTTATGTTGCTACATTCGCTATTGCCTTTCTTGTGCATTACCGCTCGCTGAAAGCGTGCCATACGGAGTTCTGAGAAACAAAGAAGCCATAAGTCTGTATTGGCTTGGAGAGATATTACAATAATGAAGAGATTAATCGTCTCAATATACGTGCCTTGTCACTTGGAGCTGCGAAGCAGAGGTAAAACCAAACAGGATGAAACGTCTTCGAGACGCTGCGGCCATTGGCTGATGGGCAGTTCGAGCATTCAGAGCTTCGCGGGAATTTCTCCTCTCGGATGCCACGGCCGGCCACCAGAACAGGCGCGGAGACGCAGGGTGCTGATCGATGGCGACTGACGACGGCTGGCTGGGGAGACAAACCTAGACCCTCCTTCAGCATGACCAGTTTCGCCAATAGCTATAACTTTCTCAACCTTCTACTCTGACAGTATTCGTTGAGCAGTTTAGCACAAGAGAACAAAGGGCTGAGAATCTCTCTTACGATAAGACGTCCATTTGCGCGTGCCCCACTGCAGCTGACCCTGATCCCGATCGACTCGGCTCTGAATCGACGTACGTCAGAGCCCCCAGGAAGAGTGCCGGCGTCATTCACATTTTCCTTCTCTCAATCATGCCTTCTTTCAAAAGCATTCGCAGGCAGGTCCTGTGGAATTTGAACTCGAGATACATTTACGGGCGCTATGTGAGTCTCATTCGGTCATTGCCTCACTTAGGTAACCTCTCGGCGCTGACCTGCTTGTTTCCGCGACAGCCTCTCCTACACACCTTAGTATTCATCACCGAATTAATCATGGTCTCCTTTTTGGTGTCCAAGTTCAACAGCTACTATGCTGCGAGACCAGGTATGATTGAGACTTGCGACATGTCTTGTGACTCTGTGCTAACCTTCGTTTCAGTGCTTACGACCATGGTCACCAACGCCGTAAGTCCATTTACGACCACACGCTGAAATGTGTTCCTGACGTCTCGTCCAGGTGCTTGGTGGTGTAGCCGACACTGTCGCCCAAACTCTCACAGCAGTCAGAGAACGTGCCGTTCGCAAACCTGGTGGCCCCGACCCCAAGAACGATCGATTGGCCATTGAGATTCATGAGATAGACCGCAGAATCTCTGAGGAAGAGCTCATCCCTGATTCCAAGGTGCTGCCTCCACCGTTCGACTTTGAGAGGTACAAGGAACCAAGAGCAAGAAACAAGGATTCAAAAATGCTGATACACTGGGCAGATTGACAAGATTCATGGCATATGGTTTTATTATGGCTCCCGTCCAACACAAGTGGTTCGGCTTCCTCAATCGCATTTTCCCTCTTGCCAAGGGAGCTGGCACCAGCGCAGCAGCAAAGAGAACCGCCTTTGACCAGCTTCTGTTTGCACCGGTTGGTCTCGGAGCCTTCTTCACTTTCATGACTGTGGCAGAAGGAGGCGGCCGTAAGGAGATTCAGAAGAAGTTCCAGGATATCTATATTCCTTCTCTCAAGGCCAACTACTTGGTCTGGCCTGCTGTACAGCTGATCAACTTCAGACTTATGCCGCGTCAGTTCCAGATTGTAAGTGGTATCTGACTTTAACTGAAGAGCAGCGACTAACACTGTTACAGCCATTTGTGTCGACCGTTGGTATTGCATGGACGGCCTACCTTTCTCTGACCAACTCGGCAGAGGAGGCTTAGAAAGCCATTCACAAGGAACAAATCGGGACAGTGTGTTGATTACCTAGGTATCTTCAAGCATCCATCGGACAGCGGGATAGGCAGGCGTTCTGGCGACTTTACGGGGCGTTACGGGCCGATAGACACGTCGCTTGGTGCAAGGCATCTTGAATGATACAGTGATTGAGATGTGCAACTTCAAGCAGGATATATGGTGCGACATCGAGTGAAGCAGGTGATCTAATGGGGCTCTGTATATAGATAGGTCATGATTGGTGATATCAGTTGATAGACAACACGAGAGAGGGCACGAATGCTCGGAAGCACATCGGTCGTGACGCATTTTTCGAGCTGCCCCTCGTCCCGACCGCCGGAAGCTGTTGGGGAAAGACTCAAGCCCCTCACACACCACAACAACCCATCAAGCACTGTTGTATATAACTGTACGTCTTTGTCTGCTGCTGTCTCTCACACCAAACTGTCTGACACACTCGATTCAGTCACAATGTCGCTCTCCAACAAGCTCTCTATCGCCGACGTCGACCTCAAGGGCAAGCGTGTTTTGATCCGTGTATGTTGACTCTGGCCATCCAGCTACCATTGACCACCCTTACTAACGCTGTGCAGGTCGACTTCAACGTCCCCCTCGATGCTGACAAGAACATCACCAACAACCAGCGCATCGCCGGTGCTGTCCCCACCATCAAGTACGCCGTCGACAATGGCGCCAAGGCCGTCATCCTCATGTCCCACTTGGGCCGCCCTGACGGCAAGGTCAACCAGAAGTACTCGCTGAAGCCCGTTGTTGCCGAGCTCGAGAAGCTCGTCGGCAAGAAGGTCACCTTCACCAACGACTGTGTTGGCCCCGAGGTCGAGAAGACCGTCAACAGCACCACCGATGGCGGCATTGTTCTCCTCGAGAACTTGCGTTTCCACGCCGAGGAGGAGGGCAGCAGCAAGGATGCTGAGGGCAAGAAGGTCAAGGCCGACAAGGCTAAGGTCGAGGAGTTCCGCAAGGGCCTGACCGCTCTTGGTGACGTTTACATCAGTGAGTTGCAGCTTGTTCGCACGTTCACTAAGCCACACATACTAACGAATCCCCTCAGACGACGCTTTCGGTACCGCTCACCGTGCCCACAGCTCCATGGTCGGTGTCGACCTCCCCCAGAAGGCCTCTGGTTTCCTCGTCAAGAAGGAGCTCGACTACTTCGCTCAGGCCCTTGAGGAGCCCAAGCGTCCCTTCCTTGCCATCCTCGGTGGTGCCAAGGTCTCGGACAAGATTCAGCTCATTGACAACCTCCTCGGCAAGGTCAACAGCCTCATCGTCTGCGGTGGTATGGCTTTCACCTTCAAGAAGACTCTTGAGAACATGAAGATTGGTGACTCGCTCTTCGACGAGGCCGGCAGCAAGACTGTCAAGGACCTTGTTGAGAAGGCCAAGAAGAACAACGTCAAGATTGTCCTTCCTACTGACTTCATCACTGCCGACAAGTTCGACAAGGACGCCAACACTGGCAAGGCCACCGACAAGGAGGGAATCCCCGACGGCTGGATGGGTCTTGACTGTGGTGAGGAGTCGATCAAGCTCTTCAAGGAGACCATTGACGAGGCCAAGACCATTCTGTGGAACGGCCCCTGTGGTGTCTTCGAGTTCGAGAAGTTCGCTCGCGGCACCAAGGCCACTCTCGACAACGCTGTTGCCGCTGCCCAGGCCGGCAAGGTTGTCATCATTGGTGGTGGTGACACTGCCACTGTCGCTGCCAAGTACGGTGTTGAGGACAAGCTCAGCCACGTCTCGACCGGTGGTGGTGCTTCGCTCGAGCTGCTCGAGGGCAAGGAGCTCCCCGGTGTTACTGCTCTTTCGAGTAAGTAAACTCATCAGAGTGTTTTTTTCAAAATCGCAAAAGGGAGATATCCGGGATCTGATTTATACCACGGGCAAGGCAAGCAGAGCAAGTCTTTAGAGATGTCCGAAATGCATTATGTTACGACTCATCTATAACCATATTTCCCTTGTGTTCTTGTGATGTGTAAGGTAGCTTTGGAAGGAGCTTCATTTGTTTGTATATGCTTTCTCCGCTCTCTCTTTGGTAAAGGTGTGATATTCAGTACTCCGAGACGCCGTGCCATGCCATGCCGTTTCCGTGGCAAGGCCATAAGATAAGCCAATTGCCGAAGTCGTGTATGCCTGAGGTAGGCTGATTGTTGTGGATTCGTAGGGCGCTATGGGTTCAACGCTTCTCCATCTTCTTGAGCTCGTTTCTGGTTGAAGAGTTAGGATGCAGTCAAACAAGGTGCTGATATATAGGAAAAACATACTGAAGCTGAACCGAGAACTCGTCGCTTGTGTCATCATCATCCCAACTCTCCTCCCACAGATGTGTGGTTCCTGCGCCGGCGCCGGATGCGCCGAGTTCCTCTTCTGCGGGCCAGTCTATTTGTCGCAACGATCAGTCTTTTAACCATTTTTGAGAGGATGGCAAAGGTAAAGACGACGCACCTTCTACAGGAAAGTCCTCGAACTCGTCATCCTCCTCGAGCTGAGCAGCTTGCTTCTGGGGTGCCAGTGGTTGCGAGTCGTCCTTGCGGTCTGAAACGATGGCCTTTGTGGTGTTGGCGTCTCCTTGTGCTGCGCCGGACATGATTGCGGTTCGTGTGTGTGTGTGTGTGTGTGTGTGTGTGTGTCGGAAAGAAAAGGGTTGTATGCGTTGGTTTGGCAAGATGATAGTTTTGACGAGCGATGATTGATTGATGGCGAGTGAGGTTGATGGTATTGGCTCTCACTCAGTGCTGGGCTGGCGGTGTTGGCATCATGCAGCCAAACAGAGCAAACACGAAGCTCTCCAAGTTGGTCGCTCCTCCGCAAAAGTGCAATACGAGTACGACAGCGATGATATCACGCTTTATGTGCGGCATGCTCGGACATGGCAGTGCATCTCCATAATGTCTCGACTAACTCCGTACCGTGCCGTCCATGACTTGTCTTTCTCTGTGCATATGCTTGTTGTAACTTGTCAATCTTCCTTGAAATCGCTAATTGCCAAAACATAATCAACCATGAAGAAGTGGCTGGGAGCTGCAAAGCAGAGCGCCTCGAGCTCGACACACTCGCTGAGTGCTCTCGAAGAGCCTCAGGCACGTATGTTTACCTATTCAATGCAGATCCTCTTACATGGGCACGTGGGCTGATCACCATGCGCAGTCGAGAGTGCTATGGCTGCTGTGTCGTACATACTTAATGATGGTATTGTAACACTGCATGGAAACTACTATTCTAAGCTTATATCCGTCCAGATGTCGAGACAGCAGAAGCAGAATTGTCAAAGGGCAACTCGCCTTTCCACAAGGTACGTACAACGACAGCATCCTATCTCGGATCAGCACTTGACTTACTACGTATTTGAAGTAGTTGGGCCAAGGTCTATCTTCTTTCTTGCGAGCTGCTCTCGGCTTTGAGCAGGATTTCATGCGAGAGGCCTCTGAACGTCTGTCACAAGCCGAGTCGGCTGCTTACGACCATCAACGCCACGCCGACAAGAATGCCTACCACTCCAAAATCTACCCGCCGGGAAGCGAATACGCACTTTGCCTTTCCGAAGCTCAGCTTATGAGTGCCGTTGTTGCCGTCTTAACCGAGAGTCTCTCCGAGAGTATCAAGGGTTTCTACAAGATGAGGAAAGCTTATGTCGCTCTGCAAGAGATAGCAGATGCCGAAAAGAGATACTTGAAAGGGAGGAGCTCTGCTTCTGTTGGCAGTACAAGCACGAGGTCGACTGTCAACTCGGCTCCTTCACTTGCCTCGGAAGGTCCTTCAATCTCTGGTCAGACTCTGGTCGCTCCAGATGAGGATGTTGATGATGACTTTGTCGACGCCGATGAGAGTATTGCTGCTCCTGCCACTCCCACAACCTACCAGGGCCACCTGGAGTGTAAGGAGCTGGAATCCAAACTCGAGAATTTGTCTATTCGACCTGGCTCGTCATCCACACAGACTCCTGTAGCACCCGTCGTGGAAGAAGACGACTTTAGTGATTTCACCAATCATCCTGTCGACCTCTTTGTGCATTCTGGCACGAGTCTCTGTTTTGGTTTGATGCAGTTAATGCTCTCTCTGATTCCCCCAGCCTTTTCCAAACTCTTGTATATTATTGGATTCAAAGGTGATCGCGAGCTTGGCATCCAGATGTTGTGGCGGGCTACCCAATACTCGAACATCAACGGCGCTATGGCGGGCCTGGTAACACTAGGATTTTACAATCTCACCGTTGGATTCTGCGACATTGTCACCTCGGATGCTTATCCCAAAGAACGCCTGACGACTCTGCTGGTCCAGATGCGCAAACGCTATCCTCAATCTCGCCTCTGGAGACTCGAGGAAGCAAGAATGTTGGCTGCTAACAAACAGCTGGAAGATGCCGTTACTATGTGCGGCACTCATGAAAAGAGTCCACTCAAACAAGTCGAGGCATTGCAGTGGTTTGAGAAGAGTCTGAACTGCATGTATCTGCACAAATACGAAGAATGTGCCACTTCTTTCTTGACGGTCCGTTTTATACAACAAGTGAGTTAAGAGGGTTTACTGACGGGTCTGAATAGTGTGTTGAACTCAACAACTGGTCTCACGGCTTGTACTACTATATTGCTGGTGTGTGTTATGTCGAACTCCACCGCGAAGCCAAGTCAGTCGATGCAGGCCGAGCACAGAAATATGCGTCTCGCGCAACAGAACTGCTACGAAAAGTGCCAATTCACGCAGGCAAAAAACGCTTCATGGCACGTCAATTGCCCTTTGATGCCTTTGTGACCCGCAAGATCACAAAGTGGGAGGAACGATCCAAGGCTCGCGGTGTTTCTTTCGTCGACGCTGTGGGCATTGCTCCCGTAGAAGAGATCATCTACTTCTGGGCCGGGTTCAAGAGGATGAGAAAAGAACACCTCGTCCACAGTCTCGAGCGTCTGGCATGGAGTGAGCAGAACGGCTGTCACGACAATGCAGTTGACGAATTAGCCACATTATCACTTCTCCGAGCTACAGTAACTCGATGGCTCGGCGATACGAAAACTGCCCGTCAAATCTTGGAGACGCAGGTCCTGAACCACGAGTGGAGCGAGTTCAAGGGCGGAAACAAAGATAACTGGTCACTGCCAGTAGCGCATTACGAAATGTCCGTGATCGAATGGATAGAGGCAGGTGGTGAGAGAGGAAGCAAACCGCAATTGGAAAGTTGCTCGAGATGGGTGGAGAAGGCCGCGAAGTGGGAGGCTTATGACTTGGATGCTAGGTGAGTGGTTCCTTTCCCCTCTTTCTGTTCACCAACTTCACTACAAACTCTCCTGCCATCGCTTCTCAATTCCCGAGAACCTGGTCTCACTGGCCCTCCCCAACTTGATTCATCTGCAAGTTGTTTCAAGTATGCTAATTTATGCGCAGAGTCGGTCTCAAGGTGACCACTGCACGGGAGACGTTAAAGAAATGTGGCATCACACCTTCTGCTTGATGTCAGTAAACGATGCCGAAAAGAGCAGACAATCGAATGCAACTCACTCCGACTACACCAAGATGTAGAGTATACACTGTAGAAATGCACAGTGGTTTTGGAAACATAGGCCTTTCCACAGAGAGCCTACGATTCGTCGCTTGTGATTTGGTTGAAAGAACTGGGTACAGTACGTGTGTATGTGGCAGCGGTGACAGGCGGAGGAGCAGTAGAAGGACGAGCGATCAAGGCTCCATCATCGAATGGTCCGAGGGCATCTACGACCTTCTGCATGCTGTTTTCCAGTCTTCGGGTTTCCTTGGCCGTCTCTTGTCCAGTTGTGTCGATTCTTTCAAGTGTTGAGCTAATGATGGCGAACTTGCTGTCAACAGTGTGTTGTCCTTGCTTGTCCATTTCTCAGAGCTGACGATTCTTTTCTTTGGCCTCCTTCACCTGGTCGACTGTTCTACGAGCGGATACAAGAGCTTCGAAGACTTCGTCGATGGTCCAGGAGTCTTTTGTGGTGTCCGAGTTCAGAGCCCACATGATGTGCTCCTTAGTGTACTTGTCGCCTGGTACGAGCTTTTCGGGTTCTTGAGCAGCAGCCACGAGACCGTGGAAGTTTGCTTGCTCTTGTGGCGTTGCGTCTGTCACAGTGTCGGCAAGGAACTGGAGACATGCCATTCGCTGAGCTTGAATCTGAGCTTTGCTTCTGGCCACAGCTGGTAGTTCACCCTGAGTGTTCAGTCCTGCGAGGACGTTGTCGAGCTGGCGTTGCATGTCCTGACGCTTAAGTCTTTGATCATCTTGGATGAGCGACTCTTGCTGAAGTGAGTTGATGGTTTTGTCGTTCTCCTGAGCCTGACGACGAATTTCATTGATGTCGAGGTGTGCTGGCACTGCACGCAAACCAACTGATTCTGCCTGAGCCTTCTCAATGCGAGCAGACAGTTCTTGAAATTCAACAGCTCTGCGGATTGCAGGATCAATCAGCTTCTGGGCAGCCGATCTGCCCAAGAACGATCTCTTCGGAGCCATGTTGTGACTGATGCAAGAAGAACAGGAAGTTTGTCCAGAACTCCCATAAAAGAGAGAACGGAAAATTCACGTCGAGTCTTCTCACTTGTCGAGTGAAAACAACAAACACGACCGCGCCTTGATTTCACTACAAAAAACAAGGACAACAAATTCCGCTTTCTTCTGACGACTTACCTTTCCTCTCACCAGCTGCAACAAACCGCGCTTTCTTTTGCTATCTTTCCTTTTACCTTCAACAACATCACCATGTCAGACGTTCACGAGGACAACATCACCATGTCTGAACTCGATCAAGAGCTCAAAACCCTCGAGGACTACGAGATCCTTGTCAAACAACTGGTAAGTACTAGGCACCTTCCAAATGCAACCAGTGACAGCTGATTGACCCTGATCAGCGCCAGGGAATCAAGCTGCGCGACGTCGGTTGGAAATCTCAACTTGACGAATCCACTCAAGAGAATGCAGGTCTGTCTTTTAAAGTCACTGAGCTCACCACCTCCGTGAACAATGCGGAAGGTCGAATTAGGGAGCTTGAAGATCAGCAAAAGAAGCAGCATGTTGAGTTATTGGCCAGGAATAAGGAAGTTGCGGACCTCCAAAAGGCGGCGGAGGAGACTTCCGAGACCTTATCCAATCGTCAACAAGAATACGACCACTTGAAGCAGCAGCACGATGAACTCAAGTCGCGAGCTGAGCAGGTCGAGAACTCATTCAATAGCACCTCCGATGAGCTCAAGAAAGTACAGGCAGACTTGAAGGAGACTCAAGAGAATCTCACTGCTCTTCACATACAGCATGAGAGTATGAGAACTTCCAGCAACAACAAGCTCAAGGAACAAGCCATCGCGAACAGAAACAACCTTCAGACCAAGCAGACTGCGGACCAAGAGCTTGCCGTGCTGCGACCCAGGGTGCAGGAACAACGCCAGCGTCTAGAGCGTCTAGAGAAGGAAAACCGGCAGAGGCAGGAGCTTGAGGGTCGACTCCAAACACGAATCAGAAATTTGAGTGGAGACGAAGCCTCTCTTCATTCCAAGCTTGCCGATGCCGCTGAAGAACAAGAGAGGCTGAGGGGCGAGGTCCACATTCACGAAGAGTCTTTGTCAGAAATGAGAGCCAACATGACCATATGCCAGAATGGCTTGGCATACATTGTCAATGAGGTTCGCAATGCTCTGGTTCGCACTGCTCTCAAGCGAGAGCCTGCGAGGGTAAGCCTGATTGCTTTCTTCAATTATCATGTCCCTCAGTCGACCATTCGAGTCTTGGAGGAATACGAAGACTTGCCTAAGGCGTTGTCCTGGTCTCTTCACGACACTCCATCAGGTGTGCTAACTTCTATCCCCTCTCAAACTTTTGAGCACCTTTCTTCAACTCTGAGGTTCATTCTCTTCACCGCTCCTGACTCGGCCATGTGTGCTGCAGTCATCGAGTGCATCATGGCCAAGATCAACCTGGATGAGGCCGATGAGACTGGTTTGCGAAACCTGATCGCCGCTGTGCGTATCTCTCTAGATTGTGCCCTTCCCACCAGTATCGTGCAGGCACTCAATGAGGCTCGGACTATCGAGGCAGTGATCCGAGTCTGTCATAGTCTCACTGTAGAGTATGACGAGATAGGTGTGCTTATCGATCTGTGGCTCAGCAAGCTGCCAGGAGGCGCGGATAACGACTTCCTACTTCAGGCCTATCGCACTTGGTTCTCAGCATTCATGAATACCGGCATAACACAAACCGAGTCCTTAATGGACATAGTCTCTGGTCTGACCCTGGCACCCGAGCTTTACGAAGTTCTCCCTGTCGGCTCAGTGGCACATCCACGCTATCTGGTGGTTCTCGGTGTTACATGTCTCTTGATTGACGTTCAAGGCACGACCATACACATGCTTCAGCTTGAGAGCATGAGATACGACAGTGCCAAGAGGATCATCTCTTTTGGCATCTCCCACGGTGGGTCTGGAACGTTGGCCGGGCAGCAATTTTCTGATTTCTATATCGGCTTCTCAAGGGACAATTCAGACTTCATCTGGGACAACCTGAGAGCCCTCCTTGAGTAAAGTCGCCATCAACTCGCATCCACTTGACTCAACTACGGGTTATCATACTTGAGTCAACTGCATGCAATTTCTGTAATCTTCAATAACAATCCATTTGCTCTTTTCATAGAATACCCTACTTTCGAGAACATCGTGCCTTGTGATCGTCGTGTGTCAAGTTGTTGGTTCTGGAGAGATTGCTACGAACACTGGAAGCCTTACTGAGGTGACCAGCACTTTTACCATAGATCAATGATCGCTTGTTCGTGTATCAGTGGCTTCTTGGAGATTCTTGAGCAAATGCCAACTAATAAGATAGAAACGAGAATGCTTTTCTTTGGGGCCTGATCACTAACAAAGACCTTAACACGTCCTGCACACCGTCCGATCGTCAAATTCATTATCATCGTCGTTCATTTTCCCAATGCATACACCTTGCATGGCCCCAGAGAATACCTCATGAATCAATTGCTCAGCAGATCTTGCACACTCATACCACGGCCAGACTTGTCTTTGAAAGTTCTCCTATCCGAGTTCAACATCAACAGAGCAGCCATTGCTTCACGGTCCAAATCCTTCTCTCTGCGGTCGCGAAGTCTTGCATCCTCACCCGCAACTCCTGGTCTTTGGTGCATGGATGAGTCTTGCGCTCGTAGTGCAGGGCTCGTGAGTGCGAAAGGCGCAGGCTCGTGTTGACCAGCAGTCGGAGCGAAGAAGGGTGATGCTTGTTGTGAGTGTATGTAAGGAGAAAACGAAGGAGCAGAAGCAGACGAGATGCTGTAGTGTCGAGAAGAAGAGGCATCAGATGGTGCGATGGCAGGCGATTTGTATCCGTAATGAGACATGGAGGGCAGAGAGGATAGAGATGGGATGGATTCCCGAGATTGTGTGTGTGAAAGGAGTGGGCCATTTGGTGTTGAAGCACCGGTGGAATGGTTTGTGTCCGACATTTCCTGGTCATCATCTTCCTCTTGCTCCATGGGCTGGTCAACGACAGCAGTGGGTTGTGGTGTAGGTACAGCAGACACGGCAGGCTGCGATGTTGAGCCCTGTCTCGCGGCTGTGTTGTCGGCTTTGAGGTCGGTGATGCAACGCTCGAGGTAGCGAAGATACTCGATGCTTGCCTTGAACATTGTTAGCGCATGCTTGGGTCAGAAAACTGCGCCGCACGACTAACCTGGAGGATTGCCAACTTGTGCATCTCTTGACCTTGACAGGCAGGAATCATGTCCTTCAAGACACCAAATTCCTCATTCATCTTGGAGCGTCGTCGCCTTTCGATCAAGCTGTGTGCTGTTTTGCGAGCTACTTTACGGCTAGCGGCTGTGCTGTTTGCATTGGCACCCTTCTTTCTACCGCCAGTGGCCTTTGCCGGTGCTGCCTCAACTTCCGGGTCCGGCTGCTTCTCGCCAGCGGTAGTCTTTGGCTTCATCTGGATGATCTTGCGATTGCGAGTTGGCGGTGGAGGAAGAGCGAATGTGTCGTCTGCTTTGGCCGAGCTTGACTGAGCAGCAGTAGACTTACGTCTTCCATTGTTCAGAGACACGGGTGAATGAGGGTGATACGATGAATCAGAACCATGACTTGAGAGAGGTGACGAGGTGGCTCTATCACTGCCATCCACATAGGCCGAGGGAGGGAGGTTGCAAGCTGGAGCAAGAGGCACAAGCTTCTCCTTGCCCCGGATGTCCGTCGATGAGGCTGGGGTAGGAGGGAGGTGTGAAGAAGCCATTGTGTAATGAAGGGTATGACAAAAACGGCACCCTGGTGGTATCACAAACTATCGAGTATGGCGTAGCAGGAAAGGGGATCTTGTGCAGGCAAGGGAATAGACGTGGACAGGAAAAAGGAATCGGAGGCGTGGACTAGGAGACGACGACATATTTGATACTACTTGCAGACTGGCACTTTCCCTATCAACAGGCGCACGAGGGGAACGTCGTTCAGTGTCGTGTGCCTCAACTGTAAAGCTGAGAGTCGACGACATGCCCTCGTGCGCTCTCTCCGCATCGTTCATTGGCTGCCTTTCAACCGCCTATGGCTGTGAAGCCTATCACCTCCTCCCAGAGGCCTTCAAGAGAGCACGTGCGGTTCCAGTGAGAAACTGACTTTGCTTCGCTCTTGCAACTGGTTGAGCGACAATCTCCCTCAGTCTCTGCATGTGATCCTTCCTATCCAACATGTTGCCGTTTTGCGGAGGCATATAATTGCGTGCGAAGAGCGAGTCCCACTTTGACACAGGGGACAAAGGGAAGAAATCGCTCACACTCGTATCCAGTTGCCGAGAGCCGAGCAGACATCTCAGACACAGATATGTACCTACCTGCCTATCGCGTTTTTGAAAGAGCCAGTTGTGGTCCAAAAGATAAAGCGGCGGAGACGGGAAAGTCGAATGAAGTCGCAAGCCAACAGAGTCGTGGCGCAGAGAATTGTTTTAAATCCCGCGGAGACCATGATAAGAACAAAAAGAATGCCTCAATGACAAAACGAAATGCCGCTTCTGTGGATCGAACACAGTGCCTCCAGAATACTCTTGTCGGAACAAGAAGGACAGAAGTTGACTTCAGTCTGGCGCTCTCCCAGATGAGCTAAAGCGGCGATGCTGGAAATCCGGCTGGAAATTGTTTGATCTTGTTCACCCATCAAATCAATCGCGACAGTGCATGGAGGAACAATGCAGACAAGTCAAGCCATCATCAGCCAGGACAGGCTTGAGTATGAAGTTCAGTCTGAAATGTTGCATGTCATCCAAAGCATCTGAGTATGCCGGCATATCCGACCAAGCTATGCCACAATCTCGAAACTTGACTAAGGCGATGCATGTCTCGGAGCTCTTTGAAGCTTGGGGTCTGAGATTGAGCTCTGTGTTTACATGTCCTTCAACACTATAAATCTGTCATCATCTCTGCAATACCCACGAATATCTAAGAACCGCTCACCCCGTCATCTGAGTTTCCGTGCTGGGCAACACACACAGATTTACTCTCGCTGCAAACCACCAACATGGAGGCCGTTCAAGGTGAGGCACACGATCACATGCAAATCGTCACAACCAGCACTAACAAGACACCACTCAGACTGGGCAAGCTACCTCTTCCGCAACGGATACCTTACTCCCGGCATCTTCGGTCCTCTGTCGACTCTCAACGATGTCTTCCACAAATACCTCCTCCCCACCTTCCAGTCGCTGCTCGAAAAGCCCGACCTCACCAAGATCGCCCTGATGCTCGTCATCCTCTACATCTCGCTCAAACTCGTCAACATGCTGGTCCAGAGTGTGCTCTTCTGGGTGCGACTGGCTTTCCGCATCACCTTCTGGGGCGGCCTTGTCGTTCTGGCCTTCTGGCTCTCGCAAAGAGGTGTCGACGGCGCAGCTGAGGATGTGAGCTATTGGATCAGGCTTTGGAAAGGCGAACTGGAACACTACAAGAGCCAGGCAGAGCAGATTGCATATCAACACAGCCATGGCTATGGTGGCAAGCACGGCTACGGCGGTGGCTACAAGCCTGTCGCGTCCAAGAAGCAATGGTCTTTCTAAGAGATGGATGCGACAATGCATATCATAACAGCATTTCAGGGAGTTTTACGGCTGGGTTACATCAGTTTCACGAGATATCATTTTGAGGCCGAGACGTTGATTGGTATGAGAGACTGGCTACTGTAATGTTGCGGCCAAATATGAGCGAAGGATTAGCATGCACACATTGGTCACATTCTTGCTATAAAAGTTGTCATTGTCCCTCATCTTTCTTGCCGTCTACAACTCCGGCAACTTTGAGCCGAGTCCGTTAAGTGCTTCGGCCATATTGCACCTTCCTTCAATGCTCTTCGCTCTTTTGTGTGGACCAGAAATCAAGGCATCGCTGCCTCAGGAGAGGCATTGACACGGGAGACTTGACTGATCCAGGCTTGGTATGAGATATCTAGACCACGGCCATTTAAGTCTTGATGGAAAGAATCAAAACACATAAAAGTATACCACCGGAAACCTCTCCCATTGGCTTGGACGAATCTCTTTCCGTTTTTAAAACAGGTCGAGCGAGGCCAGTGTCACCATTTAAGCTCGAGTTGTATATTGTTATTCGAATAGTAGATGTTAGCTCTTACCTCTTGAACCTCGGCTAGATCGCAAGACTGGCTACCACATCCAATCATGAATAATCGACAAAAGAAGCTCGTGATGCTTTGCGATATTATGCGGGGCCGGGTGGCTGAGAGAGCCTCAATGCGGCAACCTACCAGATAATGCAAGGAGAAGATCAAATATTTGCAACCATCAGCTGCCGGCTAGCCCGATGGCTTGAAGACCAATTGACAATGTCACCTTTCGATATAGGCAAAAGTGCCGGATTGGCCGTGTGCGACCGATCTCGAAAATAGAGTTCCATTCTGATCAAGCGAGCTGCAACAACTTGCCGTCTAGCAGGCTGCAACGACTTGTTTCGGTTTGAGCATTTGTTATTTGGTGCATTGAAAGAGACCGAGAACAAAGTCCTAAGCTCCATCAAAGAAGGTGAGTCAGCGCAGAGCACAGTAGTACGCGTCATGCACGCGATCCTCGCGCGTTAGGTGCAGATTTGGGGGTCATGACCAGCTAAGAGCTCAGGTGCATAGCTGCAGGAGCGTTAACCAAGCCTGCTTTGATAATATCAGGCTGCTAGGTTTTGTCATTTGAAAGTGATGCGCACACAAAGTCTTGGACGTTGAGACTTCATACCAATCACTGTCGCGAAGGACCCTGACAAGGCTCACAGCAGCTGTGCAAGGAGTTCTTGGAGAGAGTGGAAGAACACATGGCACTGCGCAACCTGGCGTGTGTCGGGCCACGCAGGGAGCGCAGCGGTTACGTGCAGCAGATCTCGCAGAAAGCGCTGTGAACAAGGAAACTCAAGATATGGTAGATGTGAAAGGGTAGTGCAAACATAGAACGGAGAATTTTTTGGGTTGACAAGAAGCGAAACGGAGATTGAGGAGATTCCTAGTTGCGACTAGGGGAATTGAAGGATCGGAGTTGGCAATGCGAACATTAAAAGACTTACGAGGCCGGTGCATACGCGCGATTACCGGCGTTGCTTTGAAGATCGTAGACGACACAAAAGCTGGTGAATCAAGTCGAGCAAAGCATGGGGTGGACAGAGCGAGATGGAGAAAATAGTGTTTATATGTCAGTTGCAAGGCGCGTGACGGCAAAAGAAGCCCTCGAGGGATGAGTTTGGGCAGAGAAACCGCGGACCATATTCTCGGGGCTGGGAGGGCTCTGGCTGAAAAGTTGGTGCAGGTAGAGAAGGAGCAGGTGACGTGTGGCAAGCTGGCGGCAAGAGCTGGTTGGTCGGGCATAAGCGTAAAGAGGCAGCAAGATCGCCGTTCGACACGACTTTGTCGCTTCATGACGGGCGCATCTGATCCTTAAGACTCTGTTTGATCTCTTTTCCCGCCGCTCTGGGGACTGCTCTCTGGACAAGTTTCTGTGCTACGCGTGGCCGCGTCCGTCCCAGTGTTTCGTCTTTCTTGGTCCTTCTAAGTTAAGCTTGCCTACCCAGGTACTTCTGCCTCGGTCGCCATCCCTTGCCTCGAGCCTCGAGCTGACATACATTCCAAGGCGAATCGAAAAAAGTGAGTTTAACGCTGTCTTATTGGCTGCACTGGCGAGAGTGGCGACGCGGCATTGATGAAGCAGCGTCCTGTCTCGCGTCGCTTTCCTGTGCTTCGCTGAACGTCTTGGTCGCTGACTGCAACGCTTTTCTGTAGCCGAACAAAAGCCCGAGCCAAGTCTTCAGACTGAGATCGATGCGCTCGACCAAGCCGACCTCATCGCATCACCCTCCCTCCGCTAGCACCAACACACTCACAGACGCGTCGCGCCCTTGCTTGCCAGCATCCAACCATTGCTAGATCTTGGGCCGCCTCCCGACACGCAGGTTCCGACAGCCAAGCTTATCTGGAATCCCTGGGCTCAAGCGACTCCGCCGACCTGTTTCGCGCCGCCAATGAGTCTGTAATTCTGCACATCGAGTAACACGGCCAAGTTTGCATTCACCGCTCCTGCGCCAGTCCGCAAACTCCTAGCACACCTACCCGCAACCTGGGTTATGCTACCGTACCATGGACGGTCATGGCACAATCAACCCTGCTGCGCTCAACTCAAGTACGTCGCCGCATCCACCCCACCTGCGCTCGAGCGCTATACCATTCTCTCTACCCGACCTCCCCTACTGACCCAGTCGCGTAGCCCTCGACAACTCGGCATATAACAATCGAGGCTTGAAGCGCAGCCGTTCCCCGGCCGAACCCGCCGACACCGGTACGTCCGCTGCCAACGTTTCTATCAACTTTGCGCGTCAATATGCTGACGTGTCAGACGACTTCAAACCAAGAAAGCGCGGTCGCCCGCCCAAGCAGAAGACTGCCGACAGCCCGCAAATGGCATCCCATCCTGTTCAACTATCGTCGCCGCTGGCCGTACAGACTCCTCAAATCAAGCAAGGCGGAAACCAGTCCTCGCCTTCGCAGGCTTCACCACAGCGACAAACACCAGCCTCCGGCCAAAAGACAACAGTCGTCAAGGCCCTGCCTACTGTCCGAGACCACACCACGGATCAACTCGGCGCCGAGGGCGATGAATACATCCCACGTGAAATTGACGAAGCTGGCGAAAAGAAGGTGTCAAGCAATGGCTATCCGCTCGAAGGTCGCGAGTATCGCATCAGAACCTTCACCGTGCCCAACAGAGGCGAAAAGCTGTTCATGCTCGCCACCGAGTGCGCACGCGCTCTAGGGTACCGCGACTCGTACCTGCTTTTCAACAAGAACCGATCGCTGTTTAAGATCATCGCGAACCAACCCGAGAAGGACAACCTTATCCACCAGGAGATTTTGCCATACTCTTATCGTTCGAGGCAAATAGCCATCGTAACAGCGAGGTCAATGTTCCGCCAGTTTGGAAGTCGCGTCATCACAAACGGCAGACGAGTTCGTGATGATTATTGGGAGTCCAAGGCAAGAAGTCAGGGTTTCACAGAAGAAGATGCAGCTGGAGAGAAACGACCCGGTGCCGCCAAGCAGAGGGAAGCAGCGGCCGCCGAAGCCAGCACTAACACCACTGTTCTGACTGCTATGCCTCACACGGACATAATCTACACCAACGGCCCGGGCCTTGACCAACCCGCTGTCCCGGCAGGCATCCACCCTGTTACGCTCGCTCCTCTTAGCATGATTAACATGCCACTTGATGATCCCCGGGTTGCTGACTTCCGTGGCATCGCTCGTCCTAGACAAGAGCTCACCGGACCTGCCTACCAAGATCGCACTCAGCCCAGTAATCCTCAGGATGTCTTCAATCAGGCAAACCAGGCGGCTGAGTTTAACAAGTCTCTGACTCAACAGCGTGTTGTGCGCAGCCAGTACTACGAAGATTATTGGAAACGTCCTCACGAGCCTCCAACTCCTCCTCCTCAGCCGCATATGCCCGACACTACAGACATGGGAACCGTCGCTCCTCACAATCTGCAGTCGCCCCAAAGTCGCCTGCCATCTCTCTCGCAGCCTTCCATGATGGGTCACCAACAAGCAACTGCTCACATGATGCCTTCTCAATTCCATCAGCCCAACCAACAGAACCCCATGCAGTCGCCCGTTCGCTCCATGCACCAGCAGCTTCCTTCATCGCAGATGCACCAGACTTCCCCCGCCATGGCTATGGCTTCTATGCGCCAGCAAACTCCCTCATACGGCTACCAGCAAGGTCAAATGTGGCCGCCATCGCAGCCCCAACCTTCTCCACTGTCCCAAGCGCACACAATGGCTCAGTTTCAGCAGCCTACTCAACAAGCTTCCATGCATCCCCCTCAAATGGCTGCCATGGGTGGCTATCCCTCTATGAACCATCCCATGGGCGCAGCCGGCGCCTTTGCTGGTATGAACCGTAACATGTATCAAGCTAGTCCGAGCCCGCAGCATTTTGCCATGCAACAGCAACAGCAGGCGACACCCGCGCCACCCCAGCAGATGCATGGATGGGCACCTCCCACCACAAATCCTGCTACTGGCATGACTCCCCAAGACTGGCAACGCTACCAATAGAATTTTGGAAGCTTGACTGAGGAGCATGAGCTCATGCTTCATAGACCGACCAAACTTGTGCCGACAGCCGAACTTCAATCTGCTTGCAGCAGGTTGGTAAAAGACTTTTCTTACCACCGTGTGGAAGCTTTCATCGCAATGATGAGAATCACAAAAGAGTTACTTCTTCGATCACAATGATTACAGGTTATCGGTAAAATCGATACTTGTTGAGCAACGCACGCCGTCCTCAGAAATTGTCCGCCTCGGTGCATCGCTTTCACACCCTTTTCCTTGACTGTTTTGCTGTGGTTCTTATTACTCATGGATTCCCCTCGATGCATCACTGCATTTGTCCGTCCTTGCACCTTTACCCACTACCCCCTTGTTTGTTTACTCGCCTCACGAATCTACTCACTACCCACTCTGCCCAGGCGTTCTTTCGGTCTCGTCTTCTGTTCTTCACCCCGCTTTATACCTTTCCATTCTTGCTCTTTTACTATTTCCTTTTCTGTCCCCTCATGATATGGGTTCATTATACCAAAGACACCACTACGAAGAAGAACGCGTTTGGTATAAAACTGGCTGCTGATTGCTTTTGAAATGTTAGTCGGTGGAGAAGAGAACAACAACACGTTTGGGTCTGCTACTACTACTATCGGCGGCTTTTGATGAAACTCTGGAACAAATACCCCTTTTGCTCTTTTACTTATTACCCTTTTTATTACTTTTTACCAACTCTGTACTGTTGCGTATCCCTTTTTCTTCTCTTCCAAACTCCTTTGACCTTCTCTGTTCTTAACTTTTATTTGAAATTGACATGTCTCTCTGCTAGAAGGTTTCACTGGATATCATCTCATTCTGGATCATATTGTGACTTTTTACGGCTACATGCTGATAGCTTCCAGCATTGGGAGAATCCTTGATATGGGCTTCTCATATTGACCTCTCACTCTCCCTCTCTGCTCTTTTCTGATAACCGACGATTTCCAGAGAGAGCCTGTCATTCTCCATCCTCTCCCTTGACATTCTTGTCCTCTTGTAATCATTATGCATTTTTGCCCTGCATGACAAGGGGAAGTTTGGAGGTTAAGCTATGTGCGATCGGACCTGTGCATGTTGTCCCTTGTGGAACGATCAGATGACATGGAGTTATGAAAATGCACAATATCGTACCGGAACAGACTGTTTCCGGAGAAGCACCGTCATTCCTGCACTCGCCCTGGACATGCTCGGTTCTTGACACCACTGTGCATTTCTAGAGCTGAATTTTCACCCTACATCTCGAGGGGGATCATGACAATAAAGCCGTGCGTAAACAGACCTGGATCTTGTGCCAGGGTTCCAAGCCCAGCTGGCCGGAAAGACATCTTTCAGTGAACGTATTGTTTAGAAGCGCTTGCAGGGTTTCGTTGTTGATTTGTGACAAAAGAAACAGGGAACTCTCTCTGTGGGTCAAATCCTCTTGAGCCGTGAATCGAGACAAATTAGGCTTTGGTGAGAACTTCTCTTCACAAGAGTTCCGTGCATGTCCCTCTGTATGTTTTGGGATCAGGGGTTTCGGTGAGGCGTGGGGTGTGCATGTCAAAACAAAGGAAAGCACGAGGCATAAGGTTGAGCAGAAGCACAGCAAGCTTAAAGTCTGAGTACGGACCTGAACTTTTGTAATTACAGTCTAGAAAGGAAGGTATTAACATCATAAAAAGAAACAAGCTGTACAAGGCTTGCAAAGCAAACAAAATGACATCCGAACCAAACCCAAATGATAAAGCCGTACCGTATATCCGTCTATGATCCCATGCCCGCTTAAATGCCAAAAGAAATTTCATCATTAGTGTTCATGTGCTTCATCCAGTCCATATCCTCGAACCCACCGTCGATCGAGTCGAAAGCAGGCATAGCAGGGAAAGTGCCATCATCGAAAGTGAATGACTCTCCAGCCGCGTCCAAGTTGATCAGAGTATCGAAATCAGCATCCAGGGCGGGAATGTTGAAGGCCGCTGCTGTGGTCTCGTCAATCTGGCTGTCGGTCGTGTGCTCGGAACCTGGAGGCGTAGAAGCGAGGAAGTTGTTTAAATGTTGAGCCAAGTCGTTCTCTGAGACTTGCTGCTCCTGTTGATCGGCCTGCAGCTGGTGAGATTGCGATTGTTGGTCGTTGTTCATGCTGGCAGCAAGCTCTGGTGGTGGTGTAAGACGGCTGGCATTGACATGTCCTGTTCGTGCCGTTTTCATTACGGTGGACATGTTAGCAACATGCGATGGTCGTGGTGGTGGGCCCATCTTGGAAGGAAGTGTGATTTCTGCTTTGCGAATTGCTGCTTCCAAGAAAGCGGTCGAATAGTCTGCTGCAGCGTAGATGTCGCGCAGCTTGTTCAGAATCTGCATGCATTGGCAGAAACCCTGCAAGCTGGCACGGCGAGTCGTCTCATCTGGTGCTTTGATGTCGAGGAGATGAATAATGATAGCCGGCAACAGAACGGTGATACCCGAGGTAGGTAAGCAGCGGATGAGATCGAGCTCGTTCAAATTCTGAGCTATCGCAGTGAGTCTGTTGGCTGCAAAACGAACGGTCCTTCTAGAGGTATCCAATACTTCGGAAGCCATCTTTCGAGATGGCGCGGCCGTTGATGGGAGCACTTGAGGTCTGTGCAGAGCTGAGAGAGTAGCCAGGTAAATCATGTGCAAAAGTGAGCGATGGAGTGCGGTCACTCCCTTGCCAGCTGTAAGGTCGAACAATGATGAGGGCTTGTATTTTGCTTCGGGCGCGAGAGCTGCTTTCCACTGTTTAAGTTCTTCATCGCATGCCTTGACAGAGCACTTTTCCGGATCATCTTTACGTGCTACCAGCATCATGGTAGTACGCGTAGTTCCTTCTTGACTCTGAACACCATGATTGTTGTGCAAGACCGAGTACTGCGTAGACAAAACATGGCTGATGCAGATGCACAATTTGGCCTTCTCGATACACATGATGGCCACGTCCCTTTGCATAGATGTGTCCTGCATGAGTTTGCAGCTGGGCGGAATGCAGGATGATGGGTTAGACAGAACGGCGAACTCAAAGTCGTCTATCGCCAACATGGGTACGTCGAAATCCTCGTTCTTTATCCTTGTTGGACGGCGCATTCCCAAAGCAATGAGACGATCGCGCATGTAAGTTGCCCACCAGATGCGCTTCCAAAGACGTTTTTGTTGAGGGCTCATGTTGGAACGTTCCGGATTGCGGTGGAGACCAATGGTGTGTGAGAGAGATACAGCAATACCCATCCAGTGATGGCTGTCCTTCTGATCGTCCGGGGTTTCGTACCAGAAAGTCATGAGAAGCAAAGATTGAATCAAAGAGATTCTGTCAGCTTCATAGTCAAAGTCATATAGAAGCTGTATTTGGATTAGTATTAAATGCGTGGACGATGATTGTTAAATACTCACTCTAGTCTTCTGGAAAAAGTCGCGTCTGGCGGCTCTTCTGTTAGTGTAGCCAGCAGTGTGAAGATACGCCATATCGACCGAAGCCACGCCTGCAAACATGATGGCCTGGAATAATAGAAGACTTATAGCCGAGCTAGAATCATTGTTGTCTACAGTGTTGATGAGCTCGTGAATGTCCAGTAGCGGCATATACGGATGGATGTTCTCTACGAAGCATCGTAGAAGAGCAGAGCGCAAGGCGGGTGGTGGTAATGTAAGGGCACCCTTCTTGCCCAAATACGCCAGATCCTCTGGACCAAAAGTAGAGGGAAGGGACCTGATGAAGGCCGGGAGTGTGTGGTGAGGAGGTGGGGGGGTATGAGACTGTAAGCCAAAGAGAGCATTGGGGTCGACTCCTGATAGGGAGATGTTGTCTGTTGGATCATGGGGTATCGAGATGGATCTTGCTAGACTTTGGCGGCGAGCAGGATCGAAGGATTGAGGGTCGAGATCCTGGTCTGGATATGGAAATTAGCTAGGGTACAGAAATTGCAATGTGAGAAGGTACGAACAAAGCGAATGGGGTAAATGCCCTGGTGAGTCATGGAAGTTCAGATTGGTATGTTGTATCGGGGCAGGAACAGGAGGAGAGCAGCCTCCTGTTGCGTTTCCTTCTTCGTCTGCCTTTGTCCACTTCCTTTACACAACGAGTTAGCATGGTCTATCTGAGAATACAGTCGTTACATGGCACGGACTTCTTGCGCTTGCTCTCCGAGACTATACATTCAACCTCGTCGAGTCTGCAATTGGTGCAAGGACTCTGCTCGACGACATTGCAGCGTACTTTGCGAGCTCTGCACGATTGACAGGCCTTTGAGGCACGTCTCTTGACACTCTTGTGAATCCTGGTGCCAGTAGCAGGCAGGCCGGCGTCGCTGGCCTTTCTCTTCGAGTTGGGAGAGCTCGAGGGTCTGGCCGCAGCCAAGTGGTCGCCATTGACAGATGAGTCCGACATGGTCGATGGGGTCGATGGTCAAGAGATAGGAAAAGCGCTCGCGCGGGAGGTCGCGGGGGAGCTGCTTACCTTTGTATTTAATCTACTCAGCGGCCACCAATGCACTTTTGGTTAATCAGCCTTCGATTCTCCTCCCCCATGATCCACCGCCCCACGTTGTGGAGACTCCACGAACTTCTTCTGCGCGGTATCAAACCGTCTGCCAAGCAGTCCTCCGCGTCTACTTGGTTCATTTCAGGGATGGCGCAAAGTTACGCTTGTTAGACCGCCATTCTCATTCGCCAAAATGTCATTCTATCCCGATCGTCGGTCCAGCGGCTTATGCGTGTTCCGAGTACGACCCTTCGAGAACTCCTTGACTTCACAACGACACATGAACCACGCGGCCTGATGTCCTATGAACTCAAGCCACCCCCGGTGTCATCGGGCCACCGACGGGGAGGAAACCGCGGAGTCGCGGGCTAGCTCTATCACTTGAGACTGTCTTTCCAGGGCATTCTAGATCGGAAACGGGCACGAGCGCATACGAATGTGGAGTTCCGACCTGAGCATCGTTCCGTTCTATACCGAGTCGGGTATCTCTCGCGAGTGAGCCGGAAACCGGAACTTCGAGCATGTGAACTGGTTTCATTCCCTCCTCGCAAAGGTGCGAGCATGATGCACAGATGCGTCTGCACAGCCGCTCCGCAGACACGGCAACTGTCTCGGGAGGTCCGGGCCAGCCTATCCGCAATATCCGCCGTTGTACTATCATTTGAGCAAGACTTCTCCTGCTTTCAGCGCTTTCTTCAAGGTAAGTGAATTCAAATTGGTAAGCGAATCATTATGCAGTACATTGAAACGAAAGTAGCTCATGTGACTCACACAGGATTGTGGCTTCGATTGAGATAATTACATGCGACAAATTCACGCGCCCTAGGGCGCCTACTTCTTCCTTAATTGACGCTTCGACTCGTGTCGTACAGTACTTGGGACTACAACCAGAAACGACAAATATGGTTCTTTTGAAGGTTTCTGTTCAAAGATATACAAGTCTATGCAGAAGGTGCTGAATATCTGGGCAGCCACTCGATTGACTTTCGCAAGAATAGGGACACCGATGTGTGCCTGAAATGCACTGCATGTTCTAGATGAGCCGGAAATCCTGCTCAGAGCCTCAACTGTCTGCATCTGCGCGAAATTGTTGCAGCGTTTCCGTTCGGTCGAGGCAAGGAGGTCTCGAATCTGAGTTGTTTACCTGTTGAGTTGACAGGAAGGTAAAAATCTCATAAACCTCCCGGAGTCCAAGCTGTCGTCGTCACACTATATGTCCTTTCTAGCATGTTTACTGTACTTCTTGCGTAGTGTCTCTCCAAACTAGGTAGGTATCAGCAAAGCTGCGAAGTTGGTTCTCTATGAGAAGACTTACAAAGTAAAGGGCGAAGGGAATCGGTATGAATGCAATAGCAAGGAAACCAAGCGTCGATGACGCCCAATCCACCCCTAGGTCGTCGTACATTGCACGGGCAAACAACGGGAACCCGGCGCCGAAGGCGGACCTCATGAAATCATTGCCGGCCAATACCGAAGCCGCGTATTCAGGATATGCATCGGGCAAGTAGTTGAGTACACTGTTGAACAAGAGAACGGACCCCATGGAGAAGAAGGCCGAACCGATGATAGGCATGATCCAGTGGATATCGGCCCTTGCACTCCAGCCAAACTGTTCAAACAGATATGTCAGCGAGCGAATGACGAATTCAGACGCTAGGAGTGGAGCATACCCAGAACAAACAGACAGGAATCATGAAAGCGCCCACGCAAGCTGGGGGCAAACGTTTCTCAGGCTTCAAGTCTCCGTTGTCGTCAAATTGGGGCTCAAGAACCTTATACAGATACAGAAAGAATGGAGGCAGGATAGCGAATGCTCCGATCAGGATACCCAGGTATGCAAGACCTTCTTCTCCTAGGTTGAAGCCATAAATGTCGATAAAGACAATCACAAAGCTTTCGAACCACACGTACAAAAGGCCGTATATGAGAGCAATATATAAATTGAGAGCGAACACGATTCCTGGTCCAGGTCGTCAGCACGCTGTCGGAAGCAAAAGGGCATAGTGTGACACATATTCTCTGACCTTCTGTGAAGTTTAGCGTAAACGGCCGCACAAGAGACATTATAACGATATCTTTGACCGACATATCTTCGCCCATCAGCTCGGCCTCGCAACGCAAGTTTTGGTTACCGGTAAGCTTTCTCAGTCTTTTTGTTCGACGGACCAGCAGATTGTTGGCAGAAGTTTCTGGCAGAAACAGCATGAGGAAGACCCAGCAGAATGCGCAGAGCCAGACAAGTTCCCAGATTGGCCATGTCCAGTCTTCATGCTGGGCAGCAAATCCACCGACCAAAGGTCCCAAAACAGGGCCACAAATCGCCGAGATGCCCCTGTCAGTGAAAGATTAGTCACATTTCTATATTTCCTTTCGATCAGATCCTCACCAGATGGCAACTGCATAAGCCCTTTTCCTAGGCACGTATATATCGGCGAGGGAGGCTCCGCCTGTGGCTAACACCGGACTTCCGACGAACCCTGTAAGGAATCGAAAAGCAAAAAGCATGCCTTCAAGAGGTCAGGATGCATGCGAATGATAAAATTGATAGCAACATACCTATGTTCGTAGCGTATATCACGCCAAAGTTCAAGAAGATGAAAGCGAAGAGTGTAACGATGTAGCTGATGCGAGCATATCGTTAGCATATATCCGAATTGGTCAAACTAGACAGCGCCATGGACCAAGATCTGCCCAAGCTCCTCCTCTTGAAAAGGTACTTGTCGATCCAACAGCTACAGTCCTGAATGTACGTACATGGGGTTTCTGCCAATTTGTGGAATTTCTGACATCGGACTCCAGATCATCGGCCCAAGACCGTAGCCGGCAACGAATGTCGTAAGACCAATGGTTGCAACAACTGTTGAAACACCGAAGATCTGGGTAATTTGTTGTTCGCCAGCGCTGTAGATGGAAGAGCCGATGTAGATGCTGGTGGTTAACAGGCATAACTCGAAAGTCACCAGAAACTTCTTTTTCTGAGACCAATTGGTCGGGCATTCTGGATCATTGGGTCCCCACCAGTCAATGAGGTTTACATCCTTTCCCTTTTCAGAATCTACAACTTTCCCACTCGCAGAATTGACCGTTGTATCCTCTTCTTTCTTGGTTGGCTCAGAAGATTGTGAGTTGTGTCGTGAACGGTCTTGATTATCTTGATCGCCCTCGGGTACGTTTGGTTGACCGTGTCTGGCCATGTTCCCTGATTTCTCCCGGTTGAGATACTTCTCATACATCGATGGATCTTTTTCTTCCGGATACTGTAAAAGTCTGTCTTTAGAAAGCCATCGGATCATCTGTCCGACGGGAGCATCTCGAAATAGGTCCGACATAGTTTTAGTGGCCAATCAAATAAGGATTGTAGAGGAGGCCAGACAAGTCAAAGTTGCTTGATACTACCAGCAAAGGTATCTACACGAAACTAGAGAAGTGACAAAGGTGCCATTTCGCCAAGGAAAGTGGTTGCAAACTGCTGCTCAGAAAGGCGTCATAGATCCATTTGCTGCACTTGCCGACTTCAAAATATGTGAGGTGACAAGTCCTGAAACTTATCGGGAGATGTGCAATATCCGACCAACAATCAGAAGTTGATTTTGAGCTCTGCCATTCTTTTGTTGTTTCGGTCGGTCTTGATGCAACCAGCCCCGTGCTAAGTTTGTCACATTTGTCGCAGCCACACGCTGTGCTCATACAGGGTCCTTGTGGAACATCAGCCTTTTGACATGAGAAAGATCAAGATCAGCGCAGTTTCGTCTTTAGAAATCGTCTTCAATTACAAGCTGAAGCTGTTTTTCTCAATTGTCTTGCCGGTCCCCACGTCCACGAACTTGATAAGTGACAAACTTAGCGGTGGATAGTCTGTCGTCACGATGAGCGTCATCCCGCAGAGCCGCATGTCACACCGCAAATTAAACTCCTATCCGAGATCTTTATGTCAGCATCATCTCCAAGCATTATTCATTGATTCTCGAGGTGCACAAGACTTTTGTGTAAGCAAAGCAGATCAGGCGGGTTGACCATCCTCAAAGGCATGTGACAAACCTGACTTCTGGAGAAGTTGGAAGCGAACAGAATCTCAACTGCAATTTCGTTCTTTGAGAATTGTGGAATGTTCACGATCGTAAGCTCCTCAGACACACGACCATCAAGGTGATATGACTCTGTCATCTGAAGCCCAAGCGGTTTCATTGTAACCACAGACGATGTATCCGAAGGTGCAGTCTTCTGATCCTTGCGGTCCATTCTGATCTCGGTGAGGCTCGTTTCACAACAATGGCGGGATTCTTGCTCAGTCTTACCTCGGACTCCTCTACGTCAATCGAGGCAAGATGTGCTGATGGAACAACGGATACTTCTTGCCTGATAAAGACTTTAGTGCATGGTGTTTACTGGGACCAGAATGGGAGGGCACGTGGATCGCGCTTTCCATCTGCACCATCTGACCATCAAGGTGTTCAATCGAAGCATCTTGCTGGCCTTCTCCACCATCATGAACCATCAAGGTACCGCAGAAACAACCCATCTCTACATTCTCAGCATCTCTATAAGGCCATGCGTCCTTATTATTTTCTTTCATTAGCTTCACACATAATACTTGCCCACTCATGGATTCAATTCTAGTACAACCGCAGTCCTTGATTCTTTCGCTGCCTCCTGAGCTCATACTCGGCATCTTCGCTCGAATCGAATACACGCCAGCTTATCATAATCAACTACGTCTCGTATGCCGCGACTTCAATGGCCTCTTACAACAATACGAACACAGCCTGGCAGCCGAGACCGTTTACCTACACTTCCCGCTGGGCATCTTGGCCAAGTATCCTGGCCTATGTAAGACGGGGACGAGTATCGGTCTCAAAACTCTGGACGAGCTGTACATGCGATTGTGCACGTTGTTCCGTTTAGAGAGAAATTGTCACAATATCCGAAGACGTGAGGCTAAAGAGGCAGCTTGGATGAGGCCTGAATGGATAAACCTGCAACAAGCAGGGATGCATCTCCTCTATCGGCTTCATGACGCTGGTATTTTCCATGCACCATACCAGCTAAAGTATCAGGCTTACACTCGACGACAGGCAATCACGAAAACAAGTCACAGGTCATCAGATCACTGCCTCCCACATCCCTCGCCATTCTTCTGCTTACCCTTTACCTCTGCATACAACAACTGCGTGCAGATGGCCCGAGCCTTCTCATACCGACCTCACCACTTCTCCATGGCATGCTACGCTTCGAAGTCGAACTCTGCTGTCAAGAGCTCATCCTTCAAAACGGCCCCAGCTTCTTAGACGCTTTACTCTGCCATTGTCCGAATGCTATCGCACTTCTAGAAATCGAAGTTCGAAACATTGAAGCCAGACAATTGCCTCTAGAGGATGGAAAAGCTAGGGAGAAGACATTGATAGCAGAGTGCAGATGCCGATTGGCAGATACTCTAGGGACGAATGTCGAGGATAACAGAAAAGACATGTGGAATGTGTTGGAAAGAATAGGCATTTTGGACGAAACAGACATCGTAAAAGTCATCAGAGGAGAAGAACTTGCCATTAGAAAGCGACAAGATTCTGGTGTTGGATTGTAGAGAGCAGCAGTGGACGCACAACATTCGCTATTTCTAGTGTTAGAACTGCAATCTTAACACAATCTTTAGACTACCAATCAGCAAATGCTGTCTTTTTCTGTTGAAGTTTTTGATGTTCTGTCTCGGACCGAGCACTTTTATAAAAACAAGTCATGTTGCATGCAAGCCCCAGTGCCACGAATAGACAATCCAAAATCGATCTGATTGCATGTGAACGACGTCGTAGCGTGTTACAACTTAACGGATCGAAAGACATTTTAGGAATGCCGTCCAAAAAAAGAAAAAATTCTATCATAGTTTTCGTTTTAGACATCATGACTCGTGTGGTTAACCACGTGAAATCACAGTTTACTGAGTTCAGCCATCTTTTACTCCAATCAAAGAAGGTGGAAGACTTAGTTCCAAAGGCTGAGCGATGTTCTCTTGTGCCCGGGTGTGTTCTTCGGCGAGGAGTTATTGTCGGTAGTGATGTTTGGAAATTTTAATATATGAATAGGGTGACCACTTGGTCTGTTGAGCATTTCGCTATGTATATACAGTAGATAATGCACCTTCCTTCTTCCTCTTCTGGATGCTTTTTCTTGGATGTTGCTTCCTTCTTCCCTCTCTTCCCTCCCTCGAACGTATTGTTCCCTCCCATACCCCTCACACTTCCCTCAGGCAAACCTTAGAGTCGGAAAATCTCCAGAAACGGACTCCCGCCGACAATAGGCTCTTTGAGTTTTGGGTCGGACAGAGTCCGATTCTCTTTGCCCTGTCTTTCGCAAACCGACGGCCAAAATGCATCCATTAAGTTACGAACATATACGAACGCATGACCAGTTTTGGTGAACCTTCTCTGCTGTTCAAGGAGAAATGAGAAAGGGGAGAGGAGGAAAAAAAAAAAACATAGAAAGGTCTCCGCTATGCTCGGCCGTTTTCCAAGAAACTCAAAAAGTGGTATTTGACGAAACAAAGTGAAGAAGTGACGGAAGATGTCCGAAGAGGAGGGCGCGCCAGGGCAGCGGACTCTAGGCATATGACAACTGCTGTAGGTTATCATTGCCTGGTACGCCATCCTGCTTTTTGCATGCATGCAGTGAGCAAGGGTCCAAAAAATTGATTGGCTTTTTTTGTGTTGATCGTGGTCGAACTAGTTGGCTGATCACTGCTAGTGGTTCGACCGACATGAGCTGCTTGGATGATGGATGGTTGTGAAGCGAGCGTGTTTTATTGGGGGCTGGGACTGCTGTACCGCTATATCCTCCACGGTGTTGGTAAACTCTGTTGCTGCTTGAAAGACTTTGATGTACGTTGATTTGCACCAAGATAGGGGGGTTAAGAGCCTGAGCTGGCATCTTAGTATGGCAGGCTTGGGCTGGTGTATTGTCGAGCTTGGATTTCGCAACCATGATCTGGTCATCTTACAGCTCCTGCAATGTACCATCTTCCATTGTCATAGATCCATTGACCTTCGGGACCAGTGGGAGCACCAACGCCATTATGTGAGACGGCGCCATCACTGTTGTCGCTGCCGAAGTAGTATTCCCCGTCAAAGGACTTGTCATCAATCTTTTTGGGCACAGAGTTGTAGGTGGGTATGTCTCCAGCGAACTCCGGATATGCGGCGATGAAAGATGCGTCAATGCGCCAGCAGCTCAGGTTGTTGAAGCGCTTGATCAGTTCGTCTGAGAACTGGAACAGCTGCTTGTCATTCTGACAGAATGTTGCGGAGAAGTCCGAGTTCCACATAAAGCGCGTGCTGGAATTGAAGAGTGCGAGGAAGGTGTCGTTGTCGTACTTGTGGCCTTCAAAGACGAAACGCTCGCGTACACCGGGCCTAATTGCACGTAGCTGTCAGTGCATATTTCTTGAGCAACTTGTATCAATCTTACCAAGGAAAGTAATCGCCGTTTGGTATGTGAGGAACGTGAATCTGAGATGGGCGAGGTCGCATGAATTTTGGCTCTATATTGGCCATGGCTTGAGGACCCATAGCCATACCTTTCATCATGCGGCGGAAGGACAGCATGCCCACCATGCGGTCCGCTTTCTTCCACTGTGAGCAGGCACTTCCATCAATCTGCCGTAAGAGACTCCACAGCGGATCGAGCTGCATGTAAGCCGCGACAGCGTCCCAACCGTGTATCATGACCATGACGATGATGTGTTGGTCGAATGCTTCGTCTGTATAGGCCGCCGCCGTGCCTGGAACTGCAGACATAGCATCTGTGATAGTGCTGATCTGCTGCTGGTGCTCAGGCGGCGAGGATGACACGATTGGTTGTGCTTGTTGAGGAGGCATGCTGAGAGGAATTGTCATGGGGTATTGAGATGCCAGCAAGGCAGGGTTGTTGATGGGCATAGCCATCGATGTTGTTGTAGCTGTCGGCATAGGTGCAGTCTGCACAGTCGTGTACATGGGTACCTCTGTCGTAGGCATAGTCGTAGGCATAGGAGCCGTTGGTAAGCTGGTAGCATTTTTGACATCGGGCTTTGCATCCACAACGCTCTCATTTGGGGTGGACGAAGATGTTGCTTCGTTGCCAATGTCGCTTAGAGAAGTTCGGATGAGAGATTCGATTTGACGCAATCGTTCCGCTTGACGGTTCAGTCTCTCCTGATCCTGTTCATGGCGTAAAATCAGGTCAAGGACAACCTTGGGTTCATCAGGGTTTTGCAATCCATTCAGTCGAGCTTCGAGTCGTCGTAGATTCTCGCGGTCCTTTTCTCTCTTTCGTCGTTGGCAGAGGCGGTCCTGTTCCCTTTTCCGGGCCTTCTTCATCTCAATGTCGTCCTGCTGGGTTGGGGTCTCGCTGCTCCTTGAGACAGTGGATCGATTCCTTGAGGCTTCGCCGCCATCGTTGGATCCGTATTGACGAGACGTCATGGTCAAGTTGTGGGAAAAAGATGGGGTTTCCCTCTGGCGGTCCTTCTCGTGGCAAGAGTTTTATTTATTTTGTGGCAGGACAAACCTTGGGAGCTATCCAAAGTACTTAATGTTGAGGACAGAAGGCCTTAGCGATAACAAAGTGACATACCCGTGCGCCCATTTGACGGCTTGCAATATCACGGCATCCAACTGGGTTTAAAGCAGTTCAGGTTCCCCTCGATTCAAGTAAGTTTGGAGGCGTAGGATCAAGTTGAGGCCCGCACCATGTCGATCGGAGCAGCAACGACCTGGCAAAAAGCTCTGCGAAGAGTAACATGGATTAATAATGTACCCTTCCCCGTCTCTGCGTCAAAACTCTCTTGCGTGGTTGCAATCACTGCCGGCCCTGACGGCAGCGGCGCTAGACGAAACCGTGCGAACCGGCAAGCTCCTGTCCATCTATATGACTCGTGGAATCGCCATAATTGGCAGTCGGACCGTGAGCCGTGATTTGTGTATGCGGCAACCAACGGACGAGTTCGGGGCAGGTCACACTTAAGACTACCCTCTTACCACAAAACATCGTTCATCTGTTTTAAGCTTTGATAAAACAACATGTTCTCGAATCACAGCCGCTCTGGCACCATAGATGCTCCGTGGATATCAAGTTGAGGTTTCTGGTTGAGATGTTCATCATCATCATCAGGCCGCCCGTCCTTGCCTCACTATTGGTACTACTCGTACCCATTTCTCCACCTGTTCGACATGGCATCATCGTCAGAGATTGGATACAGTTTGGATGGCTGAATCTGGCTTGATCCCATCAATGTTTTGTTATTCTAGGTGGCGTTTGTTGCACTTCTTATGGAATCAACTCCGTAAGCAGCGCCGTAAGCTCTCGGCTCCCGGTCTCGGTCTGTGGCTCGCCTGAACAGGTAGTGATATAATTTGATAAGAGTCGGCGTGTGAATGTGAGCTCGAAGCTACTAACTAGCTTACTTGAAGTTTAGGTTAGGGCGCCTGCCTGTGTAAGATACAAAGAGTAACATACATGATACACAGCTGGCTTGTCATCATCTTCTCCAATGCCAACGAGTGGCACAATACTTCTTTTGGGTATCTTTGTAGTGCATCATTTCGCGGATGCAGGTCGGCCTCGTTCCAGTAAGGATTGCGGTGTGACCTCGAACGTGGCCTTGATGTGACCGTCCCATGCGCCCAAAGGATCCGATCCGATCTTGTTGTGGTTGGCCATAGCAACCTTTTTCTTCCATGGCCTCTTGGCCTCTTTGTTCCTTGTTCTTCGTCATCTCTTGCCGGCAGAGGATTCCATCACACGTGTTTGGTAGATCCAATGACCTCTCCTCGGACCTTCGTCCAGTCAATGCTTGAATCCATGGCTTCGTCTACCAAGCCACAGACGACCACATTGTCGCCTCGAATCATGTAGAGTCCATGCGGTTGCTCTGAGCTCTCTTCCGGGTCATCTTGTGGTCTGATGACACGTTCGACAGTGTCCTTGAGAACGAGGTTGGTAACTTGGTCGCAAGACACGAGCGTGCCTATCAATGTTCGTCCATCGACAGTTATGATGAGGATTTTCTCTGCGCACATGGTCAGCCACTTTTTGTGGTGAAGAACAAGCCTGCAAACTCACTGTTCATGTACTGGTTGAGCGACATTGTAGTGGCCGGTTGCCGAAGCGCGTTTGCGCCTGGCTACAGTCTTCTCTCTGAATCGATGCGCGCAAGAACAGAACGTTAGTGCTCGTACGCGATGAGTCGCAGAAGGATGCGCCGAAGAGGGGAGCTGAGCGAGGGTGGTCAGGTAGTGTTTTGTTTGGAGTAGATAGCTTCTGAAATGTGCTTTCGGAGCTCAAAGATCGAAACATAGAAGGTCATATGGTCTGTGCGCTGATGCCATCGGTGAGTGCAACACCCTGTCCAAGAGCTCCCCTGCAGCTTGTCCACGCTTGTCTCAAATCTTCATATCGGAGACCATGTATTTATATTGCTTGAATACTGGATCGCTTAGGCTAACCATAGAATCAGCACTTTCCAGAAAAACCTGTTGTTTGGGAAGGAATTGATTCAAGCTGCAGTTTTTCCACGCCAAACTCCTCCCAATGACCAATTGATACACACGTGACATGAATAAATGCTCCATCTAACACCACAGCCTGATAGTTCCATCCGCACCTGCACTGACCAACCATGGCTCACGAGGATGCCATTCCACATCCAGAACTCCGAGTTCTCCCGTAACCTTGTGTCCCTTCAACACCTTCAGAGGCACAATCAATGCGTTCTCCAAGCTGTCACCCACAACCTTACCGTGGAAGATTTGCAAGCTACCGTCATCACTGGCATCTGCGAACAATGGGTATTGGCCAGAGTTGGGGTGGTAGCGCACACTTCTGATAGCCTTCTGGTGGTATCTCAGAGTCTTGTATGGCGTAGCGGCAAGATCCATATCGTGCCACAACAGTCTTCTGTCATAAGAACCAACCAGCAAGTTGTCACCACCGGGGTGTACATCGATGGAACTGATCCATCGGGCACCAGGCTTCAGCTCCTTGTCAAGCTTCTGCTGTTGAAGATCGTAGAGACGGATGGATTGTCTTGTTGCAACAAAGAACAGAGGCTTGGTAGGATGGAACGAACAAGTTTGCGCGATACCCTTCAAGCGGCGGAAAGGATGTTGTGTGAGGTGTTTGGTAAGGGTGTGGATGGCTACAGCAGTCGAAGTGGCGGCTGGTGAAACTGTGCTGAGGTAGTCACCACGACGGTGCCAGTTGATGACCTTGATAGTGGAACGCATAGTGCAAGCAAGGAGAACACCTTGATCTTGCAGTCTCTGCGACTCTGGTCTGGACCAGACAGCTGAAGGAATCTTCCTCTCAGCGCCAGCATTGGTGGTGGCAGGTTTAGCGGCATATCCGAATCCTGCGTCAATAACATCCTTGCTGGCTTGCTCAATCTCGGGCGAGCAAAGAGAGAAGGGAGTGATGAAGTAGACTGTCTCGCCACAAGCTGCGGCAATGATGAGAGTGTCACGAGTAGGTCTCCACTTGACAGCGTTGACAGCCTCGTCTGAAGAAAGCTTGACGCTGTAGAGTTGACGTCCAGAAAGCAGTTCCCAGACTCTAACAGTTCCATCGTCACCACCACTAGCAATCAGAGTACCGGTAGGACTGACTGAGACGCAACGCACACGGCCTTGGTGGCCTCTGTAGAGAGTAGCGCAAACAGTTGGGAAGGGTCTGAGATCATCGGGCGAAGGAAGTTTGGGAAGGAGGGATTCAGGGTCGATGTTGAGCTTGCTTCTGCGGACACGAGGAGCAAGATACAGATCCAGACAGCGTTCGAATCTTTCCTTGATGAACTTGTCGTAACCAGGAACTCTGCGAAGAGCGGAGTGGTCGGTGGGCAGGTATTCTCTGTCGCGGTCCTCCTCATCAGCCTGCTCCCAGGCCTTTCTCTCCTTAGCATCAGGAAGATACTCTGGTGGGGGATGGTAAGATTCGGCATATCCTGGTGGCGGTAGTTTGGGAGCAGGCATGTTCATGGCATGGTCGGCTCTGGGTGTCTCATCTGCCCAGACATCGTAGGTCTGCACGTCGTCATCCTGTTGTTCTTCCTCGCTAGGCTCTTTCCAGGGCTTGATTCTTCCTTCTCTGATGGCTCTGACGATCTTCATGACACGCTTGGCCTCGTGCTTACTGGGTACGAATCTTCTCTTGGGTTCGGGAGCAGCACTCAAAGGCATGATCTCGGTCTTGCTTGTGAACCACTCAACCATGTCGGGGTATGGGTCGTAGCCTTCGCCAGGGGCTTCGTTTCTTGTCAACTTCCTCAGAACCTCCAGCTCATCTCTGCTAAGCTCCAGAGGCTTGCCAGTCTGGGGATCGGTCAAACCAGTCCAGCCTTCAGGAAGCTCAATACTGTCGAGCAGAGCATCCAGAGCTTCGCCCTTGGCAGGACGCATAATCTTCTTGCCGTTGATGTCGTAACCGATATGGGGGTATGAGTCGTAGAAAGAGAGAGGAATGTTTCCGATTGTGTTTTTGGCATCACCAGCATCCGAGTCGTCCGAGTCGTAGACGGGGTCAATCTCGCGGTAGACGTATCGCTCGTTGCCATTTGCATCTGTGGTGACGGTATAGTTGGGCTTGAGATCCTCGTCGTCTTCATTGTTGGATCGTTTTGTGTCGGCGGTTTTGAGGTTGCGTAGTTGATCGCGGATGTCTTGCTCATCGTCTTCAGAAGGAATCTCATCGCTGTCTAGATCCTCCTCTTCGTCTTCCTCGTCCTCGTCTTCCTCGTCCTCTCCATCGAAATCCACCTCTTCACTGTCATCGGACTCGTCGCCTTCAGACAGAATGCCTTCGAGGTTGCCATTTGCAAGCTCCTCACGCGGGGGCAGCACAGGCTCCTCGCGGGCAGCAGCCTTGCGTTTGCGGCTCTGGGTGGCAAGAACCATGTTGATTGTTTGCGACAAGAAAATGTGCCAAAGTTGTTTGAAGCCGCTCGGACTTTGGAGAAAAAGTTCAAAAGTTCCTTCCCCAAGTTCGAAAAGCGGAATTCGAGATTATCTCTTATCTGATCTATTCATGCTTGGCTTCCGTCGGCCCTCTACTTGCTCTATCCGACCCATTCCTGTGAGCATCACCATCAATCCTGATGCCTAATGACAAATATTATGGAACGAAAGAGGATCGCTTGTGATGAATGCAGTACGCCTCACTATAGAATCTACTGCAACCCTCGAGACTAATAGTCTAGGGAACCGCAAACTTAAATGCCCAGGAGAACAACCCGAGTGTTCGCGATGTGTGAACGACAACATCACCTGTGTATATTCTGCTCAGAAAGCCATGGGTAGACCTAGGAAACGCAAACTAGGGGACTCAGAGCAGTCGGCCATTGCTATCCAGGAAGCAAGACAACAGACGTCTCGCGCCGGATCTAGTACCTTTGACAGTGCAATTCAATTCGATCCGCTCGTCGATCAAATCAACTTCTCCGAAATGGATTTGCCTAGTTTAGACACTATCAACGACAACAGTCTCCTCACTGCATCTGCTATAGAGTCTCTTCCAGCTCAATCATGCGCCTGCCTTTCCAGCATATATTTAACGCTAGACAACTTACGTTCTATGGATACTATCGACTTTCCCTCCAGCCTACACTGTCTTCGCGATGCGTTGCATACAAGCAAATTGTGTATTGATTGTCAGGTCTGTCCATCGCAATACCTCACGGCTACACAAAATGCGCAGCTCCTTGGCACCCTACTACTTTCGATGTCTGAGCGATATAACAGGATACTCAAGGTCATTGCCTCGGAGACGACGCGTGCCGAAAACACAGGTCAGATGAAGACTCTTCACATCGGTAGTCCTGAACCATCCAAGCCGCGACATGAGAATGTCGGCGGCATAGACTCGAATGACCCTCTGGTACTTGAACTGCCACCCACAGAGTGGAGAAAGCTAGCAAGAAAAGTTGTACAAGCCGAAATCTACGGCACTTCTGATGCTGGCCGTATTAGCTTCATGTCGGTCTTGACGAGATTGGAAGAGAGGCAGGCTCGTTGGCACACAATGGAACCAACCGAGGATTGTCCTGATCCGGATCGAAGAAGACACGATATGCACGATCATAACAATAATCCAATGTGCCTAATGTTGGCGCGTCAAGCGAAGAAGCAAGTAAACCTCCTCGATTTTGACTGAGGAATATCAAGGCTTGCAGGACTTGCCTCTTGACCAGGACCGTTGACAGCCGAGACCGTAATGATGGTGATGCAGAGAACTTGGGATGCTTCATGTCTGTCTTAACCTGGCCAGCGCAGCCATCATACCCTCACTAAGGTTCTCATCAGCGGTCTGCAATTTGTTGGCCGAAGGTACTGCTGCTGCTGCTTTTGGTACGGCAGATGTTTGAGGTGGAAGTGCAAAAGCTTCTGCCATGGCCTCTTCCTCATCAGCGCCGGGCTCATAATCATCGGCGAGTCTGACGTTGGGTCTCTTGTCTGCGTCGGACGTCCCGACAGAAGTGCTGGCCTCAGGAGAGATGTTGACAGAAGAATGTGTACCAATACCAAGTCTGGCAGCGACACGACTGTCTTGTTCGACGGTGTTTTGAGTGGGTCTTGAGTCTTCTCGATTCAGGCGACGCTTGGTCTTGGTTACACGGAAGGGCTCACGGACAGATTGACACCAAGCCTTGACTTTCTTGTCACCCCAACCAGCAATATGGGCTAGGTCTTCTGGGCGGGCATTAACTGAAGTGCGCACGCTTCCAAAGTTTGAAACGATACCGACAGCGTCAGTCTTGTTGATGCTGCGAGGAACAGTGATGAACTCGACGAGGTTGTCGGCAAAGGTGGCTGCTTTTTGGGCCTTGATGCCAGTCGGAGCAGCATTCTCGCATGATTTGAATAGCTCCAGGTAGCGGCCAGCCTCGTTGGCACTCCAGGTGAGCATCAAGGTAACATTGTTGATGAGGGAGGTCTTGGACAACTCTTTCAAAGGGTCTTGGTGGTTTTCAATGTCTACCATGACCAGAACGATGCGAAGAAGGTACTTTTGGCCCAACTGGCGAATGCGGGCATAAATGTATTCAGGATGCAGGCGATGATATTTCAGAGACAGGAAGAGAGCACACGTTGTCTGACCAAGAACGAAGTCGGCAGGGATGTCTGAATACTCCCAGGGCAGAGACTTGATACTGTTCAAGATGGGGTTTCCTTTCTGGCGTGGAGAGACGAGAATGGACGAAGCGGATTTACGAGCAGGTAGCGCTTGAGGAGTGGGTTGGACGACCTTGCGTGCATTGTCGGAGGCAGGAGCAGGTGGAGGCGGACGAGGATTGGGAGCAGCAGCAGTGGTGCGATCAACAATCTCGAACAAGTCGGACTCGTCGCCGTACTCGTCGGGCATGGCGGTGTATTGTTGAAGCTGGACAGACAAACATAGAATAGCTATGGTAATTTCAGGCGCGAGCTTCTGAATGCAAGTGATCGGCACAGGCTATGACGAGGGGTGGTTCACTGCCAAGAGGCGTGGCATCGGATCAGCCGCGATTCTTGGGTCCCCAGAGAGCGAGCGGCCGGGATGCACCTGAGGGCGCTCGAGTGACAGGAAAGCGTCGAGACAAGCCACGACTTATCCCTCTTCTCGCCATCCACACATACCAAGATACTTGGATCCGCCGGACGGTGACAGCGCATGAACGTAGGGCGTTAAACAAAGCAGGCTTTTACTAGTTCTCCATCACACGCCCACGCCTACGCACAGAAGAGCGAGCAAACAAAGACGCCGGCAATCACCCTCCTTTGACCCACCCGGACAAGCCCTCCTCCTCATCATCATCATCACTGCCAGCGCCGCCATCGACATCCCCATCTTCTATCCTCTTCGATACTACCCGCCGACGACGTATCGTCGCCCGTATGCCGACGTCGCCCGTCTCGCCGCCTTATTACTACCAGAACCAGCCCGTGATTCACAAGCCTGCGCCTGTCTCAGTCGCACCACACACTCCGCCCTCGCCTGCGTCGGTGCGCATGTCTTCGTCGGCGCATAATGGCAAAGACCAATCCTTTCCTACGCCGCCGTCGTCCTACGTTCCGACCAACTCGCATCCTACCCTTGACATGAACACCCTCCCCGACATGGATACCGACATGCCCGACGTCCAGGCACCGTCATCGCGGCCGGCTCTGCCGCTGCTCTGTCAGTCCCGTAAGGCTTGACCCCTTGTTGTTTGTTCAAATGTGCTTTATTTGGTTAACACAAAGTCCACGGATAGCTCATCCTATCTCGCGACCTCATCCAAATGAAGATCTCATCAACCTCTACGGCTTGCAAAGCATCGCCAACTCGGTTCGACGAACAGATCCCGTTACCGGCGAGAAGATCAACAAGTTGCGCAAGTCTTACGAGGGAAAGGTCAAGAATTTCGGCCTCAGTGGAAAGAACAAGCCAACTGATATCCCAGGCGAGTTGGGTGGTTTCATGCAATGGGACGAAGGATCGTGGTATGATCAGCGCATCCACGGCAGAGAACTCGACAAGGCAGAATCGTCATCCCTCATGGCCAACCTGGGTCGTGCTTTGACTATGAATCCTGGCACCCTCCCTGCTGAAGAGCACAATAAATGGAAAGCCATTCTCGGCCTCGACGACGGCAACAAGACTCCCTCCCAGCCTGCAAACAAGATGGCCGCCCATCCGCAAATGCTCAAGGCTCAGGCTTCATCCATGCGCGCATCTGCTCCTGCTTCACCGCGCGCATCTCACCCCAATAGCATCCGTCCGGACCGCTCAAACAAGAAGCGCCGCTACGATGAGAGTAGTTACACTGGTTACAATGAGAGTTACCAAGAGGATGATGGCTACTCGACTGGTGGCTTGGACGACAAGCGAAACTCTGCCACCAAGAAGCGCCGAAAAGTATGATCATCCTCTTACAACTCTTCTCCCTTTTTGCTGATTACTTTGGACAGGATTTTCCTACAAACTTTGAAGCTTCTGGTGGCTCATCGTCCTTCAACAACGGGATGCTGGGTGTCGGCGTCAAAAGCTCATGACCCCATCCTATATATTGACCCCCCTCTCCTTTCCATCTATACGGAACCCCTACGATACCACACGGCGAACGGACTTGCCCATCGCCATCTCTTTTATCTCTATTGCGGTCCACTTTGCTGTACCAACAAATTTTCCGTGCATACCCCCAAACTTCGGCTTTTGCCTTTTGCTTTTTTTTTTTCTTGCTGGCGTTACTACAAAATAGGACGCTTCGCGCTGGATGGGTGTGTTTTTAGCAGGCGTCGACTAATTGGATGGGATATTGGCTTTTCATCGGATACAAAAGAAGAACACGAACGAAAAGTGGTTCACAAGGAGGAATTGACTTTCTCTTCTTGCATTCTGAACCAAGAACAAAATGAGCAGAGGGGAGAAAAGACCAAAGGAAGGCCTTATCACGATGGATGCTGGTTGTGATGTGGCAACGTCTAATTCAAGTATTCCAAGATTATGATATAAAGATCTTTTTGACAGAAATGGACAACCAAAAAAAAGAGAACAATGACAAAGATCATAGACTACATGAGAAACTATGTGAGGTTTCAAGGCACAGTGTTTGTCGTTTGTTTGAATCATGTTTAATATAGTAGTAAGTTGACAAGAGGAAATAAATGCATTCGAGTTGACGCTTTTAACAAAGACAAGAAAAAAATGCAAGAAAGCAAAAGACCAAATCAATAACCCCTACCATTTCTCCTCTGCACCACTTTCTCAATCAACGATTCATTTGCAGAGGACCATTCATCCCAACTCTGTTCATCCATATCGTTGCTCAAGAACTTTGCATCTTTCTCGGCTGCATTTCTGACCACTTCGGGAAGAGATTTCTTCAAAAAGGACGAAGAGAACTGGCCATAGCGACCAGAAATCAGTTTTTGCATTATACGAGCAGAGACAGCAGAAGGAGATGTCTGAGACAGTCTGTGAGTTGCGTTGTAATTGTACAGAGCAGTGAGGGAGTCGTCGGGTTGAGAAGAAGTGTTTTGTCGACAGCGTTGAGATGAATATTCAGCAGAGAGGAAATTAGTATAGTGAGTGGTTGTAGCTGGAGAAGCATTGACAAGTCTTGCTATATCCACAATGGTGAGTGAGGGGTTTTCATGAGCGGATTCAAGGGTAACATTAACAGAAGTGGTGGAGGTAATCTCTGCGTAGATAGAGAGATTGCATAATAAATCTATCCAGGCGAGAATCTCGTTGACCTCTAGAGTGCCAGGGTGTAGACGGATCTCTATGGTTGGCTTTTTGGTATCTTTGTAGACCAAGTGCTCGAGATTGATACACGATTGGTGTGCTGTGCTGTACTCACCTAGTTCCTGGAAGTTGGTGGTGTTGTAAAGGCGATACAGCCAGTACGGAACAGAGGCACCGTGTTTGACAAGCGTTTCCAATTGACAGAAGTCGGAGGACTCAAAGGCAGACGTCAAGTCGTGAGCCAGATGTTCAAATTGCCTGATAGAGAGGGGAAGGCTGTATTTCCAACCAGCAGAGGGTGTCCAGGGGACGATCGAATTGCTTGGATCATCCATTTCCAAAGCAGGTAAGACAATGCGGTCGTCCTCCTCGTAACCAGAGATCCTGTCAATAGTGAGCAAGGCATCAAAGCATCGTTCAAAGGCAGTAAAGATACCCATGATGTTCTTGGAGGTGTTGAGATTGAAACCAAATCTGTCACGGCCGATGTGGACATGCAGACCGCAAGTCTCATTGGCAAAGACTGTGAAGCCAGGTTTGTTGAAGTTCTGCTTTAGAGTAGTGATAATTGCAGTAATCTCGTCACGCCAGTCCCACATCAATGGCTGACCATTGCAAGGCCAAGTCTGATTATGTGGACAAGGGCTAGGGTTGTTGAAATCGAGGATGCGAGATGGTATCTCCACATCACTGACTACGGAATCGTCAGGGTAATACTTCTTCTCGTCGTTGGTCAGCTTGACACTGCAATCACGAGTGACAACCCAGAACTTATAGTCGTTGTCCGAGTCATTGTGTTCCCAGAAGGAAGGCGGTTCGTTGTCAAAAGGTAGTCTGAAGTAATGTTGACCCACTTCACAATTGAAGGGGCAAGGAAGTGTTACAAGCTCGTTTTTGAAGATCTCGAAAACTGCCTGGTGAGCCGCATATTTATATTCGCCAGGAACTAGGACGAGAAATTCAAGCTCAACACCAAATGTAGACTTACCTGAAGTCTTGGCTGTGAAGGACATTTTGGTGTGGTGTATTGGGAGTGTTGATGTTCTTTGTTCGTCTTTGCGAGATGTGATTTCGTAAGAAAGGGCTAAAAATATCTTGAGAGCTATTTATGTACCATCTTTGAAGGCGTCTGACAGCCAAAGGTTGTTTGAGGAGGAGCCCCGAGTTGGTCAAGAACAATGGACGGTATCGATGGTCAAAGGGAAACAGTTCATTCATTCATAGCAAATCAAAGGACATCTCAAAGGAAAGCAATGTGTCTCTTTGTCACATTGTGTTTCATACAGCGAATGTGCCTACTGAGCCTTGACCTTCTTGGCTTCAGGGGCATCATCGGGATTCTGGACGATGGTGTGTTAGTGATGCTGGATTGAGCAGAATGGTGAAGGCTGAGATTATACCTCTTCAGTCATCTTTCTCTTGGAAGTGGTTGGTAGAACAGCCTGTGTCTTGTAGCCGATGACGTTCTTGTCGCCAACGACAGTAATACCGCAGTTGATGGTGAGATTGACCTGCAATACAGGCGTAGGCGAGCCAGATTCTGAAGCACTGGTCTTTGCAGCATTGAGGCTTTGGACTGCAGCGAGAAGGAGTGTTGAGAGGCGGGCTGCGTCGGCAAGTGGTGGTGTTGCGATCATGTTGCCAGTGCCTTGAACTTTTGTATCGGCGTTGAGAATCAATGTGACTGGTGATGGGTCCTCATCCTCTTCTTCATCTTCCAAATCGGTCAAGCTTTCTTCAGCGCAGTAGGCAGGTGGAGGAATGTCCGAGAGTTCCTGAGGGTGGCGCTCGCTATCTTCTTCTGCAGAGGCTCGTTCGAGCATGATTTTGTGACAGGAGTGCACGAAAGAATCCATGATGATGGTTGTGGAGAATGACTCTCGAGGAAGTTGATCTTGTAGAAGAGAGATGGAGTATGTAAGTGTGGGAAGGTGCAACACGCTGTTGCTGGAGAGGGTATGAGAAGCTTCTGGACGAAACGGACGATGGAAGCAGGATGATTTGGTTGTTGCAGAGTAACTTCTTGAAGTCTCTTGTTTATGGTTGGATGAGTAGTCGAACAGATACACCAAACAACAAACGGATCGAGAGGACAATAGAAGGACAACACGAGACAGTTACTCAAGTACCTACTGCAGGTCTATTCATTCTAGTACATCAATAGGAAGGGACACATGACGCGATGTGGTAGGCGCGTAAGCCATCGTATTGTCAGCCTCCCAACAGCATTGCAGTTCCTATTGTCGGAGTCTATTGACACTCGGGCCGAAGGAGAAGCCGATTGTTGTACAGCCGTGCCGAGTGTGGTGTTGAATACAGGGACTTGCTATTGTCAAGACAGCTTTGTTTTCCTATTGTTGTCTTGTCTGTCTGTGCGCACATTGGGCGTCCACCATCTCTTCGGCTAGTCTTCTGCCGGTCTTGAGACACACGTGATGACTTGCATGAGTGTTCTATAAGACGACGCTTCTTGTTGATATGCACAATTGACAGCCTGGCAAGGAACTTTTGTACTCTGTTCATGACATGGCAGAAAAATGGCCAGCCCTTGCCTTTGCGGCTGAAGAAGAGTGCGGGGCAGCCACCATGATGTGAACGAGGACCCTCGAGGACCCTTGGGACGCGACTGCCTCTTTAATCTCTGGTCAGCTTACCGCCTTGGTTCACTACTTGCACATTATATATTTCAGGCGCTTGCCGGTCACTGAGTGTCCTTTTTACGCTTCCCGTGGTTCCAAAACTCAGAAATCCTTTTCCAGCGCATCAATTGCCATGACGCCGTCATCCTCAAAGCACAAGCGACAGTCGTCATCGCTGCATAGTGCATCTCTGGCTGCTCAGAAGACCGAAGTCAAGATTCATGTTTACGACCTCCTACCAGTGAGGCTAACTCTTGTCCTCCACTGTGGCTTTCGACTGAACTAACAAAAACCAGCCAGGTCGTCTCTCCAATTTTCTTTGGACCCTCGGCGGCTCCCTACTACATTCCGGCGTCGTCATCAACGAACGAGAATATGCATATGGCGGCCATGATCGCAAAGGCGTCAGCGGAGTATATTGGACAAAACCCAAACTCGAACCACCAGGTGGAACCTTTCGCTGTGAAATCCTCCACGGCTTTTCCGTCTTGTCCCAAGAAGAAATCACCGACATAATCAACGACACTTCGAGGATATTCCAGGGTACCAAGTACAATCTGCTCAGCAACAACTGCAACCACTTCTCTTCGTATCTATGTGAGAGATTGACTGGCAGACCAGGACCTGCGTGGTTGAACAGAGCTGCTAGCGTTGGTCTTGCACTGCCGTGCGTCGTCCCTAAAGAATGGATCACTCCGCCCGACCATGAAACCGCAGATGGAGAACTGGTTGACGAGGAAGAGGAAGACCATGATGACGATGAGAGAGCAGCCATGTTACCTCGAGACAAAAGAAGAAACCGCGACCAGGTCAGCAATCAGCGCATTACTTCCAGAAACAAGACGCCGCCGCCACGACTTGTTTCTGTCAAAGACACTAGTGGCAGAGAAATGCCTGTCAGCGAGAGGGCACCGATGCCTAAGAGATGACGGTGCCTGGACTGGCGCAGTAAGAAAAGCAACAAAGTGTCGTCAAGACATAGACATTCACATCCAAAGTGATGCACACCAAGATCTGCATATTCCTGCACATAGCATACAGCACGGCGCATCCTCTAGAAGTTTCAGTATATCTGAGGCGTCTGTCTGAGAACAGAGTCATGGTATAATCAAGACATCTATCCTCAGCCATGATACGAAAACGAGGGAAATGCAATGAAGGCACGAGAGAATGAGAGGCGGATGCACGCGGATCGGGTTAGGGAAGAAGAATCAAAAGGCAGCATATTGGGAAAGGCGTATGGTGTACCTATCTAAAGGTAGTAGAAGTGGTATTGTAATGCTTCGTGAGAAACCCCTTCATAGGAAGAAACTCATCAAGGTGTCTATCGTTTTTAGCAAAGACGAAACCGTCCCATTCCAAAAATGCTACCATCAAAAGCAAAAAGAAGCATTCTCAAGAGCCTTCTTCTCCCACTCCATGTTTCTCGCTCATTTTTCGAAAAACCGCAGCCTCAAGTGAACCTTCCCAATTGATCATGACTGATAAAGCACAGAGCTGAGCTTGCTTGCTGCTCCGTGTGAATCCCTTCGCGGTTGATCCTATCTCATAGGCGCAGGACTAGCACCCGCCGCAGCGGCAGCAGCAGCCTCAGCAGCCAACCTTCTCTCGCGATACTTTCTGCCGTTGATGATATTCTGTAGGCGTTTTCTCTCGCGTGGGTCCGTGACTTTGGTCCAGTCCAGGTCTTCGCCTTCGACGGCGTAGTCTTCGAACATACTGGGTCCGCCTCCGCGCACGGTTGCTGCGTATGCATCTGGCAGGTCCGAGAGATGTTGGCGTAGTTGAGGGCTGTTGTGGCCGTTCTGTGAGGCGTGCCTTTCTATGAGGCGGTGAGGGTTTGGAATGAAGCCAGAAGGGGTGTGAGGAAGAGAGGCATGGTGGTGAGCATGTGGTGGAGGATCAGGTCTAATAGAGTTGAAATTAGCAAATTAAGAAAATGAAAGGGGCAGCTGGTTGGAAAGGCTTACCTGCTGGGTTTGGGCTGTTCGACCAGGTAGAGATCCTTAGCCCAGGGTGGCAGACGCTTGTCGCGTTCGTACAGAAGACCGCAGTTGTTGCAGAGTGACTGAGAGAGCTTGTTAGCGTCGTGACAAGTACTCGAGACCATGCAGAAACTTACTCTAGATCCATTAGGACCGTCGCGGACAGCCCAGACAGCACTTCCACCAATGCGACAATGACTGCATTGCCAGACGGGGCGTTCAGCCTCGGTCAGCTTGCCTTGCTCACCACCAAAGGCAGCAGTAAAGTCAGGCGTCTCACGACCTGTAGGACTCAGACTGCGGAATCGTCTCTTCTTCTTGCTTCTCTCGCCTCTGCCCATTCTCTCCTCATCACCAGCACCAGACTGGGAACCAAAGTAGTCATTTGCCAAAGCAGGCGGTGGTGCAAATCCAGCGTTAGCGCGTGCAGCCATCTCACGTCTTTGTCTGCGAATCTGGCGTTCACGGTCTCCTTCACGCTTTTCGATCTCGTCCTTGCTTAATACTTCAACACGCGGTTGCCATTCAGCTCCTAGATCGTCGTTGTCGAAGCGCCAGCCAGCGGCTTCTCCTATTGCCAGTGAACCATCGCCATGTACCTCTGCAGACTCGTTGTCGATTTGACCCCAAGCATCAATACCACTGCCGATGACTGCAAGCAATGAACCGTTGTTCTCACAGTATTCTTTCTTCAGCTTCAAGACAGCCTCGTAGATGGCGTGAGCGAGTGCGGGGACCCATTCTCCTGATAGACCCAAGTCGGCGCAGGTCTGTTTGGCGAAGATCTCGGGGAAGCCTGCCGGGTGCATAAGTGACCACTCGAATTTGTCGGTGTAAAGTCTATTCATAAGGTTGATCGAGAGCGAGATGATGCAGCGGTGGGCGTCGTCAGGGTTGTGTACGGAAGAGGGTGGTAGAGGTTGAGCAACGGCTGAAACATTGGCGTCGTTGGGCAAGGGTGTTTGGGCGGCATTAGGAGTATTGACACCATTTGTTTGCGGCTGTTGTGCAGATGGAGTTTGTGCGAAGGGTGTGGAGGAGATTTCGCGTGAGAGGGGAGGGCGTGTCGAGATGTTGCGAGTCTCAGTGGTGGTGGTGGGGGTAGGGTTGAACAGCGGGTGCATGACGACGGCAGCATGTTCTTCTAGTTGTGTGCGGATCTGCTGAGAGACTTGGATTGCTAGAGCGGGACGACGTTCCAAGGGAAAGTCCAGCTCGTCAACAAAGACCTTGGCGAATTGATCGGGGGTCATGAGAGCCTCGTGTAGATTCCAAAGGAAGCTATCCTTGATGCGAAATTCAGGAGTGATATCGGGAGCCTTGTATGCAGGCGAATTTTCGTCAACACCGAGGTCGCGCCCAATTTGGGGCTTGGGCAGAGGAGCTTCTGGTTGGAAAGGACTGACGCTCAAGTCGATGCGGATAGGAACGAGGTTGAGAGGAAGTTGTGCTTGCAGCATGACCTGTCTTTCTGTCATGGCCTTCTTCGGCTTGCCCATCCACTCACGCCAGATGCCTTGAACATCAACGGCACTTGTTAATTCAGTCGACTGAACGGGTCCGGTAGTAACGACGGTCTGGGACTCGTTCTGGCGCAGACTGCGTAGGCCGGTTGGTCTTCGGGGTGCGTCGCTATCTTCGACTAGACTGTCGTTCTCAAAGTCCTCGGAGTAGTTGATGGCAGTGGTGCCGCGCTTTGTCGTGCGCAGAGGAGGGATGGCATTTTGCGGTTGGATGGCCGGTGTCAAGAGCGAGTTTTGGTATGTGCGAACGCGCGGGGCAAAACTCGAGACGAAGGCCTGTGGACTCTCAGTCCTCGATAGGGAGAAGGTCGACATGATGTCGATGGTATAGTGCTGGATAGGCTGTGTGGAGGAGTAACAAGCCAGTCGTCGTGCGTCGTGTCGATGTCGCGTCTCAATCCATGCGCTGAGCGTCGCTTTCCTTCCAAAATACGCTTATTTCATCCAGAGAGGTATGCGATCGTGTTTGTCCAATCCAGATCCCCATGTATCCACTGAAAGTGGCCTGTTCGTGAGTGATCAATAAACTTGTACAGCTTCACCAAGGGATCTGTGTCCAGCCCTCCGAACAACGACGCGGCTTCGCGAACTTCCGCAATCACGTGTCATACCATCTTTCCATCATCTCATCATCATCATCACCTTCCAACCACCGTGCCTTGTGTTTTTATATCATTGCAGGTCCTGTTGAGATTCTACATTGTCTATTATCAAGTTCAGTCGACCAACATGCCCGGTGCATCTCTTTGGATCATCCCACCCAAGGACAGCTCTTTCTCCAAAGCTCTCCAGACCCTCATATCCTCAACGATACCCCCTCACTTCCCAAACACAAAGACTCATGACTTCATCCCTCATGTTACCATAACCTCAAATATCGATCAGTCCCTCTATGGCTCTGACCCTCAAGCCTGGCTGGGAGGTCTCCATCTACCTTCTGGCGACCAGCACGACCCTGTCTTCGTCACTGTAGATCTGCTCGAACCTGGCGATGCCTTCGTCAAGAAGTTGACATTGAGAGCCGGCAAAAGTACTCAATTGCTACAGCTAGCTTCCGCTTGCCGTGCAGAGGCTGTTGAAGGAGGTGACCAGAAGAAGGCCGAGAATTGGGCTCGTGACGAATATCTGCCTCATCTCTCGCTCATGTAGTAAGTCCTGTGTTTGTTTCTCAATTGACTGACACCAATGCTGAGACCTGCTCAGCGCCGATCTCCCCAAGGCTGAGGTTGAAAAACTCGTCCCGGAGATACAAGAGGATTGCCGCAAGGCTGGCCGCAGTGTTGAAGCACATGATGACGGTTCTGTCGCCATTGGAGGCAACATTATCTTGGTCGATACAAGCAAGCCCATCGATCAATGGCATCCCATCGCTACAAGAGCCTTACCCTACATCAAATGGGAATGGCCATGGTCAAAGTCGAGATTCGATGATTAATTGATATCATTTTCGCTAGCAATTGATATAACATGCTGAGCGTAATGACTACTCTAATAAAGAATCAACCATAACAAAAAATGAAACATCGCTGCGGATCGTCAAAAATCCCAAGTCCATCTACAAAGCCCTCTACCATCTGCCTCCGGTCTTTTTTGTGTGTGCGAGCCTCCTTCATTTTGTTGTCTCTAGCCCCGACTCAGCAATCTGTTCGCGGGCTCTCACCTAAGAATTGTTGATACATATGCAAGAATGCAATTGCGTTGGTGACATCTGACAAGAATGTCATTTTTTTTTTTTTGCTTCGAAGCAAGCGTCCAAAGTTGTCGTGTATGCTCAGCCGTGCAAGATAATATCGAATGATAATTTACAGGGCATAGGGGTTGAGCGATCTAATGGTCAAGCATCTGCAATTCAATTAGTATCTTGTGATCGGCTTGGGTAGAATATGAAACTTACGGCGGGCTCTTGGTCATGTCCGTCTTAAGGATGACTGGCACTCTCGACATCTCTCTGACATCCTGGATGTAGTTGCCATCTGACTCGCGAAGGCTGAACAGCTTCAGGTACTTATCCTTGTTGCTGAGCTTGGCCTCAGGTGTGGTGTGTAGGATCTTGGAGTCTGACTTGGTGCGTTGAGGACCCTGCTGAGAAGAAATGCCGTTGCGAGTGGGCGAAGGAGGCATGCTCTGGGTGTTGCGGTCTGTGTTGAGAGAGACACCTGCAGTCTGCTCAGTAATCTCGGAAACAGCATCGTCGTCGTCATCGAAGAGAGCATCGGCATCGTCGGTAGAGATGGTTGCAGTGTCCATCTGTTTGCGCTGAGTCTCTTCCTCCTTTGCACGAGTAGCGGCAGAGTCACGAGCAGCAGCGGCTGCAGACCAGTTGTTAGCTCGGCTAGCCTTAGGCTTCTCATCTTCGGGGACGAATGCAGAAGATGGGACGCCCTTCTCCCAGTAAAGCTCAAGCAGACGCTTGTTCTTGTCAAACTCGGCCTTCTTGAGAGGAAGCTGGTCACAGTGAACACGCTTCTCGAAACCGTACTCAGGAATCAAGACATCGAAGGCTGATTCGTAGACGCAAAGGACGATACCTTCGCTGATGAGATCACCACCAAGCTCCTGGCTCTTTCTGTCAAGGGCGCGGCAAGACTCGATATGCACACTCTGTTCCTGTGCAGCGTGAGCGGAGTCCTTCTTTGTGTTTGCAGTCTCAGCAGTCTTTGCCAAAGCCTCAACATCCTCGGTGAACTCTACAGCACCGTTGGTGAGGACGTGCTCAAGCTGGCGATGAACAACAATGTCTGCATAGCGGCGCGAAGGGTTTGTGAAGTGAGTGTACAGAGGCAGGTTGAGCGCGTAGTGCGAGTATTGATCGACAGGGGCCTTAGATGGGATGAAGTACTTCGCACGACGCATGGCCTTGATCAGAAGGGTTTCCACACCCTTGCGGACATCAGCATCCTCGATCTGGAAGAGACTGTTTTGGAGGGCACCACTGCTAGAAGTATCCACATCGACACCAATGTTGGCCATGCGCTCGTTCAAGGTTGCCAAGCGACGAGGGTTAGGGGGTGCCTGCTTGCGCAGCAGAGCCTTCTCGGGCAAACCAGCAAAGATCTTTTGAGCAACAAACGAGTTGGTCTTGTGGCTCAGTTCTTCAATCAGCTCGTGGGCAGGCGAAGAATCGAAGATGTTGTGCTCAACAGGCACATTCTCATCATCAAGTTGGTAGATCAAGCGAAGGGGCTGGTTGTTGCTGGTACCTTCACCGAATCTGGCTTGACGAAGCTTCTGGGAGATGCTGTGAAGCATTTCAATCTGGCTAGCACGTTCACCATCGAGCCCAGAATTACCTTGTCCGTTGATGATACTGTCGACTTGATCGTAAGAGACCTTTCCAGTACTCTTGATGATAGCCTTGCCAATCCAGGTATCCTCATCAAGGACACGACCAGTATCAGGATTGATCTTGAAAACAACACTGACAGTGTATCTTTCTTCGCCAGGGCTCAAAGAGCAGATCTCGGAGCTGATCTTGGGAGGAAGCATCTTGACGGTACGGTTCATCAGATAGACGCCGCTGCCGCGCTTCTTGGCCTCACGATCAACCATAGACGAAGGCTTGACGAAGTGAGAAACGTCAGCAACGTGGACACCAATCTCAACGTGACCATCGCTAAGGGTCTTGAAGTGGATTGCGTCGTCGAGTTCTTCGCTTCCGTTGGGGTCGATTGTGAAGGTTTGCTCGTTGCGGAAGTCACGACGAGACTCCAAAGCGGCCTCGCCATCCTTGGCCACAGACCAGTCTTCGAAGCCGACGTTCTTAAGGACAGCCTCGGAGAAGTCGTCAGGGCCAAAGTTGTTGTCACGCAGAAGAGCATCGGTCTCCACCTTAAGATCACCGGCATCACCAAGCTGCTCAACAAGAGTACCGAAGGGGTGCAAAGAAGTGATGGGCCAGCGCTTGATACAAGCGACGAAGATCTTGTTGGCATAGTCCTGGTGCTTCTCAACAAAGTCCTTGGGTGCCTGTTCAGTAGGAATGGCGATCAGCGGCACACGCTTGTCAGTGGGCTTGAACCAGACAATCTTGGGTCTGTCCTGCTGTCTATCAGGTTGGTTGCGTTGGTTTCCACCGTCACGACCTTGGCGCTCAGCCTCCTGTCTTTCCTTGGTAGCCTGACTGCTGGGACGGAGAAGACCGAGAGTACCAGAGAACATCTGACCGGCGACGCGCTCAATGACGGCCACAATATGACCGGCGTAAAGAGGCTTCTGCTCGTCGTTGATTTCGTCCTCCTCCATAAGGAGCAAGCTTTGACCTTCGACCTCAACATCGTCGTTCTTCTTCTGAGTGGGGCGCTGCTTCAAGCTACCACGTCTGCGAATGCCACCCTCGGCAGCAGAAGATTCTGGCTGAGTAGTAGCGTCGTTGACGGCGGTCATGGACGTACCGCGGCTATCGGTCATGTCCTTACGCTTCTTCTTTTCTTCCTTCTCGCGCTTCTGGCCCCAGACTTCATCGACGTCAAGAAGCTCGACAGCAACGAGATCACCCTCCAAAGCACGGTTACGGTCCTTGCTACCACAGATGAAGATATCGGCATCGAGGTCATTGGTGGTGACGTAGGCGTCGCTTCTGTTCTTCTTGTTGACACGGAGGATACCTGCAACGAGCTGTCCGTCGCCGAGAAGAGCAGGAAGAGTGGCCTGAGGAAGGTAAGGCGTGAAGAGAGTCTTGCGCTGCTGTTGCTGCTGCTGCATGGTCATCTGCTGGCCGCCTTGCTGTCCTTGAAGACCTGCAATTGGGGGCTGAAGTCCAGCAGCCTGGTAAGCCTGGATCTGAGCCAGCTGCAGGGCGTTCAAGCCTTGAGTGGCAAACATGTTCGGCTGCATGAGGACCTGACCCTGAGGAAGTTGGACAAGCTGCGGCTGTTGAGGAAACTGGAAGTTGCTGATCGAACTGATCGATTGGCTGTTGACAGAGCCACGCTGACGGTGACCTGGCTGGAATGGCTGGGCTCCGGCATGCTGGTTCATCTGGAAGTTACCCATGTTGGTAGCATGCTGTTCCTGGATTGTGGGCTGCTGCTGGCGCCAGTTACCATCAAAGTTACGCGACTGGGTTCTTCCATGTCCTTGGCTGCCACGGCGCTCAGGAGCATTGTTAATCTCGGCAGGAGGCGGGAATTGGAAAGCGGGACCACCACGCTGGTTTCTCTGGTTGCCAACAGCAAGACTCTGACTGCGTCCGTGTCCACCGCGACCAGAGTTACGTGCAGAGAAGTTGGTGGGAGGGGGTGGCATGTCATTGCTGGCATTACCAGGGCTCACGGAGCGATCGGGCGTGGCGCCGGCAGCACCGGGAATGGGGAATTGGAAGCCTGACTGCTTGCGTTTCTGCTCAGCAATCTCGGCAGCCTTCTTTGCCTCAGGCAAGGCAAGCGAGTGTCTTCTGCTGTGTCCGCTACCACCACTGACTGAACCACTGTTACGAGGTCTAGGGTTGACATTTTCAGACTTTGCACCAGGAAAACTGAACTCGCCGAATGTACCAGAAGAGCCGGCAGATGGAGCAGGTGGGGGGCCCATGGTCATGGTGGGCATAGCGGATTGGTTGCGACGGTGGCCTGTAGGTGGACCCATGGAACCAGGCAGCTGCAGATGCTGCTGCTGTTGCTGTTGTTGAGGGAACTGGAAGGCATTGTTGTTGGGCATCTGGCCTTGCATTTGGGCAAAGGCTTGGTTGGGGAGTTGCTGCTGGGGTTGGATCATGCCCAGGTTGACGTACTGTTGGTGAGTTGCAGCGATCTGCTGCTGTTGCTGCTGAAGGAGTTCGATCTGCTGGGCGAGGGCGAGTTGCTCCACTGTGGAATTGTTAGCAAACCAACCCCGAAAGACAAGCATGGCGGGGTGCAAACGGCAGGATGAGAGAATAACGTACTCATCAAGGGGGTGAGCTCAGAAGGGCTACGTCTGTGTGCGATATGAAAGCGACGACCGCCAGGGCCGGATGGGCCATTCTGTCCATGCTGATCCATTGTCGCTTGGTCGAGGAGGTGATTAGGCGGCGTGGAAGGATGGTCGAAGGATGTCAGACGACAGTGGTGGGGGTGGGTGACAGAAGCTCGATGATGCTAGGCTATCTGCAGGACAGGCGTCAGAGATGAGTGCAGCCGCGACGAGTACGGTGCGGGCAAGAGATGGATACCTAACACGCGAGAGAGAATGGTAGTTTAGAGTGCTGGACAGCTAAACTTGGTGAAGTGGACCTCGGAGCTAGCGTAAAAGCTATGACAACGACGACGACGGCACAAGTAGGAGCGAGCCTCTATTAGTGTAGGTGGCAATATAATCAGGAAGAGTTGAGATGCCAGATGATGAGCTGCTTCTAAAGGAAGGCGGGTGCCACAAGCAAGATGATGGTATGGAGTGTAAGGTTGTGTTGGTTGTGCGTGTTGGACGAGAAAAGACTGGTGAAGCCTGGACGGGCTCCGGCGGACGAGCACAGGTCGTGCTTTCCCCAAAGGCAAGAAGCGTTGGGCGGGCGATGTCAGGGCTCTTTCTCACTTGCACGTCTCGGAATGATTGAAGAGACGAGAGAAGGCAGTAGCAGTGTGTTACGGAAAGGGAAGGAAGGGCAGGAGGGAGGGCAGAGAGAGGTAGATATGAAGTCCAGAAAAAGCACAAGGAGAAAGGCGGGAGGAGGTCCACGGACGGTGTTGAACGTGGAGAGGGCCAGGTATTCTATGACATGCGTCATGCCGCTTGGATTCGTGGACAACTGGACAAAGGACTACTACCCATTTGCGGGCTTTCCATCTATCTACAACACTTGGAGCACTAGAGTTGTTGGTCGTTTTGTGAGCATCCGTCTGCTCGGACTGCATATCAATCGCTTAATCAATCGCTGTTCTATCCTTTCATCTAACAGCGGCATCCACTTCCTTGCTGTCTGGCTCATGTTGGAGCTATCCTGCCAAGTATGACCGGATACAAGGCCGTTTGCGAAGCAGGATTACGCGATGAAACCTTTGTTAAACCTGCTGACTTGCCGATGGACAATAATAGCCTGGCAGATCAGTCGTATTGGCCGGTATATTGTTTGTTCATATCATTCCATGCTCTGATGCTGTTCTCTCTATGAACTCTTCGCTGTTATCACGCGATTCTCCAACTGACATGGCATTGAAAGGGGCAGTTTGAAGTCAGTCCTTCACTTCTTGGTTCATCCCGCCTAGCCCGCCGCTTCGGAGCTCGGCTTCCAGTGAATCTTTTGTTTCATGACTCGACAAAAGCTGGAGCAAGAAACCGTCACTTGAACTTCTTGCTTGTGACTTTTGATGCTTCAATTGGAGTCTTTTGCGCTTGACTGAGCTGCCCTGTTCTCTGCCCCAACAACGTTGGGCATGCCGCCTGCTTGTCCGTAGTCGCTCTTTGCTCCTGGTAGCTCAGCTGCAAGCTCTACAATCGACCCCTGCGACTCAATCTCGACGCCCTTTTCGCAGCTCGTCCGCATCGCCATACTTCAATGGCATCTCCTCACAGGGACAGAGCTGGTACAGCAAGTCCTGCCTCGCGCACACCTCGCGCCGACCACACATACGCCAGAAAGAGCCACAACTCGCCATATCGTCACAGTCCCCGTCGTTCTGAAACATTGGTTGACGAGATTGGTGCGCTCCACATCCGCGAGGAACGTGCCTGGAGGCAAAGACAAGACGAAAGAGATGCAGAACAAGAACGTCGACACCAACAAGCTCTTGCGCAAGCTGCTGCTGAGCACGATCGCATCCTGCGCAATGCTATCGAGGCCGCTGAGACTGAAGCACTGAAGCAGGAACGCGAGCGAAAGCAGAAGGAAGAGGAAGAGCGCCGTGTACTTGAAGCTGAGCGCTCAGCAAAAGCTGCCAGAGAAGCGGCCGAGAGGCAACGGAAAAAGGAGGAGCTCCAACGACAAGAACAGGAGCAGGAAAAACGCGCGGCCGAGGAAAGAGAGATACAGGAGCAGGAAGCCCGCCTTGCACAACAAAAGCGACAGAATGAAGCGGACGCTTTACGGAGGAAGCAAGAACATGAGGCTTCAGAGCGCAAAGCAAAAGAAGAGGCTGATGCTGCCGCCGCCGCCGCTGCCGCGAAGACTGCTGCTGCTCCGCCAGCCCAAGCAGCGCCAAACACTCAACAATCTCAACCACAACCCTCGTTGACTCCTGTTACACAGCCCAGTACTGCACCTGCAGTGCAGCCCATCTCCAAGCCCACAACTCAGATAGCCGTACCGTCTTCTGCATCCGTAGCACAATCGGCACTCAAGTCTACACCGGCCCAGCTAGAAGCAGTGCACAAGCAGTATCTCGAGATCCACAAACGTCTGAAAAAGATGAGGGAAACAGTCGACGAGCAATCTCGAGCGCCCCAGTGGAGCATTAGCGATCATCGCCGCAAAATCAACACGGTGATGGGCCAATTTACCCCTGACAAGGTCAAAAATAGAGCGGCAGTAAGTCTCGAATTGTGTAGATGTCAGAGGTACAACACCAACTGACCGATTTGTGTACAGCTCAAAAGAGTGCTTGAGACTCTCAACGACGCCCTGAATAGTCGTCCCGAACCAACCATCAATGTGACTCCTTTCCTCGCCAACCCGCCAGACAATTCGGAGAGACACATGCCATTGGCTCTTGTGTACTTGCTCAACCTAATTTCCAAGTTGGTCATCAATCAATTCTGCAGCGACAACATAGCGACAATCGATGCTCTGGCAATCGTGTTGGTCACCGTTTTTTCAAAGCCCGAGTATCTTCACAATGGCACCACTTCGCTGATTGACATCCTCCTGGCAAAATACCATGTGGTGTGCCCCGTGCTGTTCGGAATATATGGCAATGAGAAGACTAGTGAGGGAAGGAAAAGGATAGGTTGGGACAGGGCCGATGGTGATCTTGAGATTCACAAGAGCCGCATGGCTGGCCTTGCTACAGGGTATGGATGTCTATCATTGCGAGACTTCAGCAAGTCGAAGTCGAACAACCCCTTTCCACCACCGAACTACTGGCGAGCATTAAGTTATTTCGCGAATACCCCGCCGGCGCATCTACAACCAACTCACTGGCTTGTCCTCAAAGGATTGGTGGATACACACGTCGAAAAATTCTTGAAGTTCTATGGACAGGCAGGTCTAGCGGCATTGAGAAAGGTACTGGTGGAACTTCCCAGGGACGCACCTGATAATGCAGCCAAAGACGCAGTGGTAGTACTACCAGAACTGCTGCGTACGACTAGATGCTTGACATTATGAATGTAGCGATTATTGACTGAAAGGATGGTGCATAGACTACATAGATGATGTCGCTAAATAAACCTTTCATTATACCCTAATCACAAGAGGGGCGAATCATCTAGCAGAGCAGGATTGGACAGTGTCCACTCATATTCAGTTGATGTGGCAGTGAAATAGTGAAGGGAGAAAGAAACACTCATCCATATCATTCTCCCTCAGCGATGGTGCAGTGATGAAATGTGGGGACGAAGCTCGAAGTTCGTTTCGACAGGAAAGTTGGACTTGGAATCACGACAACCTATCTTTCATACACAACCAAATATGACAACCACAGTAGATTCAGCGCCAACCGAATTGGTACACAAATCAGCTAAACGTACTCGAGAAATCTTCGCCGCCGACTTTGGCGCACCCACAGCGCTCGACAATTCTCCTCGACCCGCCATCGCTCCACCCATCGCGTCGCCTGCAGAACGCGCACAGAAGATCGCCTTGAGATCGCGAATCGACAAAGAATATGCCGACGTGAAAGAGCTGCCTCCCGTGCTTGCGGCCAAGCAGGCAAGCGCTGCTGCGTCGCGATCAAGTCTTCGAAAGAAGCCCAAGACTGAGGAGCAAGCATCCAACCCAAAGATGGCAAAAATGATCGAAGGAGTCTCTGCGCAATCATCATCGACCGCAACTGGAACCTCGAATGCTCTTGCATTGCGCGCAAACGGTCCTGGAAAGCTACCTCCCAATGCAAACGGTCCTACGCCGCAAAGAAACCTGCCTGGCTCCTCAAGCCTGGTACGCAGAGATGCTGTACGTCAGCCCAAGCCGGACTGGAAGGCTCCTTGGAAGCTTATGCGTGTCATTTCTGGTCACTTGGGTTGGGTTCGCGCACTGGCTGTAGAACCGGGAAATCAATATTTCGCAACTGGAAGTGGTGACAGGACCATCAAGATCTGGGACCTTGCCTCTGGCACGTTGAAACTCACTCTGACTGGCCACATCTCAACCGTGCGAGGCCTTGCCTTCAGTCCAAGACATCCATACCTGTTCTCGTGCGCCGAAGACAAGAAAGTAAAATGCTGGGATCTGGAAACCAACAAGGTTATTCGTGATTATCATGGTCACTTGAGTGGTGTCTATACTCTAAGCTTGCATCCTACTCTGGACGTGCTCTGCACTGGAGGTAGAGACGGTGTCGTCCGTGTGTGGGACATGCGAACAAGATCGAACATCCACGTGCTTAGTGGTCACAAACAAACCGTATCTGACATTGTCACACAAGAAGCCGATCCGCAGATCATTTCATCGTCACTCGATAGTACTGTCCGCATGTACGATCTTGCAGCTGGAAAGACGATGGGTGTCTTGACACATCATAAGAAGGGTGTGAGAGCGCTATGCACAGCACCTCACGAGTTCACGTTCGCATCTGCATCCACTGGTCAGATCAAGCAGTGGAAGTGCCCAGAAGGTGCCTTCATGCAGAACTTTGACGGTCACAATGCCATCATCAACACCTTGTCAGTCAACGAGGATAACGTTCTGTTCTCTGGTGGTGACAACGGATCAGCTGCCTTCTTTGACTGGAAGACTGGCTACAAATACCAGTCACTCGACTCTATTGCCCAGCCTGGTAGTCTGGACGCTGAGGCTGGTATTATGAGCTCAACGTTCGACAAGACAGGATTGCGCCTCAGTAAGTCAACACATCACGTTACACAAGATGAATAAAGATTACTAACTAGTCTTCAGTCACCGGAGAAGCAGACAAGACCATAAAGATCTGGCGCGAGGACGAGAACGCCACACCTGAAACACATCCTCTTGAGTGGAAGCCTACGCTAGGAAGACAAAAGTTCTGAAGGACTTGAGAGAATTAAGTAGAATGTGGAGATAACGAACGATGATTGATACCCATGAGACTGTTGTTTTGTTTGCACTGTACATGCTGTCTCCGCGCTTTCTGTTTTCATTGTTGTGAACGCTCAATCAAGGCTGATCTGGCAGGGGCAAGAGTCGTTCTCACTTGCGCTGCGTTTGTACACATGCAGGTTGCATGCGGCTTCCCTTGCGCTCGCTCAGTTTCTGCTCACTTCATCTCTTCCACCTTCTCCCCCAGACAGATTTACAACGACAAAAAGGCACTATCGTTCTTGCTCCTCGCTACGCTGTTCTGTCGAGAAGTTCAATCCATTTTTCTATACATCACATCGCAACACTATCCGCCATGCCGCCTAAAAACAGTCACAAACTGCCGCTGCAACCGAGACACAACAAACCCAATACGCCTGCACGTGTCAACGATGGTGTTGCTGCTAAGCAGAGTGGCGGGGATCCCATTGACACTTGGAGGTTCGCAAAGAATTTGACCATCAAGGACCCCTCGCAGACCATCATGGCTATCGGAAGAGCCACAAACACGCACATCACCTACGATGGCAGATTTGAGTTCCGCTTCTGGGGATCTCCGGACGATGTTTGATGCCCCTGACCCTGCTTCCAAAAGATTTATGCTTATCTCTGCTAGGTGAAACGCGCCAAAGTCGACCTCACGACCAACATCTTGCAGGACAATCCCACCTTCCGACACCAGCAAAGGGACATCGGGCCACCTCGTGATGCGCACTTTGAAGCAACGGTTAGTACGCGGGCTCTGTACTGTATGTGTTGCGGTTGTTGATCAGAAATAGGGCTCCTTCCTATGGCCCTCTGATGAGTACGAACCAGACAAGGTCCTCGGGCAACGCAATTTCGAAAGCCTCAATCAGATTCGCAAGGAGAACCACTGTTTTATCGAATTTGATAGCCACAGATCGTCCTTTATTGTGAAAGGCAGTGTCGACAACGTGCAAGAGGCTCTTCTGCGTATCAAAGGTCTCCTTTGCAAGGTGGTAGCTCAAAACAGTCCAGTTCAGAGACTCTATCTGGTTCAAAACGATTGCAAGGAGGTCAATCTCACAGATCTTTACCTATCTGTGGTCTATCAAGCAGGCACTATGTTAGAGCCCCGTGTGACAAAGACGGTGAAGAGCGTCGGAGCTGCGCTGAAAGTGGAAGATGTTGCTCTTAACGCGAAACGTATGAAGGATCTTGTCATTCAGACTCTGAGAAAGGTACATTGGCATCAAGGCCACATTGACCTCAGAGTCCATCTTGGCAAACTCGACTTGATAACCTACGAGCCTTTCGACAATGACAGAAAGAGTCTGTCCGATTACAAGGAGATGATATCCGATTCATACAACTTCCGAGCTAAAGTCACCGAAGAGTAAGTGAAGATTTCGCATTCGCAAACATCAGCACTAACAACGAGCAAGACTTGGAGATAAGGTCTTGGAGGAAAGTCTACTCTCTCGATTCCTGAGTGCCACGGAGTCTCTACAATCTTGCGATCGGTTTGTCCGCGATCTTGCCGACACCAAACCCGAGTATACAGCCTCTATCGAGGTTGATATCAAGGACGGTCGTGGCAATGTTCTGATTACAAAGAGGTGGCACGAGGAGAATGGTTCATTCTCGCCATCTAATCCTGAGTTCAAGAGGGTGATTGAACAAACAGGTCGTACCAGATTCCTCGAGGCTTATCTTACAGATACACTCAGCGATCTGACCTGGCTGCTTGATATGTCAGCGCTTGGAGTGCCAGACTCATCGCATCTTCCTCAGTGGGTTCGAGACCATGCCGAGTTCTACGTCAACTTGCAACCTGAGAAGGCACGAAATGCGGAATCGTTCTGTGATTTCGAGTCGTGCGATGGTCGGCCAAAGCCCTTGGCTCACAAAAGAGCCATCAGGGAGAAGATTGCCTGGAAGTTTGAGATGAGGGAGCCCTACTCTGGGTACGAGGTGGAAGTGGTCAAAGTCTTCAACAAGCATTACACGGAGAGCGTGATTGGGGGCAGAGAACCTGTCACGACGTTCGAAGGACGCTGGACGATTGAGGTCAAGCATCGCCAGTGGTCCAGCTTGCTCTCGGAGAACCATGAACTTCGCGCTGGAAAGGGAGCGGAATGGAAGGCAGACATCCAGAGTTGGTTCCCGGTGGACTCCACTGACACCAACGAGAAGCTCAAGGGGCATGTCGAGCTTTTGCGTACGCTGCAGCGTGTGCAGGATATTGTTCTAGGCAAGAGCCTTTGAGGGGGAGGAGGAAGATGGGTTCATTATGGGTTTCTAGTACTTGCTTCCGATTCTTGACTTATAGCCTTTGAGCAATTAGACTAACATGAGAAACGAGATGATGTCTCGACTTTGAACAGCTCGTCTTCCAGATGTTATCTTTAATGGTGACAATAGTTCTGTGAAATGTTCACAGCTTCAGATGTACCCGATCTTCTTCTTTGAGACACGATGCCTGCTCTGGGTGTGTCAAGTCCCTGCTCTGAAACGAAGGCAGCTTCCAGTGTTGCTCCTTCACGCCGGTGGCTCCGCACAAACCAAGTCGGAGCGGAGGCCAACAATCGAGAAGCAAGCCGAGAATATAGTAGACTTGGTTCCGAATGTGTGGAAGGCGGGTGGTGTTTGCTGATGTCCGAAGAAAATAGTCTATGATGATGCGGAAGCGCTGCCTGAGGCCTGGTTGCTCGCGAGGACCTTTTGGCGCATGACTGCAATTCGTGTCAACAACAGCTCGTTGCATAGATAAGCAGGAATTCTTCTTGTTCATGCGTACCTTCCTCAATCAATCTCAAGTTCTGGTTCTTGCCCTGGACAATGCTCTCAAGATCCTTCACATTCTTGCCCAGCTCTTCTGCCTTTGCCTCGTAGAACTTCTTTGCCTGCTCAGTTGTCTTCTCAACGTAGAACCCGGTTCCGACGTCTACCAGAACAGTCTCGGTGCTTGCTAGTGTGCCAGGGACGTAGAGCGAAGAAGTCAAGGGAACCAGCAAGGGCTTGTCGGCGACTGAGTTTGCGACACCAGCAGTAATCGAGGCAATGCAGTCGCGGAACTTTTGCTGGGCGGCGCGCAATTGGGCGTACGAGTTCGTCAGGGATTGTGTCTCTTCATCGAGCTGTTTCTTGACTTGGGCGAGCTGTTGTACTGAGAGCGATCCGAGGTCGACTAGCGTGTACTGTCAGTTTCCATTGTGTGTTTGAACCTCTCAATAGAGCTTGTGATGTCTTTCACGCACTCTGTTGACCTTGTTCTGCTGGTTTCGACATTTTCTGGAAGGAATGTGGTATTTCTGGCTCTGACGTTGCGCGCTCGAACGACCAACACAAAGTTGCACCCCCACCCTGGCGCATACAGTTCCACTTTCGGATTTGATTGCTTCCACGAAACCACGCGCCAAGACGTGTCTGCACAACGCGTTCACCTCAAACGACAGTAAGGGTGAATATATCCATTTATCAAGAACCACAAATCAACATGGCTCAGAAACAAAAACGCTCAAGAGCCGAGCAAGCACGACAATTTCTCCAAAGTGGTGGTGTCTTGCGAGAAGACTCGGACGATGAACTGGGCACTGAGGATCTCCCATGGGAATGGATATACGGACCGAACAAGACCATCATTGGTGCCCAGATAGGCGATTTCAAATGCCACATAGGAGATACCGTCTTGCTCAAAGCTGCCGGAAATGAAGCTTGGGTAGCCATCATTCAAGACTTTTCAGAAGGCGAGATCGAAGACGATGATGGAGAAATAATCAATGATATGAAAGCCTCCTTCTTGTGGTTTTCATCCGAGAAGGAAATTGTCAACAAAAACAAGAAGAGACAAGACTTTCTGGAAAACGAGTTATACATCACTACTGGACTGGATGAGAACTCATTAAAGACTATCAATGGCAAGGCTACTGTTCTTTCTGAAGATAGCTTCAACTCAAGATATCCAAGCGGGAAGATTCCGAAAGGCTCGAAAGACCATGGAAAAGTCTTCATTTGTCGACGAGGCTGCAACACTCGCACGACCACTTATACTGATAAATTCATCTGGGAGGATGTCTACCGTGGAGCCGAGGACCTGCAGTCTTTGTGCGAACTGATCGACAGCCAAACTGTACGAACTCGCAAGCGCAAGTCAACCGTCAGAGCAACGACACCAGGAGATCTGGACGAATTCGTGGTACCTGACGACGAGGATGGTGAAACAGCCACACCGCGAAAACGACGGAAGTTGACTTCTGCTACACCAACATCACGAAGCAAGCATCCTGCTCCTCGCAAACTCACCACTCCTACACATCGTCGTATCGTTGCAAAGAAACCTCTCGAGTTCACACCTCTAGGTACTCGTATGCTCTCGCCTTCTCATACAACTGCCTCACCTCATCAGCTCGCTCGAAGCACATTACATGTATCTGCTGTACCAAACGCACTTCCCTGTCGTGAAGATGAATTTGGCGAGGTTTATGCACATCTGGAGACTGCCATCTCAGCTGGCACAGGATCTTGTATCTACATCTCTGGCACTCCTGGAACAGGCAAAACCGCCACAGTACGAGAGGTAGTAGCTGCCCTTAACGTAGCCGTGTCCGCCGACGAACTCGATGACTTTGTATTCGTCGAGATTAACGGCATGAAAGTCACAGACCCACATCAATCATACTCTCTACTGTGGGAAGCACTCAAAGGCCAACGAGTCAGCGCCACACATGCTCTTGAATTGCTCGAACGCGAATTCAGCACACCGAGCCCGAGAAGAGTGCCTTGTGTGGTTCTAATGGACGAGCTCGATCAACTCGTCACAAAATCGCAAGGAGTCATGTACAACTTCTTCAACTGGCCTCAACTAAGGCATTCACGTCTGATTGTCTTGGCTGTAGCGAATACCATGGATTTGCCTGAACGTACACTTAGCAACAAGATCAGTTCACGATTGGGACTTACACGTATCACATTCCCTGGCTACACGCATCAACAACTTATCAAGATCATCGAGAGCAGACTCGAAGGCATAGGACAAGTAATAGTCGAACCCGACGCCGTCCAATTTGCGAGCAGAAAAGTAGCAGCGGTATCAGGAGATGCACGTCGTGCCCTCGATATCTGCCGCCGCGCAGTCGAGATTGCCGAATCCGACAAGGCAGCCGCCGAAAAAGCAGCTCTGGAAGCCTCTGCAGAAGAACCCAACGATGAGACAGCGACTATAGCGCCAGCCAAAGCGGCAGTGATGAAGAAAGGCGTCGTCACCATTTCGACTATCAAACGCGCTATCAACGAAGCTACTTCTACGCCTTTGGCTGCTTACCTGCGCTCTCTCCCTCTAGCCTCCAAACTCTTTCTTGCTGCCCTGCTTGGCCGTATCCGCAGAACTGGATTGACGGAGAGTACGCTCGGCGATATCATCGACGAAGCAGCTCGTATGGCAGCTTTATCATCCTTAGTGCCTCTCCATGATATCTTACTCGCACCAGACACTTTCCAACCTATTCCTTCCCTGAACGGGGTTTCTACGCCGGGAAAAAGAGGTAGGGCAGCTGGAAAGAAAGAGAGTAAAGTGGCGAGGTTGAGGGGTATGAATGTTGCGGCCGAAGAGTTGGCAGAGGCGGGTATTGTGGGCTTGGAGGTTAGAAGGGGTGAGAGAGTGGGAAGAGTGAGGTTGGGTGTTGGTGAGGAGGAGATCAGAGGTGCTCTGAGAGAGGATGAAGAGTGTCGGGGTCTTGGGTTCAATGGATAGACCTGATTGAGTCTGGAATCATGGCCTTCAAGAGCCACAGAAGTGTAGACGACATGTACGATCGGTATGAAGCAAATTTCCTGTTCGTAGATTGATCAAGCATGTGCGGTCAGCCGTCAGCAAAATGAGTCTCGGGAGCCATGCTCCAAAAAGCAACATGGCACATAAGCCGACCATCCCTATATCTCGGACAAACACTGCTATCCCACACTTCATCAAACCTTTCAACAGACCACTCACCGAGTCTCCAAGACCTACCTTCGAACAAACACACTCTACAAAGCTTGGTATACACGGTCACCCTGTCCCCATTCCTCTCTCCACCAACCCAACTTCGTCACCACAGTCCGGATACGCACGGCAGGCCAACCAATCCAACCTACCAATTACCAAACTGCGACTCACACCCACCGACAAACCACCGCATCGCCCAGGCTATGCCCAGCTGCACTCAGCAAAAGATCGTCACAAAGCACGGTCTAGTTTAAAACTTGACCCTTGGGGTTGATATCTCTTCCTTTCCTCTGCGTGACTAATTTTTATTGGTGTCAAAAGGTACAGTACCTCTGAGTTTCATGAGCGCGATTTGAGGAACAGGGCGTTGGTCGGTTTTGCTCGGCCACGAACGCAAACATGTCGCGATGCCGAAGTCGGGATGCGGCGACTCGTCAAGGTTTGTAGAATTTTTTTTGTCTGTGAACGATGGCAATGGTGACGATGGGTGGTGTGGAAGGGAAAATAATAGAACAATAGAGGATGATGCGGTATGAGGTATGTCAATTGAGGAAGAAAGATTTGAGACGTTGAGGTGGATAGTCGAGAGGTGGTTTTGAGTAAGAGGACAGGGTGACTCGAAATACTCGAATGAAGCTCGAAACGACAACAACCTCCCCATCTCTCTTATCGAGTGACAGCATCATTGCAAGCTGTAGAAATGCACAGTAGGTTGCGACAAAAAAAGCCGTGCCCACAGAGAGCTATTGAAATAAGGTCTCTCAATGGACACAGTCCTGCGATCAAGAAGTATGGTGCATTCGGAATGGTATATTGTGAGAAGATGTTGGAGGACAAAGGAAAAACATCTTTTGAGGTTCGACAATGACGAATACCACGCGACATGACGTTGGCACTTTCCCAAAAGAGTGTGAGAATACCGTGACTGCGTGCAATCTGAGAGTTGGGCAGACGCGCATCGTCGTAGACAGCAGCGCTACCCAGTCAGGAGCAACAACTCCAGCTCTGGCGGCAGGAACGTCTATACCATGAACATACCACAATTCGAATCACATTACAGTAGACACAAGAGGCACACGATTGTTTGTAGTAACAGCGCATGATTCGCATTCCAAAAATAATTAAGAATCTAACAGTAAAAAACCTTCTCCAAAAAAGAAACCTCCTGTCCTATTCTTCCCAAACTCTGAATCTGCAAGAAGAAAGACTAACAGGAAGGCCAAGTAGCAAAGGAAAAGGAAAAAGGCCCACGAGTCAACTACAAGAAGATGATATGTAGGACATCAAGAACTGGCCGTAGAAACAAGAAACGCGATGGGTATGATGAAGAACTTTTTGTCAATCTCAATGGAGCGCAATGGAAAATTTTATGCCATGTGCATTTCTACAGCTGGTGATGAGAGCTGATTGCACAGAGGGAGATGGTGTGACGGGTCTCATCAGGAGAGGGTAGAAGAGGTGTGGCAGGCCTCAGGAGAGGGTAGAAGAGGTGTGGCAGGCCTCAGGAGAGAAGAGGAATTGTTGAGAGCCCTACATGGGCTGTGCCCTGTTGATGTAGGCCTGGAGCTGCTCATTCTTTGCCTTCTCCATCGCGAGCTCACGTTGGAGCTCGGCGATCTTGGCCTCGAGCGCGGCCTCATGGTCGGCCTTCTTTGCTCGAGACCTGCGAGCGGCCTCGGTGTTCTTGGCCTTCTTCCTCTCCTTCTCGTCGGTGATCAAGTCCAGGTTGATGTCCTTGAGTGGCCTAGTGGCCTTTCTGCTGCCTGGCTTGCGAACCCCTGAAGGGGTCGGACCAAGAACAGCCGACCTAGGAGTCGGAGGGAGGGAGTCGGTGGTCTGGCGCATGAGTTCTGCGCAACTAGGCACACCTCGCTTAGGCATATCAGGCTTGGGGTCCTCGGCGGCGAACAGAGAATCACCATGTTGAAGAACAGTGGGAGGTGCCATGTCGTCCTGCAGCAGAGGAGAGGGGTCGACCGAGTTAGAGAACCACGGCAGACCCTCGACCTCTGGTGTGTAGTACAGAAGCGACTCGGCAGGAGTCAGCTCAGGGATGTTGGCGGAAGAGGGGATAGACGCCGACTGTGGTGGCGCCATGGAAAGTTCCTGCGGCGAGACAGTGGCAGGATTGACGCTGTTGTTGTAGGCGGAGAGGCTCTGGAAAAGAGCACGATCAGCAGATGAAGGAGTTTCTTCGAAACCCCCGAACAACTGCATGTCGGCTCCCTCCTTGAGGAAGCCACCGTAGCCGCCGAACTCGAGGTCCTCGCTAGTGCCGAGGTAGGCAACGTTGCTCTCCTCGTTGAAGTTCATGTTGAAAGACATTTTTGTGATGTTTGGTGGTGTTGTTTTTGTGGTAGTTTTGGTCTGAGAGACGAACAGCTGATTATGAAAATCGTTGGAGAACTGCGAAGAAGAAATGGGCGTTGGAAAGACAGGTCCTTGTTTTGTAGTTGAGCGCACTGCTGCCTGAGAGCTATACAGTGGATCCTTGAGCGGATTATACGTAGGCTGCTGCGTCGAACCTGGCAATTGCTGCGCACGCGGAGTATGAGCAAGTTTCACGGGCGTCGCGAAGAGGGCAAAGTCCTGTTCGAATACTGGTTGTGGGGGCGTAGGCCTGAGGGAGTTCTTGTGAGGAAGACATGGTTGTGGGTTAAAAGCCGTGGTTGGCTGTAGTTTCTGTTGCTGAAGGTCCGAAGACGACGACGAGGTGTTGGAGAAACTCAAGGGCAATTGCTCTTGAGAGTGCTTGGGAAGTAGTGGACGAAGTTGTCTTATTGCTGGTATGCTGGGCGACGGTATGGGGGGGTTTAAGCAGCCATCTTGAGTGCGTAAACCTGGAAATGATATGTGTATGGAGAGTGCGTTTGATAGAGAAGGGAAACCAACCGCAAGAGGGCCTGGGGAATTGGCCTTTACATAGCCCGGTCGGCAGGCTGAGAAACACCCTCAAACCATCGTCCGGTGTGGTGGGTCTGCTGCACCGTGCATCAGTTGTGACTCACCCAACTCCACAGTACGCTAGCTTCACTCTAATCCCGCGCGTTCACACGCATCCATCAATGAGCATGCAATCATCTCCAGTTCCGATGCTGTCAACTCTCTGAGATAGTGCTTCCACACCTACACATACCGAGGGAATTGAGAGCGCTCAAATCGACCTACCCTCTGCTGTACAGTGCTATCCAGAAGTTGTTCAAAAAGCGCAGTTGTCCGACACCGGCATCCTGCTTATCTTGCCGCAAAGCCGCTAGTCCTGCGCCCTTTGAACGACATCCAACCCCGGATTGGTTGGGGTCATTCGCCCTGCTGCCTGCCATTTCCTAGGCAGTTGCTGCATGTGAGACGCTGCCTTGACGTGAACGCGTGAATAACAACTTCGCCGAAACATTCTTGACCGTGTTCAACAAAGGCATGACTTCGGACACGTCGAGAGTCCAAGACGAGGACACTGGTGACAAAGTCTTGGCGAACCAAATAGCGCTGGACTGTTATGTCGTACGCTGCGTATGCCAAAATTCATGCGTGCGTGTGAGAAGCTACTGTGTCAGCTTGGCATCGGGGCAGTCGTCGTGCGTCTTCATCTGGCCGTTTCAGTAAGTTGATGTAGTTGTGGCCAGTTTAGCATCCAGGACGCTCGATTTCGTAGGAGAGGTGCGGGTGTTAGGTATGTATTGTGTTTGATGGTCAGTTGTCATTGTCAGCCCAGATGATATATACTGTCGCATGAGTCAACTTGAGTCAAGTTGAATAATGGTCAGAACCCGAGCAGCAAGCACACATCTGGTTTCTCGGTTGGATACGAGAGAGCGAAAGCTGGGTCAAAATCGATCCTCCAGGGTCATCGCTGATGACTCGCGCGTGCTGCGTATGAGCGCCGTATCTTGGTGGTCATCAAATTATTTGAGCGGTGGTCTGAGTACAATCGATAGGCTGCTGTTTGTTATACTTGAACCCTAGATCATAAGTTTGCGAGGGATTGACATGTGGTGCCAGCAGCTGATGTCAGACAGGCTCTCTGTCTTGAAACCATGGCCTGCGCGACCGTAAATACTAGACCATGCGAAGACTCGAGCAGATGATTGAGCGCGACGAGCTTATGAAATAGTGTCAAGTGATGGGAGAAAAAGCGACCACCCACACTCAATGATCTGCTCTTTCCGAACATTGACGATTGTACCATCAAACTATTAGCAACCACTGCCATGTGTTTAACTCGAGCTTACCCAACTTGACTTCTCGTTTACAGTTGGCATTTGAATGTTGTTAGAAACATCAAGGTTTGAGGGCGTTTCTCCAGCATCCACATGGAAGTACCATTTTTCATTGAACATAGAAAAGCATAACATACGCAGACTCTATTATGGAGACAGTGGTCAGAGGAAGGAATAGATAGCAGAACATGTTCTCATTGGAAACGTAAAGGTCTGTTTTGGGTATACGAAAGATTTTGAGGAGGATGAAGAAGGACATCTAAACAACGTGCTTGACCTGTACAAGACCAATATCAGCGCCTGAAGTCGAGAAAATGTATCAAGAAAACAGGGCTATGAGCGTACCTCGAAGAAACGCTTGAGCCACCAGACCTGGAAGATGCCCTCGCCGATCAAGACACCGAGCTGGAAGATGCTCCACCACTTGACTCTGGCGTTGGTACTCTCAGCAGTGTTGCGGTGGGTGCGTTCGCGGACGACAATGTAACTCTGCTCATCCTTGACCTGTGCCAGCATCTCACCGAGAGTGCGCACTTCCTTCTCGAGAGGATCTTGAGGAGCCTCGCTCTCAGGGACGTAGACGATGCCGTGGACGTTGAAGCTGACTTCCTTTGTGTTTGCCGACCAGTGTTCGTTGCTGAAGCAGTACAGGTAGCGACCATCCATGTGGGCAGTGAAGCTGTGGTCGCCGCTGCTGACGGAGCGCTCGTGGACTTGGTATGCGTTGGCGGGGTTTTGGATCTATCGAAGGTCAGCTTGTGTCGAGACAGCGCATTGGCAGGAACCAAGAACATACCCAGAAGTCAATATCGAGGTTTCCACTTCCACCAAACTCGCGATCGCCGACCTGGAAGGTGACGGTCATTTTGTCATCCGAGTGCAGCTCCTCGTGGAAGCACTCGCGTGAGTGAGCCTTCAGCTGAATGTTGTGTGCCGAGCCGATGGCAAAAAGACCACAGAGGGCCGCATAGAGGAAGGCGAGGACGAGCATGTTTGCTGTGTGTCGAGAGTCGTGACACACAAAGAAAGGGCTTGGGAACGACGACAATAATTGTTTGGTCGAGATGTTGCGCTGTCCCTTGAACCATGGAGGTGCACGGCCCCTAAGCTCTTGCGGCCCCCCTATCCAAAACACGAACGGGGGGGTACTTGAACTCTGCAGGCTTGATTTGAAGGGTACTTCTATGCATCATGTATGTACATATAATTTTAAATTGGTCCAAGTAGCCCATATGTCAATATTGATAATCATATACCGCCCAGCTGTAAGAATATTCAAAACAGCTGGTAGCTGTTACCTTCGGTATACCTTCCTGTCCTTGAAGCTTGCTGCTTGCCAAGTTTCGTGGTCCGGGCTTATCGAACCTCACCTCATGCTGTGCTCCGTACCTCTGCTCGTTCTTTCCTCTGGAAAGATGCATACATATAATGGGTAGCCGAATACGACAATCTCAACTCGGATCCTGCCTCAGGGCCATTGTATATGGGAGGAGCGACAGAGTAGCGGAAAGTCTGGTGGACCTGCCTTCCCTTCGGACAACAGTAAGCATCGGAAAACTCTTCTTCGGGTTCTCTCCTGCAGCTGGATACCTTTGGACGACCTACGATTCCCAATACTCATAACACAGCTCGTGTATATCGGGAGTGGCCTCTATGGGTACTGTCTTGAGCACTGGACTGGGTATGGATGCAGGATCCTAAGACTGAAAGAGGCGAATCTCAACTGGTTGCAACATATCATGCTCATCTGGATCAAGCTGTACTTTCTGGATGGCCTTGTTCATGTTTTGACAACTGGTTCTTGGAGCTCGAACAAGACATGTATTAATGTCTAGAGGGCGTCGAAGATTATGCGAAGAGCCTCTGTCGGACTGGATCATCTGGTCTCTGGATGTAGGATCCCACAAATTTTCGTGCCTCTCGAAGGATGATGATGGGTGTCAAGGAAGATTTGCTCTGGTCCTGCAAAATCGACTCTGATCGTACCGCTCAGTGCCCAAGTGCACAAAAGCCTGGTTTGGGAGACACTACCCGCTTTGCTGGTGATGGTGCGCGTACCCATCGCGCGTGCTATTGAGGTCACCTGTGTACTGCACTGGATGACACTGACAACACCGGCATAGACTGCTCTGTTGATGGTAGCAGTGGTGTCTTTTTGTCAGTCGTGTTGGTGTTGCAGTGTGGCACTGTTGTAGCGGCAACAACGATGCTTAGAGCGTGTGCTCGGCCTGTATTCATGATGTGTGGTCGAAGCAAGTCACACACATGAGATGAGGTCAGGGGTAGCGTGCTTACAAAATAGGCAAGTCATGCCCTCTCAAGCATCATGCAATTATGGAAACATTTCTATTGCAGAGTGTTAATTTGTTTGGCTTGTTTGCATGAAGGAGGGCACCATAGAGGTAGGCTATATATTCGAGCAAGTTTGAATTTCCTTCACCCGAATGGGAAGGTTGGTCGAGTGGTCTCGGACTAAACTAGCACTCAGTGCCGGGGGTCCTGCCTACGGGAGCAGGATAGAGACTGCTCACATGGCCATCCGGAAGGCTCCTTTCTTCGGAGAGGAGTTCAGGGATAACCATTCACTTTTGCTCCTCAATTTCCTCTTTTCTTCCCAGTATAGCACACCTCTATAGTGTTGGTATAGGCAAATGTGTTGTTGTTGCAAAAAGAGCAGCCCGTAATATACACGGAGTTGAACACTTTGTTACGCGTCCAGATACGCGCTTTTTTGTTGTAGCCAGTGTTCAATTCTGCTCGAGGCCAACACATTTCGTACTTCTCTCGACTTTCACGTCCTACCACTTTCACTAGTCTACTTTCATCAAGTTCGACACACCACAAAGGCTCATACGTGACTTGAAGAGCTCTATCTGCTTCTCTTTTCATTTTTCTGAACCTCACACCAAGACGATCCTCTGAGTGTCTACGCATACTCAGCTGCGCTCACGATACGCACATCCCTATCTCAGCGCGACAAGATGCCACGCTCAAAGTCGCCCGTCCTCCCGATCTCCCTCTTCGACATCTTCCTCGGCTCTGGACGCGTCATCCGCAGACCAACTGGCCCACCAGGAGTAAGCACAATGCAGACAACTCCATCATCTGAGAATGCTGATTTACAAAGTTCCCCTTCCTACAGGTTCCCGGCAAGACCGAACTCGTTCGAGTGCGCAGACGCGTCAGTGGTCAGAAGACCAGCGGCGAAGAGCCCAAGGCAGCCAGCGCCAAAGAAAGCAACAAGGAGAACGCTCCTTCTGGTTCCAAGCACAGCAACACCAAGAAAGAAGACGCCAAATCCAGCGACAAGAAAGACGACAACAAGTCTACCAGCAAGAAAGAAGACAAAAAGTCCGATTCCAAGCCATCCAACGATAAAGCCGCGGATGCAAAGAAAGTCACCGACAAGCACAAGACCAACGGCAATAAACCTCAAGCTGCTGCTCAGAAACCTTCGGAGCCTGTCTTCACTGCAGAAGAAGACGCAAAGCTACTACTCATGAAGACCGAAGGCAAACCTTGGGCAGAGATTGCTGCAGCTATCGGCAAGACCAAGAAACAGACCACTAGACGCTTCGGCGAGATCAAACCTGATGACTGGCAACAACAGAAGGGCCAGCACGGTATCGACAAAGCTGGGGTTGTTGATGAGAAGAACAATAAGGCCGCAGAAAAGCAAGTTGCCAAGATGGACAAGAAGAACAACAAGGTTGAGGAACTCAAGAGCAAATCGAACGCTATTGAGAACACGAGACTCGAGAAGACTCCGTCAGCTGCAATTCTCCTGGGCGGCAAGCTCAACCATCAACATGCCCACGCTCATCGTCACGAAGTCCGCGTAGACCACCATCACCACCTGCACGATGCTCAACCTCACCGCACCCACCACGACACCCGTCACACCCGCCACGACTCAGCCCACGTCCCCCACCGCTCTCGCAGCCGCAACCGCCCACACAAATCCCACCAACGTGCTGCAGCCTCCGTCACCCCATCCTCACGCACAGCCTACACAATCAAAACCATGCCTTCGCTTGCCGAAGATGACCTCTTCTCCTTTGGCGAACTCCAAGCCCTGTCTGAATTGATCGGCAAGGACATGGAGGGAATGTGGCATCGTGTCAGTGCTGCTTTCTTTGGCATGACTGGAAGAAGAATCGCTGCTGAGGATATCAGGGAAAAGTTTGCCGATTTGGAAGTCGAGTAGATGGACGAAGGCCAGAAAGAAAGAAGGAGGTAGAAATGAGGATGATAAGGGAGGAAGGAGGTGGAGACGAGGAAGAACCGAAGAGGACGACGATTCTTTTGCCCGGTGGGCAGTCGTGCTTTAGAATTTTCTTGCTTTGCAATCCAAAAGCAAAGAGGAGAGAAGGATTCAGCACGAATACGGCAAGCACCTGCTCGAATTAACCACTCTGGTCTGGTAGAGGCCAACAAAACGCTCTTTCTTGTTCTCTGACCATTACAATCTTTTTTGACCACGAAGACAAGTCACACCGCTTGAAGTTTCTTTCCTCCTTGATACAGAACTTGTAGGAAGACAGTACATGAGGAAAAGTGCGATGCTATCTATTGTTCAGGCAAGCTGACAACGTCGCTTTGGCCCCAGGGAGAGACCTCATTTAGCCATCGGATATCATCAGTGGCATCGTCAATTTTGAGGAGATGAAGTATGAAACTCAGCACAGCAAGTTAACGAGTGTGGTCAGAAGTCATTCGCGGAAAGCAAGTTCGAGGAGCCGCTTTGGAGAGACGGCCACAAAAAGCACTTTGGAAAGAGACAATCACAGGAAGTGTGGAAAAGACAATATCTGGCAGTAGGAGAACAAATGTCTATGCAGTGTTTGTGGCTGGCCAATGAAGAAAAAACTAACAAAAGTTGGTGATACACAAACGCTTTTCTTCGTGTATGCCTTGCTTGCAACGCTTGCGCGAAACAAACCAGAAATAATGCAGTCGTTTTCCTGTCTTGCTTCAACTCCCTTTCCTGCTCCAATCTCCAACCAGCAAAAGAGAAACGGGTACAAGAGGGAGCAACAAACATGACAAGGTAAGAGAGAGAAATATGCGACAAATTCCAGATCCGCTCAAAACGCTCTGCCAAAAAGGAAGACTTGAATGTTTAAAAAAGAGTAAGGGAGGCCGTTCGCTGAACCGGAATGAGAAAAGTTGGCACAAAAACGTGTGATGGAAACCACAAAACGAAAGAAGAGACATTAGTAGTACAAAGAGGAAAAATCGTTGCCAGCCTTTTCGCATGCGTAACAAAATGATTCTGCTAGTTGGTTGATCGGATGGTCATAGAGCGAAAAATCAGCTATTTTATGTCATGGCCATGAGACGTAGTCGAGAATTCAGCTCCTCAGTTGGAGTTGCTAACCCATCATCTGAAGATGTACGTTCGAGGGCATTCGTCGAGCGTCGACTCCGGCGGTGGATGGTTGGTGACTCAGGGGCTTCGCGCATTCGTCGGCGTACTGATCGACTTCCATGCGACCCTATACTGCCTCCGAGACTTTTCGGGCTGGGTAGTAGATCTTCTGCATCCCTGATAACTTTCTTGACTCTGTCACGCAGCTCTTGGACGTAGGGGATGATTCGCTTCAAAGTCGCTGTGTCGAAATGAACCTTGTCTCGTCCTTCGGAGTTGAGACCAGCATTGGAAAGACGCTTCTGTTGCAGAGCTTCTATCACAGAACGAGCGACAGCTTCCGAATTTTTTCGGGGTCTTCGAGGTGTTGCTGGGATCACGAAGATGCCGTTATCAGTTCTACTTGGAGAAACAGTCGCTTCCTCGCTGTAGAAGTCAAATTCACCGTCAGCTGGAGATTCGGGGAGGCCGAATAGAGGGGGTGGCATGAGATGTTCCGTCGGTGGCAGTGGGTCGTCGAAAGCATCGTAATTGAAAGACGGCGATGAGGACGGCGAGAAGCGAGGAGCGAGTGTCTGTTCGTCAGATTCCTGGTCCGCAAGATCAATCATGGCGTCGACCTCGTTCCACATCTTTTCATTGTCTCCATCAAGCACTTCCAGCATGACAGCTCGCATCTTGAGTTCCTTCAGTTCCTCGATCAACAGGCCCCAATCTCGAAGAAGACCGATGTTGGCGAGCACATTTGTCTGTTGATCACGGATGGATTTAGGTACGAACATCGAAACACCGCTGTCGAGTCTTTTCTCTTCTGGGCCGGTTTCATCCTCGAAGTCGAAATCCTCATTCCAGTCCTCTGTAACGCCTTTACTCCCAATACCCCAAGTGCCGAACTTGTTGGTGCCTGTTCGTTTTCCATCACCGTCTTGGGCGACCGGTACACTTTGACTGCGGACATGGAGTCCACTTGGCGCTCTTCTTCCGACTGACCTGCTGCCACGAGTTTCGGCATCCTTTTTACCATGCACAGTCTTGGGGCGAGGAGGAGAACGATTGTTTGGGCTTTTCTCCAGAGGCTGTTGTTCGGACCAATCGAAGATACTGCTGCGCGTGTCTCTATCAGTGCTCCTAACAGTTGGTCGTTGCGGGGTCGTGTTTGCAGAACTTGAAGCATGCCCGTGCGGTGACAAGAGATCCGGAGTAATACCAAGGTGGGCGAAGCGATTTTTTTGCGGAATCTGAGGCTCATCGTCATCGTCTTCAGCAAAGGACCAAGAGCTTTCTTCATCGTCGTCAGCAAAATCAGGAAAGTGTTCGGCATGCTGGCGAAGATCGGAAAGAGAAGGCATGGTAGGCGGCGATGATGGAATGTGAGTTCGCACAGAAGCTTGTTTCATGTGAAGCATTGGCGAACTGCCCAAGGACTGATTTCGTGCTGAGCGAGCTGGAGTGGAAATGGCGTCTTCTTCGTGTATAATGCTGTGTCGTGGCTTGAGTGAATATCCTTGATCGTGTAAAGGCCCTGTTTGAAGGTAGTCTCTGAGCATGGTATGCTTGCCATGAATATGAAATGGTGGTGAATCGCCAAAAATGGTTTCTATAGAAGGACCTCGCCTGCCTGGGCTCGACTTTGGCGCCCGCGTTCGGACAGAGTCATAAATAGTGTCGCCTTGAGAATCAAGCGCCTCGTCATCGCCTAACCTCATGTCGCTATCTGAACCAGCCAGATGTGATGCAGAATCGGCATGGTGTGCCGGTTGATGAATAGGCCGTGAAGGTGAAGGTAATGTGTCGAAATATTCACTGTCGTCGCTTTGCGGATTTGATGGATCGGCATGATTGAGTGATGCACCCAAGACGGATTGCTTCTGGTGCGATGGTAGTCTAAGGTCTATTTCGGTAATGGGGCTGCTAACGGATGGCGGCTTTGTAGTTTGCGTAAGATCATCCAAGTCACGTTGTCTCGCGACGGCGTCGGATGGTTCATCTTGAGACAGGCTTTGTCTGTTGCCCATACTTGTGGGCGTGTTGGATCGAGCTCGCGCACCCGGTCGACGATATTTAGCGACGGGCGCTGCTTTGATGGGCGGTGGTTGCTTCCAGATCTGTGGCTCTGCGGGGAGAATGTCACTCACAGAGAAAGAGCTCGACGCTGACTCGATCCTAGACAATTCGGCAATGTCTTGTCTGTCCAATTCGTCCTCAATACTCTTTCGCTCATCTATTCTCGAATCAAATGAGGTACTTGGGAAATCAACAGTTGCTCGTGAAAGTCGGTTCGATGCAAGGGGCGTCTGCTGAGATGAGGAATAAAAACGGTCGGCTACCGGGACATTAGACACCACATTCGAATCGGATACAGCTTCGAAATCATCGGCATCATTATCAAACTCAATGGGAGCAGCTTTGATATTCTCTCTAGCAGACACCAAGACAGGCCGATATTTCCTATCCGCATACACCTTTTTGATGGGGTTAGGGATGCTGGTCGAGTTGCGACGCCGTGTCGATTCCTGGGGTACTACAGCTTGTCTGGGAGCAAAATAGTTACGCCATTGAACGTCTTCGGGCATGGACTCTGCTGGAGAATCGTAGAAAGAGTGCCTGAAAGCTTCTTCTGCTTTGGGAACAACGGGGGTGCGTCTTTCTTGCAGAGTGGCACTTCGCTTGTGGCTGGTTGCTGGGCGTCTTAAAGTCGGAACTGGAATCTTTGTGGTTGAGCCGCCATACGAGGCGGAAGTGGGCACTTTGCTCACCGAGGTGGAGCGTTTGACGAGTTTGTTCGGGGCTGTGTTGATGGGTGGAGTGTGGCTGGGGATCATCGGGGTAGTGGATCCCGAGGCTGAAGGAGCGACAGAAATGACGGAAGAATCAGGGCGGGAAGTTGAAGATTGCGTCGAGTCACGCGAAGAGAAAGAAAATCTTTTGAGCCATGAGGGCGTTTGATGAGGAGCGAACGTGGGAGAAATGGGAGGTGAGGCTTCTGCAGCGTGTCGAAAGGACGGAGTTGCGCCGCGAGGCATTGTATGACCGTCTCTTTTCTTCAGCACCGTTCTTGCATGATCCGGCGCATTCCTCGCGGTGGCAGATTTGTTGCTTGCAGAGTGAAGAGCCTGGCGAGCCGTGAAGGTGAAAGGAGGACAAAAAGAGGCCGGGGTCGCGTATGTGTCGACGGTCTGTACCGTGCAGGTTGCCGTCGATGTCATGTCACTCGTAGGCGGAACGAGCGAAGGTGCTCGAGAGTTGGACCGCGGTCGAGGACTGACCGGGTCGAGTGAAGAAGGAACGGAAGGAGGGTGGAGGTAGGCAGAGGATCTATGCGAGTCGGAGCGATGAGTGAGGTTGTTGGAAGGGCGATGTTGACGGTCGAGCCGTGTGTCGTGGTCGGGTCGGGCAAGCACAAGGCCCAGGGCAGACACGCCAATGCCGGTGCTCGTTGCACAGAGCTGTATAGGATTGACCGTCAGTCGGGAGTTGAGCAATCGAGGCTGCAAGGGGGAAGAGAAAGGACGGTCAATGCTGCTGCATGACGAAGAGTGCAGCCGCTGTACGAAGAGGTTTAGGCTTCATAGAGCGAGCAACAGGGGGAGGCACAAGCAGCAGCAAGTGCAGTCAGGGACGGAGACAGGATAGCGAGGGGCAGGGCAGTCGCATATCAAGCCATTGAATGGACGGCGGCAGGCAGCGTAGCGGCTGGGGACATTATAGTGAAAGCGGGTCTCTGGTGCAGCTTACCGTGGGGATCGTTTTCATGCTTTGGCCGATGCCATGCGCCCATCAACGAGACACACAACTCGAGGGCGGCGGCGGAGGAGGAGTACAATTGGACGGACTGCTCAACGTGTATCCCGTCCTCGTCGTCTTCATAGTGGAGTAGGCTCGTCGCTCTACTGAACAGCCAAAGAGTCAAGGCCCGCAGCGCAAAGCCCCACAAACAAGGCACAGGCACAGACAGCAAAGGAAGGCTGGGTTAGGATGCTGGACGGCGACCGCTCGGCATCGTCTAAAGTTTGGATGCCCAGTTTTTCCAGGATGCCATTGTTATGGCCTGCGTTTCAAGCGCCTACAAGTACCGCTACCCCTCAGCTCAGACGCCACCACGAGTGCCCGCTGAACGCTCATGCAACAAGAGATCAAACTCTAACGGCGTGCCAAACATTTATCCAAATGCTCCCGCAACATCATCAAAGCCTTTGGAGAAGGAATGCCGCTGTCCACAACAATTTGCTTTCCTTTGCCAACCACTGTGCGCGGCACAATGCCAGCCATGCCTTCGTTTCCCAGCCATGCATGAGGGCTGCATTTGTCGAGTCTATTTCTGCCCTCACTACATAACTACAGGCACGTCGCTTTGTTTCATCTTTTGCTGCAGTCTGTTGTCAAATCTCTCTCCTTGCACAGCGCCCTCAACCGCCAAACGTTGTGCGACTCTTCCAATCGCCGTCGCTTATTCACCACCATCCTTGTAAATAGCAATCAATCCTTACGGCACATAGCTCCTCTCATACACTCCGGCCTGCAACGCCGTTTCCTAATCCATGTATCCGTATTATGCCATTGCTTGCTAAACTACCACGTAACTTCTTGCCCACTTGCCGCAAAATCCGACCTGATCTTCTAACCCTAGAGTTGAATGCTGACTCCAGCCAAGCATTGTAAGTTACAATGCGAGGAATTCATCGCATTTCATCCTCGACCAACAGGACCCGTGGGTCCAGCTCAAACTTAACAACCGAGAAATCCACCACTAAAGCAGCCGTATGCTGCTTTGTATCAGCTGCAGGGTGTTTAGCGTGGTCCTGTCGGTCCCTTTGATCCTTTGAAGCCCGGACAATGTTGCAGTGCGACTCGCGAGTCGTCGGGGCGTCTTTCCTAAGGCGTTCCACGCAAGCGCTTGGATCGTTTGGGGTTCTGTCATTTTCGAATCGCCGTGCATCTAGCATCTGAGATCTGGCATGATGGTACATGTACTCACACGACTCGTACGTGTATAGAATGAAACCGAGCCTCATTTCCATGCATCCATCGCGTGCCTGCGTGCAAAGGTGACAACGAAAAGGCCATGCAACGATGCACAAAAAGATGACACATATTCAGGCTTCAGCAAGCAACTTGAAACGCTAACAAGCATGGCAGACGGATCATCCGCTTGGGGCTTCGTCTGGATCGACTCGGTCCGCCTGAGCTGTGGAGTTGACCAACAACACCTATGATGTCGCGCAAGTATCCAGCCGTGTGCAGCGGCGGAAAGAAGAAGGGCTTGTGTACATCTTCCTACACGTCAAATCTTCAAAGTTACACAATCGACCTCGACTGACGGGCAGGAACTAAACCATCCCTTGAAAGTCTGCTGGTCAAAGAGAAGATCGCGGCTGGTCTTACGCAACGTCGGCTCGAGGGTGACCGGGGAAAATTGATCGCCAATCTACACTCGTCAGGTCCGGGAGTTTGGTACTGCTCACTAACCTTCCACTTCTGTTCTTGTATCGTGGCTTGTCTGTGAAACGGCACGGTCCTCTTCTTCCACATGCTCAAGCCTGATTCGGATTTGACGGAGGTTGACATCGCTTGGCAGGTCATGGTTGGTTTTATACGACGGAGATAAACAGCAGAATGTCACTCTGTACACCGAATGTACAAGGATTCGTCTGTCGATCAAAGAATGCTGAGAGAAGAACTCAAGAGTCCGCTGCTATCTTCAACCTTCTTCAAGCATAACCCTAGGTCCTACAGGAATAGAATTCAGTTTCAGCATGATTAATCACCTTACTGAAGGTTGCTCGGGCATCAGCATGCACAGATACTCTGCTCAACCCGGGTTCCAGCTCACTCAATCCCACTTTGAATGCACATTGCTGATCCGCTTAATCGTATTTTGGCTTTCCGTACCTTTTACTCAGGTTGTACGACTTTCGTGACCAGTCTGGGGAACAAGCAGATCGATTCAAGCCACGGTCCTTTCTCCGCGGTTGATTGGTCAATGTTCAAAATAGCTTGACCTTTTGCGAAGACGGACAGGGAATGAACCATCGGCTTCGGGCTGGCTGTGCTCATTTTTCGTGCAGCTGGTCTGTGGTGATCTAGCAAACTAGCATAAGGAACAGCGGGCATGGTATATGGCGTAAGCCAAGTAGGTCGATTCGTCACGGCACTTCGAAGTTCGAAGATATGCGGTTTAATATGTATTGTCAGGATGTATCACCAGCCTGCATGACCCTATACGAATTACTGAGAATCCAAAATTATCATTGGCAGTTCTGTTTCCCTTATATGCTCAGTGTTATCATTGCCCTCGAGTATTCTTGCGTGCTTGCACTTTGACAAGGGCGGTGGTCGAATTAGTGCCATCACTACGCTCGTTTACATCACCGAAACGTTCGGTAAGCTACACGTACAAGATTTCTCATCCGCATCTCTTCCGCAACGCCCCTCACTGGTTCGACGGACAAGAGCTGGAAAACTACGCAAGGGCATCGGATCACCGAACAGCAAAGCCTCTTCCGTAGAAGCGTGAATTTTGTTTCTTTTCCACGAAGGATTTGGAGCCCCACAAGGACAAAGATAGCGGTGAAGTTCCTACAGCCGCCACTCTAACCAAACACGCAAAAACTCACATCACTGAATCTCCTGTGATACCATGGAAGCCGAGATCAGAGCCCAGATCCCTGACATCGACCCTGTCGTGTCCGAGTATTCTGCAGGATATCTCAACCATGCTTCGCAGGCATACAGCACGGAGGGCGACCCACTGTCCGATGCCGCTGCTGCGGTGACAGCTCTGTTGCTATCCGCTTCCGGTGATCTGTCTAGCCAGAATGAATTGACAATTCAGAACCTGGTTGAAAAGTTTGTCTCCAAGCTCTCGGCACAGTCTGGTCTTGATGGTGAAAAGCGCCAACAAGCACCTTCTGCCAGAAAGCTGGACCAAACCATTCAAGTCGGATCTGCAAGGAACATCTCTTCCACTCTTGGTTTGACCGGTGGTGTCAACTTGGAGCACACTGGTAGACAGATCGAGTCTCGTGTTGACAAGAAGAAGCTTGAGAAGGCCGAAAAGAAGCTCCGCGCAAAGCAAGACAAGAAGGAATTCAAGACTGTCGAGTATGAGGCTTCTAAGCTTTTGGACCAGCCCGACGATGCTGCATCTTACGAAGAATTCTTCATGAAGGTTAACCCTCTGCAACTTGGCTCGGACAACCAAGGCAAGAGTAAGGACATCAAGGTTGATGGCATTGATATCACTATTGGTGGCAAGAGAATTCTGAGTGACACCAACTTGACGCTGGCATATGGCCGCAGATATGGTTTGGTTGGTCAGAACGGTATCGGTAAATCTACTCTGCTCAGAGCTTTGAGTAAGAGAGAGGTTGCCATCCCTACTCACATTTCCATTCTTCACGTTGAGCAAGAGGCAAGAGTTTTCATATACTCATAACTCGGTCCATTACTGACGTATGCAGATTATGGGAGACGACACTCCTGCTCTCCAAGCCGTTTTGGATGCTGATGTCTGGCGTAAGCATTTGCTGAAGGAGCAAGACAAGATTACCAAGGAGCTTGCAGAACTGGAAGCCGCCAGATCACAAATGGCAGACACATCAACAGACGCTGCTAAGCTTGACAAGCAACGAGAGGGTCTTGATATCACTCTCAGTGACGTTCAATCCAAGCTCGCTGAGATGGATTCTGACAGGGCCGAATCTCGTGCTGCCAGTATTCTGGCTGGTCTTGGTTTCTCTCACGAGAGGCAGCAATTCGCCACAAAGACCTTCTCTGGTGGTTGGCGTATGAGATTGGCACTTGCTCGTGCTTTGTTCTGCGAACCTGATCTTCTCATGCTCGATGAACCTTCCAACATGTTGGACGTTCCGTCTATTACCTTCTTGTCAAATTACCTGCAGACCTACCCCAGCACTGTCTTGGTGGTTTCTCACGACAGAGCCTTCCTTGACGAAGTCGCCACAGATATCATTCACCAGCACTCAGAGCGTCTCGACTACTACAAGGGCGCCAACTTCCAATCCTTCTACAACACCAAGGAGGAGAGAAGAAAGACTGCCAAGAGAGAGTACGAAAAGCAGATGGCCGAGCGTGCACATTTGCAAGCCTTCATCGACAAGTTCCGTTACAACGCAGCCAAGTCGTCTGAAGCACAATCACGTATCAAGAAGCTGGAGAAGATGCCTGTCTTGGAAGCCCCTGAGAGCGAGTACACAGTCAAGTTCACATTCCCTGACGTGGAAAAGATGTCGCCTCCTATCATCCAAATGAGTGGTGTCTCCTTCGGCTACACACCAGACAAGCCATTGCTCAAGAATGTTGATCTCGACGTTCAGCTCGACTCGCGTATTGGTATTGTTGGACCCAACGGTGCTGGTAAAACAACAGTGCTCAAGCTTCTCATCGGCGCACTACAGCCGACCACTGGTCTCATCTCTCAGAACCCTCGTCTACGTGTCGGTTTCTTCGCTCAACATCACGTCGATGCTCTCGACTTGACTATGAGTGCTGTTGGCTTCATGTCCAAGATGTTCCCTGGCAAGACCGATGAAGAGTACCGCAGACATCTTGGTGCCTTTGGTATCACCGGTATGACTGGTCTGCAGAAGATGGCCATTCTTTCAGGAGGTCAAAAGTCTCGTGTCGCTTTCGCTATTCTGTCTCTTCAGAACCCTCACATTCTGGTTCTTGATGAGCCTTCTAACCATTTGGATATTGAAGCCATGGACGCTTTGGCAGATGCTTTGAAGAACTTTGGTGGTGGTGTACTCATGGTTTCTCACGACGTGTCTCTTCTTCAGAACACATGCACAAGTCTATGGGTATGCGACCAGGGAAGTGTTGAGCACTTTGATGGCGATGTCAACGACTACAAGCGCAGAATCACAGCCCAGGCTGACGCAGCAGGTGTGGCTACCACTCACCACTAGTCTCGTTTATGCCGGCAAGACCATTGCAGTGTCCATATGTAGCAGAGCTTATATGAACATGAATCTAAATGACAATATCTGCATAGATAGTAGATGGTCCGCCAAGCCATGTCCCTGATGATCCTCTCTGCACAGCATATCTACCCACCTTGTCTGACTCTTAGTGAACATACGGAACTGCCAAACCATTCATACTGTCCATCCATATGGCTAGGTCGTGTTAGCCGGTAGATATATCGAGTTCTCACTCTATACCATTGCACGGGGTACTAGAGCTTCCTTCCGCATTAGGTAACGGAGATCTCCGTGCACAGCAGAAAAAAATGAGACGGCCAACGCCAGCGCATGTCGCACATCCCACCATCCCACTTCCAATCTCCTTACTTCCTCTCTCTCATACACTACATTTTCTCGGGGTCGGCCAGTCACAGCCCACTCCTACTTATCTGCGACCATTTCCTCCGCACTCGCTCCCCTCTCCATCCTCTCTCGAGTATCCGCAGCAGGCCCTGCGTTCGCGACAGCTCACTTGCGCATCTGCTGGTCGGCGAACACTAAAGCTCAAAGCTTTACTCTAGTCCGAACTTACGCCAAAGGTCGAGGAAGAATGCCTCCCAAGAAGGTCGTCAAGGAGGAGAAGATCCCTTTGGGTCGTCCCGGAAACAACCTGAAGAGTGGTATCGTATGTAGGGAATAGTCCGCCGGAGTGCCCATGTAACTGTCGCTAACCTCAATTGCAGGTTGGTCTGGCTAACGTCGGAAAATCCACCCTCTTCCAAGCTATTACCAAGTGTTCTCTTGGTAACCCTGCTGTATGTACCATCGCACTCGGTCCGACGCTTCCTTCATTAACCCTTACTGAAGAACTTCCCCTACGCCACTATCGACCCTGAGGAGTCTCGTGTCATTGTTCCCGATGAGCGTTACGACTGGCTTTGCGAGCACTACAACCCCAAGTCGAGAGTCCCCGCTCACCTTACCATCTACGATATTGCTGGTCTGACCCGTGGTGCCTCTACTGGTGCTGGTCTCGGAAACGCTTTCTTGTCTCACATTCGTGCCGTCGATGCCATCTTCCAGGTCGTCAGATGTTTCGATGATGCCGAAATTATCCACGTCGAGGGTGATGTCGACCCCGTCCGTGATCTCGAGATTATCAGCGAGGAGCTCCGTATCAAGGATATCGAGTTCGTCGAGAAGGCTCTTGAGAACCTGAAGAAGCAGACCCGCCGTGGTGGTCAGTCTCTTGAGATGAAGAAGCTCAAAGAAGAGGAGGCTACCACAGAGAAGATTCTCGCCCTGCTCCAGGAGGGCAAGGACGTCCGTCACCAGCACTGGACTCCCAAGGAGGTACGTTACACTGCGCTTCATACCTTTGTCACACATCGCCCCCTTTGCAATGATGATCCAACTTTTATACCCAGCTCTCAGAATAACGGTCCATCGGAGAAAGGCTTAACCTGTTGGGATTGGACCCAACGGGGAGCCGGATCCAGGACTCTTTTGCTGTCAAGTCCCTTCTGAAACACACTTCGACTACCACATATGCTTCAAATCGATCTTTCATGTTCATGGCTAACAAGATTCGATAGGTCGAGGTCATCAACCCTCTCTTCCTTCTTACCGCCAAGCCTGTTGTCTACCTGACCAACCTTAGCGAGAGAGACTACCTCCGTCAAAAGAACAAGCACTTGCCCAAGGTTGTCGAGTGGATCAAGGCTCACTCTCCTGGCGAGCCCATTCTCCCCATCTCCATCGCCCTTGAGGAGCGTCTTTCCCGTTTCGAGACCGATGCCGAGGTCGAGGAGGAGTGCAAGAAGATTGGTGGCAAGTCTGCTCTTCCCAAGGCCATCACCACTATGCGCAAGGCTCTCGACCTTGGCAGCTTCTTCACAACCGGTACCGATGAGGTCCGTCAATGGACTATTCGTAACGGCACCAAGGCTCCTCAAGCCGCCGGTGTGATTCACGGTGATTTCGAGAAGACCTTCATCCAGGCCATCGTATACAACTTCAACCTTCTCAAGGAGTTGAAGACTGAAGCCGAAGTCAAGGCACAAGGAAAGATCATGACCAAGGGCAAGGACTACATTGTTGAGGATGGAGACATCGTTCTCATCAAGGCCGGTGCCGCCAAGGCTTAAATAAAGAATTGCCGACGTCTTGGTTCTCGAATCCGTTGGATGAATGATGAGTGGGACTGTTTCTGGTCACTCTCCCAGGCTTCCTGTTTCTACTTTACTGCTCGACAGTAAAACGATTTGGCACTGGCCGACTGAGCTAGTGCTGAAGCAGCTTGCTGCGAAGAGTTGATACCCGGCCTGTTTTGTGGCCAGCACATATAGATGGGGCTCGTCGATATGTGTTGCTCATGCCCCATTAGCATATGCTTGATAATGAAAAGTAAATGACTTTAACATGATGAATATTCTTGCATCTTACATCATCTTACTCAAAAACGTGATCGGGATGTGTCCTATGTTGCATCGGATATAAAGTGTTTCAGGTGAGCATCACAAAGGTGATTGATGGCTGATCCTGAAGGAGTCTTCCGCGCGCTAGATATGCACATGTTCGCATCCAAAGAATAGCTCGCAAACCCTGGGCTATATGTCAATTGGTGTGCGCGTCCTTCAGTCAGCCTCGTATGGTTAGACGGATGTTTAGTCAAGGGTGGAGCTTGGCGGGCAGAATCAGATTCCGGCAGCCGGTGACGTTGTGGGCGGGCGACAGTCACATGTTGAAACATATTCGAGGCGGAGCTCTATTAGGCACGCAGGCAGATCAGCCTAGGTTCACGACAGTTGCAGGGACCCAAGACAACAGACAAGAACAGTTCAGGAGTTGATTCAAGCCCATGACTTTGCGTGCCGACGGAACCTGAGGAACAAGACAATCTCGCCCGGCCGTGGGCGCATTTCGCATACCGTCAATCCATCTTGCCATGACCCACCACCGACTACCGATTGAATGCACCCTCTAAACCCCTTTCTGCGGGCCTTCTTCAGAAGCACCCTCCCCTCGCAGTGTCTACCCGTGAACCACCATATCCTGCTCGTCCCGACGACTGAATCGCTACTACAAGGCCGCGACCGCGAAACGACTGCGCCATATTCTGACCTCGCCGTCTCTGAAGAATTTCTCTCGAGCCATGTCATTCGCATACCTGGAGGTATCCCACCTGGGTCCACGTCAAAAGATGGAGGGAACATTCGCGAGACCAAAGGCAAGGCCAAGCAGTATAACACACTCAATGGCAGGACCGTAGTCGTCAAGGATACATACGTCTACAGCAACAAAGGTTCGCCTTATCCACTGGCTTACAGCGACACTGCTGACACCGCTCTATAGGCTTCAAGAGCTTGACACAGGCTCAACTTTTGACCGACACTCTGTTTTGTCCAGACATCCCAGAAGCCCAGCAATGGCTCGTCTACTACATCTCTAGACCTCTAACAGGCTCATACGACCTCGTTCGCATCGTACCGGCTACCATCAAGACGGCTGCTCAGCGCGCTGCAGACAAACCAAAGTCTTCCATCCCCTCGGCATCGGACGTCAAGAAGAAAGATATCGCATCATTTACAGAGCTGCTGACCGCATTCCCTCTGATTGCGCGACAACTACAGAATGGTCTGGATAGAACACTCAAGGAGTTTGCGGCACAATTTGAAGGCCCTGTACCTAACAAGTCGTCACGGGCGCCATCTGTGAGCTCGCAAAGATCGGATTACTCTTCAACTTCGTTAGAGGATTCATTGGCTTCGCTCAGGTCTTCGGTTTCTGGGAGCGAGAGCAGTATACGTCTTTCATCACTGGCCATAGAACCGGAAGAGGACTCCATGCGCTTTGCGCTTGAAAGTGCGACTACTGCTGCTATCGATTTGTTCCAAGGCGTTGACAGACAACAATTATCACTCCTTGGTGCCACAACTGATTTGTCAGGTCCAGTTGTTGAGCGCATGATTGAACGTCATGTCGCGGAGCAGCTACACGAAACAATTCTATTTCCACGGATATGCAATATTCGCCGTTCAGAAGACCTCGAACTCGAACATCGCTTGCGGAAGATGGCCAACATCGACATTGCACAAGTCGGTATACCTATAGAGGATGGTATGAGGGGGAAAAGAGATATGGCGATCCGGATCGACAGAGCTGTGGGCATTTTCAAGAAGATGGGCGTAGCCAGCAGTCCTCAGGAGATGATCGAAGTTTTACTAGAGACAGCAAAGACTGTTACCACGACTCCAACCACTAACGTAGGGAAGCCAGGAACGCGCCCGGATGGCACGTCAGAGAAACCGAGTATAGCCATGACTATCAATGCCGATGCTTTGGTCTCGATGCTCCTGATCGTTGTTATCAGAAGCTCTGTTCGTTATCTGCACGCCAGACTCTCCTATATGAGACACTTTGTGTTCATTGACGATGTGGACAGTGGAGAGATGGGCTATGTACTGAGCACTTTCGAAGCTGTACTGCTTTACTTGTCAAGAGACTCGGATGCCTTACGGATAGCTGCGAGAAAGAATGCGCGATTATGGAAAGCGACACGAAATGGAAACATATCGGATCTGCGCAAGATACTTCAACCAGACGCTCCCTGGATGGCAGGTGGTCAAGTCATAGAAGAGGCGCCATCATTTGACGACAGCTTCAGAGATCAAGATGCATCAAGCTTGAGTTCACGGCTGAACGATGTACAAATGGAACAGGAACAACAGTCATCGATATCTGGAGGTGGTTTTGCTGCCGTTGGTGGATCTTTGGCTCACGTGTTTCCTTTCCAAAAACCGCCGACACCACCCCCAGAAGTCAGTCAGCCAAAACGAAAACGTGTGACTATGGCCAAACTACGCAGCGCATCTGTGTCATCAGGATATTCATCTCCGTCCCGGTCCAGATCCAAGAGTATAGACTCTACCATCAGCAATGCTTCAGCAGGCGACAGCTCTCTCGACAAAATCTCACAATCACAAGGTCTGGGTGGAGACTCTATTTTGATGATGGCCATCGAGAATGGACAACTCGCATCTTTAGAGTACCTCTTGAGTTTGGATCAATATTTCCCTATCGAGTTCATTCTGGAGGATGCTAACAACGAGGGAGTGACTCTGCTTGTTGCCGCTGTGCAGGGCGATGACAAAAACCTAACAAACACCTTACTCAATCACATCATCCGCAACTCTCCCTCCGACAGCACTCTACGATCATATTTTGTTCGTCAAGACAGTAAAGGAAGAACATTTGCCCACTATCTTTTCAACCAGCCACATCTGATGGAGACTGTCGGCGAAATGCTGCCGTGGCGGCTCAAAGACAAGAATGGTCAAACCCCATTATTTGCTCTATGCAGGTCATACGACCACCAGGAGTATCGTTGGATGGTCGAAACCGCATTGACTCTCGCGACCAATACTCAACCAGATCAAGAGCCACTCCACCTTGCTGATCACATAGACAACAAGGGCAACACTTTACTACATATTGTCAACGATCCTCATCTAACGGCGTGGCTCCTTCGTCATTGTGATTCGGATGTGAATGCAGCGAATGACAAACGTTTCACACCGCTTATGATGGCGAGCAAATACGGTAGACTCGACTTGGTTCGAACATTCTTCGGTGATGCTCGAGTAGACCTACAGATTAAAGACATTCGAGGCTTAACAGCGGTTGAATTGGCCAAAGATGACGAAGTCAGAAACCGAATTGATGATTTGGTGTTGCTATCAACGCGACCTGCAGCAGATGGACGAATCACTTCTGTCGTTCGCTCATTCTTCGTGGAGGATGCCACTGTTCGACTAGTGCTAAAGTCTGGAGGTCCGAACCCAAATGGCACGATCACAGTCACCACCTGTCGTCGCTCCGTTGCCGATTTTGAACACCTCGCAAAATGGCTCTCGATTGAGCAGCCCGCGTCTTGGATCCCGACACATTTCAATCTGACATCGCCCTTCTTGATACCATCAAAGCCATCAAGGGCTGTCCTGCGTGATATTCAGCTCCGCCTTGATGCATTCTTGCAATGTCTTCTGACACATTCTACTTTCTCTACACATGAGATGGTATGGGAGTTCTTCCTTGTTCCCGATATTGATCCCGCCATGTTGGCCGAGCGAGCGAAACACAAGGCAGAGATCCGTGTGGAGAATGTTCGGGATGACTACGATCCGATCACGGATACACGAGAAGTCGAATCATTTGTAACGCATGCAAAAGATCAACTTCGTGGAGTCTCTCATGCTGTGAAATCCCTCATCAGACGCACTAATGCCCAGCGCGTGATCAACTCGGATTTGTATGATGCGCGAATGCTCAATAACACCGGTGTCGCAACCCTTCAATTCCTTCCTCGAAAATATTTTACAGCATTCGAAATGTACACAAAAGCTTTGACGCCTTCAGAATCTGATCCTCTGGCAAGCTTTTACTACTCGCTGCACTCGATTGCAAATTCCTCAACAGCGGTCTTGGTTGCTCTTGGGCGGCCAACGAGCCTGATTGGCAGCATGAACCAAGCTAGAAGAAATATCGAGAGAGCTCTGGGGTCTCTTAGCAGGCAATCCCGCTGGACGCCAAACATAGGGCTGTTTGACGAGACAAGGCGGTCGATTGCAGCTGAAGCTGAAGAGAAAGCAACAAAGGCTCAAGGTGAACTTGACTCACTTGGTAGCGAACTACGCTACACGCAACAGACTGTTGCAGCCGAGTTGGCTGGTTGGCAAGAACAGCACGTCAAGTTCGGCAAGAGAATGCTGAAAGATCTAGCCAAGGGTATGGTTGTGAAAGAAAAAGCCAGGCTCGAGAGTATGAAAAGAGCATTGAGAGAGCTGCAAAGGTGAAACAAGGGTATATACATGGTACGTGTGCATTGGCGTTTCATGAACTCAGGATCGTTCTACTGTACATTTAGCAGGAACTCGTACCTCAAACGGCGTTCGCAGGTCATGTAGCATTAGCAAGGCTTGGACGCAAGCATGACGACGATCTAAAATGATGATCTATATATCACAGCTTGACTCGTTGTAGATCTCGTACAGCTGTGAACACATCTCTTTGTCTTCAAGTGATGCATATCGTTCTCCAAGACTGATTCAAGACCAGAAGCACTTCGAGGGAGGTATACCTTGTCGCCGAGAGCCCTCATACGGGGTAGCTCTTTCCTCTTTCGGCAGGTAGGTGGTATCGTTGCCTGCCGAAAGCGTCGGCCGTCTCGACAGAAGACTCGACGGCTTCTCATACACTTCATTGCGCCAGCCAACTCTTCTCCCTCCTGCCTTCTTCATTACACAACACACTCCTTTGACACGTTTATTTCACGTGTTCTTTGATCCTACCTGTCCTTCCTCTTCTTTCTCTACCTGTTTCAAGTCACTAGACACGTCCAACCCCATCGAAGATGCCTCCTAAGATCGCACGAAAGCTCACTGCTGCTGAGACCCAGCACGCCATCGCTCAGACGCAGGGCCATGAAGCTTCTCAAAGCAACGAGGATGCAATTCAGCCTGATCAGGAGACTCAAACCGACAATGACACCCAGCTCGACCAGAATACGCAAGTTGAGGACGAGACCCAGCTCGAACAGGACACGCAAGTTGAGGGCGAAGCCCAGCCCGATGCAGATATTCCCACGAGCAGCGGCGACAGCGACGTGGTCAACAAGGCATTGGCCTCGATTGCTGATGGCGCCAGTGCTGCCACACCTGATACTCCTGACTCATCTGCCGATGAGACCGAGACTAAGGCTGCGATCAAGGCTGCAACCAAGAAGCCTGCAGCCAAGAAGGTTTCTGCCACCACTGATGGCAAGAAAGACGGCGAAGGAAAGAAGAGAAAGCGTCGTGTCAAACGTGATCCTACAAACTTTCAGGCCTACATCCACAAAGGTTTGTCCATTTGCCTTTTGCTACCACTCTCTGTGTGTACCGATGTCTGACAAACACCTTCACAGTTCTGAAACAGATTCATCCTGACAATGCAATTGGCAAGGCTGCTATGCAGATTATGAATGACTTCGTCAAAGGTGTGGAACAATTAGGCTTGTCATTCAATACAGCACAACTAACACTACAAACAGACATTTGCATTCGTATTGCAGACCTGGCTTCGGATCTATGCAAGAAGCTGAAGAAACCTACCCTCCAGGCTCATGACATTCAGGCTGCGTAAGTCATATTACCCTTCTTGTCTCACCTTGCCTTAGCTACCTTATCGATATCCTTGTTCTTCCCGTGCACTAACTCATATGTCCTTTTCACTTTCGGACTTACTGACTCCTCTGTGCAGTACCAAGCTCATTCTCTCCGGAGAGCTGGGAAATCACGCCCAGCGCAATGGTGCAAAGGCTCTTCGTGCCTTCAACCATGCTACCAAGAAAACCCTGCGCTAGAGTCTTGCATTTCGGCCCTTTCCTCTGGTCTGGAGGCACTCGACACGAAAGACCCATGTACGACGCACAACCATGACACTACGACATACACCATGAATGGCTAAAGAACACGAGCTGTAATGACTGAGACGATGAGACGACAAAGAATGCTTTCAACTTGCTTTTACTACTAAGAGATAGCTATGGACGGATAACTATACATATTGCTGGGGATATGGCGATGATGGAAGAACAAGATGCTATGATGCTACAATTGCTATTGTTGTTCGAAACATACAATTCAAGACATAATTCGCTTTCCATCAAATGTTTGCACGTCTAAGAAGGTTATACAATGTGTCCGTCTGTGTTAAAGATACGTGGGCGTGAGAGTCTTGATATTTCAAGTCGTTTAGCACTTCAAACTACACCATCAACAGAGGTTTGCCCTCTTTGACCGCGCCAAATCTCGGGGAAGCTTAAGATCAAACCTGCAGCCAAGATGTAGCTCCAAGCCCACCCGACTTTTCTGCAGGAGTTGAAAAGACCAAAGGTCGATCCAACAATGTCAGATCTGAGTGTGAGTGAGAGAGTATCTAGTTCTTCTAAGAGTAGACGGAAATTTGATATTGACAGTTGAAGTAGAGTAAGAGGTTACTATTACCCAATGATTCAATCTCGAAGGCTTCTATTATACGTGCAGGAGACAGGAATACAGCCCTCGAGATCACAGCACCTGGACCTTGAATCCATACCCCTCTTTCCCACCAATCCAATTCTTCTTCTTTCCTATCTTCTCGATCTTTTCCATTTCTTCATGAGCCATTGAACGTAGAGAAGAAGCTTGCTTATCTTTTGTCTGTAACACCAACATCTTGTCTCCTTTCTTGTGAGAAACACTCCATTCTGAGGCAAGACTCATGAATTCATTGCCACGGCCTGATGGATAAATTGCTCCGATCAAGGCACCCACGGCACCGAGATAGGCACACCACCAAGATGCTTTAGGACCCACTAGAGCTTGCATGCTGTGTAGGAAAGGTACGTCTGTGGGAGGAAGGTCCTTCTTGCCGCCCCAGCGGTTGCAAAGCAGCAGGGCGAGACATGCTCGTTCAGCGTGTGAGAGACCATGAGCGTGAGCTAGAAGACCAGTGGTTGTACAGCGCAAAGCAGCCGCAGCACGGATATCCTTAGGATGGGACGAAAAATGCGGAGACAGATTTGCGAAAGCCTGAATCAGGGGGATACTCAGTCCTGTACCAGCGAGAGAACTAGAAGGAATAGAGTGTGTAAGCAAATCTGCATGGTGAGCAGATCCAGGCGTTGCAGCAGCAGAAGTGGCAACCACGACAGGAGATTGCTTGCGGATTTCTTGAGGTAGAGTAGAGAAGAGATAGCCTTCTCTGACACCGCCTTGACAGAAACGGACTTCTTTGATGTGTGGTAGGGCTTCTGAGAGTGCGGTGACGAGGAATGCAACTGCGGGGACTTGGGTTGCTCGCCGTTGGGAGATGCGGAAGATGGCGCTGTCGTCTTCGGAGTCGAGGTGTGAGTTTGCTGCCTGTTGCACTGATACCGTATTCAAGAAAGTGCTTCTATCAACGCAGAAACCGTTGATGAGAGAGATTGGGTAGGGAGATACGGCGTGCTCGCTCATAAGCACAAAGCCCCAACCCCTAAACCCGCCGCCAGAGAGGTACAAAGCAAAGCCACCCTGCTGTTTCGCCAACTCCTGCAGCTCTGTAGGGATACTCAAGCTATTATACGCATCAGTAATGGTCTGCTTGACTTCCTCAGCAAACTGTCTTTTTGCTTTTTCGCCTTGCTTCTCGGCCTCTGCGATGCGGCGAGAGAGTGCTGCAGCGCCAAAAGGCATACTAACAGCACCTCTCTCAGGCATCTTGATCTCGCCAGTCTCGGCATCACTGACCAACCAAGTCAATTGCGTGCTTCCACCGCCCAAATCCATAACCAAACCTTTGACCTCACCCAAAGATGTTGCAACACCCAATGCACCAACCCTGCCCTCGTCCTCCTTGGCAAGCATCTTGACCTCCCATCCAGTAGCTTCCTTGATACTATCTCTGAATTCTTGAGAATTAACAGCAGTTCTAGTGGCTTCAGTCGCCAGAACAGTAATATTTTGTTCCGGAACACTGAAATCGGCGCAGGTGCGTTTGAAGTGGGATAACTTGTCGACTACAGTTTTTATGATTTCGTCCGAGATGGGGACGCGTGTGCCGTTAGAGGAATATTGGGCATCGTAGAGAGATATGCCGGCGCGTGAAGTGTATAGTGTGGGTAAGATTCTTGTTGTTGGTGGTGAGAGGTCGGTGATGGAGAAGCGGATGCCATTGCTAGATTGATGGATTCGCTGTTAGTAGTTGCTGAGTTACTCTTTTCATCTCCATCTTTATTTTCGTGGCCCTTCAATCATTCTATGTTTTTTTGTTCTCAAAGGTTTTGACACTTTTTTCCGATGGGTCTTTAGAAAAGAGATGAAGGGAGAACTGCCTTACCTTCCCATATCAACCAGACCGTAAAGGTGCTCGGGATTGGGTGTGGTCAACGCCATCGTGGCAGTCGAGCTTCTATGAAGAAATGGAAATGGACTGGTTTATGTTATCTCAACCGTCTATCGTATTCGAGATCGACGTCACGCAGCTCCAACCAAGGAAGGATGGACAGGGTCACGGTTTACAGTTGTGCCAAGCTCCAAAGAGGGACGTTGATGGAGCATGTGAATTATTGAGTGTTGTCTTTCCACAACACATACAAGAAACAACACGTTCGTCTATTCTGTGTAACGGCTTGAACAGGTCGTGTCGCATGCACACGGCCGCCTAGTATCTTTCGTTGCACCCTTCGAGAGCTGGAGCATGCACCTTCGATAAACAGTCGCAATGCGCTTCACTAAACCGCTCTGGTTGACCCACGGAGGTCTGTCGCATTCCTTTACGTATTGTACACTTAGAACCATAGCTGATAAGATACCTCCAGGCGACAAGAAGGATTTCGAAGTCTACAGTTGTCACGTCTCGCCCGACGGAAGCCGTTTGGTAACAGCAGGAGGAGGTGCGCCTTGTCACACAAGCATTCGAACAAGAGCAGACATGCTAAGATGGCAGCTCAACAGATGGACATGTGCGAATCTGGTCAACGGACGCGATCCGCAATGGCGCCAACGCAGAATACACCAAGCCCAAACAGCTGGCCGCTATGAGCTACCACTCGGGCACCATCCACTCTGTGCGCTTCTCTGGAAATGGCAAATACCTGGCCTCTGGTGCCGATGACAAGATTGTGTGCATCTATAACCTCGATCCCAATCCTCCGGCCCACACCACATTTGGCTCCAACGAGACTCCCCCTGTCGAGAATTGGCGAATCTTCCGACGCCTGATCGGCCACGACAACGACGTTCAAGACCTAGGCTGGTCCGCTGATTCATCCATACTGGTATCCGTTGGCCTCGACTCTAAGGTCGTGGTATGGTCTGGTCACACGTTCGAAAAGCTCAAGACGCTATCGCAACACCAGAGTCACGTCAAGGGCATCACCTTCGATCCCGCGAACAAATACTTTGCTACTGCTAGCGACGACCGTACCATACGCATCTTCCGCTTCACCTCTCCTCCTCCGAATGCCACTACCTACGATCAAGTCAACAATTTCGTCCTCGAAGCCACTGTCTCGGTCCCCTTTACCACATCCCCCCTGACTACATACTTCCGCAGATGTTCCTGGTCTCCTGATGGTGCTCATATAGCTGCTGCCAATGCCGTAAATGGCCCTGTGAGTTCTGTTGCCATCATTACTCGCGGCAGCTGGGAAAGCGAAGTCAACTTGATAGGCCACGAAGGTCCCGTCGAAGTCTGCGCTTTCTCTCCGCGTCTCTTCTGTCCTGAGCCTCCTCCACCAGCTAGCGACATTAATGCTCAAGAAACTGCTGCTGCCGGTGCTGTCACCGTCGTAGCATGCGCCGGCCAAGACAAGACACTCAGCGTCTGGAACACAAATTCTCCTCGACCCTTTGTCGTCACACAGGAGCTTGCTGCTAAACCCATTTCGGACCTTGCATGGTCACCCGACGGCGAGACTATCTACTTTACTAGTTTGGATGGAACCATCGCCTGTTGTGTGTTTTCCGCGGGAGAGCTGGGCTACCCAGCACCAGTTGTGAACAATGACAAAGCTTTAGCACGCTTCGGCGCAGGCAGAAGAGTTGGAGTTGTTGAGGGTCCAGACGCTTTGAGACTTGAAGAGAATAGCAAGGCTGGCGAGCTCAAGGGTGTCCAGGGTCGCATGGGAGAGCTTATGGGCGATGGCACCGTTGCTGTTCCGTCCTTGAACGGGACCTCGGACAAGTCTGCTCCTGCTGCAACAACCAATGGCACAACTAAGGACACAACAACGAATGGCACTACAGACACTGCCGAGCCCAAGGAACCGGCACCACCACTAGACCCGCAGGTCGCAAAAATCGATAAACTCAAACAGCGTGTGACGATTACGAAAGATGGCAAGAAGCGCATTGCCCCATTGCTTGTTTCTTCGTCTTCCGGTGTTGGAGAGTCGTCATTACCGAAACCACAACTCATGTCCAGTGTCTCGCAAGCCAGTCGTAACGATGCACCTCAGACAACATTGGATCTGTCAAAACCGTTCGATGGTCTTCCTCGAGGCGGTCTTGCTTCGCTGTTACTTGGCAACAAGAGGAAGTTTGCTGAAATTGAAGGAGACGATGATCGTCGTGCTGAGAAGCGCATCGCCTCTATTCAACAAAATGGAGCCACGCCTGTGGTCATCAACACTGCCGCTGGTCTCGTTCCACCAAGCTCAGCTGGTAAAAGCGTCACCGAAACCGCTGAACCGCTCAGACCTGCCATTGTCAATCCCAGCTTGACTACCAGCCAGGTCAGATTAGCAGTACCCCTCGTCAGAGCGACCATAGTCCGTCCCCTCGATACAACTAACAACCAAGAAAACGAAGGACAGCAGATGGACACAAGTGATGAGCCATCAATTGTGTTCGAGGCACGTAATGCCTCTGGACCTGCACGCACAGGTAGGGTCCAGGATCGCGATCCCACTCGCCTCACAGTCTCAAGGCGAGGTCAATCAATATGGCAAGATTATCTGCCTCGAGCCGTCTTGCTTGTCACCGGAAACCACAATTTCTGGGCTGCTGCTTGTGAAGATGGGTCGGTTCACATCTGGACCCCAGCTGGTCGCAGGTTGCTCAACGCCCTCATCCTCGACGCACAACCCGTCATTATGGATTGCCGAGGCTGGTGGCTCTTGTGCGTGAATGCCGTAGGAATGTGCTACGTCTGGAACATCAAGACCATGTCGTCACCACACCCACCAGTATCTCTCGCGCCTGTGCTGGATATTGCTGCTACAGCTCAGCAGGGCCACACTACGAATGGACCAGCCGTCATGTTCGCTCGCCTCAACTCACAAGGACGAATCATAGTAGGTCTGTCTAACGGAGATGGCTACAGCTATTCACAAGCCATGTATATCTGGCAACGTTTGTCAGAGCCTTGGTGGGCAGTGGGCAGCCAGTATTGGAACACGGCCGACACATCCATCTCTACCGTGCAACCCACGACCAAGGGCGCCAACGGCACTTCCACTACTGATGATGACCTCAAACCTGAGAATTTATCCGCTGGAATTATCCCCCTGCTCGAACGGAATACCACAACCCAATCCTTGCTGCGTGGCCGTGCGTACTTCCTGCAAAGACTGGTCAAGACGTTGCTTGTTGCAGAAGGATATGAAGGATTTGAGAGTGCTGTGAGCGTTGCACATCTCGAGAATCGTGTCGCAGCAGCCATGACCTTGGGCGCACGCGAAGAGTTCCACCTGTATCTTCTCATGTACGCCAAGCGTATCGGCGCTGAAGGCTCGAAGGCCAAGGTTGAAGAGCTACTGCGGTCGCTTATGGGCAGCGTATTTGAGGATGAAGAGGAGAAGCCAATTGAGGAAAGAGGACAAGGCTGGATGGCTGAAGAAGGGGATCTTGTTGGTTGGCCCCGAGAAGAGCTGCTCAAGGAAGTCGTTCTCATCTTGGGTAAGTTTAAAATTCTTGTCTGGCTCACGTTCATTGATACTGACGCATTCGTAGGCAAGCATCGTGACCTCCAACGCATCACCGTCCCATATGCTCGCCTTCTGGGTGTCCTCGATGGCGCAAGTGATGGCTTGGCCTCTTCAGCCATGGAAATCTGAGGGAGGAGCGTTGCATCTGTCATTACCTGTTTTGTCATCTGCATTCTATTGCCTTTGCCTTGGCTTTGCTCAAGCATACGCAAGTCTAGACGGCAATAAAAGCGAAGGATTTCATGTCATGTATAGGCGTATTGGCGTCAACGGCCGAAGAGCTGAGGTCATGGGATTATCACGCGATGTTTTGTTTCCTGCTTGCTGCACCATTTGCGCCTGAGTGCTGCTGAATGGTCTACGGTGAGGGCTGGCTGAATTTTCTATCAATGCTTAACTCGTTCGGTCATGGCCGAGCACACTACTACATAGTGTGCCGTGTAGATGATCAACAAGGGTTACATCCTGCCGAGAAGTGGATATAAAGGATCTACACGATAGATAGAGTTCAAGCTGCACAGCCAATCAACGTCGAGTCCCCGCATCGAATCGCGCGAGCCACGATTTGATGGATAATGTCGACGTCACGAAACATCCTCTCGGTTTTCCATTCCTGAAGTTTGCGACAGCAACAGCAGACTTCTTTGCACTTTCCTGCGTGTGAGATTCAGTGAGAAGATGGCGGCGAGTGTGGATAGAGGTCGCTAGTGTGAGCGAAGGCTAAACGACTGTAAGGTTAACGGAAACGGATAGTGATAGGCTCGCTACTGCATATAGCGGCATGTAGTTGCAGTAAACGCTCTCAGGTCTCCGCAAGCGGTAAGTGGTAAGTTAACGATACGCACCTTACGAATGGGCCATGACAGCAAGAATTTTTTAGGAGTGGCGCTTGAATCCTACGGTCAGTGATAAGACAAAACCAGGCAGTGGTCGCTCCTTCCTCTTACTTTGCATCCACTTTCCAATACTCACGCGACTGGACTTTCTTCAGCGTTTTGCGACAGGATCGACCGACCTTCAATTGACGACGCAAACAAGCTCAGCTCAGCCCAACAGTGTTGCGACACGAAAATACCATGCTGGACTCCTTTAAGCACTCCAAGCAGAGTGAAGATGTCCAGACTCAGGATGAAAAGAGTCTGCGGCACATGTCATCCAACCAGGCCGAGGCTGAGGTAGGCCAAGCTACTGTCGCCATCGCGCCCGAAGCAGGACTATCTGTTGGCCACATTCTGAAGGGCCAAACTGCGCACGATCTCACGCCTTTTGAGAAGAAAGCGGCTCTCATCAATGCCGAACTCGACAAATTTGGTATGGGCAGGTACCAATGGTGCATCTGGTTCCTGTGCGGCTTCGGCTACTTCTTGGATCTGGCCTGGTCGCAAGGTGTTGGTTTGATCGCTTCAGCTATCTACCAGGAAATGGGTGTGCCTGATGGCCAAACCGGAACAATTTTCTCTTGTGCAAACGCTGGTCTAGCTGTCGGCGCTTTCAGCTTTGGAATCCTGGTAGATGTCATTGGCCGTCGTTGGGCCTTCAACTTGACATGTCTGATCACTTCGGTCTTCGGTCTTATCTTGGTATATTCTGTTCGTCTAGTCTGTTGTTGCAAAAGCTGACTTTCAATGAGGCTGCTCCCAAGGATAATTACGGTGCGATTTGCGCTATATACTTCCTTGCTTCGCTAGGTCTCGGTGGAAACATTCCCATTGATGCCACCATCGCTCTCGAATTCCTCCCTCAAAATCGTCGCTTCCTTGTTTCTCTTCTCTCCTTGTGGCAGCCCATTGGTGTCGTCTTTGCAACTGGCGTCACCTACGGCACTGCAGCACAGCCCAAGTGGCGTTGCAATATAGACTATCCCGCTTGCAGTACTGGAAAAACACCTTGTTGTACCGAGAGCAGCAACATGGGTTGGAGATACACCCTCATTATCCTTGGAAGCGCTACTTTGTTTGTCTTCTTCTTGCGCTTCTTTGTCTTCAGCTTCCGAGAGTCGCCCAAGTTCTTAGTCAGCAGAGGAAGGGAGGCCGAAGCCATCGAAGTCCTGCACAAGATTGCCAAGTTCAACAGAGCTCCTCCGCCAGTTTTGACCGTTGCCCATCTCGCCGCTGTTGACGAGACCTCTTCGTTGTCTACTGGTGAGCTTGAAGCTTCTGGTCAACCTCTCAGCACCACGGACACACTTAAGCGCGTTCTCAAGAACACTGCCCACAGCTTCAAGCATCTCAAAGCTCTTTTCACCAGCAAGCTGCAGGTTTTTATCTTTGTGCTTTTGGCCGTTGCCTATATGGTGAGTACTCCGTCTACGCTATTCGTGGCCCTGAGAAACTAACGTTACTCCTCATAGGGTGATTACTGGTCCTTTAACCTCGCCGGTCAATACTTGCCTTTGATTCTTCTCCGAAATGAAGTCAATGCATCTGGTTCTGTCGAAGAGACTTACGCACACTACTTTGCCATCTATACGCCTGGCATTCTTGGTGCTATGATCGCCATGGCATCGGTTCAGTTGCCTCTCGTTGGCAGGAAGTGGTCGCTTGTCTTCTCTGCTCTTTGTCAAGGTCTTGCAATGGCCATGTATACTCAAGTCACCAACGTCCCCGGCTACGTCGGTCTCAACGCCTTGGAATATATCATGCAGACTGTGAGTCCTCAGAATGAGCCTCTTCCACTCGCATCACGAGCTAATTTTGATACCAAAGTATTTCAATGCTGTCCTTTACGCCTCAGCCCCTGAACTATTCGACACTGCCTATCGTGGAAGCGCCAGCGGCATGCTGTCATGCTTGGGCCGTATTGCCGGCATCGTTGCGCCGTTTGCAGGAGAGAATCTGATTGCTTCGAAGAGCTCTGGTATTCTTTGGCTTGGTGCTGGTGGCATTTGGCTTTCCGCAATCACCATGGTCTTCCTTCCTGTCGAGATGAGGGATCGCCAAATGTTCTAGACGTCATCTTTTCGTCTAGGCCAATTCCATATAACCATTTTTTCTCAAAAGCATGCTCGCTTCTGGACTCCGACAACCGGACTCGATTGCATTGCCTGCTCTACTTATGATATGATACCCTGGCAACAAGCTCAATGTTTTTCGTTTTCTTTCGAATTTCATCTCTCTAGCAACAGACTAACTGTGTCAAGTACTCACTGTGTTTATGTTCGCTGTAATTGTAGAGATATCTGCTCAAACAAAAATCGTACCTTTTTGTCTCCGGCCTGCTTTGATGCCTTTATCCAGTAGATCAACTTCTTGCGTGAGCCGTGAAGGATTCTTGAGCTGCATCACGACGGATGTGCTGGATGACTGTATTGCGGTTTCTCAACCACCACATTCATATTTATGACCAAGCAAGAACCGCGAGAGTTTCCGAATAAATCGCTGACATTGGTTTAATGCCATATCGAGACAAAATACCTAAAGAAGTACAGCATTTGCTTGTTGCATTGAGAGAATTACCAGGTATCAGGGTCATACCCGCAGCCAAGTTCTCGACGACTTTTTTTAATTTTTAAATTTTTCATATTTTGCCAAACTGCCAAAAAAAATCATTTCTGAAAAATTCACCAAGAGACTTAAGATAAAGATGCAAGAAATTGGTTTTCTGTTCCTTTGAGTATACTTTGCAAAACTCTACAATTTTTCGATGTATAGAGAGAAGTAGTTGGAGACTGGGCTGGCGTTGGTGTCATCAGCTTCTGATTGAAGGAAATGGTTCGAAGCAGACACAGTTTGACAAGCACGCGACAAGAGGATCTTGGACTCAGGTATTGACAATGCAGACGTATTGGCTAGATAGGAAAGAAGGGTGAACTTATCAACCCGGTCCCCACGATCCCACCTTCTCGAATAGGACGTCAACTAGCTCACCGATCCAGTGCAGAAAGCGTAGGAAATTCAGACGTCCGCGCAATGAGAGTCTGTATCTGACAGCCACACTGGATGACAGATATTGGTTCAGTCTCGACCTCAGGATTAGAAAAGTGTGATTATCAAAGTGCAGAAACAAGCGCCTTCGCACCTACCTGTTTTATGTAGTTACTGAAGCAGAAATCACACATAGTGACTAAATTGCATTGACATCTCGCGATCGTTCCTTCCTTGAAGATACCTACGTGCTTGTCATGACGTCTGCCACAAACTGACCACCAGAGTCAATATCGTAGACGAGGGAGACAACGGTCCCTGCTAGCTGCTGTATAGGTGCCAGATGTTGAACACAAGACCTGCATTTAGCTCTCGAATTCATAAGTGAATACAGAGGGCGTTGCTGAGAATCAAGGTCGATTCGCAAAGATTTGCTCGACGTCCAGTGATCCAAATCAAGCTTCAAACATTGACTGCTGATGAAACAAACCTTGTGTCCACACTTTTAGCAACATAAAGACATCGACTCATGATCGCTATCCGGCCACGGCGATATCGCTTACAAGAAGAAGGAGGACCTGTAAACCACGGACATGCCGACACGGGTGCCTTGCACAAACGTAGACCTTGCGCTCGTGCTCCCAGCCGGGTAGCTGCAGCCAACCCCAGATCAGGGAGCTGGAAAAGGTGTGGTTACACAAACGAGCACTCGTGAAAGCTGGGCCTAGCGTACATTCCTCTGAGACAATGGCTTCGCACTGTCTGTCTCGACGCAGAGAGCCATACTGCATCAACTTACCGTTTGCAGTAGTGTGAATTTGCCTGGTTGTTCAGTAGGTTGGAGAGTGGTGGTGAGATTCTCAGACTGCATTACGGCCGAGGGGTGAGGGGTCGTGTGCTCTTTGCTGTTTTCATCATGACCCCAAGGACCACAGCGGTGGATTGGTTGCCTGCGTGTGTTGGGACGTGCATGCATGCATGCCTACTTCAAATCTCCACAGTCACGAGAATCAGGACCAAACAATGTGTCTCCCCAAGCCCTATACATGTGCGGTCCGTCCTGCCGCAGGGCGGGTGACCACATCTGCCAGGACCACATGTGGTGTCTATCTTGGCCATGCAGCGTCATGACGCCCAATGTATTCAGGAAAAAAAGGTGGAAGGGATATGTTACCCTCGCTTCAGCTTCAGCCTGAGCTCAACGTAGTGCTTAAATCTGCTCCCATGCTCGTCGAAGTCCCTTTTCGGTTAGAGTTGCATAGTCGACATTGAAGAATGTTGATGGTGTTGGCCGGGTCCGGAGCCATCCGTCAACAAGAACGCGATTGGACAGTGACTTCAACAGGTACCAGAAGTAGACCGCACATGCACTCTGATGGGGACTCGCTGGTTAGGGCGGGCGCAGAAAGCACGCTATGCTCTCTCTTGTTTTATGATGCATGTCATCTTGTCTCTCTGCAAACCAGTGGGTCCTGCAGATGTGAGGCTCGCCGACTGGACCGATGGGACGGGCCAGTCATCGGTAAGGCAACCGCTCCCACGGTGAAGGCAGTGGCGCCGCCATCTGCAATCAGAGCTGGGAGCGGCTGAAACGATGTCTGCCTCAGCACAATATCTTGCTGGTAAAACAGATGGTTCATGTATTTCTTCTTCGCTGTCGCAAACTGAAGAATGCTCTTAGAGAAGGCGATAGCCCAGTATACTTCCAAAAGCAGTAACGCAGATTCAATGAGAGGTAGCTTGTCCCAAAGCGGACAGACAAGAAAGCGTCAGAGGGTCCAGGCTTCAAATCCCTATACGGATGCGGTGATGCTTGTCCGGCTTCAGTAGTCTTCCATTTGCAGGAAGACTGAGTTTGCAATCGGCACTTGCTCAATCTTCACGGACAGAGTTTGTACAAATACCTTTGACGAGACCGACAAAGAATCCTGGGAACCTGTTGACCTTCTTTCTGCTTGTTTCGTTCTTCCTTTGGCAAATATTCCGACTTGTGGAAGCCATCCCGGGTTGTAAGGACTTTGTCTAACACAACAAACACCAAAGATCGCCTGCGTCGAGACACAAGCAAAGCAATAGTTCAAAGCATCAGCTCATCATTCAGCAGCAGCCACAACCCCAGTGTTTGTCCAAGACATCGCGATCTAGGAAGCAAGATTGCGAAAAGAGACAAGGTTCGTTGCATCTGCCTTTGATCCACGCACGTGGTTTACGTGGACGAATACATCCTTGTTCGTTCTCCTGACAGCACGAGACTTTCGCTTACCATGTCATAGGTTGCAAGTGTTTGGCCAACGAAGACGCATACTATCTTGCTTTTTGTGCCCCAGAGTGACACTGACTCGGAGCTCTTTCGACCTTTATCCGAGACTGCTTGGTACGAGGCTGGTGACTTAGCCTGTAGCCGGTCCAAATCAAAACAGCAACACCCAAAGGCGACACAATTTCTTTGCTACCTTTTGCTTTATTCGTCACCACAGAATAGTTGTCCCAACACACAGGACAAAGCCGACATTCAGTGCGTGCAAGATATCGAGCAATCGTCTGAAACAGCAAAAGCAACACCAAGTCCTGATTCAATCTGAGAGCAGGTGAAAGTCGCAATGCCATCCAACCGGATCACTCAGTCAGGTCAATACGGCCAATCTCTGGACAACCAACATGAGCTGTCCCACATTGAAATCTACAATGAAGGACAAGCCTATGACAACTTCACATTCGTAAGTCATCCTTCCGACAGAAAGAAGAATACGCTGACCATGACAAGGACAACTCAGGGTGGCCAGATGGCAGCAACCTGAGCACGTACGACAACACCAACTACGATTATCAAGGTGTCGGTGCCAGTTGTCCAGCCTCTCGTCCCAACACAGGAAGCGATGGCAGTAGAAGAACGCGAAGTGGGCGGACGACCAAGCCCATGGACTCGCCGATGAGTTCGTCGCGCTCTACGCCCGCAGCCAGTAGTCCTCGTATCGCTGGAGTGAGAAAAAACAGAGCCAAGAAAGTGCAGGAAGCAGATGTCGTACTTCAAGCACCCTTGAGTGTCTTGACCAAGGACTCTGACACACCCTTGAGGGATATGGAGGCATGGGCCAACAGATCGGTGGAAGAAAGACGTTCGGAGGTGACCAAAGCCAACAAGATTGCGAGGCCTATGAACAGGTTCATGCTGTACCGTTCCGCATATGCTGAGCGTACCAAGAAATGGTGCGACCAGAACAACCACCAGATAGTGTCGAAAGTGACCGGCCAAAGCTGGAAGAAGCTGGAGCCCAAAGAGATCAAGGATTACTACGACCGACTGGCGACGATAGAAAGAGAGAATCATCAGAGAGCATTCCCGGAGTACAAGTTTTCACCTGCCAAGGCCATCCCGAAGAAGAAGAATCCCAAGCGGATCCTGGACTACCCCGAGAGCGCATACAGCCACTTCAGCGATTCGGATGACGACCCTGATGGCGAATATCGGCCAGGACGACAGGTCAGGCAAGCCAAGCAGCCTCCAAGAATGACAGATCCTTATGCCGACAACTACTCGTATGCAGATGTGAAGTACCAGCTTGCGGATCCTGGAAGAAGCTCTACGACATACCAACAAATGCTGCCATATGCAGCCAGTCAGGCACAGATGTATCACAGCCATCCGTATGCATACGCAGTTGCCAACGGTCATGGTCAGTACGCAGTGTATCAGCAGGGAGGCGGAGTGCAGCAGATGCATGATAGTCGAATGGCAATGAACGGCACGCCAGCATCGATGGGATCCGGCGGAGCATTGGTATCGTTGCCTGGTGGGCAGCACCATGAGTTGTTGCAGTCCAGGGGCCCAACACCAGTGTCGTCATATCAACAACCGCAGCACGGAGGCAACTTCATGGACCACAACGGACTCTTGCTGCATCCCGACCACACGACCTACAACCTGGGACACGAGATTTCAGGCCTTGACGCCAACTTTCAGGAGGCCATGCACGGTGGATTCGACATGAGTGGTGGGCAGGTGGTCACTGAGGGGACAGCGAATGATGAATTTCTTGTGGATCCGCAATTGGGAGGGGTGCTAGACAATTCGCCATACCAGCAGTTCCTTGAGTGATAGAGATGGTATGGAACAGATGACAGGATGACCTCGCGGTCGTAATCGGATGGAATGACTCATCGGATGAACAGAGGTTGGATTGAATATGGCAGGACATAATGGAGTCTGTATTTGCAAGAAAGATAGCGTTGATTTGATGGAAGTTGTTTGTGACAAGTCGTGCCTTCCTTGTGTCTTTCCCTTCAGGAGTGTTTCAAAAAGTGAGTGGCCATGGTCAGGCGAGTATTGCACAAATGGACTCGGGTCGAGGAAAGGGCAACGACGCGCCGAGATGGAAATTGCTGACCCAAGCGAAGCGTCATGAACGCGTGCGAAGCCGAGTTCGTCGCGTCTCTCTTGAACCCCCGATCGGCCAAATTTCCACTCTCACCACAACAATGTATGGAGATGTCGGCAACAAACTGGTACTGTGCATTTATCACATGGATTGCTTCGACCGACTAACATGCGCCCCAGGTGCAACATGCAAAAAGAACCCAGGCACTTCCTCAGCTCCCGGCCTACCAGACTGAGCTCGTCCGTACCGTAGTGCGTGAAGTCCGCGAGCTCAACCGAGAAGTCAACTCCCTACTCGAGCCCTTTGGCTCTTCTTTCAACCCATCTCAAGACCCAGCAACCGCATGCGCTCTTCTCGTCAACCACCTGAGCATGCGTCGCAACAAACGCTGTCTCTTGGCCTATCACCGCGTACGCACCGACAAGCTAGAAGACATGTGCTGGAGAGGCATCGATGTCATTGGAGCTGATCAGACAACCGCCGAGCCCCAAGCCATGAATGCCGAGGATACCAAGAGCAGTCTCAGTCCTGAGGAAGAAGAATACGTTCGCCTGTATAGCGATCTTCTGGCCGCATACAAAGGTCAATGGACCGACATCGATTTGACTGGCAGCTTGGAACCACCGACCGATCTCTTCATCGACGTTCGCGTATTGAAAGACGCTGGTGAGATCCAAACGGAATACGGGTAAGTTGGTTTGAACAAGGTCACATACCGTCTGCTTACACATTTCACCAGAGCCATCGATCTCACCAAAAACAGTCAATTCTACGTCCGTCAGGGAGACGTCGAGCGTCTGATTCAGCAGGGCTATCTGCAAAAGCTCAGTTAAGCCTTCGCACCCTACCTAACAACTTTCTGCATGCCACGATCCGAGATTGTGCCACGAGCACACGGCCTTTTCTTGCATATTCCAGGTACGCTTGTAACCGGCTCTCGAGATCAGGAAATGAGCTATATGCTTCTTGCTACCTGGCAAATGCAAAGCTCTTACAGTTGCAAGAGACTCAAAAATTGCCTGTACCATGTACAGCGACATGCCCACTCTTGGCCTAACGACAGCATCAAAGTCAAGGAGGCAAGCGATCCAATGACTGGTCGGATGGCACAAGTGGACGGCAGCAAGCATTCAAATCCAGGCACTGACTGCGATTGACATTGTCAGCCAGCGGATCGGATGGGCCGAGTACGAATCAGCATGTGTGGGGTGGTTCGCGACCACTCGGTGCGATTCATGCAAAAGCAAAAATGACGTCGACTGAGCAGGTCCGCTAAATGGAAATTTTCCTTGCTGGACAAGGTCTTTTGAGCGAAGACTCAGGAATCAGATGTCATGTCAGGACGGAAGGAGAAAGATGTAGTACAAGACGCTATTCGAGTATCTTGTCGCAGTTCTCAGGGTGGAGTGGTGTACAGGGTTTGTCTAGACAGCTGCAGCGTTTTTAGTTTTGACAAAAGTGGAGCCAGGACCTTGACGGGGGCCAGCCAGACGTTTACGTTTTCTGCTGAACATGTGGGATTGCCGGTGGATGCGGCCTCAGGTGCTGTTATCTCGCAACTAATTGAATCCTGTCACTGTTGATACTAGAGCAGTGCCTGCTTTTTTCGCTCTCCTCTCTGCTGTCGACCTCATGCACATGCAAACTTGACTTTCAGCAATTGGCTCTCTGGGTCAGCGCACCTCCTGTCGTCTAGTCAGCCCACGTCCTTTCTGAGATAAGCAGGGCCAATCCCTTGAAAAGAACGGCCGAATCCACCAAACAAGACGTACAAAACCTGACGCCTGTCAGTCGCACCATGTCGCGACTTTTCAAGCGTGGCCGCACGCCGTCGGATGCCTCGTCTCATCAGCAGCGTTTGCCCTTTGCCAATGACGAGCTGCAGCAGGAAGATTCGGAGGCCCAGGATGCTGCTCCGCGCTCCATCGGCCACAGGGCAAGAGCTCGTTCAATTACTTCGGCCTCGGCTCTCTCGTCCTCGTACAAGACTCCCAGCAGATCCTACATCCACCATGCTGCCCACGGCTTCCAAGGTGACTTTGAATTCATAAGACCCGCCTGTCCGGAGCCCAGCTAATGCGCCAATCACCAGAACCTCTTCAGTATTCTTCCTCGGGCGTGCGCGAACAGACGGCCGAACTCTCTTCTTCGTTCCTAGGCGACTCGGACCCCCATAGACTCTCTCAACTTTCGCATCGTCAGTCCCAAGATTATTCCGCCCATCGCAGAAGCTTCGATTCCACTTCGTCCCCTAGGCACTCGCTTGAGCTGGCCCACCAAAGAAAAAGCGTCGACTCAGAAAGATCTTTGGGTGATGATGAGAGGCTGCAGAATGGCCAGACTCGGCCAGAAGTTATCCATGAGCAATCCGAGCCTGTCTCGCCTGAAGTCTCGTCCTCCGACCTACCCGGTATGTCGTGGCAGCAGGCTGACAGCCAACTACGCCCAAGACCTCGCCCTTATAGCGACGTGCCGAGTTTGATAGTCAGCGAGGCTGGCGAAGACGACGCTAATGAAGAGACTCCCCTTTTTGGTAGACGTGCTTCGAGACGAGCATCGGCCTACAAGACTCTGGACGGCGCTCAAGATGGTGACGAAGATGACGAAGACATTGAGAGCCAACGGCTACCGCGTGTCAAGTCATGGCAGACGCTGCAGCACGCCTATCCCTCATTGCGGAAGGTGGCGGCTGATGGATACCGCATTGCCACGCATCCCAAAGAGTGGGACATGCAGCAGGTCTTCAAGACGGTTGTTATCAAACCTGCGCTGGTCATGCCCTCGGTCTTTCTGGGTGTCCTTCTCAATCTTCTGGATGCCTTGTCTTATGGAATTATTCTTTTTCCTCTCGGTGAGGAAGTCTTCTCCAGCATGGGTGCTGACGGTGTCTCAATGTTCTATGTCAGTTGCATCACTGCTCAATTGACTTATTCCAGTGGTAGCATCTTCAGCGGAGGTGTTGGCTCCGAGATGATTGAGGTTGTGCCTTTCTTCCATAAGATGACCTACATGATCATGTCGCGCATGGGGACCGGCAATCCTGATGCTCTGAGAGCCACCGTCATCACTTCTTATGCAATGAGCTCTATCCTTACCGGTTTCGTCTTTCTTGGTCTTGGTGCTGCCAGATTGGGCACGCTTGTCAACTTCTTCCCTCACAGTATTCTTACTGGCTGTATCGGAGGCGTTGGCATTTTCTTGTTTGTCACTGGAATTGAAGTCTCGGCAAGATTGGATGGCAACCTCGAGTTCACCTCAGCCGTCCTCCACAAGCTCTTCCAAGCAGACACGATTGTGCTCTGGCTGCCTCCTCTTTTCCTGGCTATTCTTTTGTTGACCGTCAAGCATTACTATGACAGACCATGGCTTGTTCCTGCATACTACATTGCCATCACCGCCATCTTCTACATCGTGGTCGCTGCAGTACCCAACCTCGGCATGGACACACTGCGCCGTAAAGGCTGGGTGTTTGATGCTCCGGAAGCTGGTCTGCCATTTTACAACTTCTACAGCCACTACAAGTTCCATCTTGTGGACTGGAAGGCAATCTGGATGACCGTGCCTACTCAGTTCGCCCTTACCTTTTTCGGTATTTTGCACGTTCCCATCAACGTACCCAACCTGGCTATCGTTGTGCAAGAAGACAATGTCAGCGTCAACAGAGAATTGATCATGCACGGCATTTCGAACACTCTTTCTGGTTGCGTTGGTAGCATTCAAAACTACCTAGCCTTTGTCAACAGTGTACTCTTCATCGAGACTGGTGGCAACAGCCGTCTTGCTGGTTACATGTTGACTCTTGCTACTTTCGGTCTCCTCGTTGCCGGCCCCGTCGTCATCGGTTATGTGCCGGTCATGGTTGTCGGAACCTTGATTTATATGCTTGGCATTGACCTTGCACAAGAAGCTATTTGGGCTACCTACGGAAGATTGCACCGTCTGGAGTATGCTACCATTGTCATCATCTCGTTGGTCATGGGTGCCTATGACTTCGTCGTCGGTATTGCTGTTGGTATTGGTCTCGCTTGTCTGGTGTATGTTGTGCAGACATCACGCAAGACCGTCATTCGTGCCGAATTTTCGGGTGCAGTGGCTGAGTCGACTGTACGCCGTCACCCCCGTCAGCGTGAGTACCTCCATAGGGTTGGTCCTCAGATCCGCGTTGTCAAATTGGGTGGTTATCTCTTCTTTGGCAGTATCGTCAAGGTTGAGAAAAAGGTCAGAGCTCTGATAGAAGCAGAGGCTTTCGCCGCAGAACCAATCCGCTATCTTATCCTGGACTTCTCACATGTCGCCGGCATCGACTTTTCGGCAGCCGAGGCGTTCAACCGCATGAACCGTATCCTACACCGTCGCGACGTAATGCTAGCTCTAGCTGGTGTGAGCCTCGATGGTGAAATTGGCAGGAGTCTCCAGATGGTTGGCCTTTTCGAAGACCCAGTAGAGGACTCCACCATCCCACCTCCAAAAGTTTTTGAAGACCTTAATGGTGCGCTTGAAGCTTGCGAGAACGAAATGCTTGTCATTCTTTCCGACAAGCAACGCATAGAAGCTATGAATCAGCAAAAGGAAGCTTCTGCCGAAAACATTGACATTCCCTCAAACCTAGCCATCCAGACACCTGCCTCAATCGATATGAATGTAGGCTCGCCTCGACGGAACTTCCTACACCAGGCTGCCACGACGACGCTGGCATCTAGTCAAGGACCAAACGGTGATAGCAACCGCTGGAAGCACTTTAAGCAACCGCTACCTCTGATTTTGCAATCGTTCCAAGGCCTCACGACACGCAACGAAGACTTCTGGTTCCGCGCTGTGTCTTTCTTTGAGGCTCGCAGCTACCCAGCAGGCAAGATTCTCTACTCACGCGGCGACAGACCTGATGGCTTCTACCTTCTCCAGTCCGGTATCTTGCGCGCAGAGTACGACCTCGATCAGGGAAGCTACCATGAGAGCATCGTCTCGGGCACAACCTGTGGCGAGCTACCTTTCTTCTCTGAAACGGCACGAACGAGCACTGTCATGGCGGAAATGGATTGCGAAGCTTGGCTACTGACACTCGAGGCTTGGGAGAGAATGCAAGAGAAAGAGCCAGAAGTGGCCAAGGAGATTCTGAAGGTTGGCATGAAGTTGAGTGCCGAGAGGATGAACGCCATTACCTCGTAAGTTTACTCTATCCTCTTCGAATAAAGAAAAAACGATTGCTAACTTTTGTTCTTTGCAGATATGTTCTTATCACGGCCAGTTGATCGCACACATGCGTGTTTGAGCCGATTAACTTGTACTTTGTGTAATAAATTTTCCTTTGTATGTATAAGCATTGCACGTTGGCCTACTCGGGTAGCGAAAGAGAAAGAAGTTGTGGGCAATGCACTTGAATCCAATCACCAGCGTTTCTGTTAAAGCACTCGGAGTTGGGAATAGATAGATTGTGGTGGCCTTTTGCGCTTTCTGTATTTTTTGAGAACACTTCGTTGTAGGATCGAATAATTAGCTCGTCGACGTCGGCTGTTATACCTTTGGACCTTACGAATCGATAATACCTAGCAACCTAGGTATAAACATATGCGGGGGGTCGCGGCAATTGCGGCGGGGGATCTGCTAATAAAGGCTATCATGCTTTCATCCGGGTACTCCGTATGAGCATCACCATCACGTTCTAGCAGCTATCTAATTCTCTCTTGTTACATACTGCAACCAACTATTCTAACACTTCTAACAATAATGGCACATCTCACAGGCGACCCAAAACGACATGACCTCTCTTCATTCAAAGACTCTCTGAGCGGCAGTTGTCTATGCGGAAGCATCACCGTAACCATCCACGACAACGAGCTCTTCACAAAGCCGCGCGGCCACCTGTGCCACTGCGCAAACTGTCGAAAAGTATCCGGATCAGTGGTGTCTGCAAACCTGATCATGGAAGAAGAAAAAGTGGACATTACAGACAGAGATGGAACACTCAAAGTCTATCAAGATAAAGCTACTAATAGTGGGAATCCTGTATCGAGATATTTCTGTGCTGTGGACGGAAAGTGAGTTGTTTGCCTTTTGGGAGAGAGAGAGGTTTTGTGTGGGTGATTGTGAGCTGACTTTTTGTTTGCGTAGTCCGGTTATGTCCAAGGTTGAGGCTTTGCCTGGTAAAGCTATTATCAAGTTGGGTATGATGCCGGTTATTCCTACACCAGAGATGGAAAGTTTTGCCGCGCATAAACATACCTGGTTCAAGAAGCCTGAAGGTGTAACGTCGTACAAGATTCTTCGCGGGGGAGAGTTGTTGGATGATTAGTTAATTTGCCTGTCAGCTTGAGAGTCATATTTTGGTAGTAGAGAATTTTGGATATCTTGGTCAATATTCTTCCAGTGCTTGCGTCCATGTTTCTGGTGTGTACTAAGGATCGTGACAATGCTGCGATTGACCCTTTTCTAATCAAGCCCAAGGGTGCTGTACGCTATCGAATTGCACGATTGCGAGTGGATATGAGTCTGGTAATTGAGACAGTCTGTGGAGACCTCATGCTGTGGCAATCTTTGGCAAATAGTCAAGATGTTAGAATCGCTATAGTAAACAACAGTGCGAATTTGAGCATCGAGAGTAGCTTCGTGAAGGAGTTCCAAGAGATGAATGTCCGAGTCAGGGTTAGGTGTTTAGCAGTTTGGTAGTCTGCATTTCGAGGTAGAGCATATCCAGACTGCATAGATGCATCATATTAGAGCGTTCCAGAAATAGTGCGATCATAGTCTAAAGTCATCGCACAACGAATGTTGAGGACAGTAGGAGCGTACTGAAGGAAGCACAAAAGTGCCGTTGTCGGCTGTGTGCGATTGATCAAGTACTCATCTGCCCAGTCAATCTTTCTCGTAAGAGGTCCACAAACAGTCGAGTGCGATGCGGTGTCATGTCTCAGGTGTTACATTAGACATGGCAGACACGCATGCAGATCGATAGTTCTTGTGTCGCGCAACGCGTATATGGTCATAATTTCATGAGATAGATCATTTGTGGTCGATAGGCACTGAATTTGGGGGTTAGTAGAACCTCTATCCCTTGTCTGTGTCAGTAAGTTTTGATAGTCATTGGGGTTAGGTTAGACAAATTTAGCTCTCTCGATGGGGTTGATAGTGTGCAGCCAGGCTTTTGTTTCCCGTAATTGTGTCTCAAGCCACCAGTTTGCCAACTCCGTAAAAATTCTTCAAGATTCGAGGAGAAGAATCCATCCCCGATCCCTGTCGGCAGGGTTGTGTAGAACGGGGAAAATAGGAACAAACTCAGAGAGTCGGTGAAAAAGGGTGTTTTGGTGTGTTGTGACGACGTTAAAGTCTGGTAGACTACGCGGGTTGCGAGCAGGGACGTTTCCTCACCCTCTGACTGTACAGTCACCGCCTGTTTCCTTCCATGATGATTCTCTGGGCCTAGAAACGAGGGCCTGAATAAATTGACAAAACAGCCGAGTAGAGCCATAGATGCGCCGCTGGTCAAGTTGGTGGTAAATTAAGCATGTCAAGCCAGGAGGCTTGGCTTCTGGAGGTTGGGATGTTCGCTTTCTCGACTCTGAGGCCGAACCCTGCGTGCGGGTAGCACCACCTTGCGGACACCAAGTGGGGCATCTCGAGCATTGGTGTGTGGGAGGGAAAACGAAGCTGAAGATCTGCCATCAAGGGAAATGACGTGTTTCTGTTTAGGCCAAACAACAATCCAAAAGACGGAGTGGCTCTGGAGTCTGCTGGGGTCTATGGCCACGATAGAATAGCACTGTCTTTGCGAGAAGAAGATATCGGCTACGCGCCCGTATCGTCTAGCACTCGCAACGTTTCACCAGGTCGCTATCGTCGCTGCAGGGAAAAGATCTAGTGATGGAAAAAAATAGTGATGTGTTTATTCGTTTGGGATTCTGCGGCAAGGCGTTAAACGCCCTGTCAAACGAGAGTGGGAAGTACAGTGATGATCGGCCGAGCCAGTCAAGAGCTGAATGGCGGTATGAGAATCTGACTCGATCATGTCATGAGACGGGGTAACACGAGACCGGCGCGAACAAGTCTGCACATGGAGCGATTGGGAACAGACTGCGCATCCCATGCTCGAGGGCTGGAAGTCGCATCATGTGCACTGAAGAAGCAGGGGAAAGGCTGGACTCTGTGTTGCGACTTACGACTGTCGGCAGCTGTAGACGGAGTGTGCAGAATAATCTATTTGCAGCATGCTGGCAGAGGGGCAGTCGATGGTATTCTTGGTCGAGGATGCGGCCGAGCGGTTGGGAAGATGAAACGGGCGCCGCACGAGTCAATCTATCCGGGATAGACCAAATTCAAAGCAAATCACAGGCAGATGTCGTCGCATTTGTAGGTGTTTGCTGGGCGCGTCTTGCTCAAGGCCTTGCAAATTTCGCCTGTCGCATTGGAATCTAGGAAGCTTTGACCCTATATGCAACCCCTTGGAAGGAGGTAATCTCGTTGCAATCACATGCGGCCATCCTTTTTCTTCTGCTGCACCTGCTGTTCAGACCATCTTTTCTCTCTTCCCTTACTCTTGTGCCACTTCTCAGCCTCTTGCCTCCTCTCCTTCCATACAGAGCTTCATTGCTTATCGCTGCAGAACGGCGGTAGCTCGAGCCGGAGACCCTTGATTCGTTTCCTGTCAGCTCTACATCTAATTAGTACAAGGTGTGTATCAGAACCATATCACGCCGAGCTCGCCATCCAATCATTGCTGCGTGCGCGTGACCACCTCTTCGCTGGCCATAACACCATCAGACGAGCTTGAACTGACTGTTTTCTGTTTCGCTCCTGCCAGCTTACGATCTCATACCCTTTCCTTCATCCATAATGTCTGACGTCCACAACACCACCGCCGCCCCGGCAGACGCTCCTGTCGTTGACGAGCCCGTTGCCGTCAAGCCTGAAGAGACTATTGTCGAGCCTGCTGAGGAGACCACAAAGCCCGTCGTTGAGGAGACTCCTGCAGTCGCCGCAACTGAGCCCACTGCCACAGAGACCGCCGCAACTGAGGCCCCTGCCGCCGTTGAGGAAGTCCCCGTCGCCGAGTCTGCACCTGCAGTCGAAGCCGCTGCTGTCGCTGCCGAGGAGAAGCCTGCCGACGAGAAGCCCGCCGAGGTTGCCGCCACTACTGAGGAGCCCAAGGCCATTGACTCTGGCGTCCTTGGCTACAAGGCCCCTGGTTTGATCAAGTAAGCAAACGACACCCAACAACACCGAGTATCACATACTAACAGCAAGCAGGAGCTTGAAGTTCTCCAAGAGAACCTTCTGGCTGGGCGAGGAGCCCGTCGCCGTCGACAACCTCAGCACCTACCTTCGTGGTGAGAAGCCCGAGACCGGCAACGCTACCGCTGCCTGGTCAAGCCACACTGGCAAGGGTCTTCTCTACTTCGTCAAGCACGCCGATGAGAAGAAGCACCCCCAGGGTGTCCTGAACCTTTCCGAGGCCACTGACCTCGAGAAGGCCACCGGCCACGAGTTCACCTTCAAGATCAACCATCACAAGCACGCCTTCAAGGCTACCAGCGATGCCGAGCGTGATGCCTGGTTCGTCGCCATTGAGAAGGCCATGACCGAGGCCAAGGCCAACAAGGACACCATCACTTCGAGCGAGTCTTACAAAGAGACCCTTGCCGGCCTTGCCAAGTCTCACGCTCCTCACACCGGTGCTGGCCGCAAGAGCATGGACGCCTCCAGACCTCGTGCTGCATCTACCTCCAGCTCATCTTCATCTGACGCTGAGGCCGCCGCTAAGAAGGCCAAGAAGAGCCGCTCTGCTTCCCGCAGCGGTAAGCGCCACAGTCTCTTTGGTGGTATCATGGGCAAGAAGGCCGAGCACGATGCCGAGAAGGAAGAGAAGAAGGAGGAGAAGGCCGAAGAGAAGGCCGTCGAAGCTGACAAGCCTGCCACCGAGGCTGTCGAGGAGCCCGTTGCTGCTGAGACCGTTGCCCCTCTCGAGGCCGAGGCCATTGGTAAGTCAACACCTACCTATCCTGTTTGTGTGTCATACTAATCGTTGTAGCTGCCCGTGTCATCGAGGCCCCTATTGAGGAGACCAAGGTCGCTGAGGAGAAGCCCGTCGAGTCTGCCGTTGAGCCTAACACTGAGGTTCCCGCCAACGTAGAGGAGGTCCCCGCTGCCGAGTCTGCTGCCCTTGTCGAGGCTGCCGCTGTCGCTGCTGAGGAGAAGCCTGCTGAGGTTGCCGCCACCGAGGAGAAGCCTGTTGTCAACAGCGTCTCTTCCAAGCCCGTTGAGGAGAAGAAGAAGACCGAGGAGAGACCCAAGGCCAACAAGCGTAGCAGCTTGTTCGGTGCTTTCTTCGACAAGGTTCGCAGCCCTACTAGCGAGAAGAAGGAGAGCGAGGTCGCTCCCGTCGTGCCTCCCAAGGAGACCGTTGTCTCGGCTGAGCCTCCTGTTCTTCCTGAGCCCGCCACCGAGAACTCCAACCTCGACCCTTCTGCAGTCGAGACCACTGCCGCTCCTGTCGTCGCCGAGTCCGCCACTGAAACTCCCAAGGAGGCTGAGCTCGAGGCCGCCAAGGTCGAGTATCCTCTCGTCACCCCCAACACCGAGCGCAAGCAGAGCTTCTTCGACAGCTTGGTGAAGAAGGCCAGATCCAAGAGCCCTGCTCCTGGCACTTCCACTGACGCTCCTGCTGTTCCTCCCAAGGATGATGAGGTCGCCGCTGCTCCTGTTGTCGAGGCTCCTGCTGCTACCACTGAGGCTGCTGCTGAGAAGCCCGTCGCCGAGCCCGTTGTCCCCACTACTGAGACCAAGATCGAGACTCCCAAGTCCGGTACTCCTAAGGAGAGCCGCCGCAAGTCCTACTTCGGCGGCTTCGGTGGTGCCAAGAAGGAGAAGACTGATGCTGAGAGCCCTCAGGAGGACAAGTCGATGCTCGGCAAGGTCACTGGCCTCTTCCGCACCAAGTCCCAGGCTGCTCGCCCTGTCAAGAAGGACAACGTTGCACCTACCGAGCCCGTTCCTGCCATCCCCTCAACTGAGGCCGCCACTGAGCCCGCCGTTGTCGACACCCCTGCCGTCGCCGAGTCCAAGGTTGAGGAGCCTGCCGCCGAGACCGTCGCTCCCATCAGCGAGACTCAGCACACTCCCTCCAACCCCACCGTTTCCGCCGCTGCGTAGCCTGCCTCGAAGGAATGTATGGTGGGCCAGTGATTACGCTGAAGACCCGTCTTCGCCATTGCGAGTGCGTCGATCGCTGCAACTGGTTTGATGTGTTATTTCTTTTTGACATACAGATACCCCCTCTTACTCTGCTTGTTTTGTTTCAGACATGAGATTTCGCGGATCGTTGGATTTTCCTGGCCACGAAGCGAACTCATTGCTTAATACCCAACTCATGCCCTTCACTCTTAGACGTTTCTGAGGACGACATTGTTGATCTTCGATAGAAAAAGCTGCGTTTGTTGTTGTCGGACATGTTTACTGCATTGGTTTTTGTTTTGTCTTTCTGCTTTGTCAATTTTCATTTTGGGTTTCCTGCAAGTTTGTTCATCGATTGGTACTTGTCTTTAATCGCGAATACCCGTGATACCCTGTCCACTTTTTACTTGATAACGAAAGGGAGGAGAGGGGAGTATGTACGCTCTGCAACTAATAATCGTTTCATAGAAAGTTTGTCCTCTTTTCTTGAAAATGCTTGCTGTGCATTGTTTCCATGGTTAGGTCGCGGGATTGTCTCAACTTCGGCTGGCTGAAGATTCCCGAGGCCTCAAAAGTGGCGTGGTAGATGCATTGACAAAATACCAAGACTGTGGTAGGTGTGATTGAGTAGACAGTGAAGCAATATGGCGGTATTGCGGACTGCTGCAAGAGTGTATAGCAAAGACAAGTCGAATTTTGGTCGGGGAACAGAGTTGATGTCCTGCGTAAAAAGCAGGTGAATGGGAGGAGTCGAGGTTCGCTCCTCGGACAAGGGCTACAAGGCTGACGAGAGACTTCGGGCCGGGCGGCTCAGATGTGAAGTCATTGGCCGACCACGACTCATGACGACTTGTATCCGCAGGTCGATTGCCAATTTTGGAGACAGGACCATGACGGTATTTCCGCTGTATTTTCTCACTGCTGTGTCTTCTTTCTGCTGTGTTGCAGGCCGTCTGCAAAGGGCCATCTTCGATCCGTCGCCGTCCGAAAAGCGTCACTCAGCTCGATAACAATACAAGTAGCTTCAGTCCCGTCAGGCGCCGCCCCTTTAAAGAAAAAGATTAAATCTCTACCGAACCAATTAATCCCGGCCCAAGACACCAAGTGCTAGGCCTTGCCTTCCTTCGGATATCCGCGTTTTACCTTTTCTCTTGTGATCCTTCTTTATTCTTGTCTGCCGTCACTCTTCCCACATTCAACGCATTTGACTGCCGACCGTAACCGCCCATTATTTGACCTGACCCCTCCAGCACTTCTATCCGGCGTAATATCAACAAGCACAACGGCGCGACAACATTTTTCGACCACCACGGTTGTCAAAACGTCCGTTACCGACATTCGTTAACCTTGTCTCTATCGAGAAGAGGCAGGAAACAAACACAGGGAGTTTGTTCCACCAAACTATGAGATCGTGAGCAACACAATGGTATGCGCTACTGTGCCTTCGACTGTCGATCAATCAAGGATACTGACTATCGCAAAGGGCTGTGGTTTGTCTCGCGAATCCCGGGCTCCGGCGGCCGAAGACCATGAGGGCGCTGCTCGTCATGCGACCCAGGATCCCTCGTCTACAACTGCTCGTACCGCACCTTCAGGAAACACTCCGACTGAACTACTCGATCGACCCAACCAGCCCCTGCGCGCTGCACCTACTGTCAAACATTCGCCTCCCCAACTCGCGCTGAAACCATGGACGCCATCAGAACTCGCAAGACAGCGCGAAGCCTTCTTTGAAACCAGAGTCAGCGGACGACCCGAGATGTGGGCTGCGATGAAGCAGGTATCGGAACTTCTTCGAGCTGGCGATCTGAGCGCGGCGCAAACCATCCTGGACGCCAGTGGTGCTACCTGCCCGACTGGCAAGTTCTGTGTTGAAAGAAGAAGAGGTGGACAGAAGAAAGGAGGAGTCTATGACGACAAGGGCCTGCTGTACGAGATTCCTGGCTGGGTAGTCTCTGACCCCGAAGACCTTGTCGAAGAGCCCGAGATCGAAGGCAAGGATATCAACGAAGAGTCAGAAGACGAGATTGATGCGGAGAAGGGTATGGTGTGTGAGGAGAAGATCGGAGAGTTGGTGTCAGTCAGAGCACGACTCAGCGATCGTGGCACCGATGTGGTCGTTGAGATGGGCACGAACCAAAAAGTGTCTGTCTTGGTCAAGAAGGTGCAAGAGAAGGCTGGTATTGAGCAAAAGGTCAAGCTGGCGTACATGGGCAAGATTCTCGAGGAGCACAAACCATTGGGCCAGACGAGCTGGAAAGAGGGACACATCCTCAATGCCTTGGTCTTTGGCTGATCAACACTTTCAATCTTGGGTTTCTTATGTGGTTTTGGGGTGTGCAAGGAATGGGCTGTGGGAAGTATTTGGTGCATTTCAGCGGGCGTAAGATTCTGGTGGATGGCGGATATACACACGGAATGTCTTGGGTCTTTGCTTGTCTTGATTGCGGTTTGAATTTATATGTTTCCTTTGTACAATTTGCATTCTTCTGGCGGCTGAATGGGCTGCTCTATCCATACCGACACCCGTGTCTTTCAACATAATTCCTTCTCTTGAAACCCCCTCATCATCAGGAGTGCATTTAAATGTCTATGACAGGCAATGACAGAGCACGTGCGATACCGATGGAACAATCGTAGAAGGTTTCAGTTTGGTGGCAGAGTGCAAATCTTCCCAACGGTCCACCACACGTCATGCTAGACTTTCTTCCTTCTATTCTTAACACGACGAAACGATAGAATGGTATGCCAGCATTCCTCGCGCCTCACAAGTCGGGCGTGCATCGTGTGACAGGTATATTCATCCCTGTCCGAGCTATGTTTCACGACCTAGATGTTGACGTCTTTTTCGCACAGCAATCGCTCTGTACCGCGCTCTCTTGACAAGATGTCGAGCTGCACCACCACCCCTTAGACCTTCCATCTTGCAGGCTGTCGTCAAGAGTAGTTTTGTAAAGAACAAGCATGTGACGAGTCAGCATGTCTTGCGAACTGCTTTTGCTGGTGGTTATGAAGTGCGTCCTCCACTCTTTGAAACCTTAAACGCAGCAATACTGATACTATGGTTGCAATAGGCACTGAACCACCTCGATGCTGCCATCGCCGGCGACAAAACCAGCATCTCCCACCTCAAAAGCCTCCTTTCGCGCCTACCTGCAAAACTCAAGACCACCAGCCCACGCAAACCAGCCCCAATCCCAGCTGCAAAACCCACTGCAACTCAAGGAACAGCACTATCGCTTCGACCTCGTCCAGCCTTCTCTCTACCTTCTCGCCGCCGCATCCCCGTCCTCGTCTCAGCCAACAAAATCCCCATCCTCCGCTTTACAAAACCTCAACCCGCTGCTCTATCTCACTATCTAAAATCCCGCCTCGTCGATCGTCAAAAACGACAAGACCGCAAAATGGCTCTAGAAGCACAGATGGAAATTGCAAGAGGTGAAGATGATTGGGATCGTATTTTGCTGGCACAAGGAATAGCAGACCAAGGTGGGAATGTCAAGAGAGGGAAGGTCTTGTGGACGAAAGAGGTTTATGATTCTTTGGGGTATACGATGAATGCTATTGAAGCTGAGGGGACGAAGAATAGGGAGATGGCGGAGAAGATGGTTGCTATTATTGATAAAGAGAGGGAATTGGCTGAGATTGAGAGGAAGGAGAGGAAGAGGTTGAAGAATGAAGAGAGGAGGAAGAGGAAGGCTGAAGCTGTTGAGAAGAGTGAGGAGAGTAAGACATGATCCGTAAAGGTTGATTCCCATTCTTGCTTTGTAAGTAACTTGAATCGTTAGTCGGTCTGATCACGTCTCTGTTCTTCATGTGTCGTCTTCTTGTTATTCACACATCGTTTCCCATAAGCCGATCGACCGCTGCCCATGCCTTTTGTTCAAACGATCCCCTCCGATCCATATCCTCCACGACTGCATATGTGTCATTCTCCTAGACCCTGTAACCCTTGGTGTCGTACGGGCTGAAAGTGCTGGGGATCCTGGTACTGCGTCTAAGAGGTCTGCTTGGAGTGGGCTGAGCAGCAGCATCATTGTCTTCAGCCAAATGACAAACCCCCTCACCATGCTCATGATAGACACAAGCATCGACCCAAGGCATGTCAGCCTTCTCCCCGAACACCTGCTGTCCAACCTCCCCCATCCTCACCACCACATCCCACAAAAACTGCTCCTCAGGTTCCTCAGCATCAGGACAAGCCCCCCTCTTCAACAACCTTCCCTTCTGCGCAAAGACATGAAAATCCACAATCAGTCTTCGCAACGCACAAGCCGAGACGGTGTTTTGGTATACGTAAGAAGCCCAAGTATCAGGGATCACTTTGCTCTCGTTTACTTTTTCGATGATGGCGTTGATGACGGCGTCTTTGAATTTTGGTGCGTCGAGGCGTTCACCAAGTGTATAAAGACGAGGTAGACAGTCCCATTCTTGATCATCGTCTCCGGTTGTCCTATTGATAAACAAACGATCTTTATAAACCCATTGTTCAAAAATCGAGAACGTAGCAGGATCTTCCTCTTCTAGTTCAAAAACTCCGGTCTCGGATTCTTTGAACGAGGAACTTAGACCTGCAGAGAAGAAAACAGAGACTGATGTGAGTAGGTTTCTGTGCAAGACTTTTGTTTCTCGGGTTTCTTTGGGACCGCTGCCGAGGAGGATTAACACCATTTCTGTGCCTAGGCTTGGAAGGTTTGTTAGTGAATGGATGAGAGAGTGTGTAAAGGGAAAGACTTACTCTGGAGCATCTCTCTGCGCCTTGCGAACACGAGAGATTGGGCTGGCAGGTGAAGATGCGCTAGTGCTGAGGCTTGAATGAGTCAGTCAAGAGTAACCTTCATCGAGTTTACGGAGCATACACTCTCTTGGCTGGAGAGGCCTTCTTGGGAGTCATTGGTGTAGTGGGAGCCATGGTGAGTCTGATGCAGAGAAGCAAGAGGATGTGGTGGAAAGCCAAACCTTGGAGTTGATCGAAACCGGAAGGAGCACAAAGAGTGGTAAAGTGACTAGAAGGTAGTGAAGCTGATTTGATTGTAGAAGTGAAGATGCGCCAGTCGCTTTGCTTTACACAAGCACATCAAACAGACAATACGGTTTATGTTGTGCATTTGCTTTGGTTGTGTGACTTGACAAGGTCTGCAATTGATTACAGCAACGAGGGATGAAGGCACGAGGTTGGCGTTCCTTGCTGTGGCGCCGGCTTACTTCGAGGGCGAAGCGTGGATGGACAATGTCAAAAATAAACAAAAGCAGTCGAGGTCCAAAGCTTTACCGAGTCTATCAAGTTCTCACGAGCGTTCACACAAGACACAAGGAACGAGCACAACGACAGGGTCAAGTGGGCAAAAAAGAAGTTTGAAGAAGACATTTCAATTGAAAAGTATTGCTAGCTTGGTTGAAAAGACCTGTTACTGGTCAGCAAGATGATACACAAGATGCTGAAGTGACAATAGTGTGTGTGAGGGGGCAAAGGTCAGTTCTCCAAGGTGATGGTATCTTCAAAGACGTGTCTCAGTAAGAACACAGCGAAATATCATTTTATTCATCCGTGTGCAAAGAGGAAGATTGTGTAGAGAAGGAGCAACAACTTACAGCTTGAGAGGACGACAACGGTCATGCCGAGTAATACTTGACCTACTTTCAGACAATCAGTGATGGCCTTCCATGTTTCAGTTGAACAAGGCAGGATGTATGATTGCAGTCAGGCTCTGTTGACGGTCAGTATCAAGACAATAGTGAGCATGTGTTAATGAAGCCTACCATTAAATCATTTTACATGTCCACAACGGATAAGCCTTCGTTACGGGCAAACCGTTCACAGTGTGAATAGTGATCATCATGCAATGACGATGGAGTGTTGCTGTTGGAGAACAGACTGCATACCTGATGAATCACATTGTCAGTAAGAGACTCGAGAGTCGTGATGGCAGTGATCAAGAAGTATCAAGTGCTATGGGCTAAGTAAACAGTCAGCGGGCATTCATCGGTCATGCAGGAAGGAGGAGCATTACCATTCAACATTCTCAGAATTTTCAGTGTTTTGTGTTCATGTCCGACCAGCACAATATAGGCTTAGGAAGGATCAAACAGTGTGAATAAAATGTTCATCATTGTGAAGAATGCCCATGCAGATGTGCTTGAAGTTGACCGAGAGCTGAGATTGAAGCTGCATACCTAAACAAAACCAGTCTTAGTACATGTGTGGATCAAGAAAGGAAGTGCAAAAATTGTGCATGGGCGCAAAAATCAGCTGACGATAATCTCAACAAGCAACTCCCGGCCGACCACCCCAAGAGTTTGTACGCTCTTGTTTCAGCGGATGGCAACCGAAAGCGCAGTCTGTCCGCCCGTTCGTTCAAATCTTCTTCATATGGAAATGGGGAACATGGATCGAAGGATGAGGTGGTGTGTAGATACCTGATGCAAATCGAGTTAGCTTGGCTGTTCAGCAGAGCAAAGTTGTGAAGTGCAAAAGATGAGTTGTGGCAAGATAGTCAGACAAGGCTGAAACTTGATTTTAGACAGATTCGACATCGTATATTCAGGTCGAGGAATGCCTTTCCGTAGTCGGTATATCATCACCCAAGCCGGGGATAGTGTGCAGTGTGTGGTGTGAGGAAGTTGTGACCAACCTTTTTCGAATTGAGAGGGCGTGCCGATGATTAGCACACCCTCGATGCGACCAGCGCATTTGATTGAAGTGGAGAGCGACTCTTGAGAAGGACTGTTCAGGGGTTTGTTAGCATGATGATGCAAGAACAAAGACCGAAAAAGTGGTGATTGTGGAGTAGTCTCAGTGTAATTCTAGAGTTATTTTAATCCTTCACGACGCTATAGGAGTTGGATTGTTCGTGTTTGTTGTTTCATCTCTGTGACGGGTGTGATGGATGTGGGTGGAGAAGAAGAGCTTACCTTTTGGTAGAGAGCTGCCTGGCTTGTTCGTGCAACTTCATGTAAGCAGCAGGAGCAAGACAGGCAGCAATCTCGAGTCACAGCTCGTATGAGTGCGCGCGCAGCGATGCGCGAGAGTTTGTTTGTTGTGATGCAAGAGAAGAAGGACAAGTGACGAGAAAAATTGCAGACTTTGAGGAAGCCGCGGCCGGTTGAAGTCCGGCTTGGTTGGGAGCTTGGACTGAGCGCGCTGTGGACGCGGAGCTTTGGCTTCGTTTGGCATGTGATAGGCGACATCATCGTCACTCTCGTGTTCTTCGACTCTCGACTTGTCGCCATGTCCTTCGATGGTTCATCGCAGTACGCACAGTCTCCCAGACTGTCCCAATTCCAGTACTATGACTCTTCGACACCACCGCCTCCGCCTCCAAAGCCTGGCAGTGGCAGAGAAACCCCATCCAGAGGCCCTCCACTACCACCCCCGCCGAACACTCAGCCATCTATGAACACCACCGATGCCTATACCAACCCACCTCAAGAGCAGATCCCGCTCCCTGCTGCTGGCTGGCTTCCTTCGATCGTCCAAGATTTGTCTACCAATGACCTCAGACGACTGCTCGAAGACCCTGACTTGCAAGCTGCCCTGCTGAATGACCCCGAGAACACGCATCCTTCCATTCCTGCTTCTCAAGATGCTTTGCGTAAAATCCTCGACTCCAATCTCCAGATAGCTGCCTCACTGCAACAAGTCGAGTCCCGCCTGAACCATCAACGTGCCGCTACTCAGTCTCGTCTCATTGCTCTTCGCGCCCTCGAACAGCAACACAAGTCCAAGATTGTCGAGACCGAAGACACCTTGAAAGGTTTCAGTCCCATGGCTTTGTATCAGCGTCTCAGTGCCAGCGCTCAAGAACAAGATGCTCTGGTCAAAGGCATCGAGGATAGCTTCCTTGACGATGGCGGTCTCGCTCCAGACAGAGAGGTCCAAGACTTTGTCCGTCGTTTGAGAGATGCCAAACGTGTCGCTTTCCTACGCAATCAACGCAAAGAGCGTTGGGACGAAGGAAGAGTCGGCGGCTGGAGATGACCATGCTTACACCTTCATCTGCCATTACCTCGTTCACCACGTACATGCTACATGTGCTCCAATCATTCTGCTGTCGGACTTCTCCGGACTTGCTTTGACGGGATTTCATCGACCCGTCATATGAGACCCTCTCAATTATGTCTGTGGATATTGCTAGTTTTCCACTAGCTGGCTGCACAGCTGCGCTCAAGCGGATATTCGGTCCTGTGTCAGGTCCCCATCGCCCGAGAAACATTGGGAATCTTTGGACATCCTACGCTCTTCGCATATCAATCTCGTGAGCTGCATGTCGGGAGGGTCGAATGCCGAGTACGACTTTTGAAGCAAGCAATCACTGTCGCTGCTAGTCCCTCTTCGTTGCCCTTAGTTGTATGGCCTCCAGGGCAGCGCTCCCATGCAACCGCTTGCTAGTCTCGACATAAAGATTCTCTAAAAGCCATTTGACCCTCCCGGACTTGTTCACGCTGGATGAGCAGAATTTATCCGAGGGATTTTCTCATGAAGACTGCAAGCCGAGAATAGCGAGAGAAGCCATGTACGAAGAAGATTGATCATTTTCTCTAAGCAAAGTCAAGTAGCTGTGTGATAGATTAGATCAACACGAAGCGAATAAATTGTCTGATGTAACCCTTGCGTTTGACCAGGCCCAATCGAGAAGCGTTATTGGTCTTAATAAGGATTGAAGGATACCCCAGAGCGTGTAGCACTTTGTATATACCGCAAAACTTGTCCTGCGGTCCGAACAGCCGCTGCATCTAGCCAAGTGTAGCACTTTTTGCGGTTGAGCTGTCAAGTGATCGTTCATTTTCTGTCAAAACAACACGTTCCGTTATACTTCATGTATGCGTGCTCGTATGTGAGAACCTCGAAAAGTGCTTGTACCACGAGTAAGTGAAGCGTTCTCTACATGCTGCTGACGTTCTTGACGAGTTCTCCACGAACCACTAGCGCCATCTTCACATCCTCTAATCCATGCATGTTGAACCGACTTAACTTCCCTTTATGCACAACAAAACTTTCGCACTATTTATCTGATCATCACCAGACAACAGAAAATCTCAGCCAAGATGAAAGCTGATGATCTTGTCGACCTTTCCTCGTCACAGCCTGAGAAAGAATTGGAATCAGTCGCCCGTGTTCAGGATCCGGTGAACACGGCGCCATTACCCCAGCTTATTGATCAAGACGAACTTGAAGACGGCGTTGAGCTCGAAATCAGTGACGATTCTGAGGACGATGACAGTGAGATTTCCGAAGCTGCTTTGACGGATGAATTGGAACGCGCAGAGTTCGAACCATATACAGATGATGGTAAGTAATGTTAAGTTTACCATCATCTAACCCCCTTGCGTCGCCAAGACTAATGTAATGCAAAGAACCTGGACCTATCTCCTACACACCTGCAGAGGCAAAAGAGATCCGCGAAAGACTACGTCGACTAGGACCCAACAGATTTGTGGAGCAGACCATCTCTTCTGGTACCGTCAGCGTGAGAAAGCTCGTCACAGCGTTTGGTGTGAGGCCCGATTTACCTTATTCCACCATCTGGTACTATCAAATCCTCGGTCGATGCATTCAACGCGAGCTTAGAAGGCGACAAAAGCTTGACGAGTACAACACTATCGACGATGCCGTTTCACTACTTCAAAAATCTAAGAATATCATGGTCATCACCGGAGCTGGCATCTCAACCAGTCTTGGTATTCCTGATTTTAGATCGAGGAATACTGGATTCTACTCACAACTTCTCGCGCGTGGATTTGAAAGCCCTGAAGATGTTTTTGACATTGAGAACTTTGACAATGACCCGACGTAAGCACAAAGAGCTCAACTTGAGGTAGCCATAAACACTGCTGACCCCCCCGCAAAGACACTTCTACCAGCTGGCCAAGGAAATCTTACCCGTCACTGACAGATGCTCACCAACCCACGCCTTCATCAGACTGCTTCAAGACAAGCAGAAGCTGCTCACAAATTACACCCAAAACATCGACAACATCGAAGCCTTTGCCGGCATCGAGCCCGAGCGACTGATCCAATGCCATGGCTCATGGGCCACTGCAAGTTGCCGCAAATGCCAAACCGAGGTCCCAGGCGATGTAATCTTCGAAGACGTAAGACAACAACGAGTATCACTTTGCCAGAATTGCCTGGACATGATCGAAAAGCAACCGCGCAAACGCAAGCGCGTTTCCAACGGCAAGTCGAAGGCGAGATCGAGCCACTCTGATTCGGAAGATGATGGCCGTTATGATGTCCCTCAGCCTGGTGTGATGAAGGTAAGTAGTGTTTTGTTTCTACGAATTGTCACATACTGACCGTCTATCTAGCCCAACATCACTTTCTTTGGCGAAAAACTTCCCAACCGCTTCTTCGACAGACTCACAGAACACGATGCCGCTATAGTCGACCTGATAATCGTCATCGGCACATCCATGAAAGTGGCTCCTGTCTCTGAAATGTTCGCTTTTCCCCTCCATCCTCCCTCAACATCAAAATACTAACCAGGCCTTACCAACAGCCCCAACTACGTCGACGAAAAAGTCCCTCAAATCTACATCTCGCGCGAACCAGCCGACCACATCAATTTCGACATTACACTTCTCGGTTACTGCGATGATGTCGTTGCTGAACTTGCCAAACGTGCTGGGTGGACTATTGAACATGCGAAAGTTACTGATGTGGCTTTGACGGCATCGCCTGGACCTAAGACTGGACAATGGATCATTGCTCCGCCAGGCACTAACATCGATCCTCCGACCCCTGCTTCTGAATAGAAACGTGCTGTGCTATTGTAGCATTTTTTTCATCTCGCAGGCGTTGAGGTTGAGGCGTTTCGACAAAGCAAACATTTGTCCTTTGAGGTCCTTTAAGCTCTCTCTCCTGGCGTTCGGGTGTCTTTCAAGCATGAATGAGTCGAACTGACAGTTCTCGTTTTGTTCTCTAGCATTTTGTAAACGGGTTTTAGAGATTGGGGAACCATGAAAAGAGACAACCAAGAGGCATGCGTATACAAATACATAATTTAATCAAGCAGTTTGTCGCGATGGTTGTACAGGCTTCTCCATGGATCTTGCTTCGTGGACCCAGGATGGGAATCGGAAGAATGGCCCTTTGCTCGCCATCGCAGACCATCCTCCGAGCGCAGGTGCATGGTTTACTTCACGATGATGTACGACTTGTTTGAGTTCCCGCTGTCGGAGGACATCTTAATCCCCAGCAAGGACAAGATTCAGACATTTGTGAGTGACGAGTGCTTTGAACGTGATGCATAAAGTCAAATCTTTTGCTTATTCGTGAAGTAAATCTCTATATATACATGCCAACCTAGCCTATGCCCGAGCCACGGTCAAAGCTACAAGAGCGACAGCTTGACCTTTCTCTTGCCAGTGCTCTCCTCGGCCTCATCCGAAATTCTGACCTTGACTTTCTCGAACAGCTCCACACTTCTATCAATACCCTCGCCCTTGATCTTGAGCACATAGTTCTCGGTGTCGAACTCGCTCTCAGGTTCAAGAGTGGCAAGATCGCGCAGACGAATTAGGCCTTCGATACCAAATCTGGGGACAAAGACGACGATACCGTTGGAGAAGACGCGCATGACGAAACCATCTTCGTCTACGACACGGCCCTTGAGTGCTTGGCCGACGTAGTACTCGACACTAGCACGACCGGCCATTTGAGCATTGCGATGGCGCACGTTGATGTTCTTGCAAACGGCTTCCAGCTTGGCTTTAGAGAGAAGACTGGCATCCAGAGGCTCATAGTCAATGGCAGCAGCAAGTTGACGATGTGCTTCCAGATCAGCATAACGACGGATGGGAGAGGTGAAGTGGGTGTAGATCTCGCTGGCAAGACCGTAATGACGGAACTCCGGATATGCTTGGGTGCCTGAGCAGAAGTATTCGGCGGACATCATGCATCGAGTGGCCATGATGCGGACGAGAGTGTTGAAGAATGGCTCTGATGGATCCACACAGGTGTCTAGTGAGTCGGCAAGAGCCTTAGAACTGTCTGTCCGTAGCTCCATGCCACGCTTCACGCGCAGTTGATTTGACAACTCTTCGAAGTTTGTCTTTGGCGGTGCAGCGTGACGACGTAGCAAAGCAGTCTGAGGGTAGGCTTCGTAGATGCGAGCGGCGACGCTGGTGTTGGCGAGAAGCATGAATTCTTCCACCAACGACATAGTATCCAGGTGTTGCTTGGTCTGCACATCTGCAGGATCGGCGGTCTCCGACTCAGTCTGAACGCGCACTTCAGGACTTGCCAGGTTCAGAGCACCTGCGTCCATACGCTTCTTCTTCAACTTTTTGGACAACATCATGAGCATTCGAATACCCTTGGTGAGATCGTCTTGTTGAGATTGGTCATCAACACGGATCTGGGCTTGCTCGTAGGCGAAAGCTTCTCTTGACTTGATGACCGACTTGGTGTAGTCAGCGCGTACAATGTCAGCATCCGGTGTGAGCTCCCAAATGACCGAGAAAGCGAAGCGCTCGACGTAAGGCTTCAGAGAACAGAGATCAGTACCGAGTAGCATGGGCAACATGTCAATACGCTTGTCGACCAGGTAGACGGTGGTACCTCGCAAACTTGCTTCTTGATCCATTGCATTGTTTGGCTTCACGAAGTTGGAGACATCAGCGATATGTACACCGACTTCGATGTTGCCGTTGGGGAGCGTCCTAGCGTGGAGAGCGTCATCAATATCAACACAACCAGGGGGGTCGATACTGCAGATTAGCAAATCGCGAAGATCTCTTCTCTTGTTCCAGCCAGGATCGGACTTGTCTTCCGGCACCTTCCAATCGTGACCCTCGGCGGGTAGACAATCCAGGACAGTCTTGGGGAAGGGTCGGTACTGTACATCCCATTCCAACAAGAGAGCTTCGGTTTCGGCACCCTTGGTCTCAAGCTCACCGAGAGAACGAACGAAATGACCAACAGGATATCTCGACTCTCTGTCCCAAGCATCGATAGTGACTAGCAGACGCTTGCCGAGTAAATCTCCAGCTTGGCGAGTACGAATACGGATCTTGGGAATGCGCTTGTCCATGGGGATCAAGAAGACAGTCTGCTGCGCACGGCTCTGCTTCGTCGAAGATTTGACAGAGTCTTTGTCGACATGACCAACGTACTGTCGCCAGTTGCGCTTGATGATACCAACCACACGAGCGGTAGGTTGTGGCCTTCCTTCAGCACTCTTTCCATGCGTCTTCTTGACTTCTTCTTGCAGTGCGCGCTTCTCCTGCTGCGTAATGACCGCCTCTCCCTCATCCGCGTCAGCATTGTCATTCTTGTTGACAACCTCTTCTTCCAGAATCTTTGACGAAGGAGCCTTCCACTGATCCTTGGGCAGAACCTCGACAACCACAATGTCTCCAGAAATCGCTCTGTTGCTGTTCTCTCTTCCGATGATGAGTAATGGCTTGTCGAACGCAGGGACGAAGACAGATCCTTCCAGGTAGTTGTAGGGCGACACATTGAAGGTTCCTTGGTGCATAGTTCCAGCCTTGACACCAGTAATCATTTTTGATACAGAGAAATAATCCGGGTACAGCATCTCGCCCTTTGTTTGTTTGCCGACTCTCTGCTCCTGTCCAGAACTGACCATGTCCAACAAGCGCTCCGCATCATCCAGTCCAGAAACATAATCGCGCAATGAGAGTCCAGTAATGCCATCATTCTTGGCCTTACGAAGGTTGTCACGATCGTCACTGATCATGATGACCGAGGGGCATCTGATAGATTTGCGTTTGCTGACGGCTTCCTCGAGATGGTCGGCGTACCACTTAACAGCACGACGAACAGCGCGATCGTTTCTGTCGTTGATGGTCTCCTTGTCCTCGCGAACAACATAGGTTTGCAATCTGAAGTCGTTGAAGAAGACGTAAAAGCGCTTGCCGTCATTCTTGGTCAAACTGATCAGGCGATGATACAGCGGGAGAGAGCGGTTCTTGACTTCCTCCAGGACGGTTTGCAGAACAATGACATCGTGGAAGGCGGTCTCAAGTTCAAATAAATCCATGCCAGTGAGGAAAGCATTTGTGTCGGGAATTATGTAGTGGCCATTGGGGAATGATTTTGTTCCAGCAGGAGTCTCAGACAGCACAAACGGAGCGACTTAAAAAAAGTTAGTAGAATTCAGATATGAGAGATGATGGATGTACCCTTGTTATGGTAGTCAGTGGGGGCAATCTCGAGACAGTGGGCGCATAGTCTTGATGAGCAAGGAATATCCTCGCGCAAGTATAGCTCGCGAACAATTTTCTGAACCTTGCCACTCTTTGTCGAACGGATATAGACCTTGCTCGACAAGTTTGAGGCAGCGCTATCGGTAGCATATGAGCGCTTTAAACTTGTCATAATGAATTGGCGACAAGAAGGCGATGTCTCGACTTTCTTGATGGGATCAATATCAAAAAATGTCTAGCTATGACGGCAGCAGACGAAGATTGGGAAGTCGCGGCGGATGAACTTCGGACTGGATAGCAGGTAGTCCAGCCCAACAACGAACGTCATCCGAATCGAGACGGCTGCTTCTGATTAGAGCATCAACATCTCGAGCGCAATTGAAGAGCTTGAGAGAGGCAGACACATTACACCAAGGCCTCAACACTACCACACATCACCATGTCTCTCGACCCGCCAGCATACGTCCTGTCGCTCCAGAACAACATCAGGGCGCGACCAATCTCGTGGGAAGGAGCTGTACGAGCAAAGACAATCACCGACCAGGACCTCAAGAAGATCAAGTCGATAGACAAGGTCCGCAAGGAACAGCGCAGACAGACCGTCGAGACCGATCCCGCCAGCTATGCCGCTCTCGTTCTGGGCTCCGACGACAACCCCAGCATCTTCAACTCTGCCGCCAAGCGCTCCGACATTGTCCAGTACATGCTTGTCTTGACTGGCGACCTTATCGAAGGTATGCCTCTTTTGTGCCTGAATTTCCCCGTAAGCGCGCACCACTGACTGCTCGACCAGACGTCCCATCATTTGTAGCCAAGCTGCTCGAACACGCCGACCCCTACGCTCCCTTTGTGCCGCTCCTTAAGCAGTCAGCAAACCCCGAAGACGCCATCCCTCTACTCGCATCATGCGTCCTGTCAAGTCTCATCTCTCACGGTCTCATGACTGGTGGCCCCCAAGCCGAGCAAATTGACAAGGCCCTGCCCAAGCTATACTCGTACATTTCAACCCTTGCAAGAAGGTCCGACAGCAACCTTCAAGACATTGCTGTTCAGGAGTACTCGGCTCTGTTGCGCACCGCAAAGTCGCGTCAGCTGTTCTGGGAGCAAAGAAACGATACCGTCACTCCTCTGTTCAATATTTTGACCAACGCTACTGGAGGTGCTGTAAGAGACACTGATTCAACCTTGATCAGTGGTGGAAGCATTCGCAGCATTGCCGATTCTCAGATCATCAACAACGTCGGTCTTCAACTGCTATACCATGTCCTGCTTGTCATCTGGCAACTGAGCTTCGAGGGCAAGCTGGTCGGTCGTGGTCTCGATGAGTACGTCTACATGATTTCGCCTCACCGCCCTCACAAACGTATGCTGACAATCTCTTAGGGAGCACGACATCATCGTTCTTTATGCTGCTCTCCTTCGCATCTCCCCCAAGGAAAAGACCACTAGACTTCTCCTCGCTACTCTCACAAACCTTCTTTCAACCAACCGCGAGACTCTGATGCCTGCCGTTATCCCTGCTCGCCTTCCCGCAGTACTCCAGAACCTACAGGGCCGTCATCTCAACGACGCCGACCTCCTCGAGGACCTCAAATCTCTTCAATCCATGGTCGAGGAATTCCAAAAGACACAAACAACCTTCTCTGAGTACGCCGCAGAAGTCAATTCTGGTCACCTTCGCTGGTCTCCACCCCACCGCAACCAGGCCTTCTGGAGCGAGAATGCCCGCAAGATCCTCGAGGACAACAAGGGCGAGCTGGCCAAGAAGCTTGCAGAGATTCTGTCAAAGTCGTGGGACAACGACAAGCAAGTGCTGGCCATTGGCTGCAACGATGTCGCATGTCTTGTCAAGGAAGTGCCCGAGAAGAGACACCAGATGGAGAAGCTCGGTCTGAAGACTCGTGTCATGGAGCTCATGCAACACAGCGATGAATCTGTGCGCTGGGAGAGTTTGAGAGCAGTCGGTGAATGGCTCAGATATTCCTTTGAGCAAAAATAGAGCCACACCTCTGTCCGACTCTTGTCCAGCGGTCTGTTTTATGTATCAACATACCGCCTGTCTCTGCACATCTTAATCCTCGGTCTCTTGTTTGGGAATATCCTGGCGACGTCGATCTTTTCTTTCTTTTCTCTTACTGTACAGCGAACTGGAGTATACCATACAATTCACGTTTCATGTTGATAGACCGCTTTTTTGTTCTCGAGTCGTTGACCGTCTTTGGTTGAAAGAGCATCATGCAACAAATGGAGAAACAAGCCACATAACCTGAGTCGTGATTTTGAGTCGTGACCCCAAGTTCGCCAATCCTCAATCTATCGGGTATGCGGCGCCTCCATCCCCATGTTGTCGCTTGTTGCCATAAACGAGATCCATCGAATCGTCGCGTCATAGAGAATTTAAGCAATTGCACATCTCCCGTGGCCACTCGCTCAAAGGCGAAAACACAGTATGTGTTACGCGATGACGATTATGCGGTGCATTGCGTCTCGCTGTGGCTGGGTTGTTATGGCCGTTGCTGTAGAAGCGGGAGCCTCCGATATTCGTGATTGTGGAGAGAAAGGGAACAGATGTGGAGACTTTTGCTCTTTCACATGCGCCACAGCTGGCAACACTTTTTAGAGTTTCCTTGCCAACGAATGGACGAGGTTGAGGAGCAATAAACTCCCAGGCTTCAACGATGGTAACTCTAATGAATTGACTTCACCTGATATGTCGCGATGTCTTATACATCCTTGCTAGTAGGGATCAACCAGTTTTGAGGCATTTGCAACCGACCATCAGGGCATGCTCATCGCTACAGCAGCGGGACAACGTGACTGTTGAGAACGATCTGGCATCCGCCTGCAGATGCTCTATTCTAAGCAACAGAAACGGTGCAGCCGCATAAGAGCAGACCGAGTCACCAAAAGCACAGGGACAAGCATAGGAGAAAAGAGGACGCGTAGACTGCACACCATTGTTACGAGACATCTCACCATCGGCCGAATGACTATGCCTAGTGAGGTCCTTTTTACCGCGGGGTTGAGGAAGTAGGCGTGCGGAGAGTGAGGCTGAGAGAGCACGTAAGCAAAAAAGTACTCGAGTGGGCTGGTAACCTTTGAACATGACAATCTGGGCCACAGCCTCCCACTTCTCGCTGCCGCTGTCGATGTATAGATTGCCACTGGAAGAATCGCCAGTGAATGTTTTCTTGGTAGTGGTTGACCAGGAGATGTTTTGTTCGCGATTCCCTCTTCTCGAGCAAGCGGAAGCAGAGCCGAGGTGCAGTTGCCGTGGAGAGAGGTCAAAAATAGAGAGGGCGACGCAACCCTGTGGCCAACTCGAACAGGAGGTTTGGACCTGCGGCAGTGATCCCCACAGAGCTACTGCAGCCAAGTGCAATGGCCTGGTGGCGCTTGCAGGCGAGTAGCGACCGAGTTGCAGCAGACTAGAATGGGCGCGACCAATCGGGAGGCAAGCAGAGAAACCCATGGTGCTTGGTAGACCCTTCGATACAGCCATGTTTACCAGCCTCCGCGCGAGCACTCCCCAAAAGCTTACCGCATATAAATCTCAGGGCAAGGCCGCGTAACTTGCTCCTTCCCTCTTAATTCAATCACCACCTCCAAAAGCCAGCTGTTTCTTTGCAAACACTTCTCTCGCTTTCTTCATTCTCCATCCATCACTCCAAAGCATCCAGATACACGAACATTTATCGTTATCCATCGCGGTACTTTTTAATCACTATCGATCAACAACACATCCAAAATGCGCACTTCCGCCTTCTTCGCCGCTCCTCTCGTCGCCATGGCTGCTGCCCAGAGCTCTGCCTCTAACGAAACCGTATGTATTCTTCCATTTCATCTTCCATCATCACAGAGATCTAACATGTTGCAGTCTGTCCTCAGCACCATTCCCGTCTCTTCTACAGTCCCTTACACCAACGGCTTCACCTCTTTCCTCACCCAGACCAACTCTCTCGGTGTCGTGACTGGCCATCCTTCCCTTGCAACAGACGTCGGTATTGCCGCCACTAACGCTGCTGTTTCATCCGTCGCTGTGCAGCTCGTCCCCGCAGGTCTTGCTCCTGGCACTGTCACCACCCTCATCTACGGCAATGTGACTGCTGGTAATGCCACTTCTATCGTTGTTACCATTGGCACGAGCACCACTCAGGTCTTGAGTGCAGCAGTGGTAGCTGCTACTGGTTCGGGCTCTTCTTCTACTGGCTCTTCTGGCGCTGGTGCTGCTGGCTCTGCTTCGGCATCAGGCTCAAGCGGTTCCTCCAGCGAAACCTCATCGCGTGGCGGCTCTAGCGCTTCCACTCGCGCATCTGGTACCTCTGGTGGATCTGGCAGCTCTGGATCTAGCTCCTCTGCCACCGCTTCCTCTACTGGCTCAGCCGCCAACGTCAAGGTCGGTGCTGCTGGTGCCTTGATTGGTGCCGGTGCCTTCTTCGCTGCTTTCATGTAAACGGAAACAGCTGTGCACACTTTGCACCTTCTTGTTCATTTCTTTTCTTCTTCACGCCGAATTACGCCTCTCCGAATGATGGGATTATGGAATTAATGCTGGGAATGGGATGGGTAACACGGAGTCTTCTTTCCTTCAAAAGGTGCATCAGCAAAGGCATGACTGCATAGCAAGTGGGATGTATCAGCTTGGGTTTCCAGTCACTGCCATCGGTACTTGGTCTTGTAGTAACCGTAGTATAATAGACAAAAGCAAAAACTTCTTCAACACTGACGATCACCTTCCATCCCATCTGTCCTGCTCTGCTGTTGATTCGATTACTCTGACATGTCTCACAGTGTCGTCTCTTACGCCTGTGTCTGCCACCGATGGTCTTGAGAGAGCCATCGTCCCGCCAACATTCCTATTTTGTACAACAAAGCGCTTCTCCGCTTTGGAAGGTCTCGGAATGGATGCAGCCCACTCCAGTCGCGATCTCTACTTCTTCGAAGCACGCCATGGCTTTCTCGTCAACGATAGTGGCTGCTGCTGCTGCTGCTCAGAAGAAAGTGCCAGTCTACTCGATCCAAATGTCGACTTGTTTGCGAGGGAGAGCCCCTGTCTTGAGGATAGCGCGGACCTGTCAGAAGATGAGGATGATGACGACTTGCTTTTGAGAGACGGTGGCTGCTTGATCGAAGAACTTGAACCTGGTGCCGAAGGAACGACTGGTCTCTTCGGTAATGCATGTGCGGTGGAATGTCTTGCAGAGTTGGAAGACTTCGGTCCTGGCAGAGGACTGTTGCGGATAGAGGATAGAGAGCCAGAGTGTGATTGCTTCGATGCTGCTTTGTCGGACTGTACAGAATCTCTTCTTGATGATGCTGGGGAAGACTGTTTTGTAGTAGAGTATACTGTAGACATAGATGATCCTCTCTTCAAAGGAGAACTGGATCCACTGTTGAAGTCCGGCGAAGGATGGAGGTTTAGCAACAGAGTAGACTGAGATCCACTGTGGAAGTTCGACGAAGGCTGTTTATTCGGCAACATGACTGATTGAGATCCGCGAGGAGGTCGTGAACGTGGAGCAACAATTGGATGTCGTGCCGTTTGCTTCACAGCCGTCGTCGTTGTTCTTGTTTGCTGAGCGTCCACTGCAGGTAACTCCCAAGGAACTGGCGTGTTGCGAGCACTCTTTGGCGAGAGGTCAGGAGAATCACTGTGCAAACGCCCTCCACCATCAAAGATACTCCTGCCCAGATCAGAAACCGCAGAATCGACCCTCACCTTCTTCTTCATCTCAGAACCCATCTCCGTACTCGAAGAACCTCTGCGTTTTCTAGAGATCAAAGTATCCTCGGGGATAAACAGACTCTCTCCGTCACGTTGATCCCTGAGAATTAGACATTCAAGTCGACGCTCGAATTCTTCACGGCCTAGTTCTTCGAGTAGGAGGTTTTCGAGATGACGCAGGTATTGTTCGAGGGTTTTGAGGGCTTGAGTGCTGGTGCGGAAATTGGAGCGGAGGGTTGCGATGGCGTTGGTTGCTGAGAGTTTGGAGTGTGGGTCTGGGTCCATTCTTCATATAGGTGGGAGGAATGATGCGTGCAGAGTGGTGGTGATGCTGGCTATAAGATGCTACAGTAAAGTTGTTTTGTGCGATGTTTTGGTGAAAATGCTCTTCTTCGCAGCAGAACTAGAGTGTGGTTAGATCGAAAACAACAAGAAAATGTTCAAAGCAGACATTCACCTTGGCAGAGTCTTCAGTGCTGCTCAGAGTTGTATGATGATGTTCAATATGACCTGCTCTGGTAGAGATGATGATGGTAAGATGCTGGCGAGAGCAAGGCTGCAATATCACAATGACTTGTTTTCCACCTACTCTGCGCAAACTAACAGGTAACGCGAAATTTTCAGATTTCTATCATGGTCTAACTTATGAATAACAGTTACAGTCCCACTTAGCGGCATAGCTACTCGAATGGAAGCATCGATTGCAAGATAGGTGGCTATCGGATCAGTCTCATCTCAGGGGCGAATGACTCTCGAAAGACAGTTATGAAAATGCACAGTGTCATTTCATCTTCTTGTAATGTCAGGGAGATCCCAGAGCAACATGTGTTCTATCTCAGCGGTGGCAGGTAAATTCAGCAACGGTACCTATTGAAATGCACAGTACAATCGAGGAACTGAGACTGGCCAGAGAGAGCAGAGATGCCCCAAGAAAGTGGTTAACTCAAAAACAGCGCTCCCAACAACGGCTCGACCAGTAGAAGGATAAAAGAGAAGACATCAATTTGATCGATTATGTTTCTAGCTACCAGATTCGCGCCTCTGCGCATCGTCCTCGTCATGTTACATAGCATTTCTCAACTGGATCAGACCGCTGCCCTTCCTTCTCACAGCTCTTCCGATTGGTTGATCTTCAGGACGATTTGAATGTCAGATTGGTGGACGTTGATATACGAAGCGCACTCCTTGATCATATCGCTGACGGCCATGTCGGAAGCCACTTTAGCAGGCATGCGTTGTCCAGATACATTTTCCATCAATACTACCATTTCCTTGGCAGTGTTGAACTCCCCGGCTGTCGACTTTCTGCTCCCCACACTGGAACGGAGGTGGTCAGCGAGGGCGAGGATGACCTCACAGCCCTTCTCAGGGTCATTCAGGTCTTCCAACATGGCCAGCCACTTGTTAGGGCCAATTTGGCTAGTGACGCGATTCACCTACTGTAAATTAGTAATTGTGTGTCTATGCCAAACTGTTATTGACCGTACCTGGTTCGACGTAGCCACACCAGGTTCCACTGCTGGAGCTTGTGGTTCGGCCGAAGGGGCAGAGTCAAGAGTGGCAGGCTTATCAGCGCTTGGAGCAGCCTCAGGCTCAGTCTCGTAGTGGATGGGCGAAGGCTCGCTCTGAGCAGCTTCCATCTCGACCTGAGGCTCCTGAACACTAGTCCAAGTGTCGGGATCAGGTGTCTGTTGAACATCGATCTTGTCGTCCTGAGCCTGAATAGTGCTGGGACCGTCGGGTTGAACAGGAGTGACCACTTTGCGAGCATGAGGGCCCAACTTTGCGTGAGGACCGGTACGGCGAACAGGTGGCTCAACGGCGCTATGTTCAGTAAGAGCAGACGCAGCAGGAGGCTCTGGCTTGACGATAGGGATGGCCGCAGAATTCTTTGGAGTTTGTGCCTGCATTGCACGGTGGGGAGGAAGTCTCTTCATTGGAGTGGTGCTTGCAGAAGGCATGGTTTCAGTGGTAGTATCGGTACCTCCAGGAGGCACGAATGGTTTTGCGGCCGCAGAGAACGAAGGCTGAGGACGTGAGTGAGACTGTGGGTGACGGAAATGTGAGTTGATGTCATTGAGAAGCGCAGGAAATACTCACATAGCTTGGTGTGGCAGGCGCAGAGATGTCTTGCATCTCGATGTCTCCAAAAGTAAGTGAAGGTTGGTTGTCAGTGTTGCGTGGGCTAGTCGAAGCTGATGACGATTGATCATAGACAGGTGGAAGAAGTGGCATGTGCTGAGGGTCGGTTGTGGGCGCATTGGTGGCGCTTTCACTGCGCATAGCCATCATGCGCTTCTGCGCAAGAGTGAGTGGTCCGCCGTGGGACATGTTGACTGTGAAGGTTGCGTGATAGAGGACAGTCCAATAGCTATGGTTGTATCCGATGGCTGCAATGTGACAAAGAAATGTGATGAAGAAATGCGAGTGTGTTGGAAGGAAGAATAATAACGCGACATGAAGAAGCTTGGAAGAAAGGACTCTGCTGGCTTGCTTGATCATCTATATAAGGAAAAGACGGAAGGCACAGCGTTCATGTGAAGTGAAGTAAAAAGGAACCCCTCTCCACTTGTGAGGATCCGTCACTCTGAAGTTGTCGAAATGCACAGTAACTTGTAGAGACGAATCACTACCCATGGAGAGACCAAATCTTAGTGGCTCTCTCTGGAAACGCTCCTAAAGTGAAGCCAACTGTGCATCTTCACAGCTTACAATCTTGCTTGCTGCTGTTCGTGGGAGGCGACAAAAGTTCTCAATGAAAGCAACAGCAACGTAGATACTTAGCCTCATGTGTTTTTCTCCACTCACCACATCTCCCTACATTGTCTGTTTCTGAATCTCTCCACGAAAATTTCTTGCCTTGTGTGTTGGAGCTACTGATCGACTCTTGCCACGGTTCGGACAGCTCTCTTCACCATAATGTCCAGGCAGCCTGCATCCTCAGCACTATCACCCTCAAGACACCTTTCGGCTCACTGCTTCAAGATGAGAAAGACTACTGATGATTACGACAATGTTGAAGCTTGCAATGAGTTAAAGGAGTTGAAGTTGAATACTATCCATATCTCCGCTAAGCCCGGCAAACCAATGACGCCATGATGGCGCTGGAAAACACTCCGTTCTTCGAACATTATTCACACGACCTTTTGCTTTTGTTCAAGTTGTAAATCTGAGCAGTTTCGAGGCATATGGCTGGGAACACTTCGACCGACATCTTGGTCGTGAGTATATTGACACATCTCATGCAATTTCAGCAAGGCTAACGTCAATCTGCCAGGCCGGCGCATTCGCTGCCTTTACAGTCGATCTACTTGTGTACCCTCTCGACACACTCAAGACCAGATTCCAGTCCCCCGATTACAACCGCCTCTACCTCGACAAAGCTACCAATGCCATCAATAAGCAAGTCCTCTTCCGAGGCCTCTACCAAGGCGTCGGCAGTGTCATCATAGCCACCCTTCCATCCTGTATCCATCCCCGAATCTCGTACTTTCAACCAGCTCTCTCTGACCTTGTCCAGCAGGAGCCTTTTTCACCACCTACGAAGGCGTCAAATCCACCTTCTCAAAGTACAATCCTACCTTGTCTGGCTCACCGCTACTACCACAACCCATCATCCATTCCGCCGCATCCTCAATCGCAGAACTAGTCTCATGTGCCATCCTCACTCCCGCCGAAGTCATCAAGCAAAATGCCCAAATGGTGGATACAGCAAAGGGCGACAAAGCCAATGCTACCCTCCAAACCATAGCAAAGTTCAGGTCAAACCCCTTGGCCTTGTGGAGAGGCTATACCGCACTGGCAACCCGTAATTTGCCCTTTACAGCCCTCCAATTCCCAATTTTCGAGCGTTTGAAAGAGGGCATCAAGAAATACAGAGAAGACAGAGGGATGCGGACAAATACACTACTGGAGAATGGATTAATTACCGCCGCTAGTGCTGGCTCAGCTGGTGCATTCGCTGCCGTCGTCACCACACCCGTCGATGTGGTCAAAACCCGCATCATGCTTGCCGCAGCATCAAGTGCAGCAGAAGACCAAAGCCAAACCACAAAATCAAAATCCAACGCCCCCGTCGATGCAATGGGCCGCCCTCTCCAAAGCAAAGGAGAAACCCTCAAAACCACACTCCAAAACAGCAAAGAAGGCCTCAAAGACGCAATCCAAAATGTCGCAAAGCCTGTGTCGAGAAAAGGCAGTATACAGATTGCGAGAGAGATTATCGCCGATCAAGGCGTCATCAAGGGACTTTTCCGCGGTGGTGCTTTGAGGGCTGTTTGGACGTTGATTGGATCTGGACTTTATCTTGGTGTTTATGAGAGTGGGCGTGTGTATCTTGCTCAACGAAGGGGTGAAGATATTGATGAAGAGGATATTTGAGCAGTATGCCCGAAGCGAAGTAATGTGTATATAGACAGCATATAGAAGCCTTTCCAGATCTACTGCACGTATTGTTGCCATGCTGATTTGTTTTGCACAATTCACGGTCATCCACATACAGGATCTTGTACATCTGGTGGTAGGGTATTTGAGCAGAAAGCCAACGAAAGATAGATTCAGAGATATAATACCCATCTATACTACATGCCTTCTGACAAGAATCTCCTAAATCAAGCTCTGATATTTATCCAATCCACTACTTTGCGTCGTCTTTTGCTGCTGCTGTTGCTGCTGCTGTTGTAATGTCTGTTGTTGCAACGCCTGTCTCTGCTGGCTCTGTTGCGGCTGCATCGCAGGCATCGAAAACGCTGAATACGCATTCGGCGTGACGGGGCTTTGTGTCGTAAAACTCGGCGGTGGGGGTATAGTAAAAGAAGATGTGCGTTGAGTGGGTGGAGGAAGAATACCACCGTTTGTTGGTCTTTGTTGTTGTGACGACCAGGTCGATGAGTTGGGTGTGGTGGTTGCTGCGGACCAGTTTATGGACGTTGAAGTGTTGTTGGTGGAAGGGTTGAGGGGTGGTGATGTGAAGCTAGAGGCAGAGGGTTGACGAGCAGCGGGCTGCAGTGGTGCGTTGAAGGGTGATGCAGGTGTGAGTGCGGCGAAAGAACTATTGAGGTCTGGCGTCACCGTTCTCTGGGTGGCTGTTGATTGCAAAGAGTTCAATCGCGAAGCCTGAGCTGGTGCCGGACTTGTCCAGGAAGAGAAGCCTGAGTTTTGAGATGCAGCAGTTGATGGTTGTGTTGAGGCAGGTTTGGCAGCAGGCGGACCCCAATCGTTCATGATGTCCGGAGTAGCATTTCCTTTCCTTCCACTGACCAAGCTTGCAAAGTCCACGTCACCTCCATTAGTGGTCGAGCTTGATTGGAGAGCAGTCGGTTGCCTCGCTCCTGATCTCGCCGAGCCAGTTCCGTTGCTTGAGCCTAGCTCTTGAAGTTTACGAGTATGTTCCCTTTCAATGCGGGAAGACAGGGATTTGATCAAAGTCATGAAAGCCTGGAATTGTTCGAGATCAAGAAGAGGTCCGAGACTGAAGCTCCAAAGGATAGGAAGCGCTTCGATAGCGAGGAAGTCAGAGTCTACGACCTGGCCTATCTGTCTGAATACCTTGAGGGCAGCCATCTACTCTGGTCAGCTACAAAGTCGCTTCGTCGAATTTTGAGGAAACTCACCATAACACCAGGTTCCTTGGTTTTGATACCCTTCATCAGAGGCACGACCTTCTCCTGAATGGTGAACTTGTCAAGCACTTGGCTGCTGCTGAGTTTGGAGTCACGAGAGATTGAAACACCATCAAGTCCATCACTGATGGAGTCCTCATCGGCAGTACCTCCACACAGCGTGTAGAAAGCTTCAAGACCACGGATCTTGATACCAAGCGAGTTTGTGTGGGCAAAAACACCAGCAATCACAGGGAAAAGCTCATTCTTAATTGTACTGTAGTCGAGAGCAGGTAGAACAGCGGGTAACGTGGAAAGAGCAGCATCAACGACAGCATGAGTTGGAGAGCCAAGACCCAGAGCGATAAGAGGGAGAATGTCTACAAATGTCAGTGAGTACTGAGTTTTTTGACGAGGATGTTACAAAATGCTTACCGTCTCTAAACTCCTTACCGGAGCAATTGTCGGCCACCACTTTCATGTTCTCAAGCACGATCATCAGGCCAGCCTCTTTGGTAGTATCCCGCTCAGCAGGAGTCTTCGCGTTTGATTGCACAAGGAAAATGTCGCGTAGTCTTGGAATGACTTTGTCTGTGAAAGCACGTTTCCCTGACGGCGAAGCTTTTACAATGGCAAAAACATTCGACAGAATTGGAGCTAGCAGATCGCGGTCTTTCATTTCTTCTAGCAGAGCAGGCAAGAGCTTCCTCTCCAAGACTGATTTGGGGAATTGTGGCATAATCTTCGCGAGACCACGCATAAATTGAGCCTTCTCGTTGGGTGTCTTGGCCGGCAAGTCATCCAGGAAGCGGATAGTTGATACGAGGATATTGTCAAAGTATTGAGCTTGTTGAAATTCCATGGCATTGAGACGTTGTGCGGGACGTCGGGTGATCAGACGTGGTAGAAGTTCAGATGAGAGGTTCTTGGGTAGCGGCACAGAGGACAAAAAGTTGTTGGTTTGGTTGGGTACCGAAGAGGACGAGGAAAAGGTACGTTTGTAGGCCGAAAGACTTTCATGTGTCTCGATGGGACTACGATGTGGAGAGTTGTAGAGAGCGATGATGAGCAGACCTAAGGAGAACATGTCGGCTGAAGGGTTGATATTGTTGTCAAGCACAAAATCGGGAGAGGTGTAGTCGAGACTAAGCTGGACTGAAGGAGGAAGTCGAGGGTCATGATTCAAGACTTCCGACAGCGACAGAGATGGTGATGAGACAGAGTCGGAGAAGGGTGTAGAGAATGCCAGACCCGAGATTTTCCAGTCTGACTTTGCATTCACAAAGATGGCGTCCGGAGTCAAGTTGGCGTGAACCAGCTTTGCGCTTTGATGTAGGAAGTCCAGACCTTTTGCGATCTGCAAGAGACCCTTTTGTATTTCCAGCTCGTCTAGTTCGAGCTCACGAATCTCATCTTGACCATCGTTGCCTCGAACAACATAACGGCTACCTCTTCCAGCACCTCGTCCAGATCTTTCTTGATCGTCCTTTTCGGCCAGCAGAGCAGCAAGAGAAACCGTGACTTGTTCTGTCGCAAACATGAGACCACCATTACGTGTCTCTTCGATAGGTTCAGCCAGCTCCAGAATACTAGGATGTCGCAGACGAGCCAAAGAGCTTGCTTCCTTCTTCAGACGATCAATAACCTCCTCTTGAGCACGTTTTATGGACGATGAGCTTCCGCGACCTCCTCCTAAAGCACTGGATGACGGTTCGAGAGACTTCTTATCGAATACAAAGACCGAAGCAGCTTTGCCAGTTGACTTCTTTTTGGCGTCAAAGATCTTCCATGGTCCGGAGGTCGAGCTGGGTTGGGGAGCGATGCTGTAGTTGGAGCCGATGTTGGAAGTAAACGATTTGAGCGCTGACGAAAACATGGTGACTGATAGCGTTGAAGCTCAGGGGTCCATAAGAGGATAAGTGGAGGAGGCGGAGGAAGCCTGGACACGGGGACGAGGAAGGTCGAAAAGGAAAGAGCTCACAGCTCATCAGCGACTCAAGGCAGGAGCGCAATTGAGATATACGATGACAATACGGACATGCGAGCCACCTATTTCAGGGTCCGAAATGGCCCAAGCGCTGTATAAGACACAGAATAAGCACAAACTCCGATGACGGCGGCGGGCCCAAGGCTTCTGGCTTTCCCGCGCCTTGCCCGCATAATATGCCGTCAGTATCGGCAAGATAATCTTGACTCATTGCGATTGTGGACATACTAGGTATCGCTCTTGCCAATTGTCCCTTGTTCCTTCCTCATACCAACATGTTGTCTTCTTGTGGTTTCCGATCAGCACGGGCGGCGTCCCGCTCCTTGCGCCTCGTCAATGGCTCCCAATCGCGCTGCTATGCTATCGCTGCACACGACGTCTCAAATCCCAAGTTGACCACAATCGACACTTCCAAGTTGACCATCACCAAGACGACCACTCCCAAGGAATTGATCCCCAACGATGAACTGGTCTTCGGCAAGCACTTCACCGACCACATGCTGTCTCTTGAGTGGACAGCAACCGACGGCTGGCAGGCTCCCCGTATCACTCCTTACCAGAACCTCTCGCTCGACCCAGCCACGTGTGTCTTCCACTACGCCTTTGAATGTTTCGAGGGTATGAAGGCCTACAAGGATGAGAAGGGCAACGTTCGTCTCTTCCGTCCTGACAAGAACATGGCCCGCTTGAACAGATCCTCTGCCCGCATTGCTCTGCCCAACTTCGACGCCAATGCCATGATTGACCTGGTCAAACAGTTTGTCAAGACTGATGAGCGCTTTATTCCTGCGTAAGCTGTCTTTGCTATGCTATCCATTCTCCTCTAACTCGTTGTCCCCAGTGCTCGCGGCTACTCGCTCTACCTCCGTCCTACCATGATCGGCACTCAGCGTACTCTCGGTGTCGGCCCTCCTGGCTCTGCCCTCCTCTACACCATCGCCTCCCCCGTCGGCCCCTACTACCCTACTGGCTTCAAGGCTGTCTCATTAGAAGCAACCACATATGCTGTTCGTGCATGGCCTGGTGGTGTCGGCAACAGCAAGCTCGGCGCAAACTACGCTCCTTGCATCGTCCCTCAGATGCAAGCCGCTTCTCGTGGATTCCACCAAAACTTGTGGTTGTTTGAGGAGGGTGGTGAGGAATGGGTCACCGAGGTCGGAACCATGAACCTGTTCGCTGCCATCGTCAACAAGGACGGAAAGAAGGAATTGATGACTGCTCCCTTGGACGGAACCATTCTCGAGGGTGTCACTCGTGATTCTATCCTTGAGCTTGCCCTTGAGAGACTCATTCCCGAAGGCTGGGAGGTGAACGAGCGTAGATTCTCTGTCAGGGAACTCGCCGAGGCAGACAAGGAAGGTCGCATGCTCGAGGTCTTCGGTGCTGGTACTGCTGCCGTCGTCAGCCCTGTTCGCAACATTGGCTGGAGGGACTCCATGATCAACTGTGGTCTCGAGGCTGACAAGGAGGCCGGTCCCATCGCCCAGCGTATGAAGGACTGGATCGAGGGTATCCAGTACGGCGATGAGGCCCACCCCTGGAGCTTCAAGGTCTAGATCATGGACACAGCATAAAATCGACTGACGAGTTGGATCAACCTCCATGACCTGAGACAAGGATGCGAGGAGAAGCAAGAGCCAGCAGACTCCGAACAATGCAGCGCCGACTTCGAGGCAGGGCGAGCACGTCCCATCCGCTGGGTAACCTCGTTGCCTCCAAAAACTTCCGTACCGCCCCAATGAGAGTAAGACGAAGCCATCTGTCGAGGCTCGAGGCGCTCGACCCTGACGTCTGCTTGTTCATACTGAAAAGCGTGTCACTACCTTACGAGGTCTGTTCAATTTTCTGTTCATAGGTCCTCTGCTACCCATTCCAATAAAATGTCTCTGCATTTCTTTACAACTTCTTCGTATCATTCCTTGCCCCTGAATCATCCATGTCTGTCTCCCAATCACAAAAAAGGTGAACAAGAAAAGCTGTGATTCGCATGTGAAAAACAACTGCGTGATTGGTGTTGCTAGGCCGGAGTATTGGTGTCGATGCCAAAGTTCATTGTCATTGTTGGCTCAGCAGAGTAAGAGTGGCAGCCGCTTAGTTTGTTTGTGAACGCGTCTTCACTTTGTTCGCTGCCTTGCAGAGTCACCACAAGCCAACACCAAGAAACTTCCAATATCCTAACATCACATTCTCTGCTCCGTACCCCGGCCTATACCATCTCTCGGCGCATCATGTCTCGCCAAGTCTACCACGCAATGCGCCACTCACAGGATTCTTTCGAGACTGGCCCTGATTCCGACTACGACTCTTCGGACGACCAGTCAATTGCTGATTCTTTCCTGAACGGCATGGCATTGATCGAAGCTGATGAGGGTGCTTCCCTCGAAGATGACCTCGGTCAGCAGCGAACCTCGCAACTCGGAGTAAGTCATCATGATCTAATGGCAATGCGCAGTGACTGACAATGGCACGAAGGACCTGCCCATTCTCTATAACCTTGGCAACATCGTGACTTCGGACATTGTTGTCCGCTTTGGCGGTGGTCGTTATGAGTTCCTCTCTGAGAAGGCCATCCTCAGCGCAAAGTCTGGCTACTTCAAGCGCGCATTCTCAAGCAAATTCCCTGTGAGTGCTTGAAACCTTATCGTGACCACTGTTCCGCCGTCTGCAATTTATAGCACGATCTCATTCCTGTCAATACATAGCTGACACAAGGATGTACAGGTCGCAACCTCGGATGTGATCGACCTGGGCGATGAAGACAACACCAAGCATATCTACGCCATGCTCTCCTTCATCCATGGAAACACCTACCGCAAGATCCATCAGCGCAACACTTTGGGCCGCAACCTGGACTTTCACATTGACCTCTACCTCATTGGCGAACAGTTCGACATCCGCTCTCTCCGTTTCGCCGCAGCTGATGCATTCTTCCATGAGGCAATCTTTCTTTCCGACACGCACTACTTCCCTATGGCAGTTCAGAGGATTCTTGGAGCTGATGCTCCCGTCTTTGCTGATCAGTTCCTCGTTGAAGTCACTACCAAGGTCTGCATCGAGCAGATTGAGAGACTGGTCAAGAACAAACACTTTACCGACATGGCCTATGCCGGTGAACTCGCCGATGAAGAGGTTATGGTCAAGCTCTTCCTTGCTTTGGGTCAGCGCGTCAGAGACATGTCTGGTCTGGACGTGTGGAGATCAAAGGAAGACCGTCTCGTCATGGCTCACAAGGAGATGGTAGCTGCCGAGGCCGGCATGGGTCCTGGTCCTTGGGACAGATCGCTTGCTGGACAGATCATGGCTGCCAGAGCTCAGAACGCTGCCCACGCTGCTCTGACCAATGCTGCTCTGCTCGTCCCTCAGCCTACCTGGGCTCCACCTCCTGCTATCTTGGCCTCGCAGCCTCATCCTGCCGCCTTGACCTCCAACCCACCCCCTCCTGTGAGTCGCCCCGCTGGTGCTGCTCCCAAATTCAGTCTTGTCAAAATGTGTGTTTATCTCTGCCTTTATCAGATTCATGCTGACCTCATCACAGCATTCGCACTCAAGTCTCCCTGCTCAAGAAGAGACTGTCTTCACGCTTCCGCTAGACAAGATCTGCCTGAGGTGTCTGGAAGATCTTGTCTCTAAAGGCCTGAGAGTGGCTATCTTCTGCTGTGGAAACGCAAAAACTCAAAGGCTTTGGTTCGACCGATACCTAATGCTACGCAGCTTTACGAGAATGTTTCGGAGGCCGCAGTGTGGGCACCCAGCTCTTCGTTTGAGACAATTCTTCTCGCCTGAAGAAGAAATTCTGGTTCGCGCGAATGCGGAAAAATATTCTAGCAGATGTTCGGGCTTTCGTGGCATGGAAGAATGGTGGTGAAAAAAAAAGAGCTCGCTGAACAGCACGAAGTCAAGAAATCATCAGAAGGGAAACAGCCGACGCTTTGCTAGTAGCTCATAATCAATCACGTTTCCTCGTTTTCAAGCTCTTCAAGACCCACTGTACCAAGTCGGTCTTGATATCCTGTCCATGGAAACAGACATTTGTACGCTTTTTCCCTTTTCCACAAAATGTGCTGCGGTCAAGCTCCCAGTCATTTTTTAACTTCACACGAGGATCTTTCATTGAAACACGCCCAACTGGAATCACTTCTTACGATATAATAGCTACTCCAAAATCTCGCTGCTCCATTGGCTTAGGGGAAGAAGTTGAATTGGAAAGTACAGTCTGGCTCTTTTTGTTTGATATGACTCACACGTTCATACTCTTCGCACTCCAGCAGTAGAGCAATGAGCCCTTTGGTTCGTTGAACAACAAACAACAATCTATGCAAAGCCAGACAGCTAATATAGAACTTTGCTACCTTGACGTAAGTATATAGGCAGCGTTCCTACAGAAACAGCAGTATAACACTGAATGCCAGCGACGTAGCCAGAAGGAAAGGTGCACCCAGCAAACCAGCTCCATTCTTGTCGTCTTCGTTATCGCTCTTGCCGCCGGTAGTGCCATTACCAGACTTGGTGTCATTTCCAGAACCAGAGCCACTGTCCCCATCTCCAGATCTACCATTCCTCCAAACAGTTCCCATTTCTCCTCCTAAAAAGATTGTTCCATTTCCCCCGAAGAAGTTCCTGGCCATCTCCGGTGGTCCAGCAGTGATGTTTCCACCTTCAGAAACAGAAGAAGGGTGCTCGGTAGATCCCTCAACACATACCATGCTTCCCCAAGTAGAGTCGTAGGCTTGATTCCACACAGCCGCTTGATCGACATACATCTCAGGTGTGTAGAAGAACCTACAATCTGCTGCTTCATAGATATGTTGCAAGGGCGTCTCCCTCTCATCTCCCTTTCTAATGTTGTTGCGGAAGTTGACACTGGCTTGTACGAGCAGAGTACCACCAGGAGAAGCACGATTTAGTGCCTGTTGCGTGGCGGATATCAAGTCGGTGCCGAACTCGCCGAGGAAGGAGAGTTGGTCGCCCAAAGGTGCGGCGCTGATGACGGCGCTGATAATGGTGGATAGAATGAACATGCCTTGTACTTGAGAGCCCTTGACACCGCCGACCCCCTGCATCGGTCCGGTTTGTGGACGACCACCGACTACGACGCTCCATGTCTCCATTTGAGATGTCATGAATTCGCTGAAGATTGCGCAAGTGGACGCACAAGTTCCGTCGTGCAGCAGCACTATGTCTTGAGATGAGAAGGTTCTGGGCTGTGTTATGTTATCATCTGCATATCCAGTAATAGGCACTGTCGTGGCAGAGATATCTGTGAGATTGAAGCGGTTAAGCGAAGTAAAGTTGCCTCTGTCATTTTCGTGTGGTCCGAAGAAGTCTTCCCAAGAAGTAAACTGCTCGTTATCCACAGTCAAAGGCTCACGGTAGTTGAAACTGTTGAGAACAACTCCATCAACACCTGCTTTGACCAACTCGGGATAAGCTGCATGAAGCTGGTCGATATTCTTGCTTGCAATACGTCCCGTGGCATTGTGGAGCTCACTAGCACGGTAATTGCCTGCACCGTAGGGAGTCTCGGTGGGAAAGAGCTGGCGGAAGAGATCGTAGGCCAAGAAAATATCACCGCCACCATTGCCGCGAAGATCAATGACGAGTTTTGTTCGTTCTTCATCATCCGCGGTCGCCAAAAACTGACGCACAACGTTCTCAAACTCGACTTCGTCGACAGCAGAGAAGCTAGGCACAGAAAGGACGGCAAGCTCCGGGTATGTATCGGAGAGATAGCCAGCAACACTGTTGTCAGACGCAATAACAACTGGACTTGGGTACGCTGGATGGGGAGGTGCAACACCATCGGTAGAGACAGGTTCAAAGGGTACCAAAGTGTCGTTTGAGGCAGTCTGTGAAGGTGTTGTACTCGAATTTGCCTGTGCCAGAATCGACGCGGTGAGATTGTTGTTACAGAATCTGTCAAAGAAGCTCGCACCATCAGTGACACCTTCCAATGTCTTGCCAGACAGCAACTGTGCTCTCGTCATCACATCAAGCGTAGATCCGTTAGCAAAGGTGAGCACGGTATTGTCACCTTGATAGAATCTTGAGATAGCAAAGTAGTTCGTCTCGATATCTTGGTACGCCAATGCAGGGATGTTCAAGAAAACTCCATTGTAATTTGCATCAGGGTCTTGAGATCGGCCATTCTGGGATGCATAGCTGTTGACCCAAGCCAGAACATCCTCGCCGTTAATCTTGGTAATTGGTGAAGGACTGTAGTCTGCGTTTCCGGATTTGGTCAGCGCAGCTTCATCGCTGTATGCATAGATATCTGGAGTTTCATTCTCGCCAGTCACGACCTATGTGTTTGAGTGGTTAGCTCACTCTTGAAAATTTCATACTGATACATCCTCCCCGTGTTCTAAAGAATGTAACGCGTGCAGCTATAAAAATGCACATCATGATGAGAAAACAGGACGATGTCCACTGAGAAGCGATAACTTATTAGCTCTCCATGAACACACCTCTGTTCTTCGGATTGATTGTGCCTTCTTAGAGTGTATCTTTCTCTCGTCGCCACAAGCAGAGTACGGTGGAAGTCACATCAGAACACGGGGAGGATCTATCCCGGACTTACTGAGATTAGAGAGAAGTAGGCAGGTATTCCCTCATCGTTCAGCTTCTCATTTTGCAACCTGGCAAAAGCAAAAACGTCTACGATATCAGGAGTATACGATAGATGGCCATCGTAAGCAGACGAGAAGAGCTTGAAGATATCCAACTGAAAGTCGTACTCATTGTCGTAGATGTCGTCCTGAAGCATCGAAGTGAGCTTATCCAAACCAGCTAGGAGGTCAACACCAGGATAGATACGGCCAATAGTGGGATCCGCGAGATATTCCAGATCACTTTGGAATTCAAGAAATGTTCGTAGGCCCTTGAGTTGAAGTAGATCGTCTTGTTTTGCTAGCGGTACGGAGCGCAAACAAGAAAGCGCGAGGTTGGCAGGGAAGAATGTGGCATTGTTTGTCGAGAGAGCACTAAGCTGTGAGCATGGCGCTCTAGTAGTGTCATCTTGAGCATGCACTGGGTTTGCAATCGTAGCCAATGCTACAAGAGCCACTCTCAGCGACATGTTGAAAGACCAATATATGACACTGGAGTCCAGAGATAGCACAGATGAATTGAAAGAAGGGGAAGAAGAATTGGCAAGGTCAAGGAGAACAAAGTGATCAGTGGTGGGTCGTGGAATAGGATGTTGTTGTCCGTGCCCAGACTTGATCAATTACCCGGTCTTGGTACCAAGAATTACACCAAGGCGTCTCAATTGACAGCTCCTCCTCACCTGTATGCTGGTGGATCTTGCCATCATTATGCAGCTCATACTGGAACTGCCGTGTCAAGAGGTTGTCAAGTCATCTGCGGAAGAGGTCTGGACGTTGATGATAGAACTGCACGCTGCACATTGCGACGTGCTGCCTGCGAAAATCAATAGCGACGTTCAGCGTCCAGGACGTCGAGTCAGAGCTTCATCAATCCTACGGCCGAAACCCGCAGCGTGGTGGGTACTCATGGAAGCGCCAGTGACATTGATGGAAACCACAGCGTCTTCAAGTAGCTGGAAGGATGAAGCGCTGAGGTGCAAGAATGGTTGTTTCAAGTCAGAGCTTCTGTGGGCCCTGAATCCTTCGATCGTCATCACAACAGCGACGAATTACAATGGTGGGGTTGGATCATCCGCGTGGAAGACAGACAGACAGAGCCAGCTTCCATGACCGCGTTCCTCTTTGACCTTCTCCGACGCGGCGGCGCGACGCGTTGGAGTGGTTGGTCTTGATGTTCGAGGTGGCTGGCCGTGGATTCAGCAAGGGTCTGCCAAGCTAGATCAGGGTCGTACCCTATACAAGCATTTTTTCCATCGACGACGACATTACTAGCAGCACAGTGGATTTTCTCTTCTTCTGAGCCTTTGGTACAAATCTTGTCATAATAATCTATGGGCTAGACCAGATCTCAAATCAGATTTGCGCGTTATTGAGCTGGTATGCCACAAAATGTGTTTGATCATGTGTTTTTTTCGAAATGGCAACCGTGATGCCATTTGAGTTTCACTCACCTCCAAGAGATTGTGAAAATGTTGGCCATCGACGTCAATATCGCAGACGACGGAACTCCAGACTGCACAGTCAATTCTAGAAGATGTCTAGATGCTTCCACAGGGAGAAAAGAAAGATTTAAAGAGCTGATCGTTGGTTACATGATGCTGAAAGTTGCGGAACAGGGTGACACACTTCAACGAGGTTGACTTGCTTGTTTTAGGACAACGTCGTAGCCATCACTGTCGATACAGAGTCGACTTATGACTAGCAGCTCGATGAACAGCTCGTGACATGGTATAGAGCAGCACATATCACTTAGCAGCGTCCAGTATGCAATTATTGAATCGAGTAAACATTGATCAATGCAAAAGCTGACGTCACCAGCGCAACCCAGCTATATCAATCGAGGACTAAAATGAAAGTAGTCGAAAAGAAAAAATCGTCCATAACTTCGACATTTTCTGACTGAGATCAGATATACTACTACTTCACCAACTCCATCAGCCGAAAATCTTGCTCAAGACCTTCTCGAAGGGAGAGCTGCAACACCGATGTTAGCCAGTGGTCTTTCGAAGAAGAACGATTACTCACTTGTTTGACGAGGAAGGCACGAACGTGGCCTGGTACTCCTCAATCTCCTCCACTTCACCTCTGAGATCCACATCCACCGCAGGCGTCCACTTCGTCTTCTTGAGCAGCTTCCATCCCACGAACAGGACAGGGAACAGTCCAATCATGAAGTAACTAAAGATGAAAGTCGGGACATCCCACTGACCAGGCAAGAAGACAGTGTACCCTCCAATCAGAGCCATGACGACGCAGCCGACGAAACCATACCATGCGAGATAAGGCTGACCCCATCCCTTGAAGGGAAGGCTGTTACGGTCAAATCCTTGTGCATCGCAAGCGCGCTTCCAGAAGATGAACGTCATGCACATGACTGCATAATTGATGAGTTGGGATGCAGTGACAAGGTTGATGAACCACTTGAGCACGGTTGCGGCGTTCTCGCTAACCTGAAGGAAGGCAAGAAGAGCGATGCATAATACGACGAGAGTGCAATAGATCGGAACACCTCGGCGTGTGGTGCGTGTGAGGAACTTGGGTGCCTTGCCTTCAAGAGCGAGGCCGTAGAGGGAGCGAGATGCGCAATAGACGTAACTGTTGCCAGCTGAAAAGGCGCTTGCCAAAACCATAGCATTGACGATATCAGGAAGGACCTTGATGCGAAGACGGTCCATAGCGACAACGTAAGGTGAGGCTGCTGCACCTGGAAGACCGGCGGTAGTGGCGGCGATAAGTTCCTTGTCGTTGTATGGAACCAAGATGCCGACGCAGAGAGAGCCGAGCATAAAGAAAGCGGTCAGACGGTAGAAGACAGCTTTGAATGCCTTGGGCATGACAACACGTGGGTTTTCGGCCTCGCCAGCTGCCATACTAACATAATCCGGTCCAGCAATGGTGAAGGAAGCCTGAATGAGGCATTGGAGGAAGCCGAGGAAGTAACCAAGATTGCCACCATAGTAAAGAGGTGCGAAGGCCCCCTAACACAGAGGTTAGCACATGCTTGCTATTTTGAAAACATGTACCTACAGGATTGTTCCAATATCTAAAGCCAAATCTCTCGCCAAGTGGATTGCCGCCCAACATGACAATGAAGGTGAAGATGATGAGGCCTGAAAGATGTCAAAACTAGATTGGTCAACAACTAGGATTGTATATGCTTACCAACAATAAGCAAGACCTTGCCGAGAGCTGCCCAAAATTCGGTCTCGCCATACCACTCGACAGTGAGGACGTTGATCAAGCTGCCAAGATGTCAGTAATCTGCTGCATTGTGACGAACGAAGTACTCACGCATAAAGAACAATAACAATAGCAATAATGCCACCAGCTGGCACAACATCACTCCAGTAGTGGATCACAACGTTACAAGCAGTAACCTCGAAAGGAACCTGATTCGCATCAGAACCAGCAAAAGAAGTTTCGTCCCTGAGTATCTTACCAAGATTGCTTCGAATACAAAGAAGTTCCAGCCCGCTGCAAAGCCCATAGCTTCATCCATGTAGCGACTGGCGAATCTAATGAAGGGAGATGAGATAGGAAGGTAGGTGACCATTTCGGCGGTGCCTAGCATACCGGGTCAGTAAATTGGCAGATGGTGGTTTGACTGGCGCAGTGGGCTGATCGATGTTGCTTTGGGCTTTGTGATGGGACAGGATTATACACTAAGAATACATGAAGGAAAAGGCACGTACTGATGGTGACAGCAAGAATAAAAGAGCACCTGTAATCCGTATTAAATTGGTTCTTGATTGTTTATTCTCTTGACTCTTCGACGAAGAGGTCGTTGTTGAAGAGCAGAAGTCGCAGCTCCATCATAATTCTGCTGTGGCTTGCTTGATATGACTTACCATATGCTGAAAGCCATGAAAAGACTAGCAGGACCACCATTGAGAAGGCCGTTTCCAATGGAGACGTAAAGCGCAGTACCAATGGTACCTCCGATACCGATGAGTTGAATGTGACGAGATTTCAGACGACGATGGGTCCCATCCTTGGCCAGAGAAACTGAGTCCACGGATCCAGCAGACTCCTCTCCATACCCACCCAGGCTGATGGTCTCGTTGTAGGTCTCCCCGACGCCTGTCTTTGACGAACGGCGGAACTTGACAGCATCACCACTGCCAGAAGCTTCGACGCTGGACGAATGGATCGCGTCGTGTGACAAGGAGGACCTCATACCGTCAGCTAGGGACCGGACTTATTCCCGTCAATTCTTTTGCAGGACGTCTGTGTGTTACTGGTGGTGGCGTGTGGCTTGTTATAAGGCTCCAAATATTTGCGACGTTTAATGGATTTGTTTGAGAAGCAGGCAGAAAAACTCGGGCACAAACTCCATGAGACAAAGTCGAACAATACTGCAGACGGGAGTGTTGACCTTATCAAAGAAATTGACCTGGACCGACTCGCCAAGTCTACCAAGGCTTGGATGAGTTTTCACAGCGACAAGAAATGAGAAGAAGGTTGACCTGCAAATGCGCAGTTCGACGGGTTAAAGAGGATTGGGAAGGTTGGAAGACGGTGCGACAGAGCTTTCCCGTTCGAGTCAATTGCCGCAGCAAGCTTTTGACCCGCCGTGATCGCGCTCGCAAACCGAGGTTCAGAAAGAAACATGAGGTTTTCTTTGGACAGCGGTTCTTCCTTTTCCGCGTCGAGACCGCACTAGGCCAAGCGACAGCGAATCTTATCTCGAAACGCACGAACTGCTCCGCTCTCTCCAGATTTTGGAAGGATGTTTTACGAGTGCCAAGAAGTCTATACAGAGTCAAAACGTTATACAGCGCTCAATAAAATGACGAATGAAACGGCGTTGCTGGTGCCTTCTTGGTAGCTACATAATCAATGCTTTTGGTGTTTCGTGCTGGCGATATAGCAGGCCTTTCCCAATCTTTCAAGAGCCCCAGTCGCATGTCTGAACTGTATGCCGCCGATCAAAACGCGGAGTCAACCTAAGCTATGACGAACTGATCCTCTACTGAACACCATCGAATGAGGAAAAGTGCGTACCCCGGACAAGTTTGCTCTTCATTTTTGTTGCAAGGGAAGAGTGTCCAGGAGCATGAAGTCGTCATCATGTTGGTTAATTTCAGCCTTCTCGAAACCTGCTCGGATGCACGATGAGCTTAGCGAGCCTGAATGACGCAGTATCGTTCATCCTTTCTGAGCCTCTGCTCTTCTACTACCTTTGGCTCTCTGTCTTTCCCGTCTCTTGACCTCTTCCCAGTTTCGAAGAACCCAGTCACGCAACTTAGGCATCACCTCATCTGCTTGAGTAATGTAAAACGCGAAACGAGCTTGACACTCAGCATCCATCTCTGGCTCGTCGCAAATGTACGGCTCACCACCCTTGAAGCCAACGAACCTTTTGAGGGCTCTCACAACCTCATTTAATCTCTTCGCCTCTAGCTTGGCGAGTGGTGTGAGTACTGTAGTCTTGATTATGTACCATGCATGGTCTTCTGCGTTTCCAATGAGTACCTTGGCGCGACGACTGTTGAAGTCATCTGCTTTGTTGAAGAACACCAAGGCGGCGTCGGTATGAGCGTCTCGCGTCTCGAGAGGGCCAGCAACGACATCTGGCATAGACGGCAGGTATTGAGACATGAAGCGGCGGAACATTGGACGTTTCTCCATTCGACTTCGCATTTCAGAATTGTCTCTTCTCTTCTCAATCAACTTGCGATTGAAGAGTCTGGAGCTCACGGCCCAATCAAAGAGTTGGCGTTCCGACTCAAAGCCGCGGTAAAATTTGTGCTTGTCGAGGCCCAGAAAATCCATGACCAAGTCTGGGTTCTTGCTCAAGAAGACCTGGCTTGCAGACCAATTCTGTGCCTCTTGTTCTTTGATGCGGACAAAGAATCCGTCGTTCTTAGACGTAAAGCCATTCCCGTGGTTGAAGGTACCGAGTATAGAGCCAAGGTCGCCATAGCCATGCAGGAATGTTGTCCACGCGAGATCACCTGGGGGGCAGACCTGAATATCGACTTGGGCGAAAGCTTGGACTCCTGCATCCGTGTTCTCATGAGGGACAGCAAAAGAGTAGGTTGGATGGTTATTTTTGACGGTTTTTGCTCCCAGATCGAGAGCCACTTGCTGAAGGGGCAACGGCGTAGACGGTGATAATTCGATGACGAAGTCGACATCACCAAAATCCAGTTTTTCAGGAGCCTCGGGTATGGTGGTGGTGTTGACAAACCGTTTCGACAAGATCTTCATGGCAGTTTGTTTGACCTTTTCGTAGACCTGGCGGTTCATACGAGGGACATGAAGGTCAGGAAAAGTTCGGCCACCCATGATTTTGCAGGCAAAGTATCAAGAGGGTTGTGAGATGGAAAGAAAGCAACAATTTCAAGCCATGGGCGGAATTATAGTCAAGAAAGATAGAGAAATGATAGATCTTTGCTGTGAGTCAATAAGAGAATGAAGAAGTGGCAGGGTTGAATGTCAGTCGGTCGTGTTGAAGCGAGCGGACCAATTGCAAGCAACAACTCAATTGATGAGTCTTCTGAGCTACTAGAATGCGCCGGAATGTGAGAGATAGTGAACAGCGATGAACAGTCACTTGCAGACTACTCGAAAGGCCTACCTGAAGAACAAGATCACTTGAGGAAGTGTGGTTGTGGTCAGGAAGAAGCGGCACAGATGATCGCGGAAACAGTTGAAAAAGCGGACCGCCTGTGACAAGACGAGCAGCTCATTCAGCTCTTCGAACATTGTGAGGCTGACTTTGCCCCACGAGCAAACTGCACCTTGGACCTGTGAGTGACGTGGGCTTGGCGCGTGCTTTGATCTTGCTACTCGTTCTTTCCGGCCTGCCGAACAATAACTCCACCACCTACCGAAGGCGAGAGATTGTGCTGGTATATTCATAGGCGCAGACAGAGCCGCATTCTAGAGTTACAGAGCATCGCCTAGCCGACAGCTCTCCGGATCCGTATCCCGCTGGTTGCCATCCATCCGCAGGCGTGACAAGTCCAGCAGCAGCGGCAGTACCTGGACATCGTCAAACACGCACATTCCTATTCAGCCTGCATCGCACCTTCCCTTGTCCAGCTGCTTTGACACAAGATGGATGTGAGTTCCCAATCTAGCCCGTGCACTTGAATTCACAATTACGCACCCTCCACCATTGCTGTTCGCTCCAATCCTTCCCACAGCTGGCACAGCTTGCAACTGTTGTATAACAGCAGCTCGCCTCGCTGATCACCTCCACCATGTCGTCACCACCTTCACGCAGGCACTCGACCTTCAATCACAGACCACTGACACTCCGACCCCAGCTCGGCCATGATATGCTGGTCGACTCAGACTACGACGAGAAGCAACAAGATGTAGCCATAATCTCACCCGAAGACGACTCGATGGAGGAAGTCGCGGTCCAAGAGCCTCGCGCCGACGACTTTGCTGCGATGCGCAACCGCTTCATGCCCGAAGACCCCGACCTCGAAATCGAATCCGAAACAACTTACACATGGGACATCAAAGATTGGCGCACGCTGCCACGCAGACACCACAGTCCAACCTTCCACGCTGGCAACCACCCTTGGAAAGTTCTCTTCTTTCCAGCTGGTAATAATGCAAACGAGTCGGTCAGTTTCTACCTCGAACAGGGCTACGGCGAAGAGGACAAGCCCCCGGCAGATTGGTATGCATGTGCTCGCTTCATGCTTGTCCTGTGGAACCCGAACGATCCGACCATCTATCTACACCATGAGGCTCAACACCGCTTCAATCAAGAGGAGGGAGATTGGGGCTTCACACGTTTCGCAGAAAAGAACAGAGTGTTTGCTACCCGCTTCGACGACAAGGACCGCCCTCTGGTAGAGAATGATTCTGCCAAATTGACTGCCTACGTCAGAGTGCTGAAAGACCCAACTGGTGTTCTCTGGCACAACTTTGTCAAGTGAGTCAAGTCGGACTTCCTACTATCAGCCTTGTCATTGCACACTGTTTCGTTTGTTCGATCACGGGTATCGTTCAGTCTTTTGTGCCATTTGTCGCAGCATGCAGCTGTGGCAGGGGACGTCAAATGCACTCCTGCACTTTCCATTCTCCAGCGACTTGCTTATCATCACGATCTCTCAATGATCTCCACCATTGGCTGAAAGACCACTTCCCCTACTCTCTATTCCAACGGCACGATCTTCGAAGCCCAAATCTTGTACTCTCCATGTTTGACCAGCCTGCTGACTGTTTGATTTAGCTATGATTCCAAGAAAGAGACTGGCATGGTCGGTCTTCGCAACCAGGGCGCAACTTGCTATCTCAACTCTTTGCTCCAATCTCTCTTCTTTACCAATGCTTTCCGCAAAGTACGTCAATTCGAATCAACGTGTGAACTCATTCGCTGACATGAATCGCTCAGGCTGTGTACCAAATACCTACCGAGTCCGAGACAGACGCACGAAACAGCAGCGCTTGGGCCTTGCAACGACTCTTCTACAAGCTACAGACCGACCCCGCTGCTGTATCGACTATGGAACTTACTCAATCATTCGGATGGGAATCTCGCCAGGTCTTTGAGCAACAGGACGTCCAGGAACTTTCTCGCATCTTGATGGACAAGTTGGAAGAGAAGATGAAAGGCACTGAGGCTGCAAATGTGCTGGCCGAGATGTTCGTTGGAAAGATGAAGACATATCTCCGCTGCATCAACGTCGACTACGAGAGTTCTCGTGTCGAAGACTTCTGGGACTTGCAACTCAACGTCAGTGGCTGCAAGACGCTTGATGACAGTTTCCGCGATTACATTCAGGTCGAGACTCTTGAAGGCGACAACAAGTACGCTGCCGAAGGATATGGCTTGCAAGACGCAAAGAAGGGTGTCATTTTCGAGAGCTTCCCTCAGGTTCTGCACCTCCAACTCAAGCGATTCGAGTACGACTTTGTTAGAGACGCCATGGTCAAGGTCAACGATCGATACGAGTTTCCCGAGATCTGGGATGCTTCACCATATTTGTCCGAGACAGCCGATCGCTCTGAGCCATACATCTACCGTCTTCATGGTGTACTTGTCCACAGCGGTGACATGAACGCTGGCCATTACTACGCTTTCATCAAGCCTACCAAGGATAGCCCATTCTTCAAGTTCGATGACGACCGCGTCACTCGTGCCACTCCCCGAGAAGCCATGGACGAGAACTTTGGTGGTGACTACGCTCCCACTGGTCCTAATGGCGCCACAAAGATGCAGAACCCCTTTACTCGCCAATGGTCGACCAAACGTTCCATGAGCGCTTACATGCTTGTCTACATTCGCGAAAGCCGCATTGATCAGATTCTTGGAGACAGCGACAGCATCCAACCACCAGCCCATCTACCCAGCCGTCTCGCCGAAGAGCGTGCTGCACTCGAACGCAAGAGAAAGGAGCGCGAAGAGGCCCACTTGTACATGAACGTTCAAATTGCTACAGAAAGCAATTTCCGCTCCTACCAAGGCTTTGATCTGGTCGATTGGAAGTCAACGGATCAGGAGGAGGCCGTTGCTCCCAAAGTCATGCGTTGTAAGAAAGCAATGACATTATCAGAGTTCAACGAGCTGGTCGCACAGGATATCGGTACTGACGCTGATCTCATTCGCCCTTGGGTCATGGTCAACCGCCAGAACGGCACTGTCAGACCTGACCATCCTCTCAATTATTCAACAATGACACTCGAGGAAGCCAACGCCAAATTCCCAACAAGAGCAGCATCGTTCCGTCTTTTCATCGAACAGACCACTCGTGGTGAGGACGGCAAGCCGATCTGGGATAGCGAGGCCACAGCACCTTCTGCTCCTGCAGCACAGGAGGCAAAGCCTATCATTATTTTCCTCAAGCACTTTGACATTGAGACCCAGACACTGAAGGGCGTTGGCCACACATACATGCTTCAAAGCCAAAAGGTGCAGGATCTTGCAGAGCCGATTCTGAAGCTCATGGGTTGGGAAGCAGGCACGTCGCTCAAGCTCTTCGAGGAGATCAAGCAGAACTTCATCGATGTCATGAAGCCCAAGCAGACCCTAGGACAATCCGAAATTCAGGATGGTGACATTGTCTGCTTCCAGAAGGTCACACCTGTGGAAGAGGTTCAAGCATTCCAACAGAAATACCCCTCTGCTTACATCGATGCAAACTCCTTCTACGACTACCTTCTAAACCGTATCCGCGTATTCTTCCTACCGCGTCCTGGAGCACCGCAGAGTGTCCCTCTTGAACAGGGAGCAGACGAGTTTGAGATGTACCTCTCAAGAAAGGACAGCTACGACACACTGGCAACAAAGACAGCACAACATTTGTCGACAATCTCGAAGACGAACATTGACTCTACCCATTTACGCTTCACCACCGTCAACGCTCAAAGCGGCAAGCCTAGAGGGCCTGTAAAACGCACACCTACAACGACAGTGCACACCATCCTTTCTGGCGTTGGTACCGGTGGATATGGCGGTGGCTATGGTTACACAAACCAGTCTCCCGACACGCTGTACTATGAAGTCCTGGAGATGAGCCTGACAGACTTGGAACAGCGCAAGACTGTCAAGGTAACTTGGTTGCCCGAAGGAGTAACCAAGGAAGAGACATTCGACTGCCTTGTGCCCAAGGTCGGCACCTTCGAAGATGTTCTGCCAGTATTCCAGAGGAAGGCCAAGCTACCAGATGAGCTCATTGAGCAAATTCGCTTCTACGAGGCTCACTCCGGCAAAGTGTATAAGATCCTTGAAAGCCACACGCCCGTCTCTACATTGAACGAGTTCATGCAGGTTTATGCAGAGCGTCTACCAGAGGAAGAACGAGAGGCCTCTAAGGATGGAACTCCACCTCTTATTGGATGTTTCCACTACGACAAAGAGCCCGCCAAGCCTCATGGCATTCCATTCATCTTCCTCGTCAAGCAAGTAAGTGATTGCACAAACAAAACGGCACGAGAAACCAGAAACTGACAAGCTACGACAGGGTGAAATATTCAAGGATACCAAGGAAAGACTGTCGAAGCGCACAGGTATCAAGGGCAAGCAATTTGAGAAGATCAAGTTTTCAGTCGTCCCTCATGGCAGCTACTCTCGACCAAAGCCTCTTGAAGATGGTAAGTTCGAAGGTCAACTATCGACATAGAATCTCTGGCTGACGGTGATTGCAGACGACATACTCTCAGAAAGCTACCAAGAGGGCGATCAGCTTGGCTTGGATCATGTCAACAAGGCTCGCAACGCATGGCTCAAGTATGAGAGCTTGAATATTCGATAGGCGAAAGATGAGCGGGCGTGCTGGGTGATTGATGCAGACAGCATTGCATGGAATACCGGATGTTTACAGGAAGACCAGGTACATGAATGTGATGTACATGGTCAGGTATTAGGCCAACGAGGCCGGATTGGAGAAAGCAGATTGCTTGATCGGACAATTGACGAGCAAGCATTCGGTTTCTTTGGCAGAAGCCAGGACACAGTGAAGGATACAGGAGCAGAGATTGAAGCCGTGTTGATGAAAGCCACGAATGAAGTAGAGATATTCGAAGAGGGACATGGAGAATGGATTGATGGACATTGCATAAAAATTAAGCTTTGACTGTGCAGATTGAAAGCAGGGCGGGCTGATAATATGCGGAGGCGGTGGATCCCGATGCGCGATTCAATGACGAATGGGGGGAACGGTTGATATGGATGCTGATAGAGTGGCAGAAAGTCGTGTCGCCTGTGTAGATACAGTACGAGCGAAAAAGCCTTTGAAAGACGATCAAGACTATACAGACCCAGCGTCTTTGTTGTGTCTAGATACAATATCTGCCCCTTGGCTGTGACAGAGTGGGTCTTGGGCGGATGCTATTGTGCCAGGAGTTGGCGAAGAATGCTACAGCACTTCGCCTCCAACGTTTCGCTTGCGCTGAGCATGTGCAGTCTTGGACAAGAGTAAGACCACTCTCCATATCACTACCAACTCTCGCGAACAAGCAGACGAGACACTTTTACCACACGCCTCTCTTGTCTCAGCGTCATCATCGCCAACACTCGCGCAGCCCCTCATTCCTCCTGTTCCAACAAGGCGCCATGGTCGGAAGCAGCGCGGCCAACATGTCACTTCCTCAGCGATCCGCATCCTCAAGAGCCAGTGTTTTGACCGACGGCATGGAGAAGCCACTGCTGGACAACCGCACATACCGAGTCGTGCGACTCGCGAACGACCTGGAGGCGCTACTGATTCATGATCCCGACACGGACAAGGCGAGCGCGGCTATGGATGTCAACATTGGCAGTTTCAGCGATGCCGACGACATGCCCGGTATGGCTCACGCCGTCGAGCACCTGCTATTCATGGGAACTGAAAAGGCACGTCAAGTCGTGGCGACATGGTGCGCGCTGGGCTGACTCTTTGTGACTGCAGTTTCCCGTCGAGAACGAATACAACCAGTACCTGCAACGATACGGCGGTTACTCAAATGCCTTTACCGCCTCATGCGACACGAATTACTACTTTGAGCTCTCGGCCTCGTCCACCGCCACCAGCCAGCAGTCGTCGCTGAGCAGCGCCGAATCCCTCCCCATTGAGAAGTCGCAAGCCCCGCTCTACGGCGCCCTCGATCGCTTCGCCCAATTCTTTATCCACCCGCTATTCCTTGAAGACACGCTGGATCGCGAGTTGCGTGCCGTCGACTCGGAGAACAAGAAGAACCTGCAGGCAGACAACTGGCGTCTACACCAACTGAACAAGAGTCTGTCCAACAAGAAGCACCCCTTCAACAAGTTCTCGACCGGCAACTACAAGGTCTTGCACGATGATCCCATTGCTCGTGGCGTCAAGATTCGCGACGAGTTCATCAACTTCTACCGCGCAAACTACTCTGCCAACCGCATGAAGCTTGCTGTTCTTGGTCGTGAGCAGCTGGACGAGCTGGAATCTTGGGTCACCGAACTCTTCTCAGATGTCCCCAACCAGAACTTGCCCAAGTTGCGCTGGGATGGTATACCCGCCATGACAGAGGCCGAGCTGGGCACCCAGATCTTTGTCAAGCCCGTCATGGACATGCGCCTGCTCGATATGCACTTCGTTTATGCCGACGAGGAGGATCTTTGGGAGTCTCAGCCAGCCAAGTACCTCAGCCACCTTATTGGTCACGAAGGCCCTGGCTCTATTCTCGCTTACATCAAGGCAAAGGGCTGGGCTAATGGTCTCGGTGCTGGCCCCATGAACATCTGTCCTGGTACCTCGCATTTCTCAATCTCCATTCGACTTACCGAGGACGGTCTCAAGAATTACCAACAGGTTGTCAAGGCTGTCTTCCAATATCTCGCCATGGTCAAGGAGCATCCACCACAGGAATGGATCGTTGACGAGATGGCCAAGCTTGCAGAGGTTGACTTCCGTTTCCGCCAAAAGATTCCTGCCAGTCGTACTGTCAGCGCCTTGAGTGGCGTCATGCAAAAGTCCTTCCCTCGTGACAAGTTGCTCAGCGCTCAGTCTCTGATCTGGAAGTTCGACTCGAACGCTATTCAGCGCGGTATTGACTACCTCCGTCCCGACAACTTCCGTATCACTCTTGTCTCTCAAGAATACCCCGGAAATTGGGACCAGAAGGAGCAGTGGTACGGTACTGAATACAAGTACGAGAAGATGCCCGCAGAGTTTATGAAGGAGTTGGAGGCTGCCAGCAAAGCCACTTCATCCCAGCGTCCATCTGAGTTGCATATGCCTGCTAAGAACGAATTTGTGCCGTCTCGTCTTGATGTAGAAGTCAAGGAGGTCGAGAAGCCTGCTGTTGCACCAAAGCTTATTCGTAACGATGTCAATGTTCGCACATGGTGGAAGAAAGACGACCAGTTCTGGGCACCCAAGGCGAACGTCAAGATTTTCTTCAGATCACCCCTGGTCAGCATGTCTGCTCTCACCGCAGTCACTACCCAACTGTACAAGGATTTGATTGAAGACTCTTTGACTGAATACTCTTACGACGCAGAGCTCGCTGGCCTCGAGTATGATCTTCAGAACCACGCTCAAGGCTTTGACGTGACTGTCAGTGGTTACAACGACAAGATGGCTGTTCTTCTCGAAAAGGTCTTGGTTGCTATGCGCGATCTCGAGATCAAGAAGGACCGTTTCGACATCATCAAAGATCGCACTCTTCGAGGCTGGCGCAACTTTGGATATCAACAACCTTTCCACCAGATCAGCACCTACAGCAGATGGCTAGTGGCCGAAAAGGGTTTCATCGTTGACCAACTGCTGGAGGAGCTCGACCAAGTCACTGCTGACGATGTTCGCAACTTCTTCCCTCAAATTTTGAACCAGATGCACATCGAAGTCCTCGCTCACGGCAACCTTTACCGCGAAGATGCACTCAAGATGACTGATCTGGTTGAGTCTATCATGAAGCCCAAGACTCTTCCTGCTGGTCAATGGCCTCTCCGTCGCTCTATTGTTCCTCCTCAAGGCAGCAACTTCGTCTATGAGCGCACACTCAAGGATCCGCAGAACGTCAACCACTGTATCGACTACCAACTCTTCACCGGTCTCCTGACTGATCGTTCGAACCGTGCCAAGCTTCTTCTTTTCGCACAAATGTCAGACGAAGGCTGCTTTGACACTCTTCGATCGAAAGAGCAGCTCGGCTATGTTGTGCAGTCCATGCCGCTCATGCTTACTGCCATCTCCGGTTGGCGTGTATTGATCCAGTCTGAGAGGTCGCCCGAATACCTCGAGAAGCGCATTGATGTCTTCTTGAACACATTTGGTGACAACCTCAAGAACAAGATGAATGATGAAGAGTTCGAGTCACACAAAACAGCTCTGATCAACAAACGTTTGGAAAAGATGAAGAATCTCAACCAAGAGAGCGGTCGTTTCTGGCACCACGTTACCAGCGAGGCCTTTGACTTTGAGCTTGGTAAGTCATGTTATCTACATACCTCTGAACAAATTTACTAACCTTGTTATAGTTTACCGTGACGTCGAGCACATTGAACCCATTACCAAGCAAGATATGATCGACTTCTTCAACACACACATTGACCCTGCTTCCAAGACACGCGCAAAGATCTCTACTCATCTGCTCGCTCAAGCGACGTCAGCTGATGCCGACAGTAGCAAGTTGTCGGAGAAGACCGGAGAAGGTGTCAAGGACGAGACTGCCAGTGCTACAAGCTCCGAGCGCAGAGTCGACGAACAGATGCAACAAGTCGGCACTCCCATCAGGATTGAAGACGTCAGAAGCTTCAAGGCTCGCATGCCTCTTTCGGAGGCCATGAGACCTGTCAAGGACTTGGTCGAATTTGAGGATTCAGGCGCCAAACTCTAAGTGCGTTATTTCTTTGTATCTCAAGGATCTTGCATGGATGGAGCAATTTCGGACATGTTTTTTTTTCGAGGTTTACGACATGGTTGCATCAAAGACGGGATAGCTGGGTCATGTCTTGTTTTATGATTTTCGTAGTTCATGAGTTTCGGATTCCTTCTCATAGGAGAATAGAACGGTTTTCCACTAAGCCCTCTTGCTTCGGGAGGTGCCTCGTGAGTGATTGTGTTGTGTTGTTCCTGCCGTTTCTTGAATCGTATGATGGGTGAGAAGACTTGGGTCTGTCATTCTGCTCACTCGGTCCTGCCTTCTCGTATGCTACAGTAAAGTGTGTACAACATGACTATAAAAATGCACAATACTAACAGGAAACAGAGCAGCGACCACTGAAAAGCGACTGCTCACTAGATCTCTGTGGACACGCATCTGATTTCGAAGACCGTTGCGCCTTTTTGTAGTGTAAATCCTTGCTCGCTGCTATACGGAGTACCAGGAAAGAAGTGAAGAAGTCGCAACTCGCTGTTGTTACAGCGTATACTCGGCCAACAACTCTTTGCGGGCTTTCTTCTCTTGACTTGCGCCAGATTCAGAAGTCGTCGCTGCTGAACGAGAGGTTGTCGTGATTTCAGTGCTCTCTCTTTCACTCATCTCCAGCGTCGATCGAGACAATTGTTTCAGCACTCTGTCTTTATCCAAGTCTGATCAGTCTCTTTCGAAACGTCCTTTCACTTGGCATCTTCACTACTTCCTTCAAGAACGCGACCGTCTCGCTCTTACCACCGCTCTTCTCTGCTCTTGTTCACTTGAGCTACTTACCTACTTCTTTCTCTTGCGCCTCCGCGACACAGATAATCAACCTTGCCCTCGAGCACTTCGAGTCGCCCATCAGTCATCTTTGCATCCCTCTATACAGAATGGCAACGGCCGCAGATCTGCGCATTGAGCACACCGCCAACACTGTCTCAGCAACCAGGCCGACCCGCGATCTTACCCTCCCCAATGAGGTCCTCAACATGATCGTGTCCGAATGTCATCCTACCGACTTAAAGAACTTGCGTTCAGCTTCCAAACTCATGTACCAGATTGCCACCGAGCCATTCGCAAGCACGTTCTTCTCTTGTCGACGATTTCTTTTCACTTATCAGAGCATGAAAGCATTGATCGATATCACGGCACACCCAGTTTTCGGACGCCATCTTGAGTGCCTCACCTTCGGTACTTATCGGATGGGCAAAAGCGATGTCAATCATGACAAGTACAACGACCGTGCCGTCCAATACGATCTGAAGGAAGCGATGCACAGAGCATTCCTTGACGAAGATCACCACATCAAGATGTTGACCGTCGTACTGGAGAATCTCAAGAAATGCCACAACACTCGGGTCGCTTTAGGCATCTATGATGACTTCCAGCATCAAAAAGCAAGACTTCGAGGATACGCTTTCGACGCTTCGTATCAAGACTTTCACGCACATTGGGCTGATGGAACCAGGACTCTGTGGGCAGTACTGGGTGCCAGAGCTGAAAGTGGATATCCACTCACGGCGCTGGAGCTATGTCTCTCCGATTATTCTAACAATCTGAACCAGCTGGTTTGGGATGAAGACTATGCGCTTTCGAAATTTCTGCCACCAATGAGCTCAAAAGACGGGCTGCATGTGGATATTCACATCACGTTCGTCAGAAACAAGGACCCCTCGCAAAGTTGAAAATTCTCTCGCAGTTCACGCGTCTTGAGGTATCGGAGCACTGTCTAGGAGGACCGCTTGACGACTGTACTCTCATGGATTTTGACGAAAACACGTATGGAGCTATTTGGCACGCCATCCAAGCAAGTCAGCTAGAGTCCATCTCCATCGATAGATCATATGTCGAACTCGAAGAGCTCGAACGTTTTCTATACGGCCACAGCGATTTTCTGAAAGACCTGAAGCTTCATCAACTCTGCACATATGTCTTTGACCACCACACGACTGTCGATTTCCTTTGCTTCTTGAGGGATCAACTCAATCTCAAACATCTGGCCATTGATGAGATTGTGGTGGAGGACGAGATTTCAATGACAAAGATTGTCTTGCCCAAGCTCGAGAGGATGGTGTGCGATGGAGAGAAACAGATCATAGAGGACGTGGACAAGCTGATTCAAGAAGTCAACGAAGTACTTCGGGACGATTGAGCCGGCCAAGGATGCGGAGGTCTTGAGCGAACGGAACAGAAGAATAGTGGAAAGTTTTGATCTTGCGTAGCAAGATACAGTCTGCTCATTATAGATCTACATACAAAACGTCGCTAAAACAAAATGAGTCGCAGGGAGTAGATCACACCGTTCTTTGAGTACCCAAGACTTGGTGCTAAGTTCGTATGTTGGAGTGAACAATACATAGATCCTGTATTCGATTGTGGTAATAGATATTCGAGGGAATCTCCGTAAACGGTGTTGAGTCTCTTCATCACTTGATGAAGTGCACAGAGTAAGACACAAAATCACTGTTAATCGAAGAGATAGACAAGACCGACAGAAATGGAGACAAACACAGGCGCAGTCTGTGACACACCGTATTCGGGGTGAAATTTTGTAGGCTTTCTCCGGGGTCAATAGACTTTGTCGAAGCGACGTGACTCTCAAGATCTTGAGTCCCTTGATTCGAGTCTCTGCCGGTATAAAGTAAACCCTTGATTGTGCCTTATGTCGTACTTACAAGAGGAGCCAAGGCCTGTCACTGCGCATACATGAGGCTTGTTTGTTGACCGTCGAAGCTTGTTCAGTATAAAGTTCACCAAATGATCTAGCAGAATATGCGAACTTTGCATACGTGGACCTGCATGGAACAGATAGATAAGTTAAGGTTACGAGATCATACAGTGATACGGCGAATTAAGGCTTCGTATGCATTATTCCCCGGATAGTCGTTATCTTAGCTTTGTTATTCAGTCGACGAAGCTTTCAATCGCTGATGCTAGCACACTTCAGGCAGGTGTTATATAGTGCTAGTCAAATCCTGATTGCAGTCTGATGGTCCCAGCAGAATCCGTGGTCTGCATCAACGAATCTGAAGCCACTCAGGTGTCTTATTACCGCAGCGGCATCATCTCTTCGTACAGACATAGCTTCTGAGCGCTTCAATCTTTCACCTGGTGCTGTTCAGTCCCCCTCACTTACGTACAGAACGCTACGATGATGCCTGGTGTGCTCTGGCGCCGACACTGGGGCCTTTCGTGGCCATGTCGCATGGAATCATTGCCCAATAAACCTCGAACGATCTTTGGATACGCATCCACCTTCGACAAGGCTGTTCTCTACAGCAGTGCCTGTGGTGCTTTGCTCGCTGGCGCCATGAACCCACTCATTTCCGTAAACATCAGAACCCTTGTGTCTATCTGAGGGCTGCAATTCTAATAATTCACAAGGTGATACAAGGCCGGCTAGTAAGTGGTCTGAACGACTTCTCTGCTGGGAGTACGACTACAACAGATCTGGAATCGACGGTCTTACAGGCTACCAACCTCTACGTGTATCTTTCTCTCACCATATTTACTCTTGTCTTTGCATCAACTGCTGGTTTCTACCACTGCGGTGAGCGCATCGCCACTGCCCTTCGATGTGCTTATCTCGACGCCATTCTCCGACAAGACATGAGTTACCACGATCAGCTTGCTCCTGGACGTGCTTCGAATCGCATCATGACCGACCTAGGAATCATTCAGGAAGGCATATCAAGCAAGCTTTCAGTTGCTCTCAGTGCATTCGCTATCTTTGCGACCGCATTCTTCATCACGTTCACAATGCACTGGAAGTTGGCTGCCCTCACGTTACCCTTCTTCGCTGCTATGATTATAAGTAGCACAATAGCAGGACGGACGTCCGTGAAAAACCACAAGGCTGCAACCAGAATTTATGACAGTGCATCTAGTCTAGCTCAAGAAGCTATCGCATCCACTAAACATGTACATGCATATGGCCTGAGAAATGTCCTGCAGCGGAAGTTCTCGGACCACCTCCAGGCTGCTTCGAGACCGGATCTTGATGGTCGTCATACCATTAGCATTTTCATCGTTTGGTCCAACGCTATGCCTTGTCTGTTATATGCTTTAGTCTTTTGGGCTGGCTCAGTACTTCTTACGCGCGAAGAAGTTTCGGTGTTTGACATTACCACAGCCGCTTATGCAGGCGTTATTGGAGCTTTCGCAATCGCAAGAGTAGGCCCATCGGCTCAGACTCTGATTGCTAGCATGTCCAGCGCCAAGGATGTCCTTGAAACAATATCCCAATCCTCGTCACAGGACCCAAAATCGATGCATGGGTTGCAACCAGCAGAGATAATCGGTGATATTGAATTTCGTGAAGTGAGCTTGACGTATCCGTCCAGAGCAAATGTTCATGTCTTGGATCGAATCAGTTTCAAATGTCCAGCAGGAAAGAAGACTGCCTTGGTGGGTGCCTCAGGTAGTGGCAAAAGTAGCGTGTTGGCTTTGATTGAAAGATTCTACGATCCTACTATCGGACATATCAGCAAGTCAGCCACTCCTTGGTGTGACCAATACTTGCTAACTCCAAAAACCAGCTCTTGATAAGATTGATATAGCTGCCCTCAATCTGGGCTGGCTACGTCGAAATGTAGGCTTTGTAAGCCAAGAACCAAGCTTGTTCAACACAACCATATACGAGAATATTCGTTATGGTTTCATCCATACCCAAAACGTTCTCTCAGAAAAGGAGGTTTCAGATCGGATAATATCAGCAGCCAAAGATGCGTATGCTCACGACTTTATCATGGCTCTGCCTGATGGTTACCAGAGCATTGTTGGCGAGAGCGGCGCTCGGCTTTCCGGTGGTCAGCGTCAGCGCATCGCAATTGCAAGGGCCATCGTCAGAAACCCTGCGATCCTACTCTTAGATGAAGCTACATCAGCCCTGGACTCCAGATCAGAGGAACTGGTGCAGAAAGCTCTTGATAAGGCTATGGGTCATCGAACCTCGATAGTCATTGCTCATCGCTTGTCTACCATCCATAATGCCGACAACATTGTTGTCTTCTCTGCTGGTAAAGTTGTTGAGCAGGGTTCGCGAGATCAGCTCCTTGCGAATGGTGGCATCTATCACGACATGGAATTGAAAGAACGTACGAAGATGAATATGCAGCAAAAGTATAACATGTCGAGCAACAAGCTTGACAAGAATCTCGAGAAGGAGACTAGCCAATATGATGATTCCATGGGCGAGCCTGACGAGAAGGCTCACGCAGTATGCGACGGCAGCGAGCGCGATCTCGAATCTCAAGTCGCACAAGCCAGGTTTAGTATCGGACAGACCTTGAAATTTTTGTATAGGCTTAACAAGCCAGAGTCACAATTGCTCTTCACTGGGCTTTTCAGTGCTGCTGTGGCAGGTCTCAGTTATCCCATGTAAGTCAAGTTACAATCTGAGGTCGCTGTCACATCTCTGATGCTCAAGAATCGAATAGACAGTCAATTATCATGAGCAGGATCTGGGAGGCATTCGCACTACCCAAATCCAAGTTTCCAAAACTCGAAGCTGATATCTCATACTATACAAATCTCTACCTGTTGATGGCCGCCGTGGCAATGATATCGTGGTTGGGCGTTGGCTTCGCTTTCGGACGTTCCACAATCGCACTGGCTCAACGTCTCAAGGCTCGGACTTTCGATGCTATCTTGTCTCAAGACATGTCCTTCTTCGATGGCAACAATCATTCCACCGGAGCACTGACGTATCTACTCAATACTGCAACAGAGGAACTCATCAATCTCGGCGGCCCAACGATGGGCGGAATACTTACCTTCATTACAACTATCCTAGTCGGTGTGCTAATCGCTTTCGTAAACGCTTGGAAGCTAGCTTTACTCTGCACGGGAACGGTGCCATTCGTCGTGGCCTGCGGATGGTTTCGAGTGCAGATACTTGCCGTTTTCGATGCAAAGTCACGACAGAGCGGCAAGGATGCTGCTGCCTATGCAAATGAACTTGTCCGAGACGTCAAAACCATTGCGATACTAGGACTTGAAAGTGTTTCGGTTTCCCAGTACAACAGCCTTCTCAGGGATAAAACTGATCAGTCTCTGTCATCAATGCTGGCGGCATCTGCCCTTTATGCTGCATCGCACTCCGTTGTCTATCTTTGTACGGCAGTCGCGTTCAGATATGGTGGAGCATTGATCGCTGCACAAGAATACACTGTTTACCAATTCTATATTTGTTACACTGCTGTTGTTGCAGGCTCGCAGCTCGCTGGTTCCATCTTCACCTTTGCGCCAGATGCAAGCAAAGCCATGTACGCCAGCTACGACCTTCACGCTCTCTATAGCTCCAAAAGCAGAATCAACAGTAGCATAAGCACTAGTCCACAGCCCTTGAACGAGAAACAGCTTGGTGCGATACAGTTCCAAAAAGTCAGCTTCAGCTATCCTTCGGATCCGGCCAGAAAGATCTTGGATGATCTGGACTTGGAAATCCCACCAGGTTCATTCATTGCTATCGTGGGCCCAAGCGGATGTGGCAAGAGCACATTGTTGTCTCTGATCGAAAGATTCTACGATCCGACGAGCGGCTGCATCAAGATTGACGGCCAAGACATTGCAAAGGTGGACGTGAACCACCATCGCTCTTGCATATCATTTGTTGGCCAACAGCCCACGCTGTACTCGGGGACAATCGCCGAGAACCTGGCTTATGCCCTACCCGATGAGTTTGTCTCTGAGCGCGCCATGCTAGATGCGTGCCGAGAAGCTCGCATCCATGATTTCATCGCATCTCTTCCGTAAGACAGCGATTCCACTTCGCCCCCTGACTTAGTGAATCTATGCTGACCTATAACGATAGAGACGGGCTTGCAACCAAAGTTGGAACGGCGGGTAGCATGCTCAGCGGCGGACAACGCCAGCGGCTCGCTATAGCACAAGCTTTGCTCCGCCATCCCAAGATCTTGCTTCTTGACGAAGCTACATCGGCGCTAGATGCGAATTTGGAAGCCCTGGTGCACGAGACTCTGATGGTAAAGGCGCTGCAACGGACAACGATTGCTGTTGCACATCGCTTGAGTACTGTCCGTGGTGCTGATTGTATCTATGTGCTTGACGCAGGCAAGATTGTTGAATCTGGTCGTCACGCTGATCTAGTCGCTAGAGGAGGCCTATATTATGAGCTCGTCAGCTCGCAGGTCATGGAATAGATCCCACAAGTGCTATTGGTCGAAGAGATAGACTGAATGATAGCGAAGGAAACAGACATAGGTGATCATGATATGAATGCCCTCTACTCTACCATTTTCTCTGACCTCTCAGGTAAACACCCCAACAAATACAACTATACTGCCTCCAGACAAGGGCTAGATGAACAGAAAGTCCTCCGGTCACTCCAAATTCCCTCGACGCAGACGCTCTCGTTCGTCTCTCAGGCACTCAAAAGTCGTGGAATGGTCTCGCCTCCCTGAAGCTACCACTACCCAACGAGCCATTGATTGCCACATCTTCAGGTCCATGACTCTTTCCCTCCCGGCGCAGATACTCAGCATACAACTTCCCAGTCTCAGGTCTGAATCTTGGACTTCTCGCTCCTTCTCCGCCTCTAACAGGAGAGTCCAGCGATGATCTGCCCATGACATTCGGCGGTGGCGACGGGAAAGTATTGGGAAGTTCGGACGGCCTTGTGAGATTTCCTGTGATTTGCTCCTGTTCCACCATGACGATCATCCAGACACCGACTTTGTCGTCGCTACCGAGCAAGGGCGTACAGTGGATCCAGCGAGGTTTACCTTCAATGCTGATGCGCCGAGGGCTGTCAGGTAGTGTTGGTGAAGAGAGCCAGGAGATCTTTGCTGTCACGGGTGTTGCGTGGGAAAGGCTGTCGAGCACGCCGTCGCGGACTTCTTGTGGACCTCCGATACGGTCCATGAACTTTGTCTGGAGTAGGCCTGGGATTCGGAGAGCGGGAGAAGTAAATGTAATGCGTAAAGATGGATAGGGCCGGACGAGTAGGTACTGCAGATGAGCGTCAGTGTCTGACAGAGGAAGGAGAATGTGGAGCACTCACATTCTGGTATACACCGGGCAGGCGTCCAGATGGACCAAGAGAAGGATGAGGCCACAGTCCACGTTCAAGAGAGTCGTCCATGCCAAAGACTTTGCGGTTATGCCTGATAGGAGCAGGACCAACGCGCGAAGAGCCAGCAGGTGTCGAGCTGCGTGATCGGCTGCGTTGGCGGACATTAACAGCATCCAGCTCGTCATCGTTCATCATTTGGCCCAACTCTCCCAGTACCTGCGTTGGCTTGCGGCTGCTCCGACCACGGTATCGTTCTTCAGCGCGATCGTTGGCAAGAAGTTTCTCGAATGTCTCGATGCCTTTGCCGCCTTCAATCAGGTGCGTAACGTCGATCTGACAGCCGAGAAAGTAGCGCACGTGGCCTTTGTTATCGTACAGCGGTGCGATCATGAGGAGGTTCATGAAGGGTATGCCATCTCGTCGGCTTCGAACAGGTCAGCGAAAACATTGTGAAGTCAAGCAGCAGAATCAAAGTTCAGACTCACTAATTCAGAATCGTTTCGGTGATCTCCTGGCCCGCTCTCAAAGCTTCTATCAATCGATGTACAGTGGCGGAAGATGATTTTGGACCTTGCAAGAAACGGCAGTTACGGCCAATCACGAAATCCTTCTGATAACCTCCTATGTCGTAGAAGGCTGTATAAAGTCAGTAACGTGAATCCAAGGAAGAGTTGTGGGGTGAAACGACCTTCAGAGGCATAGACAATGGGGTTGTCGGGTAGCGAGGGGTCGCTGATGCAGTATACCTCGGCCAGAGAAGGAATGAGATTACGTAGGACTGGCGCGATATTACCGGTGATCTCTTTGACGAGACTGTCAGTCACAAGCTGTACAAGGCGGTGCGTGAGGTAGGCAGGCAGAGCATCATCCACCAGCTCCTGCACTACCATATGTGATCGTTCTTCAAAGCTCTTTTCCACGGTAGCTGCAGGCCTCGGTATGTCGCCAGTCAGAGAAGGTAGACTGTCCGCAAGAGAGTTGGCATATTCTATAGCAGCAACAGCCTTTTGCGTGTCGACATAACTGTCGAGGGAAGGCAGAGTATATGGCCTGTACTGAGTGAGGAAGCGATGAAAGCGGGTGGATGCTTGATGGTCGCGAAGAATAACGTTTAGGTGGTCGACGGAGAAGAAGCGCATGCCAATTTGTTCCATGTTCGAGTGCGAGACGGTGGGCGGAGGAGGTTTGAGGTCGTAGTATTCGTGGTCGTCGGTGGATCCAGAGTTGGGCGCTGTCGTAGGTTCGGTGTGATATTCCTCCTGCGTTTCTTCGACGGGATCGAAAATTGATGGTTGAATTGGCGAGATTGAACCCGCGCGTGTTGAAGGCATGTCTGGAAGTTCTGGCGGAGGGTCAAATGCAGCAGCGACGCTCGACGGTTGTTGCACCTTCCTGGGTAGAATGTTGGTCGCACTGAATGAGGATTCTATGCCTGGCGACTTCCTTCCGCTTCTGAAAATCGAAGGGAGGTTTCGCTTCGACAGCCGTCGATGTGGATTGCTGCTGTCTTGCATTTTCTATACTCAAGGAATATCGCTTGCACAGTATAAAGGTTGGTCAGGCAGCGTTGAAAGAAGACCTTGGAAGACTTGATCCTAGAGATCGACCCGGACTATGTGTATCCGAGCCTTCCTGTAAAAGCCAAGAAGAGTAAAGAGAGCTGGTGAACCTACGATACAGCCATTGGGGTTTGGACACGGGAAAAAAGTGTCATGGTTGCTTCCTATCTTTTATGCTCAGCGGCTCGCTCGCGAAAGACGACCTGCCACAAGATGAGAGCTGCAGTAGGTACGACATGATGCAAGATACAAGCATGGGTCCTGTCAGCGTGGCTGCAGAAGACGGACTGTCGTGCAAAAACCTATGGGGAACCCGAGTGGACAAACGTCATGATTCTGCAGGGCATCTTTGACAGTAGCGCGATTCTATTCCGCTTTCTCCGATCGCATTCTGGACCGATAAAGGCTAGAGCCCTATGACTGTGACTATTGCTATCTTTTTGGTCGGCAGCCATCAAGTTTGTGCTGGTGTTGGAAAGAGGTTTCGTATCTGTACGAAGGATCAATCGTGGAGGAGACGAGACGATCTTTGAAACTTTGATCTGCCAGCGTATCGAGCGTGCATGTTCGATTCTGCACCTCGACCAAACAGAATGTTGATCAAACCGGCCGATTCTCCGAACGCGATCTTCAAAACATGCGAGAAGAGCAAAGTTGTATGCACTCCATGCGATGCTTCTCGTCGTCTCGCAACATGGCTTTCTCCATGCCGAGGCACAAAGACATTACAAGCTGATGGAATGCACAAATGTGTTCTAGAGTTCAGGCTTGAGCATCGAGATAACCTTGAATCAAGTGTCTCTGTGAATAGCATTCTGCAAAAAGATTGTGCATTCCCAGAGCTTCTCGCTGACAGTTTGAGCACACGGAGAGGTTGCGAACGCGGATTAAAGCAGTCGCCCAGCTGCGATATCAGCAGATAAGAGTATTATATGAAGGAGCGCACCTGATCAAAAGTCGCTACCAATAATAGCTAGCTGAAATGAGACACCGCATTATAGGCGCAAAATTAGCCGTGAGTCGTGACAGATTTCAAGCTTGTATAACAACATCAGAGAGACGAAAATTGACTTATTATCTCACAAACGCGACAAAGATGCCTCTGGAAATACGACAAGTCGACAAGGGAGACATTCCCATCATCGCTAGAATGGACCGCATCATCATGAAAGATGTTGGTATCTCCAACGCCATCTGGAGGATTCAAGAAGCTGAAGGCATTGATATCACATATTCATTCGAGCGTTTCATCTCAAATGGCATGGAGCACCATGCAGAAACATTCTGGAAGGTTGTTGACACTGACATCAATGAAATGATTTCGGTCGCAAAATTCTCGTTCCAATATCATGAAGGCGAGGCATACCAGGATACTCCTGTGGAAGGCGAGGAACCTCCACCAAAGAAGCTGCTCGAGTTTTTCACATGGCTTAACAAGAAGTCGAATGAGTTCGCGCAAGAGAATTTTGCGGGCAGACCGCATGCGCGTACGTGAATGATTCATGTCAAGAGGAGAGAGTCAGGCAGGCAACTAATCTATAGGAGTTACAGATCTCGCATATCTCGCAACACATCCATCACACCGAAAGCGTGGAGCAGCACACATGTTGCTTGAGAAAGGTACTCAAAAAGCCGACGAGGCAGGACTGGACATGTACCTTCAAGCGTCTCTGATGGGAGCGAAGTTATACAAGAAATTTGGATTCGAGGTTGTGTCGATCGAAGAGATTGACTTGAGTCAGTATGGAATAGACAAGGTGGAATCACGAACGTACATGGAGAGAAAGACTAGAGCAGTTCGTCAATAAAGTGTATGCGAGCTGGCCGTTGGTGGGCCATCGTATATATGCAACGGCCGTGTATAGGAACAGGTACCCGGTTTATCACAAACACTTTCTGTAGAGTATCTGCATTTTCTACATATCACAGGAGAGCGATACAGAATAGTCAGAGCGATATGGATGATTGACAGGGGTCGAAATTCATGATTTCCGAGATGAGGCTCCAGCTCTTCTGATTGGATCTGTCTCCCACGGACCACATGTCTTGAAGCTTTCTCCAGAAAGTTTCATGGGCGGGTCTGGGCGGGCGGACTCTTTTTGGCAACGGCAATGGTTTGGGCGGTTTCGCGGCCGGCCCCCAGGATGTGTCTTTGGAGGCTGGAGCGGCTGGGCCTTTTGATGGAAACAAAACTCTAGCTGGGCGCTGCACTCGATCGGCCGTCGTGCATGGTGGACCCAAGGACGTCAGACAGCGACAAGGAAGGTGCATATGCATGAGCGGCCATGTATCTCCACACAAACAAAACAACAATGAATGTGCAGAGCACGCATGAAAAGCCGCTACCGGCACCGCCGTCGCCAACTCTCACAAACCCGGACATGGTGCTGCCAAACACGTTCGTGCTGGATGTGGTAGACGAGTCGGGGCACGAGACTGAAGTGCCGCCGTCGCCGTCGTACCTGCAGGCGCAAACGACCAAGACGCTGGGGAACAAGAGGAAGTCGCGACCGAGTCTCCGAGCTCCGTCGCAATCGCCGCTGCACAGCTCTGGTTCCTCGCCAACCCTCAATGTCGACAATCAACCATGGGACGACCGACGACTGAGTTATGCCGCCAGCAGCATCCTCACAGACGACCTTGAGCACATGCAAATCCCCAGATTCGAGTCGAGCTTGGACTCGGATACCGAGACGCTGGACGAGGACGACTTTGACATTGACACGCCCAGCGAGTTGTCCTACGGCGACCTTCTGAAGACGGAGCAGTCCAATGTCACCCTCATGCGCGCCGAGCTCATTCTCGCCAATGCAAAGAAGCGCCTCAATGTATGTCCACAACGCACCTGAGGCTGTACCGCATAAGCTGACATGCCACAGGCCATGGACCAGAACCTACGAGGAGCCCGCGAGATTGTCACTCCCCTGACAGCTGCCAACCTCAAGCGCGCCACCTCTCTCACCACCGGTCCCGTACGCAACACCTCCTTCTCGCGCCCTCGCTACCTTCCGCACAACCCTCACACCTCCAATGCCCAGCACATGCGTGTGCTCAGCGACTCGGATGTCCAACAACCTGAAGAGCGCCGCTACATGTCCTTGAACATCAACTCGTCTCCCTCATGGACGAACAACCCTGTCCGCCCGTCTCGCAGCTCCGAGCTATTGCGCTACCCTCGCAGCCCGCTGAGCCCTGATCCCCAGCTCGACACAGTCTCCGAAGAGCAGAGCGTACGAAGTCAGACATCGGCACACAACTTGCGCGAGCAGATGATGCAACTGAGAGGCAGAATCTCCACACTGAAAGAGAGGGCACAAGAGGAGAACATGAGGAGAAGGAGCACGCAGAACTTGCGAGAGACCTGTCCTTTCAACGATGCCGAAACCTCTCCCGTCATCGCAGACTCGCCCAGACCGAGACTCGTCCACATCACAAAGGCAAGCAACGTTCCAGGTGCTTGGGTGTCTGCCGAGACTATTGACGACGATGATGATCACGACTTTGTACCAGAGCAAGAGGTGGTATATGAGGAAGATGAAGACGACGACAACTACACACTCCCGCACTCGGACTCAGGCAGCACAGATCGCACCTCTACGCCGACCACAACAACAACCGACCACTCGAATTCTACAAGCCTCTACGAGGATGCGCCTGAATCGTCTCCATTTGTGTCCGGCCCCCGTCATGAAGATCGCGATGACGCCTTTGACTACTCCAAGTTCTTCCTTCATTCTGCGACGGGCAGTTTCGAGCCCAATACCCCTACCCGCCCCGCCCGCAGCACTTCACTGAGCTCTTCCGACTCCTGCTTGACCGCTCGCGCGTACTCTGTCCACCAAGATATACCTACCACGGGTGCCGAAGACAACCAAGAATCACAACCTCCGCCAACCCCTGAAACGCCAGAAGCACTGCGCCATATCGAAGAAGTCACACTCCCCTCCCGTATGCAGCACCGACGAGGTCTGTCAGCCGAGTCTCTTGCTACGATTGCTACCTTTGAGACTGCCGACGAAGGCCATCAAGCCTCCATCGCTCAATGGCTTTCCCGCTCCACTTCTGCGGGTTCCATCCACACCGATCTGACGAAACCGCCCAGTCGAAGTCGAAGCCATCCGTCCATTCAAGCAGCTCTTCCAAGTCCTGCCCTGCCACCCACCTACACTCCAGCCTCTGCACAACAGGGCCAACAATACATCTCCATCTCTCCTTCTGCCACCACTATGGCTGTTGCCGCTCTACTTGATCCTGCCAAAGGGCAGAGCTTGGGTAGTAAAGATGAAGCTCTGGTCTACACTCTGGTCGAGAGCTTGCGAGAGGTGGTCGGAGAATTGCAGCTTGGTGCTGGAGGTGAAGAGAGGAGAAGGTGGCTGAGGCGACGCCTTGATGAAGCAAGGAGAGTTCTTGAGGGAGAAGATCTCGAGAAATGAGGTGCAATTTTCTGCTAGGGATCGCTCTTTTCGATGTGGTTTGCCATTTATTTTCGTTCTGTTGGCATTGCTTATTTTTTGACATTTTCTTCGGCTTTTCGAGCTTGTTTTCGAATCTTCTTGATCATCTTCATTCTTATACCTGTTTCGATACCCTTTTTATATATTGTTCCATACACTGGTAGCTTTCCATCATTTTATCCTTCGCTCTGCCGCTTCAAACGTGTGCCTTCGCTTTTTCTTTGAACCGCAGAGTACGATTGAGTTGAGTAATGCATAGAAGGTGTACTACATGTTGCTTGAGTGATCATTTCTCCAATCCGAGTGTACGTTGTTCTACGCTGTGGAAAATGCACAGTTGCGATTCATATGCGAGTCTGGCCACAGAGATAGCCTTGGATGAGTTTTCTCCGTGGGCTTCGTATCTTTCTATAAAAGTATTGTGCATATCTATGGTTATACTGTGGCACGTTTTCTCACCTGGAGAGCTGGGAAGGGAGTGCAAGGTCAAAGCCAACCTTGCGAAGGACCCTTTCTCCATCCCGAGTATACGTATCTATACACTACAGAAATGCAGAGTCGTAAATCAAACGTGAGTCTGGCCACAGACACAGTGTTTCTTGGGTGCTGTCTGTGGAAGCCATGTTCTTTTACGAAGATATTGTGCATTTCTGCAGCTGCGCTGTAACAGTCTCTCTCACAGGAGAGACATGGACAAAGAAACGGGGTATTGAGACCCTTGATGGTCTGGAAGATGAACAACTCAGTATCCCGCCCCTGACACGGGCATCGACAGCAACATCGATCCCGTTGTCGATGATTACAACGATCCGCCTTCGGGCAATCAAGTCCAGCCATCGGGCAGTCAAGACCCGCCCTCGGGCAACAGAAGAGACCCTGCCAGAGTTGCAGGTGCTGTCCATCGCCGAAACAACAGCGAAGACGAAGAAGAAGACGAGCGCCCTCACACTCGCGCAAGACTCTTTCGGCCTCCGTCTGACAAGTCTCGTCGCAGGCACAGCGTTTGAGAAGCGCTCTCTGTGGAGACCATGATCTTTCGCGATGATATTGTGCATTTTTGCAGCTATGCTTTGACAGTAGCCATCACGAGAGAGGCAGTATATGTGATGGAGGATTACAATATGAATTGGTTCCTGGTGAAGCAAGTCTTTTGATGTAGTGTCTGTCAGCAACTTATTGATTCCCTGATGTCGTCCACGATCCAGCTTTCGTACTGGTCGTTTGTCATAAAATGATGAAAGGTTCCATATTTCTCCTTGTGGAAGCAATCATGATAGTCAGAGCATATTTCATCACTGAATTCGATGCATTGATGGCTCATTTCGACTCCGTACTTGCTCGACGGGATCTGAGTTTCTGATTCACCAAGAATCGCAATGGTGATGTCAAGGATTGGATCGAGTTGCGGCCAGAACATATCTTTCCATCGAATCCTGGAAGATGATTGCTCAGATCGAAGTGAATTTGTTTGACTGTAAAGCTCGTACGTCCGATCGTGCTGGGTTGCTTACATTTGATTCCGCCAAGGTTGTTCGGAGGGGTGGCTTTGCTTCATCAGTGTGATCATTCGTCGGATTCTCTACGCTTCCCCTTTTCGTGCGGATTGGGGCATAGGGATCCGGAGTACAAGCTAAATATTGACCTTGTGGTCAGAATGGCTTGTTCATAGTGCGATGTGCCTGGCCTGCAAATGGACAGTTGAGGTAACGTTAGGGCCCGTATCTGCCGATGAAGGATTTAAGGTTCACCAGCAAGAGCTGAAAATGCCGAAGGTTCGTGAATTCCGTTTCCCATTTGCGCACGTCACCTCAGTCGCGTTCGATGAACACGACTCTCTCGACGAGTGATTGATCCTTCTGCAAGACTACACTCAGCGCCATGAGTTGACCGAGATTGATTTTGTAGCCATTTGTGGCCGTGTTGCACATCATACTCTTGCTATCAAGGGAATCCCATCAGATGTCTATAGTTTGTCGTACTCGGCAATGATGCCTCCTGTACAACATATCGTTCGACAGCTCGCCGTTACAAAACGTCCTAGACATACCGTATTGTTCAGCAACAGCCTCAGCTCTCTCGTTGCTACACCATTGTTAGCCTTCTGTATCCCTACTCCTTGAAACAATCTCCACGAAGACAGCTGAAGAATCAATGCAATTATACCGTTCTATGAACCATCGTATATCATGCTGGGCACACTCCTTGTTGGGAGAATGGTGGTTTCTTGAGAGCAATATATAAAGTATAAGCTGCGTCTTCTTCTTTGCTCCACAAGTCAAGGAGATTTTGACAGGCAATTCAGGAGCCCCTCGCCCTCCTCCCACACTCGTTTCGTCGTTCGTCGTTCTTTATACTAATATGACTCGTTCTTTGCTTGCTCTTGGCCTTCTGGGCCCTGCTGCACTTGTGGCAGCTTCTCCTGGCTCTGTCCAGACCTTCACTATCACAAGCACATCTTGGTCGACTATCACAGCGTGTCCCACGGCCGTTGTCTCTCTTTGTGCTGCTTCTTGCAACGCTTCACCCTACACTTTAGGTGTCGATGTCAAATATGGCGGCAACGACAACGCTGTCGCTGCCACAGCCACTGTTAGTCGTTCTGCTGTGCCCAATCCCAGTCAGGCATTGAGCAATGGCTCTGGCTCTGGCTCTGGCTCCGGCTCTGGCTCCGGCTCTGGCTCCAGCTCTGGATCTGGTAGCGGATCTGTCAACGGCTCTGGCAGTGGGTCTGGCAGTCCTCAGGGCTCTGCCAATGGCTCTAGCAATTCTCAAGGTTCGAACAATGAGCAAGGTACAATCACTGTCGTCGACGGAAAGACTGTCACCATCTACGAAGGTTCTACCTCCGTCTTGACCGCTGGAGCTGTCTACACCACGGACGTCGTATACCCCTCCAGCGTTTCGTGTAGCGCGGGGGAGACTGTCATTGTCTCTGGAGAGACTATCGTGGCCACCCAAGCTACTACTATTTATGATTGTCCTTGCACCAAAGCTCGAACTCTGACCGTCGGTGGAAGCTACACCACCAGTGACATCTACCCTGAGTCTATGAGTTGCTCCGGAGGTGAGACAGTTGTAATCGAGGGGTCTACAGTAGTTGTACCTGGACCGACCGTCATTACCAACTGCCCTTGCACTAAGCCTACTACGATCTTTGTTCCTGGAGCCACCACGACTCTCGCTGGCACCACAATCACTGAGAACACTGCTGCATCTTCCACTGGAAGCGTTGCAGCATCATCCGCTGCTTCTATTTCTGGCTCAGCTGCCATCACTAGCGGTGCCCTCAGCTCTTCGTCTGGGTCAGTCGCATCTGGCTCTTCCTCTGCTGCCGTCAGTGGTAGTGCCACCTCGGCAATCAACCCTCCAGGCACATCTTCTGCTGCTACCTCATACCAGACCGCTACTGATGGCATCAACTTCTTGGTTCAGAAGGGCTTGAACTACAACGGTACTCCTCTCAGCATCAATGCCAAGAGACAAGCTGTCAACACACTCTCGACCTGTCTGAACGCCTGCGCTGGCTCGTCCCTCTGCGTGGCGACTTCGTTCAACACTGATACATCCGCCTGCTCGTACTTCAGTGACATTGACCAGAGCAGTCGACACGCTCAAAGCGAGATCGTTTTCGCTATCGCCACCTCCCGACTTGCTGTCCAGTCTTCTTCGACCGCATCTTCAGGCTCAGCAAGCAGTGACATTAGTGGCGCAGCCTCGACATCTGGAGCTACAAACGTTTCATCCGGCTCCTCATCTACGGTGATTGGATCTTCCACTGAGAGTGCCAGCATGAGCACATCTTCTATTGCTTCGCAGTCCGGCTCTTCCATGTCTCAGACGGCATCGCAATCAGGCTCGACCGTCTCTCCCGCATCTCAATCGGGCTCGGCAACTTCTGCATCTCAATCAGGCTCGACTGTGTCTTCCGCGTCTCAATCAGGCTCAGCTGTTCCTTCTGCATCCCAGTCAGGCTCGGCAGTCTCTTCTGCATCATCTACATCGCAATCCAGCCTCAGCTCTTCCGCCGCTGCCTCATCTTCCCAAGGTTCCGGCACCTCGTCCCAGTCCACTGCAAGCTCTGATACCTCCGCTCTTTCATCTCTTAGCTCCAAAACTCAGTCGGCCTCAGGCACTTCGACCCAGTCGGTCTCAGATACCTCGTCCTCGGTCCAGTCATCTTCTGCAACCTCAACTGAATCTGTCTCCTCGGGCTCAAGCTCTTCAGCAGCCATCACTTCGGCTCCAAGTGCCAGTATCAGCGCTGCTAGTTCCAGCACTGGCTCGGGATCGTCCAATGGTACAACAGCTGCAGCAGCACCTACAACAGCGCCTTCCCTAGAGGTTTCTAACGAGCCTCTTCCATCTTGCGCTGACTCCAGCGCGAATGCAAGCCAGCAATGCTCAAGCGACTCAGGCACCGTCTATGCTGTCACTGGAGGCTCTGCATACACGGGTCAGACTTTCGATACTTCCAGCATTACCCTCGATGATGACGGCAATGAGATTACCGGAAGCAAGTTGAAGAAGCGTGCTTTTGCACCATCCCTTCGCGCTTGTCTCAGATTCTGTGATCGTTACTCCGGATGCAAGGGTGCCAACTTCTTCAGTGGCGGCCAGTGTACCATTTTCAGCATCATCACTGGCACTACCCGTAACCCCAATGCCTTTGCTGCTATCTTCGTTGCTACCGCTCAACAAGCTGCCGCTTCGAGCTCTCAGTACAGCGTTACTGCAACCATGACCTCGTCCTCTGCTTCTTCATCTGCTGCACCTACCTCTGCTAGCATTACATCTTCCTCCGCTGGAGCATCTTCATCGTCTGCAACTGCGTTAATGACCTCGTCCAGCGCATCGCTTTCATCAAGCGCTTTTGTCTCGTCGTCAGTTGTTGTTGGCTCTTCCGTCTCGTCTTTCTCAAGCTCAGCCACTTCCTCCGTCGTTGGTTCCGCCAGCTCATTGCCACCCGCATCAGGAAACAGCACCACAAGTCTTGGCAGTTCTACTGGCTCTTCTCTCTTGAGCACCTCGGCCATCTTCCCTACTGGCAATGCAACTAGCACTTCCGGACCAACTGCATCAGCGGGTATGACTACATCGTCTGCTTTCGGCTCTTCTAGCTCTGCAGCTTCTCTCTCGAGCAACAGAACCATGACCACTCCCTCTGTTGAGAGCTCATCTAGCTCTGCTGTCTTCACAACGGGCAACAGTACCACCATATCTACTGGTACTGGCGCTTCCAGCACTGCCGAACCCTCGTCTATTTTCTCCGCTAGCAATTCTACTACCTCATCAATCCCATACACCACTTCCAGCAGTGCTCCATTCTCTAGCAGCAATACGACATCTTCTGTAGTAGTGTCTACCGGTGGTATGACAGCTTCCTCTCTCCTCAGCTCATCCTCTGCGATCTACACCATGGGCAATTCTACTACCACTGCCTCGGCTGGACCAACTGCCTCAGGTGCTTCAGCCACATCCTCCTCCAGCCCCAGTGCTTTCTATACGATGGGTAACAGCACAGCTACAACTGGACCTACTGGCACTGGGTCACTCAGCTCAGCTACTCTTTCTAGCTCATTGAGCAGCACAATGTCTGTCATGAGCAACAGCACGTCATCCGCTCAGCAATCAAGCACCATTCCATCCGTGTCAAGTTCATCCAGCAGCGCACCCTTCCAAATGACCAACTCGACCAGCACTTCTTTGTCAAGCTCTCGACCTTCATCTGGCCTTCAGGAAGCATCTTTCAACTCGACTATGAGGCGTCGCGCCAACCTCGGTTTTTTCCACGCTCAAGGTGCCAAATAGAGGAAGAAAATACCTGAGCCACTCTCTTATCTTCGTTTATCTTCTTCTGACCCCTAATGTAATAGTCTGATTATTTTTCTTCTTCAATCAAGCTTTTTGGCAATTAGTTTCTGTTGATTTTGTAGCTCCAATCGTTCTCAATCAAGTATGCGGTTAGCTCACGAGTCCTGTGTCCGAATGCCAAGCTGTCATTGATCGAGCGGCAGGTTTTGCCGACATGTCGCAATCTTTCCGACACGCGACACGAAGCACCAATCTGCTTGAGACAACAACGCGATCATCTCTATCGAAACCCTTTTTCACATACTCGATGACTTTTGTTTCACATGAGGATGCAGACTGGGGTTGAGTAATAGACTGATGTTTGAGGAATTGTTGTGCTGTATGATGACAGCTGTCGGTTCTCACATGGGAGGCTCCACGAAGCCGCGCTTCAATCATGCTTCATCAAAGACGACATGCATGTCAAGGTGAAATCAATTCCTCTCCGATGCTAAAGTCTGTAACACGTGTAGCTGTGAGGATGCAGGATACTCCAGGAAGCCCGATAGTGCCCACCGAGATTCGACAACTTATCGTCTCTTAGTGAACACGCCTCTGCTTCTGAAGAAATCGTGCCTTTCTATAGTATGTAGTCTACCCTTTGCCGGACTCGAGAGAAGTTATGAGCACAGCCTTATCGCATGCCCCAATCTCGAAGCTGACCTACCGACAGAGCGTAATAACTAACCACGAAACAATATCACGCATTATTCAGCAAGGCGTATCGCCAATACAACGGTCGGAAAGTGGCCACTGGAAAAGGGCCGTCTAGAATCTCCATTCTGCTTCACACATGCCCTGCTGCACCCACGTGCGACACCAAGAAATATTGGATATCAGCCATCTCTCGGTCGTCCTCGGCTTGTTCGAATCAAAATGGTACAACAGCGCGAGGTTGACGGCAGGGGGGCGGAGTAGAGGCGCTGTGCCCAGCCTTGGCAGGCAGCGTGAACCTACGAAGATGGTGAGCCAAGAACCAGAGAAGACCACGGTCAAGACAATCGTGTCCTTGGCCAACAGAGATCTCGTTCCTTCAGACCAACACGTGTTTCGATGCTTGAACCTCATTGTTCTGACCATCTCACTCTGCCAAGGAGTTTCGATGACATTCGCGAAGCGTTGCAATGTGAGGTAGGTTATCACTCAAGGGTCGAATTGGTTTTTGCAGTGGCAGTGTAGGCAAAAGGTCAGTCTTGGAGATTGTTCATAAGCACTCGAGGGACAAGGGACCATTTCTCTTGTCTTTGTTTCTATTCATTATCCTGCATCTTCACTTTTCTACCAAGTGTCGAAGTCTCAAGCTTGGCAATCTTCTCTGTCCTGCAGAAACAGAATTTCGTCAAGATGCCAGTTCTTCACGAATACACTTACATCTTTGCCATTGGCACATTCTTTGCTCTTCTCGAAGCATACAACAATGGTGCCAACGATGTCGCCAACGCCTGGGCTACCAGTGTATCATCAAGATCGGTCAGCTACCGACAGGCTATGTTGCTCTGCCTTGTGTTCGAGTTGACGGGCGCCCTTGCAGTAGGAGCTAGGACGGCATCCACGATCAAAAATGGAATCATACCCTTAGACGCGTTTAAGGGCAACGCTCCAGTTCAACTCCTTGCCTTCACTTGTGCCGCCGCAGGTGCCTCTATCTGGGTCATGTGGTGCACACGACACAACGCCCATGTTTCATCGACATACTCTCTTGTTTCTTCCATTGCTGGTGTTGGTGTCGCTACTGTCGGTATCAAGGGTGTTCAGTGGGGTTGGAATAGTATGTGCCACTTGTCACTCTATGTATTGGACGCAAGCTGACGATGTTTGTAGATGGTTCAGGTCTCGGTGCCATTTTCGCTGGTCTCGTCATGGCTCCCACAATCTCCGCAGTCTTCGGCGCTACCATCTTCATGCTCGTCAAGACCACCGTCCACATGAGAAGTAACCCCGTTCCTTGGGCTGTTTACACCTCGCCCTTCTTCTTCCTCATCGCCGGCACTATTTGTACCCTTTCCATCGTCTACAAGGGCTCTCCGAAGCTCGGTCTGTCCAAGAAACCTGGCTACTGGATCGCCGGTGTCTCTGTCGGTTCTGGTGTCGCTCTTGCCGTGTTGGCCGCCCTCTTTTTCGTTCCCTACGTCAACCAGCGTGTCATTCGCAGAGACTACACCTTGAAGTGGTACCACGTCTTCATGGGACCCCTCCTCTTCTCTCGGCAGGCTCCTGCTGATGCCGAATTTGCCATGGTTCCTGACTACGCCGTCATTCATCACGAGGAGCATGAAGGCAAGGCCAAGACCTCGGCTCCCCCTTCGATCGAGATGACTGGCAAGGTCGGTGAGTCCGAGGTTTCCACCGGTGAGCTTCGTCGCAGATCTATTCACGGCTCTGATGGCATTGAGAGCGCTGCCTCCTCGCCTGAGATCACTCCTCAACGCAGAAACAGCATCACCAACGAGAACCCCAGAGAAGCCTACGCCCGCCTTCTCAAGGAAGCTCGCGACCAACACCATGCCGATCTACGTCAAGAACGTGGCCCTCTTGGTTGGGCCATGCGTACTGTCCACGAAAATCAACTCGGTGCCGGCTCCATCTACGAACTTCACAACATTAAGGCTATTCTGAAGTGCATCCCTGCTGGTATTGTCATCGCTCTCATGTACGGTATCTATTACGACATCCACAAGGCTCAGGTCGGTGTTCTCGGTACTCCTGAGGGCAGGCGCATGGCTCGTGTCTACGCTCATGCTCCCCGCTACCCTAACGAGGTCGAATACTTGTACTCTTTCGTCCAAGTCATCACTGCCTGCACCGCTTCCTTCGCGCACGGTGCCAACGATGTTGGTAATGCTGTCGGTGTTTGGGCCGCCATGTACGCTGCTTGGTCTACTGGTTCCTCCGTCAAAGCGAAGGAAGCAGTGCCTCTCTGGCAGATCGCAGTCATGGCGCTTACGATCTGTATTGGATTCATTACTTACGGTTATAACATCATGAAGGGTGAGTTGAGGATTTTTTTGCATTTTTGTTTATCTTTACCCCCGTTGCATGTCCTTCCCTTTTTAGTTCTACCTTGCATGCTCTTCTAAACACTCTTGAGTCTGTCTATGCATAACTAAATGCCTTGTTGTCATACTGAGTCGAACGATCTTGACTAACAATTTTCGCAGTCATGGGCAACAAGATCACCTACCACTCTCCCTCTCGTGGATCTTCCATGGAACTTGGCGCTTCCATCACGATTCTTATCTTCTCGCAATACAAGCTGCCCGTTTCAACCTCGATGTGCATCACAGGTTCGTCATTTACGCCTTTGCCATAATGATGAGAATACTGACAAAGACCCAAGGCGCCACTGTTGGTGTTGGACTCTGTAATGGCACCTGGCGTGCTGTTAATTGGTCTAGAGTAGGACTGTTGGTGTTCTCGTAAGTCTTCCACATCTATACCCGAATTCTCGGTCTCCATTACCCCCTCTACACTATTTCCCTACATACATTCGAACAGGGACTAATCCATATCCCAGTTGGTTCATGACTATACCAATCGCTGGACTAATTGGAGGTCTCATCATGGCTATTACTCTTAATGCTCCTAGTTTCTAGACGGCTGGATGGGTGGTATGGGCCTCGAGGGGGAGAATCGGGATTTTTGTACGAAACTTGTACATGCTTTCACCATGTTCTGCGGCTTGTGTCCTACATTTGCTAGAGTCTGCTTGAGCTATTCTCGCTGTTCATATTTTCTATCCAATGATGATACACGAAAGTCGTTATGATTTCTGCCTTCTGGTTCCGCTACAGTTCAAACAGTGACACGCGAAGCCCACGTGCAACCTCTTTGTCGTGCTCTCTCGCCTTCATTTGCTGCTTGTTGATTTACTGCTGTTCATCAGATGGATTGCCAATGCTTGCGAGTCCCAAGACGACAACAATCGTGACCTGGACCTGACCTGTACCTGGTCTGGTGGAGAGGTCGCTCTGCCGAACGAAGACCGAAGAAAAGCTTCCTCCACGTCACGAACAGTGATTACAGCACTTAGCCCTGACATGCTGCGTATCTAAACGAGCAATAGTTCTTTAGTGGATACCCAGCGAGATCCGGTCCGGCCGAATCCGACTCAAGTTGCCCTGAACGCTGCGGCTCTGATGTGGGGAAGCAGATAAGGTTATTTGATTGCGCACAGGATGCGTCGATCTACGGGCGCCTCGGAAAACAAACAGCGTCATCGTCCATGTCATTGTCGATATCGAAAAAACAACGAATGGGTCAACAAGTATAAGTCGTGTCGCAGTCACAAATCTCTCGTCGTTATCCTTCTTTCAACGATTGTCATCGCAATTCTTTCGACTTTTCCGTAAACTCCGCCTCCCACAACCCCCACCTTTTCATCAACTGTTCACCATGGGTTACCCAGAAACCGCAACTGGATTCGTCATCAAGGATCCCAAGCAGTATGATTTAGCAGCTTGAGAAGCATAACACTCATTGACTGGATTTGCAGATGGCAGACTTTCCACAAGGAAGAATTCAAGCTCAAGACATTCAAGGAAGATGATGTTGACATCGCAATCGACGCCTGTGGTGTTTGTGGTTCCGACGTTCACTGTAAGGAGTTTGCTACGAATGAGCGGACAATCGCTGACGCAAGTAGCTATCACCGGCGGCTGGGGCGAAACTCCTCTCCCTCTCTGTGTCGGACACGAGATCATCGGTAGGTTGCGCGACTTCACCAACACCTCATTTCCCACTCCACACACCCGGAACTACTGCTACGCGCAAGCCTCGACTTCGTGTCGCTTCATGCGACTACTTCTGCATCGCAAACAGAACTCTCTGCAGAACGTTGGCTGACTCCTCATCGAACAGGCCGTGCCGTCAAGGTTGGCAGCAAGGTCAAGGACATCAAGGTCGGCGACAGAGTCGGAGTTGGTGCACAGGTCGGAGCCGACCTGACTTGCGACAACTGCAAGGCCGACCAGGAGAACTACTGCCCCAACCAGTGAGTTCAGTCCAGCCTATCGAGGCGCCGCATGACTGACGACTATTCCCAGGATCGATACCTATGGTGCCAAGTTTGACGACGGCATTGTCTCTCAAGGTGGCTTTTCATCCCACATCCGCGTACAGGAATATTTTGTCTTCAAGATCCCCGAGAACCTCGACACCGCCATTGCAGCACCTATGCTGTGCGCTGGATTGACAACATACTCCCCTCTCGTCCGTCTCGGTGCCGGCCCTGGCAAGAAGGTTGGCATTGTTGGTATCGGTGGACTCGGTCACTTCGCTCTGATGTGGGCACATGCTCTTGGTGCAGAGGTCTTTGCCATTTCCCACACCAAGGAAAAGGAAGCAGACGCAAAGAAGCTCGGAGCCGACCACTTCATTTACTCTGGAGAAAAGGACTGGGCCAAGCCGTATGCCTTCAAGTTTGACTTCATTCTCAACTGTGAGTTTCCTTCTCCTCTGAATCCAAGCTCATACTGACCATACGCAGGCTCCGATATGACCCAAGAATTCGACATGTCTGCCTACCTCAGCACTCTCAAGGTTATGGGCCGCTTCCACAACGTTGGTCTTCCCGACTACGACCTCCCTGCCATGAAGGCGCAAGACTTTGCTCCCAACGGATCCTACATCGGTGCCAGTCACATTGGCAACCACCCCGAGATGGTCGCCATGCTTGAGCTTGCTTCGAAGCAAAACATCAAGTCATGGATCGAGACGATCCCCATTTCAGCTGAAGGCTGCGCCAAAGCTGTCACTGGTGTCAAGGAGAACAAGGTTCGCTACCGCTACACTCTGACCGGATTCGACGAGGCATTTGGCAAGCGCTACTAGTTGGATGGAAACGACTCAATGCTTGTATCTTGGATGACTTGGACTATTGTACATACTCTACGACTTTTATTGGACGATTCATGTAAACTATAATTATAGACTTCCTTTATTTTTTTTGTTGTCTTCTGCGCAGTAACATGGTGGCTTAGTCTGTGCCAGCAGCACTTCGGTGAATCAAGGCAATCAGAACGTTGATGGTCAAAGGGGATCTTGCTATTGATCGGCGAACGTCGCATGGGCTGAGAGACATGTTCAAAACAAAGCTCTCGATCGCCCTTTGTTGCTTTTGTCTAGCAATTGTGCATTCAGTCAGAGTTCTCGAGCTTTATTTCGATGCCTCTGACGCCTTTGTTCCCGACACAAACAAACAATGAGGCACAGCCAAATGGACACATTGGGCTCATGGATTGTACTGCCCATGAGAAAGATAAAAGTAGGTGCTTGCCATTGAGAGATCAGGGTCAGACCTCCATTACTGATACACAAACCAAATCGAGACTAACAACTGCAAATCATGAATTCATCTTCCCAGGTTGGTCGAACGCTGAATGCTTTTGCTGAATTTTTGGCCATCGCAGCATTGTCCAAGATCTTTTGGTGGATGCACATTCCGCAAAGATATCATCTGTCTTCGTGCGAGGTCTGTTTCTGCTTCAGACTCACGGTCCTTCTCCCATGCGAAGACTGTCGTTGGTGCATCAACTGCATCAATGCACAGTTCAACACTGCCAATCACGATCGCTCGTTCTGGCCGGCCAGATGCTGTAGCAATACTCCCATCTCTCTCGATCACGTTGAGGACCTCCTTACGACTGAAAACTTCAACATGTCACTCAGACGTGAGCGTGACTGGTCTGTAGGCCTCCGCCCGACTCTCTACTGCGCCCGTCCTTCTTGCTCCCAGCCACTGATGTCCATAAGTAATTCTGGGGAGAACATAACCTGCTCTGCATGCTCAAGTCAAACTTGCAAAACCTGCACTGGGCTTGCTCACGAAGGCTCTTGCCAGTTTGACGAAACGACTGAACTGGTTCTGAGTGCGCTAAACTACGGTACTTTCAAACGTTGTCCGCAGTGCAATGAGATGATTGAGCTGACCGAGGGCTGTAACCATATGACTTGTGTCACTTGTAGGTATGAGTTTTGCTGGCTTTGCTCCAGACGCTGGTGCGATTGTTTATCGACTTGTTAAGATTGACCCTCACCTTTCCTCCATGTTTCCATGCTTTGCTTCGCGGGATCGCTACTTCAACATCTCAGGCTACTCTCGAACAAACATTATTAGTTCCGGGTAAAATAGTCATCTCCAATCTGTATTTTTGCAATTATACGTTTCCGTCATAGATCTTTGTTTTGTTCTCTCGTCTCTGGGAAGAGTTCTGCCTGATTATAGCTATGAATATGCAAAAGATTGCTATGAAACAGAACTGCCTACTGTGGAGAGACAACCGATTGGGTCTCAATGGACATGGTCCGATTTTCCAAACTTCCTGTGCCTTTTCACAGTGAACGAACTGGGTTTCGCCAAAGTCGGGGCGCAGCTATATTTGCCGATCTTGAAGCCATGCTACGTGGTCGTTTGTGTTTCCCGCAGGCAGATCCATATGAGAAACAGAAAGATCTACAGTAAATACTCGGCAAAAGCAATGGCAACGGCTTGTAATGAGAGCATGCATAGACAGCGCGGAATTTCTGCTCAGGCAGAAAATGGGTCCAGTACCTCGAGATCAGCGGCGGAACATCTTGTTTAGGCAAGACGCCGCCACTGGGCCTGCCGAAGTCTTGACAATTTAAAGTTCATGCTCAACGTTGCTGCTCATAATGACCTAGAAACATTGTCTTAAGTACAGAAATTTCTCTATGATGCTTTGTTCTTGATCCATGCACTGGGCTACAAGATATCGTTTCCTCCGATCTTTTCACGAGAAACAGCCTCCAGTATCTAATATGCATCCATCGCGGCATCGTCGTCAATGGTCTACGTCGAAATCACATGCATATACCCCAGGGTCAACCAAGTAGGAGTCAGAGGTTGTCAAGGTCTTGAGATCATTTGTATCGGCAGCTGTGTTGATGTCCGATATCTCGAGTACAGATCCAACATTGGCTGGTGAGATTGCTTCAAGTGTTTGAGGATTTTGCTGCCACCAAGGTTGAGAAAAATTGAATCTGTCCCAATCTGCGATCTCCATACCTTCAGGTCTGGATGGAAAGTCGTTGGCGAGTGGTTGTGGAAACGACGAAAATTGATGAGGCTGAAGCTGCACTGATTGAGGTTGCCAAGGGTGAATTGCCATCTGGGTGTCGCAGGCACTTGAAACCAACTGTGGTTGGAAGCTTGTGCAATTTGGTAGCGCAGAGGATGACCCAAAGCATGGCTGCGACGCTATTGCAAAGCTCTGTTGCGAAGACTCTGGGCTACCGCTAATTGATGCTTCGTCGGTGTCGGTTCTTTGCTCGTCGGAGATGTCCCCGTCAATGCCGAGCTCCATCTCCATGCTTCTGTCACTCTCGGGATCAAGCAGACCAAGACGATTCAAGATATCATGGATGAATGGGTTGCCTTGACTTTCGGGAAGTCGTGTGCCAGGCCATGCGTTTGCTGCCAGGAGCATGAAGTACATAGTCTGCAGCCCAGCCACAAGCTTGAATTGTTGCAATTCCAAAGTTCGCACATAACTTCAATTGAATGTTAGAACGCTTCAGAATAGTGGATTGGGCAATGACACTTACTGTTCAGGAAATTCTTTTCTTTTGGATTTCTTGGGATATCCAAAAATGCACAGAGCATCCGAAGACTTGCATCTCGAACATGGATACCCTCCAGAACATCTTGCTTTCTTGACTCGACAACGATTGCAAGCTTTGCTAGCCCGCTGTTTGGAAATGTCTCCCAAGTCTTGTGTTTCGGTCTGCTTTGTGGGCGGCATTGTACTGAATTGTTTTTTTATGTTCTTGGATTTTTCTGCTCCATTCAGCCCCGGCACCAGAAGCATGCTATATAAGCCACGGCCAATGCACGAGGATCATCCTAAGCGCGCTCGTATGTAATGAATTTTCGACCGTGCATCACGTCAACGTCTGAGTCGTAATGATTTCGGGGTCGTCCATGCAGCTGGGGTCTGGAGAGGCTGAGGCCGTCGGCTCATGCTCGATTCAGGCTTAGTGCATCGCTTCAACATCAAGCTCTGCCTCAACTGAGCTTGTAACGTCGCTTGACATCTTTCTGCAGGCTGCAGCTCTTGGTCTTGCCCCGCCGGCGGCCCGTTGTTGGCGAATTGACTCGGCGGAGCAGAAGTTTAAAGCAACCTTCTTCTTCTCGTAATCAAGGTTCGCGAATTAGAAAATTCTGCGGCAAACGTGTGTTATCTGTTTGAGTAAGCGAGGCCATGAATTTGCCAATAAGAAAGTCGATATGTATGCATTTGCAGATGTTAAGCCCAGTCATTCGACCAGGATTGGTTTGGTTCAACAATTGGCGTTCATCTGCGTTTGGCGACACGACGAGATGATCGAGCATCGCCGGAGTTGCCGTGTGACCGAAGACTGGAGGCAACCAATGTAGTCGATATAAGCTCTGCTTTCTCTTCTGATCCAATGTGAATATTATTGTCTTTCGATACTGAGATGTCAAATCACACGACTTACCGGGATGCAAAGCTTGTAACCGATATGGAGCTTACCCTGACAAGCACACTCGGATACAATGACTCGATTGACACGACATTACCATTCTCGCTTACAACTATGGACAACTTTCCGTCAATTGAGACCGGTTTCTCCTCCATGCACCACATAGGCGAGCTCGGGACAGTTTCGAATACGTTCTTACCATCTCCCAACTCGATTCCCGAATCCTTACCAAATCCGCTGTCATCAACAAAAGCATTCTTGACTTCGCCTGATCCTTGGACTAAGCAAGATACATGTCGAACTACCGATTCGATTGTCTCGCAAAAAACTCAACAAGTCTCAGAATTCCGAACCAGAGGTCGGCCAAGAAAGGACCTGAGCAAAAAGGAAACCACGCAGCCTCCGAGCGACAATATCAACAAATATCGAGCAAAGAATCGAAGAGCCTCAGCCCGTTGCAGAGAAAAGGAACGATCTCAAGCAGCTGCTTTGGAAGAGGCTTTCCAGGAGCAGAACAGACGGAATATCGCCTTGAAGCAGACAACTGCAGCTTTGAGGGAAGAGCTTTTCTGTCTCCAGATGCAAGCACTACAACATGGTGATTGTTGCTGCAACGATGTTCAAGGTTATAATCAGCGTAGAGCGCAGGATATAGCAGTGGCTTGGGATTTGTAGCGACGTGCCTCATCGCTTCGACATTCAAAACGGTGTCTTTACAGAACTCTTTGCAACAAGCCTTATTATGCTATCCGGTAATAGACGTCAAGAGTAGGTTGGTCTCTCCTGCCTGTGTTCGATCGCATGTAGCTTTAAAAATGCACAAACCTACCAGAAAGCAAAACGTGCCTGCTGAGAAGCAGTAATCCATCGCCTCTCCATGGATGCGCCCTATCTCAAGATAATACTGTGCATACTGATAAATTGTAAGTCCACTCTAGCCCACACCGGGTTATATCACGCATAGTACAACAGATCTGAATCTAATGTACCGGCAATGGCTCTAGATCATCGAGCGTATACTTGCTACAGTCGATGGTAACTTCGCCGAGTCGCAAAGATCCTGGTTGATCGACTGTTTCTTGTGAAGAGAAGAAAGAGAGAAAGTTTAGCAGGAATGGAGAACCTGACACTTACTGTGCGTTCTTCAGATTCTGATTGGATCATTCTTATTTGTATCTACCGCCCATTCACCTGGTTTCTCTTTACAAGCACATATTCTCTTGACTTTCATCGCTTCCTCCTCTCTTTCCAGCTTTTAAGCCTAAGCAGTAGAGTCACTACGGTAGCTGGATGAACACTCCAGAATACCTTGAGCGATCTTTCGTTGCTCCAAAAGAGCTCACGGCCAGTACTGCCTAAGTAGACAACTTTGAGTAACATCGAAATTAGGTGAGCAACAATGACCTTAGGCTCGTCGCAATCTCCGGAAGAGCCAACAAAGTCCAACGTGTAGAAAAGTGTCATCAGCTTGCCATTTAAATCTTGTCCTTCGTTGAGCGCTCGACTACTCGTCGTCTCATCATTGACTGGAAGGATATCACAAGGTTTGTTGAAATGTTCAAAGGTGTCGTGATCAAAATGCTCAAGTGCATGTGGAAACAGGAGTATATCGTTCTTTGTTGTCCGCACCATCGATCCCTCAATGCGCCAAAGTCTCGCGACACTCGTTATATGCGCTGACCTTACTTGATTTCAGGATGTCATGAAAGTGTAGGATTTTAGCGCCGCATGAGGTGGACAAGTGGACCTGATCAGCACCGTTGATGACACGCGCCTCGGTGTGCAACTCCGTGCCAGCTACCTATTCCGCTCGCAAGCTGGCGTGCCATGAGATGTATTGTCATCCACCACGTCTGCAAATTTGCATTCTCTCATGATGCCCGCTCTCGAGTCCAACCATAACTTGAACCTATACAGCTTCTTGGTCTGCGCCAAAACAGGAAGCCGTTGCAGCAGGCTCGTTGATTCCAGCAACAGTCACCCTCTCGCCAATCTTGTGTCTAATTGACTTTCGCAGATCTCACGCTCGCTGTCGCTTCTACTGGCCATATACATGCAGCAGCCGCTCGTGCGTTTTCAACGCTCGTGCGTTTTCAACCTCCCGCACTGAGTCTGCACACAATCGCCGCAACTCGTAAGTCTGTACCCTCGCCGAGAGAAGTCATTCGTGTCACGCCAGCTCAAAGAAGGAGGATATGGGATAACAATTTGGGATGAGAAGATGCGCCCATTCTGCTATTGCAAGCGATCAGCCACGCTAGTGCTCTCACAATCGCATGCGAAACCGCTACCAGCTTGTACGCACCTTTACGCCGCCGTACTGTTCTCCTTGGATGCCAGGAAGGGCAAATTCGCGGTTTACACTGGAGCAATGTCCGAAAGAGTATTCTGTCGGCTTCTGCACTCACTTCATTCTGTAACAGAGCCTGCACAGAGCTTCTGTCCGTCCGCAAGCCTTTGGGTCGTCGTAAGTGTACCTGACAAGGAAAGTGAGACTATGGACACATTTCCGGTGATGGAATCTGTTTTACTGGTCGATTTTATCATTTCTTGGCAGACCAAGCAATGCACTACTTGGTCGGACAGGAAGCATGAAGCCATAGTCCACAATCTTGGTTACTGCATTTGATGATGAGATTGTTGGAATTCTGTGGCTGGTTACATTCGCAGACCAAAGACACTGGCTTTGGCAGTCAGCGGCCTTTTGGTCAAGCCTCTACTGTGACCCTCTAACTACCTTTCTGGTGGTCAAAGTCCCACATCTATACGCAAATCTTCTATCTTCCCGCAACATCTGAGTAGCATTGTCTCTGCCAATCTTTGGTCGCGGATGTCCGGCCTCAACGTCCATTGCAAGAGCCAAGAGGTCACCACAAGAGTCAGACCCTTCTTGACAACTCTAACCTGCGATTGCAAGCCTGTACATCGAGCTGTATGGTCTTGCAGCAATACACTGCAATGATGATGACACTTCCATGTGATGCAACATGCTGCCTGGTTTTCTCTCTTCTCTGTATCCTTATTCGACTTTGTATTTGTGTTTTCTTATCCAGCTGCATCGCTATTTCCCCTGTGACTTCAATGGATCACCTTTTCCACCGCCACTTGCCTTCAATCATGTCGTCTGGTGATGATAGTACTGAAGACAACCATCGCCAACCGCAAGAGGGCTGACAAAGCAAGCAATGAAGTTCCTGCGCCAAAGTGCCTTCGATCCAACGCCGCCGAACAACTTCTCGAAACGATAAGAATTCAGAACCAACAGATTGAGCAAGACACAAACACTTGGATACGCCTCGAAGCCAAGCTGCGCGATGCCAACACAGACTTCCTCATTATCATCAAGTCTGCGATGTACGGTGGCACTTTGGGTTGGGAAAGTGGATAAGCAGGATACCGATGGAGATGATCGCGAATGAGACGCTCTGAAGATACTAACATGAAGTTTGCTTAAAACATGGAGTGCAAGTCGCGGGGAAACGCCTACCTGTGAGAATGCACGATACTACTGCGAGATTAGACAGCTGTCACTGAGAATGGATAGTGGACCTTCTATAAACAGTGTTTGCTTCTGAATGAGACTTGACCATTTTGTATACCTGCCTTACTCCGTGTTGTGGTTGGAGTGTAAGAGGAGATACATAGTTTTGAACATGGGCAGCAGGGGATGTTGTCTTTGAACCCCTGGGTCTACTCCAACGTTTGTGGATTGCGCGTCGTCAACGACAAGACCGGGGATAAACACCGTTGTCAACGGTGTTCGTAGCAGGGCATGGATACCGACAGAAAAGCTTGACAGAAAAGCTTGAATGCCAACCCAACGGCTTTGCTATCCTGCATTGTCTCTTTGATGGCACTGCTTCTTTAATTGGTTTCAACACTAATGAGGGAATCGAATAAAATGCATATTGTCGTGTGAAGCAATACACTTGTCAAGACCTCACCTATTTTGACTTCCAAGTACGAGTATGCTTCTCCTGGGAAATGGTGGCTAGGGGTTCGTATATAACGACTGACCGAAGTTTGACGGCGAGAATTGACAAATGCCGAACTCAGATTCCCCCACGTTCGCGCGCTTCCAAAACACCATGAGTGTCAGATCCTGTTGAAACAGCAGGGTCTTGGAAAGCGGCCAGCAGAATGACACGACCGATCATATCAGAACATCTTCTTGTCAAGCAAGGGCCTGTCCTGTTCTTGAGAAGGTCCCGTCCTACGTCAGTCGCACCTCTCGGCATCAATGCCTCTCCCACGCAACATACCGGCCAACAGTCACCGTTTCGAAACGTCTCCAACATGTCGTATGGCCCAGCCCTGCTTGTTATCCCCCATCATTGCCAGCCTTCATTGCCAGCCTTTTGTGATCTGAGTTTTCGGATTCATCTCCACAGAGACGACTGAACTCCCAATGCAATTATACCGTTCGAAAACTATCGGATATTGTCTTGGGATACACAAACCATGATGTATAAAGACTGGCCTTTCACCGATACAGCGAGGGCAGGTATCCCACCCCCAGTCATTCTTTTTACCAGGTTTGAAGCCAACCACAAGTCGCAATGAGAGCTGCAATTGTTGTGTCTGCTCTCGCCCTGATGGGCTCGGCTTCGGCCCAGCAGTTTAGAAACACATCTACTGTTGCTTTTGCGAACACCACTTCGCAGGGTAGTTCCACTTCTAGCAGTGTTATCTTGACGACTGGCTCTGGTTCATCCTCCTCCTCTGCTTTATCTTCTTCCTCTGCTGCTGCAGTCAGCACCAGCTCATCGTCATCTCTTGCTCAAAATGGCACTACCATTACCAGCAGCTCGGCCTCGCCAGCCAGCGTAACGAGCACCTCGAGCATGTTGAACTCTTCGAGCGTTGTCGCGACCACCTCGTCAGCCGGATTCAACTCCTCATCCCATGCTGTCTCCACCACTTCCTCCGCCGGATTCAACTCTTCGACTGCTGTCTTGACCACCTCATCTTCCATGCTGAACTCTTCTGTCGCTGCCTCGACCTCCACGGCTGGCGCTTCCAACTCTTCGGTCGTTCTGACTACTTCGTCGGCCAGCTCAGCATCGGCTGTCACTGTCAGCGCCTCCAGCTCTTCCGTTGCTCAGACCACTTCTTCAGTCAGCTCGTCATCGACTTCTTCTTCATCTTCTAGCTCTACTATTGCTGGGAATGCTACCATGACCTCAGCTTCGCAGACTTCTTCTTCATCTGCCGCACCCACCAGTAACAACGCAACATACGTTGTCGCTGATGGTGTCACATACTATGTCCAGACCAACGTCACCTACTCTGGTACCACATTCAGTCTTCCTGCAGCCAAGAGAGCCATTAAGTACTACTTCTACAACAAGAGAGACTCGACTGGCTTGAATCAGTGCATGGACGCTTGTGCTGCCGCCTCTCAATGCGTGGGCACATCGTACAACACTTCTTGCACCTACTTCAGCAGCATCAACAAGAACAGCAAGGTCGCTTCTCCCGGCACTGACTTTGCCATGGTCACGTCTCGCCAGAGTAACTCGACAACGACCAGCTCTTCTGTCGCTTCAACCAGTAGCACTGCCAGCTCTGGCTCGTCGAGCAGCGTCTTCTCCAACTCGACCTCTGCCATCATGTCCAGCTCTACTTCCTCAAGCATCTTCTCCAACTCGACCAGCTCGATGTTGAGTACCGCCAGCCAGACATCAAGTGCCCTGGCCACCTCTTCTGCCAGCGTTTCTTCGAGCTCGATATCCTCTTCCGCCTTCCTCAACGGAACCACTACCGCTTCTGCTTCTGAGAGCAGCTCTACCCAAATGTCTTCCTCGAGTGCCGCTGCTTCAAGTGCTGCTGCCTCGAGTGCTGCTGCCTCGAGTGCCGCTTCCTCAAGTGCAGCTGCATCAAGCAGCACTGCCTCGAGTAATTCTTCTTCTGCTGCCTCATCCACAAGCGCTTCCTCCTCTGAGGCTTCTTCCACCAGCCCCTCTCCTGCTGCTTCTTCAAGCGCAGTCTCCTCCTCGGCTGCAGTCAACAGCACCATGACTGCCTCGGCATCGAGCTCTAGCATGGCTAGCTCCGCTTCTGGCTCAATGTCCATGGCCCAGAACTCGACCTCTACTGTCAGCTCCTCAACTGCTTCTAGCTCTGCCAGCGCTTCAGCCTCGACAAGCCCCGAGTCCCTGATCTGCCCCAAACTCAATGGAGCCGTCATTACCAGCGCACTCAAAATTGGTTTCGAGATTGACTGCAACCATGGCATCATCGGAGTTACTTTGGATATCACTGCCAACATCAAGCGTCAAGCAGCTGAACTTCCCTCTTCTCTGTCCAACTGCGTTGATGTCTGCTCTACTTCTGCCCAATGTGTTGGTACCACTTTCGAGCCTTCGACTGGCGTTTGCACCTACTACAGTGCTATCCAGAGCACCTACATCGTTGATGGTATGGACTCTGCTCTTGTCATTCACCCCAACTCTGGTTCTGAGGCCACCACAACCGTCACTGTTGTCTCCACTCAGGTTCAGACCAGCACTGTTGTTCTTGGGGGTAGTTCCACCAGCGTTGTCACCAGCACAGTCACTTCCACCGCTGTCGAGACTGTTTGCCCCAAGTGCTCAATCACCAGCATTCCTAGCGGTGCCCAGACTGCCGCTGGTCAGAACAACAATGCTCAGAGTACCGCAGTTGTGTACAGCACTACTGTTGTCACCATCTCGTCCTGCGCACCCACTGTTACCGACTGCCCTCTTCGCGCTGGACAACAGCAGACCGTGGTCACGACCGTGGTTCCTGTGACTAGCACCGTCTATCAGTGCCCCGTTGCAACCGACAACGCAGTCGCCACTGCTCTTCAGGCTGCCGTCACTGTTCAGGATGTTGTCACCAGCACTGTTTACGAGTGTCCTGCCGGCCAGACCATCACTGTTGGTGGAAACGTCTACACCACCCAGTACACTTCGACCTACACTACCCAGGTCACTGCCAGCTCCTCGGCACCTTCTGTCCCCAGCGTTGTCTCCACCCAGACTATTGTCTATGTTGACAAAATTGTCTCTGTGATCCAGGGTCATACTTCCACCAAGTGGGTTGTCATCTCGACCGCCATGCCTACTCCTGCTGCTGCCGCCGCCGCTTCCACAACCGTGGTCCGGATCACCGAGTCCGTTGTTCCTACCGCTTCCGACCTTCCCACTGTTCCTGCCATGGGCAATACTCCTGCTATGGCTAGCGGCTCTGCCATTGCCACTGCTTGCAACGGTGTCAACTGCCCCAGTACCGGCATGGTCACTTCTGTCTCTTCTAGCCCTTCCACTTCTCAGCCTGCCACCTACACCGGCGCTGCATCTATTCTTAGCGTCCAGAGTGGCTTCATTGCGACCGTGTTCGCAGTTCTTACCTTTCTTATGTTCTAGACAATATGTAGCTTAATGTAATGTTGAGCCCTTTCCCTTCCTTTGCTTTTTGCTTCTTATATCTACAACTACTTTCCATAGACGCTTGTATCGGAAATGCCTTCGTGCTACAACAGATAGTATCAACTTTTACAGATTGAATTAACAAAGACTCTCCTCTGAGCATGTTTATCTGACCCATGCGTAAAATATAGTGTGTAGTATACCATGCTAATCGCACGCACCATCGCTAGTGTTTGACGTATCCACACCACTTTCTACCAAAAGGTACCTTCTTCGGCACGCAAGCGGCATTGCGTCAGTTCCGAAAGCAAGAGAAAAATCCTGCGACTGGCCAGCGAGGCGTCATTGTTAATCTTGTGTCAATTGCAGGTCTGCGGGGCCATCCCAGCAGTCCGTCTACAACATCTCAAAAGGTGCCCAGGCAAATTTGATTCGCTGCGCCGCCACCGAGTGTAGGCCTAAAGGCATTCGCGTTAATGGTGTCTGTTTGACATCTGCAAAGACGGCATTGGCGCGTGAGCTCTTTGATACTATGGATTTCATGCGCACATTTGCAGACTCGGTGCCGATGAAACGCTGAGGGGAGACGAGTGATGTCGCAAGACTTGCGCGGTACCTTGGCGGAGAGGAGTCGCGCTATGTTCACGGAGATCTTGTACGGATTGATGGTGGTGAGACGCTTTGTCAGTATCCGGTGTCTTACAAGGGGAGAGGCCGCCTATGATTGGCGTCTTGGACCGGCATAGATGATTTTAATGTGTTATATTGACTATGTATATGCCTCAGTATTCACTCGAATGCCCATACAGTCAATCAACAATTGAGTGCATTGAATCCTGGTTATCCAAAGAATGTAAACTCTCTTGTGGACAATTGTTTGATCAAAAATGCATTACGAAGGCTGCTGAACAGAAAAAAATTTCAAGGAGACATGTCTCAGCATTCTTGAACCAATTCCCAGGGTCCAATTTGTCGATTGATGACGAACTGCCAGCCTTTGACTAGCAAGAGTTCGAGTCTTGCCTAGCTACCTTCTTCCTAAGGTTGATGCACGAAATTTGATTCAATGCTTGGTACTGAGTAGCTAGTTGTTGTAAACGAATGTGGCAAAGAAAAGATAGCATTGTAAGGGATTGAACATCCAATTGTCCTAGCCAGTAAGTTGTCGCCGTTCTGAAAAAAGATACTGTTGCAAAGATGTAGCTCGCTTTTCAGCATTGCGCTCGAAATTGGATCCGCTGTGGGCATTAAAGTAGCCATCCACTGTAAGCATCGAAGTGGCCGCCAGGTATGATGTGAATTATCCAACTAGATTTTGCTTAGAATCTTTCTGTCTAACTTTAGTCGTACCAATCCGACTGAAAGACAGGCGGCAAGAGCTGCCGAGCCGGCGAAAAAGATTGCTGGATGGTACGATTTCAACGAGCCATGCTGTCCACCATACGCACCAAGTAGGTACCCGGCAATGGGAGCTCCCTAGATCACTTTAGTAACCAACCTCCCACCATCAATGCTATAGGGATGTGAAAGACTCACCATTAAGTACACTGTGCCCCAGCCTGTGATGATCATGCCCATTACAACAGGCATTCTGAGACTCCCAAAGAGTGAACTGACGACTGGTGGTGTAGCAGAGAAGAAGCCACCATTACCAAGACCGTTGAGAATCACGAAAACAATGAGAGGGCCTAGCGTTGTTGAGAATGGCCAGACCACAAGAAAAGTCGTTGAGTTCAGAAGGAGGGAGATGAAAAGCGTGTTCACAGGTCCGAGCTTGTCGCACAGAAGACCACAAAGAAGCCGTCCAACTGCAGAAGAGAAATTGAACGCTGCGACAAGACCAGCGCCAGCGGTTTCGGATAATCCAAGTGTGTTGCAGTAGAGAGGAAGGAAGAATGGTGGTACGAGTAGGTAAAATGTGGAAAGAGCTCCGGCCACGAACAGAGTCAGAAATCGAAAGTCCTTAAGAAGAGTCCTGCTTGCTGTGAGCAAATTGCTTACTGTGCCTGTGACGGAACATCGTGGCATGTACGATCACTTACCTGTCAACAAAAGCGTTCTTCTTGATGGGCACGCGTTCTTTAATAACGAAAGCTGCGGGCACCCCAGTTGCGAGGATCATGAAACCAAGAATGCGGAAGGTCCATGCAGGTCCTACTCTTTTGATGAGTCCACTCATTCCGAGAGTCAGTGCTGTGCCTCCCAAGCCTCCAGCAGCGTAAATCAATCCGATGGCCAACCCACGCTTTCTATTGAAATATTGCGCTGGCGTGACAGAGACGAGCATAAAACAGAGACTACAATAGAAGAACAATGTTAGCATCGAATTCGTAGCTCCGACACATCCTAAGAATACCTTGTTCCAATGCCCATGATGGCGCCGCTCGTAAAGAACAGTCCTCCAACGCTCTCAGTACAAAAGCCGCTTAAAATTGAACCGCTACCAAGACAAATAATTCCAACTAATGCTGCTTGTCTTGTACCCACCAATCTGATGAATCTTGCATGCGCCAACGCCAAGATACTGTTGAATGTGACGCATAGAGAACCGATGAAAGAAAGTGTCGAGGCAGAGGATAACCCTCTTTCAACAAGAGCGGATTGCATGATTCCCCAGGAATAACTCATTCCTAGATACCACCAAGTCAAGGTTGCACACCCCACGATGACGACCCATCCGTATCCACCCTCGGGTACAGTGGAATCAGCGATGCGCGAGGCTTCGACGATGTTCGGTGGCTCGGCTGGCGCGAAATTATCCTCAAGATTGTTACTAGAGGCATGGGCTGAGAGCGCTGGAGGTACATGATGCAAATCCTGCAGAGCAGATTGAGGCCCTGTCTTTGCAGCAGGGGTGGTGATAGTGGGAGACATGGGAAGTATGTATGACAATTGTCAAATTTGGAGAGGCAGAAGCAGACAAGAACAATAGTCGAAGAGGTCAGGGAAAATGCCAAGAGATTACAAGCATGATCGGGTTCTGCATGTCAATTGTCCTACGCAAGCATATCAACGGTGGGGCGCAATCATATCAGCTGTAGGGCGCAATCATGTTAACTTTAGGCCGCAAATATAATGACGGTGATTGACGATATACCACAAGTACTATACACTGTAAGAAGCACTAACTAGCGTATCCTCTAGATCTCATTTGACGTTGTTGCGTCTCAATTTCATGTATGAACAAGGCCTTGCTATTTAGCACAACAAATCGCATGCGAGTACTTAAAGCTTGCATCTTCGACGCACCTCCTTCTTCTATACTCTATAAGACTGCTGTCATGCTACCGCTACATCTTTGTTCAGCCATGCACCCCGTACGAGTCTTGCCTCTCCTCTAATTCTTGCACTCCGCTAGCCAATGCTCAAGACATGACTTCGATTTGCCTACATGGCATGATGGTCTAGATAATGGCTACCATACATCTATATGAGTGGCCATCACACTGCAAGTCGGGGTCTATCTTATCACAGGCACAATGACATTCATTGTGACTCTCGCTTCTGCTATCGAACCGTACCAGTGGCACTTGTTACCGTCCTAGGGTTTGGGTTTTAGGGTTAGGGTTAGGGTTAGGGTTAGGGTTTGCAGAACTTCGATACAATACTATATAAGCTATATTATGCTCCTAAACTTAGAAACCTAGGTGCGGTAAGGAAACAGGTGGTCTACCTTCTTTAGATCGTGTAGTGTTAGTTAATCCCGTATCCCATCCAGTTCCGGGCTCGGAGTCGGACAAGTAAAGTAGAGATGTACTTGTCTAGCCATTCAGCTATACTAGGAGAGAAGGACTGTTGCAGCTCCTTATAGGTCTGCGAGGTCTCCTTTCCCAGTAGGCCTCCTTGGCTAAGGATAAATGGTTTGAAAGCC